GGCCGTCGGGGAGGCGAGACAGAGCAGCGCGAGGAGGAGCGCGGCGAGGACGCGGACTAGATCCACCGCGGGGCGCGTCCGCGCTCGGCACCTCGCCGTTATTCGCATTCGCGTCGTCGTCGTCGGCGTCGTCGTCGTCCTGCCCTGCGCTCGGCGGCCGCGCGCGCCGGTCCCTACGCCGTCGCGCGCGCGGATGCTATGAGGTCCGTCATCCGCGCGCGGTATGGCGTGTCGCGCGAGCCGTGTCCGATACACGCCGCGCCTCGAGAGAGTGAGCGTCGACGACGTTGTTACTCGCTCGAAAAACACGCGCGGCCCCAGCCGCGGACAACTTGGCAACCCACGAAAAGTTCTGTTGCACTTACCCCCGCACGGCGCAGCGCCCGCACGCCCGACGATGGACCCCTCCTGGCAAACATAAGGGTGGGACCCCGACGCGAAGCCGCCGTCGCCGCCGCCGTCGATCGGCCCGCTGCTCGACCTCCTCCCCCTCGACGTCCTCACAGAAGTCCTGCGAAGACTCGACCCGAACGCTCGAAGTCTTCTTCGTCGCGCGTCTCGCGGCTGCCGCCGCCTCGTCGAGGACTCCGGGCTCCGCCGCTCGGGGCTCCGACTCCTGCGAACCTCCCCGGATGTATACGGGCTCCAGCTATGGTACTTCACGCAGTCGATCGCGCTGGTGGAGTGGGGGAGGAAGAACGGCATACCGTGGTCGCGGCGCCTATGCTTTGTCGCGGCGTGCCAGGGGAACGCGACGTCTGTGCTCAAACACCTTCGCGCGCTCGGGTGTCCGTGGGATGAAGATACGAGCTGGGCGCTCGCGTGTGAAGGCGATCTCGAGACCCTGAAGTGGGCGCACGAACAAGGGTGTCCGTGGGATGAGCGCACGTGTTGCTGGGCGGCGCGCTACGGAAACCTCGAAGTGCTCGAGTGGTTGCACGGCGCTGGCGCTCCGTGGGACGAGAGAACGTGCATGTTTGCCGCCGCGGGCGGGAACCTTCAGACGCTGCAGTGGGCGCGCGAGCACGGGTGCCCATGGAAAGAAAGGACACTTCGTAGCGCATACATCAATGAACACCACGACGTCCTGCGGTGGGCGATAGATAACGAATGCCCTGGGTACCAGAAAGATGTATACCAGGTCGCTATGTCGATGATGCCGTAAATCAAACGACGATGCGCGCCGACGACGATGTGCTACGACGATGTAACTATGAAACGAACGATGCGTCTATACGCGCGACTCAGTACCGCCTCCCGCCCCCCGCGCTCTCGAACAGAACCGTCCCCTTCTTCTTCCCCTTCTTCTTCCCCCCGCCTGCGTCGTCCGACGCGGCGGCGGCGGCGGCGGCGGCGGCGGCCACCGCGGCGGCGCCGTCGTCCCCTCTCCCCCACGGGCCGCCCCCCCCCCCGCCCCACACCCCGCCCGCCCCCCGCGCGGCCGGCGGCGACGCCCCAAGCGCGGGACCCCACGACTCGCCGTCCCCGGGGAGGTCCGGCGCGTCCAACCCGGACGCGAACCCCCACTGCGCGACGCGCGCGAACGACGTTCCGCGCGGTCCTTCCGCGTTTTCAAACTCTTCCCTCGCGAGCGCCGCCTCCCGCGCGGCCTCGCGCGCCTCCTCCTCGGCCGCGGCGTGCGCGCGCGCGAGCGCTTCCTCGGGGGTGAGGCGCGACGCGTCGAAAGAGGAGGAGGCGTCGTCGTCGTCCTCGCGCGGCGCGCTCGCGGCCGACCCCAACGCCGGCATCGCGTCTCGCGCGGCTGTGGAAAAAACGCGCGCGTCCCTCGCGGCTCTCGCGTCGGCGTCCGCCGCCGCCGCCGCCGCCCGCGCTTCCGCGTTCGCTCTCTTCCTCCGCAGCTTCTCCCGCGCCCTCAGTTCCTCGCCGTGCTGCTTCAACATCTCCGCCGGGACGACGCCGGTGAGGTCCACCTCCGCGAGCGTGTACGACGTCGTCAGCGGAAGGTGCCGCAAGTGCACGGCGCGGCGTCTCGCGTCTTCGTCTTGCGCGCGTTCTTCGAGCTCGACGACGACGGCTTCGAACGACGCGGGGAGGCGTTCGTACGAGCCGAAGTGCGCGAGGAGGACGCGCGTGCACGCGGAGTGGAGGACCACGGGTTGACCGTCGTCGGCTTGGTAGAAGTAGTACGTCTCCACGCGCGTCGGCGGCGTCGGCGTCGGCGTCGACGGCTCGACGGCGGGGGTCGGCGGCGCCGCGGCGGGCTCGTCCGCGTCGGAGGCGGCTCCGTCCGCGGGCGGCGCCTCTTCGTGTACTTCCTCCTCCTCCTCCTCTTCTTCCTCCTCCTCGTCTTCGGAATCATCTTCGTCGTCCGTGAACGCGCTCGCGGCCTCGACGGCGCGGCCCATCAAAAACGCGGCGCGCTGCCCCGCCGCGGGCGCGCGCGGCCGCTCCGGAAGCGCGGGAAACGCCGCGGACGTCTCTCTCGCCGCCGCCGCCGCCGCCGCCGCCGCCGCCGCCGCCGCCGCCGCCGCCTCGGACGCGGACGGCCCCTTCACCGGCGGCTCGTAACCCCCGTGTATCGCGCGTTTCTCAGCCCACGCCTGCACGCGGCTCTGAAGGATGTCGCACGCGAGAAGCGCGTACGGAAGCTCCGCCTCCGCGTCCGGGCCGCCCTCCTCCGCCATTCGATTAATCCTCGCCTCGAGCGTGACGCGTTCTTCCTCCCCGAGCGCGTGCTCCTCGGACGTGAGCGTGTACTTCGCGAACGCGTCGAAGGCGCCGCCGTCGATGCTTCGCGTCGACCGCGGCCAAGACGTAGTAACGCCTGGTAACGACCCGTTACCCTCCGAGGGGGTATACTTACTCGGCACCGCGCTCTCTCGACGCCGTCGCAAAAGCGTCAACCTCATCTTTCCGCCGACGACGGGCGGCGCGATCGGCCGCCGCCGCACGCTCCTCAGATCCGCCATCCTGACCGGAGTGAAACACATCGGGCACTTCGCGTGCTCACCATCCTTGCGGTTCGTCACCGCGTGCCGCGCGATGCACGCGAAGCAGAACGAGTGCCCGCAGAGCGTCACCTGCGGCGCGTTCGGCGGCTCGTCCAGACACACCGGACACGCGAGCGGCGCCGCGGCGCCGAGTTCCACGGCGACGACGTCGTCCCAGTCCACCATGTGGTCCGGGTCCGTCGCCGCGCCTCTCAGGTCCGCCCAGTCCGCGACTAAGAACCGGAAGTTGGCGTGGAGGAACAGCTCTTTGCGGTAGACGTTTCGACGCGTCGTCTTCGTCCTCCCGCCGCCGCGTCCTCGTTGCTGCTGCTGCTGCGGACGATGACGATGAGGATGATGATGATGGTGGCTCGACGCTGCCGCGCTGCCGCGTCGTTGCCCGCGTCCGCCGCCGCCGCCGCGCCCCGCGCCGACGATCGTGTCTCTCTGTTCGGTTCGGAAGTTCAGGAGGAAGTCCGCGCGCACGCCCCCGCGCGCGTTCGCGCCTCGCGCGCCGGTCGCGGACTGCGACGTCGAGAGCGCGTTCTCGTCGCGACGCGCGCCGGTCGAGCCCGATCGCCGTCGCGAGACGTCGTCCGCGGCGCGCATCGCCGCGTTCGCGCCGACGTCGCCGCCGCGGCCGCGGCGCGTCGGCTTCGGGCGCGCGTCGCCGCCTCCGCCGCCCTGCCGTCCCCGGCCCCGTCCCCTCCCTCCTCCGCCCGCGTCATCGCACGCATCGCGGTGACGCGGCGCTCGCGGGGGTGGAACGAACGACGCCGCGTTCAGGTTCAGCCCGCGCACGCCGGTCGGCTCCCCCGCGGGCGCCGCCACCGCGGGCGCCGCCGGCGGCGCGTCGTCCGCCATATCGTCCGTCCGCGTCCCCCGAGGGCGCGCGCCGCTGTGGGGATGGTCGACGCGGCGACGCGGCGATGCAGCGAGTTTCACTTTTTCTGTTTTCTAAGGCAGCGGCGAGCGATTGCACTGCTGCAGGCGATGAAAAGTTGCTGCTCATATTACGAAACTGCGCTGTTGTACACGACGACCTTGTTACGTCGCCTCCGCTCGCCTCTTCTCTCACTCGACGAGGTCCTTCTGATCCTGTTGCATCTTGTCGATCCTCGAGAGCGCGTCCTGAATCTCGCGCTTCGTTCGCTCGATGGAACCGATGCTCGCGCCGACGTCGCCGTCCACGGCGCCGGACCCGATGAACCCGCTCTTCGGCTTCCCCCCTCCTCGCGACGCCGACGCCGACGCCGACGCCGGCGGCCGCGTCTTCGTGACGCGCTCCTCCGGGCGCTCGATGACGAAGTTATCCTCCCCGCCGCCGCCGCCGTCGACGCCCTCGAGCTCGCGCTGCTTCTGCTCCAGGCTCTCCTGCTGCGCCATCAGACGACGCTCCATCTCCGCCATCTGCTCCGCGACGACGACCATCTCGCTCTTGATCGCGTCCATGCGTTTCCTTAACTCCGCGGGGTCCTTCTTCGCGCTGTTGTTGTTGTTGACGCTCGCGGACTCCACCGCGGCCGCGATCGCGGGGCTGCGGATGCTGTCGGTCGCGGGGGCGGGCGACGCGTCGCCCGTCGAGGCGTCGCTCGCTTCGGCTTCGGCTTCGGCTTCGTCGCGCGACGCCGAGCGTTCCGGTTTCAACGCGTCGAGAATCGCGTCCAAGGATTTGTCCACCGCGTTGACCGCGTTCGACGTCGCTTTCTTTCCGAACAGCGCGTTCATGAACCCGGTGAGCGGAGACGAGTCCACGCCGGCTTCGTCCGCGACCGTCTGCATCGCGGTCGCGGCTTTCACCATCGTCGTCTTCGCTTCGACTTGCGAAAACGAAAACGCGCGGAGTAACCCTTGAAGCCCGACGCGCATCTTCTCGAGCGTGCGCTGCTCCTTCTCCAGCGTCGCCGGGTCCGCGCCCTCGCTCTTCAGGCGCATGATCGTCGTTGACTGCACCGCGATGAGCTCCTGTTGCTTGCTGATGCGCTTTTCGAGACCGACCATGTCGCCCAAGACCTCGGAGACTTCGCTCTCCGTCTCCGCGACGGCGGCTTCCGCATCCGCCGCCGGCTTCGGCTTGAACCCGCCGAACAAATCACCGAACAACCCGCCGCCGTACTTGATCGGCGAGTCGATCTGCTGCTTGGCGACCATCGCGGCGAGCTCGGCCGGGTCCACGTCGAAGAACCGGTGACGAAGCGCTTCCTCCGCGCTCGGACGGTCGCCGCCGCCGACGAGCACGGTGCCCTCCTCGTCCTCGCCCTTCTTCGCGCGCTGCTTCTCCGCGGCGGCGCTCGCCGCGGTCGCGGCGTCTTCGTCGTACGCCCGCGGCCGCAGAAGCTCCCTCGCGAGGTCCCACCCCGCGCCGTTCCCGGCGTCTAACACCGCGGTCTGCGACCGTTTCAGCTGCGATTTGTTCGCATCGCGCCACAGGAACAAATCGTACCCGACGCGTTTTAACCCGCGGTTAAACGTCATCAACCCGTTGTTCGTGCGAAGCGACGGCAGCGCGAGCTGCATCATGACCACGCCCGCGCTGTACATGTCGAACCTGTCCGGTTTATGCTGCACCCACGCCGCGCTGCCGGCGGCGAGGGCGACCGGCCCGAACAGCTTGCGGATATCCGGCGCGTCGTCGCTCGGGATGAGAAATTCCTCGGGCGGCGCGTACTTCGGGTCCATGATCGTCTCGTCCGGCGCGAAGTTCATCCCGGTCCGGAAGCACGCGCACGCGCCTAAATCGATGAGCTTGAACCGCTTCTCCGTGACCGAGGTGCCGTCGGACGCCTTCCCGCGCGCGACGTCCTCGTTCGTGAGGACCAAGTTGTGCGGCTTGATGTCTCTGTGAATCAGACCGGCCGTGTGCACCACGCGTAGATTCTTGAAGATCTGCCGCATCGTCGCCTGCGTCACCTCGAGCTCCACGGACGCGTCCCCGCGCAAGTTGTTCCCTTCTTTCCCGAGCATCACCTTCGCGATCCCCGCGGGGTAGTCCGGCTGCGCCATGTACTGCGCGAGCGTCCGGTCGCCCTCGTACCGCCACACCAACCACAAGCCCTCTTTCGCGACGACCCCTTCGCTGCTGCTGTGCAAATACGACTCGTCCGGGGTGACGCGGAACGAGCCCAGGAAGTCCGCGCACGACCCGCGCGCGTCCCTGGTGACGCGGTCGTTCATCCACGCCTCGACCTCCTGGAGCTCCGCGGCGCCCTCGACGGTGAGCTTCGGTCGCTTCAGCACGACGTCTTTCTTCACTTTCGCGATCTTCCCTTGGTACACGATCCCGAACGAGCCCTCGCCGATTTGCCGTTCGACCTCGACGTCCGTGCGCTTGTACTTCGCGCCCGCGTGGACGCGGAGGGCGAGGGCGCGGCGGCGCGTTGGCGCCGGGTTCGAGCGTCGCGGCGTCGCGAACGGCGACGCTCGCGTCGTCGTCGTCATCATCATTTTGTTGGTTTTTCGTATTTCGAGCGCGCCGACTTCTGTTCCTTCAGATGCCGCGCGCGCGGTGAGCCGCGTTCGCGACGACGGACGTTCGTTCGCGCGCGCGCGACGTCACGTGTGCGCCCGTCCGAAGCGTCGCCGTGAGCGCGAGCGGCGTCGGACGTCCTCGCGTCTCGCGCGAGCGCTCGATCACAGTGACCCCCGCGACGTTGAAAACGCGTCTCTGTCGCCACGTATCTTCCCGCCAATTCCAATCAACGCTGGACAGGTGTTAAACCCTGAACCCTAAGTTTAGGGCAAACCGCGGTTCGTCCGAGGATTTCGCCCGCTCTGCTGCGGCGGCTCTGCTCCGCATCGTCGCTGGCATACCCAACCGCGACGAGCGCGAGGCCGTCGGCGCGCGTCTCTCGACCGCGAGCGCTTCCGTCGTCGTCGCGAGGGATGGCGGCGAGACCGGCGGAAGCGAGGGGCCGCGCGAGCGAGATCGCGGGATGGGCCCGCGGCCGCGCGAGCGCGTCGCGCGGAGGGGGGGATCCCGCGTCGTCAGATCGTCGGCGCGGGGCGCGCGCGCGCCCGCCGCCGCGATGGCGCGCGCCGCGCGCGCCGTGGAGCCGCGACGACGGCGAGCGCGACGCGACGACGAGCGCGACGACGTCGTGCGGCGCGCGCGGGGGCGAACCGCGCGCGGTGGTGGGGGGATGGAGAAGGAGACGAGCGGCCGCGGCCGCGTCGGCGTCGGCGTCGGCGTCGGCGCTCGACGACGATCGTCGTCGCTCGCGACCGCCGACGGTCGCGAGCGTCTCGCGCGCGCGGTCGACCGCGCGAGACGCCGCGGCGCTGGGCGGCGACGTCAACGGCGCGGAGATGCGCGACGGCGCGCGCGTCGTCGCGCTGAGACTCACCGCGGGGGTCCTCTCCACGGTCGTCGTTCGCTCCGTCCTCGCGCCGTTCGAGCGCATGAAGCTGGAGTACATCTTAAACCACAGCAAGCTCCCGCTCGCGAAAGCCGTGGGCGCGGTGTTTCAAGCGGAAGGGTTGAAAGGGTTCTGGCGCGGGAACGTGATTAACCTGATGCGCGTGTGCCCGTACAAGGCGATCAACTTCGCGGCGTTCGACGCGTACCGCGGCGTCGCAGTCGCGCTCTCCGCCGGCGCCGCCGGCGCGGCGTTGTCGTCGAAGTCGACGTCAAAATCGTCGTCGCCGTCGTCCGCCGACGCCGCGTGCGCGCACTCCGCGGGGACGCACGACGTGAACAAAGTATATCTTGCCGTCGCCGGCGCGGCCGCGGGCATAACGTCCTTGTGCACGTGCTACCCCATGGACGTCGTGCGGACGCGGATGCTCGTCGCGGGCGGGATGGTGAAATACGGCAGCGTCGGGAAGTGCTTCGCGTCCATCATGACGAAGGAAGGGCTCAGCGGGTTCTACCGCGGGTTCCTGCCCGCGCTGTTCGCGCTGACGCCGAACGGCGCGGTGTATTACACGATGTACGACCATCTGAAGTCGAACCGGTTGCGGACGTTGGAAAAGGAAGCCGCGGAGAGAGCGGAGAGAGCGGCGGCGGCGGCGGGCAAGGCGGGGAAGAGGGGGAATGGGGCGAAGGGGGCGGTGATCGAGATGGAGGCGCCGCACGCGATCAGGGTAGAGCAAGGGTACATGATGCTGTTCGGCGCCGTCGCCGGGTGCGCCGCGGAGTTCAGCACGTACCCGTTCGAGGTCATCCGGCGCCGCATGCAGATGCAGATGGGGACGTCTTCGGTGTCGAGCGCGGTGGGGATGAAAGCGTTGCGGCGGATGACGAAGACGCTCAGGGTGATTCTGAACTCGCGGGGGATACCCGGGCTGTACGCGGGGTGCGTTCCGGGGATCGCGCAGGTGTTGCCCTCCGCCGCGTTGGGGTACTACAGCTACGAGATGTTCAAGATCGTTCTCGACGTCGACTGACGAGCGTCGGGACGGTTGACGTTTTATAGTCAGCTAGACCACTATTAATTCGAGCGCGGCTTTGGCTCGAAGCATCCTCTCTTCTATCTATTTCGCTACCTACGACGTCTTCGTCTTGACCTTGACCGGCTGGACGCGCTCTTTCAACATCGCGATCAACTCCTCCCGCGTGCGCTTCGGCTGCCCGACGTTCACGTACCTGTCCGCGAGGTGGCCGTATCTCCCGAGGAATAAGTTCACGCCGACGTCCATGAAGTGCACGCCGGAGAACACTACCGCGTCGTTCGCGCCGTGCTCCGCGAGTTTCTCCACGAACGCGCCCGGGAACTCGCTCCAGTGCAACCGCGAGTTGACGTGATGCAGCGCGTGGAACCCGTCGTTGAACGTCCTCTGCTGATCCGGGTGGTTCAAGACCGTGACGGAGGACCGGTAGTCGTCGCGGCCGCCGTCGTCGTCGACTTTGACGAACGCGTGCTGGCTCCAGTTCCCTAACATCATCGCCACGGATGACACTACGTACGGCACCGCCAGCGTCCAAATCGCGGCGGTGGGATTCACCATATATAACCTCAGAAACGCACACACGCTGGCCGTTAACCCGGCGATCACCCCCGCACACAACGCGTACCGTCGCCGCGCGAACGCGTACCACGGGAGCTCGACCCAACTCCCCACCGTGAACCGGATCCAATACAGCAGCCAGTGCGTCACGCTGTCGCGTCGGTACCCTTCCGTGGACGACAAGTCTTTGCGGATCTCGTTCGAGTCCACGTGGTGCATGACGATGTGGTGCAGCCAGTACACCCCGCACGGGACGCCGAACAACGGCGCGAGGAGGAGGATGTTGACGCGATTGAAGAACGCGGCGACGAGCCCGTCTCGTCTCTTCAGAAGCCGTCGATGCGTGCTGTAGTGCATCGCGAGGATGAACCGCTGGAGATACAGCGCGTCGAACGTCGCGACGTACGCGGCGCCGAGGAGGTGCGACGGCGGCGCGATCGCGAAGAGCGCGACGAACGCGGGGACCATCGTGACGACGATGTCGAAGAACAGAAACGCGATCGGCGCGTCGCGCTCGTCCGCGAGGCGCGACACGATGAACCGCGCGACGCGCGCGGGCGGGCGGAACAGGAACTCGTTCCTGACGGCGACGGCGTCGTGGAGGTAGACCGCGTCGCCGACCGCGCCTTTCCCGCCGCCGCCGAGGCGGCCGATGAGCGGCGCCCCGGCCGGCGGGACGCACATCCGCGCGCGAGAGACTGCGTAGACGAGAGGTGCGGGTGAGTTCTTCTCAATGTCGTGTAAAAAAATTCGAAGCGACGTCTGTCGCCTCCTACATCCGTCGCCCCCTACGTCCGCGTGCTCTCTGTCATTCGGTGACAGGACGTGGCCAGCTAGTCCATCTGTTTCCTCTTCTTACTCGCGCTGTTCGGGCGGATCGAAAAGTCGTCGTCGCTGCTGTCGTCGTCCCCGCCGCCGTCGTCGTCGTCCTCGTCGGCGTCGTCCGACATCCGGAATTCGTCGTCGTCGCCTCCTTTCTTCGCGGCGGCGGCGGCGGCGCCGTCGTCGTCGTCGTCGTCGTACTCCTCCTCGGTCGGGCCGTCGCCGTCGTCGTCGTCGTCGTCGTCGTTGTCGCCCTCGTCCACGGCGTCCAACACGTCCGCCTTCGCCTTGAAAACGAGCGGCGCTTTCGCCGGCGTCCCGACGGGCGTGGACGAGAGGGTGTTGTACGCCTCTGGTCGCTCGCCGAGCGTGTGCGCGTTGTCCCACAGCCACGCCTCGACGTCGACGAGCGCCTTTTGAAAGTTGGACCGCATCGCGAACGACGCGGACGTCTGCTTCGTGAGGTCTTTACCCAACGTGCGCGCGACTTGCTTCCACCGCTTCTCTTCCGTGACGAGGTCGGACCCGCCGAGGCACATGACCTCGACCAAGACGCGGTACAGGTCGAGCTCGGCGTGGCAGAAAATCGGCGCCTTCGGGACGACGCCGCCGGGTCCCGCGGCGGCGGCGCGAAATTTCTCAAACTCGACGCGCGCGGCGTTGACGCCCTGCGGCCACCCTAACCTCTCCGCGATCGCGCGTCCGGCTTCGACCTTCTTCTGGTTCGCCTCCGTGCGCTCCTCGTCGTCCATGCCGTCGTCCCCGGCCGCGTTCGGGAAGTTTGGCACGACCTCGTCTTGGTACTCGGCCGGCGCGTTCTCGATCTCCCAAGGGCACACCCACATCGGATCGTCCCCGTCTGGGTCGCTGTCGAAGATGACTTGGACGGACTCCCACGGGTCGTCGCCGTGCTTCACCCTGTTCACCCGCCCGAGCCAGTACTCCGCGCCGTTCTCGAGCTTGATGACGCCCACGGGAGCGGCGTTCGCGTCCGCGGCGTCGGGATTCGGCGTCGCGCCGTCCTCGACGTCCATGGGCGTCGCCTCCCCGTCCGTCGGCTTCGGCTTCGGCGTCGCCGGCGGCGGCGCGCCGCCGCCGGCGACCGCGGCGACGACGTCCGCGGGCCTCCCGAGCGCGTCCTCCTGCGGCCCTTCGCCGTCGTTGATGTCCGGGAAGAACATCATGATTCGCGCGCCCTTGCTCCACGGCTTCTCCGCGCTCGCGGAGTATTTGTCCCAGTCCACGATGTAATCCGCAACCTCCGCGCCGGCGTAAATCGGCGCGCTGATCAGCCTCGGGCCCGCCTCGCGCCCCCCCCCCGGAGAACTTTCGTTCCTTCTCCCGCGCCCCGCCACGAGCGCGGGCTCGTCCAGAAGTTCGAGCAGAACCCAGCAGCACGGCGGCGTCCCGGAGTACCCCGGGAGGTCGGGCGGCGGCGGCACCGCGTCTCGAAACGCCCACGCTCGAACCACCGCGCGCTCCACCGGCCGCAACTCCTTCAGCGGGATCCACCCCTCGGGCTCGTTCCCGACGCCGATGTACCGCTCGCGAGTGAGTTTCATCCCCTTGCGCATCAGCGCGACGACGTTCCCGGGCTCGCACGTCTTGATGCCCGCGTGCGTCGCCGTGGGAATCGTCGAGAAGAACTTCGCGCTGTTCATTCGCGAGTCGTCTTGCACGAGCGCGCTGCACAGCACGCCGAGAAGTCGCGCGCTCCTCGCCGTGCCCAGCTTCATCGCGGTCTGAATCGCTTCGTCCGTGGTGGACCACTCGATCGCGGTCTGCGCGATCTCCGTGTGCGCGAGCGCGGTCTCCTCCGCTTCCTCCCACGTCATCAGCTTCTCCGGCGGGATCCGAAGATCGAAATCCTCCGCGCCGCGCAACCCAGTGAACCAAGCCTCTCTTCGGTCCAGCCACTCCTCCGTCGTCGCGTGCGACGACCGCAACATCGCCTCGAGCGGCGGCAGCACGCGCGAGACGAGGACCGCGAGGCGGTCGCCCGCGCGGTCCCCGGACGCGACCGAGTCCAGCCCCGTGCCGAGCGCGTCCGGAAGCGCGCTGCACAGGTTGAGCATCGCGTGGAGCCAGTTGTTCGGGCGGTTCCAAAACTTTGACGATCCGCTCAAGACGCTGCGGACGACGGCGCACAGCGCCGTCGCCGCCGCCGCGCGGTTCTGCTCCCGCGTCGGGCCGAGGTTCATCGCGACCGCGCCCCAGGCGTCGTTCGGGTCCGGCGGCGGCGGGTCGAGCTTGACGTACCCGTCTTTCACGAGGCCGAGTTCTTTGAACCAGTCCACGTCCGCGGTCGCCGCCGCGTCTTTGGCGGCGTCTTTGGCGGCGTCGGCGTCCGCGGCGTCGGCTTTTTCATCCTTCGCCTTCGGCGCGGTCCGCATCAACAGCGCGGCCATCGCTTTCAAACGACGCTCGTCCATGCTCTTCGGGTTCCTCGGGTCGTCGTCGAGCCAGTCCTTCAGCTCTTTCAAACGCGGACCGATCGTGAACACGCTCCAGCGCGTCGGGCACTCGCCCCACGTCTCCGCGGCGTGAAGCGCGTCCGCGTACGCCTTCCCCTTGGCGATGTTCGCCTTGGACAGCGCGGACGTTCGCTGCGCTTTTTCTTTCTTCGACTCCGCGCGCTTCGCGGCTTTTTGTTCGGGCGTCTCCTCAGCGGCGTCGGCGTCATCGCTCGGGGCGGCGCCTTCTTCTTTAACCTCCGCGGCGGGAAGGGCGTCCTTCTTCGCGTCTTCCTCGACGTCGTCGTCCGGTTGAAACGCCGTCGCGGACGGCTCCTGCGTGAAAATCAACCCCGCGCCCGCGGCGCCGCCAAGGGTGTAGTACTTCCGTCCCGTCTCGTCCGTCGCGATCGCGCGCGAGCGGAGGTACGTCGACCGCGCGCCCGCTTTCGCGACCCACTCCACGAGCGTGTCCGCCCACTCCGGTCGCGTCGGCGCCGCGCGCGTCTGCGTCTGCGTCTCGTCCTTCTTCTCCGTCGACGCCGCGTCCGACGTCGCCGCACCTTTTTCCTCCGCGGCGGCGGCCGCCTCGGGCTTCTTCTCCTCGCTCGCGGGAGTCCCCGCCTCCGCCTCCGTCTTCGGCGTCGGCGTCGGCGTCGACGTCTGCTCCCCCGCGACGACGACGGACGACTCCGTCTTCACCTTCACTTTCTCGTCCCCTCCCGGCGCCGGCTTCGCGGCGAGCGCGTCCGCGATCTTAGGCTGCGCGAGCGGCGCCTCCGTCGTCTTCGCTTTCACCTTTCTCGGTCCGAGCGGGAGCTCCCCGTCCTTCTGCGCGCGCATCGCGAGCTCGAGCTTCGGGAACAGGTAATCGTGCCAGCTCTCCGCCTCGCACATGATCGCAGCGAGCGCTGACGCGAGCGCGACGCGATCGCCCGCGGGTAAACCGACCGAGGCGGTCGCGGCGTCGATCGCCTTCACGAGCGCGTGCGTCGCTCGAAACGCGCCGATTTTCACGGCGGCGCACGGCCACGTCGGCTTCTCCCCGGCGTCGTACATCGTCAGCACCGCGAGCGCGCGCTCGCTCCAGTCCAACATCCGCAAGTCGTCCTCCTCGGACATCTCCGCGATGCGCTTCGCGTCCGGCGGCGGTTCCGTCGCGTCCTTGTCGCCGCCCCCGCCTTCCGCGACTCTCAGAACCGCGACGCAGACGTCCCTCACGAGCGCCGCGTCCGCGGGGTTGATCCCCGACGTGGACGGCGGCCCGAGGAACGCGCGACTGAAGCGCTCCCACGGGCACGGCGGCAGCCGAAGAAACGCGCCGTGCACTTGCGTGAGGTCCCACAGCGCGAGTGTCTCCGCGAGCAACGCGGGGGGCGTGCCGTAGGACTCCGGGACGACCAGCCCCGCCGCCGGCGGCGCGCTCCTCGTCTCCCTCGGCGGGAGGTTCCTCGGCGGCGGCGGCGGCATGCTCGCGCCGCCCGCGCCGGCTTGCCGCGCGCCGCCCGCGCCGCCCGCGCCGAACCTGCTCTGCGTCCGCAGCGCCTTTTGCTGCGCCGCCTTGGATGCGGCGCGCGCCTCCGCGCGTTCCCTCGTCCGCGTCGTCTCGAGTAACGTCGCGTACGACTTGATCAACGGCGGGACGCTGAGCTCCGCGCCGTCCACGAGCGCGCCAGCCTTGCGCAAGCCCTCGAGCTGCTGCGCGATGAACGCGGTGTCGTTGATGACGTCGCGGCGCGCGTACTTGAGCTCGGTCACCGCCGCCGCCGCCGCCGCCGCCGCGCTCGCTGCCGCCGCCGGCGAATCGCTCCCCGCCGCCGTCTTGGACGTCGTCTTCGACACGGCCGGCGACGCGTTCTTCGACGACGGCTTCGAAGCGCCCTTCTTGCCGCCCTTTACTCCGCTCTCCACCGCCGCCTTCGCCGCCGCGGCCTCGTTCGCCGCCACCGCGCCGCGGAACTTCGGCGAGAGGTAATCCCCGCTCACGACGGGCACCGCCGTGAGCGCGGCGAGGCCGTCTTCCACGCTGACGTTCCAATCCCGACGGATCGCCCGCAGCGTCGCGTCGCAGAACGCGACGCGGCGCTGCAGCGTCGCGAACGCGCGCTTGTACCCCTCCGCGGGTTCGCCGAGTCGGTACCACGCGCGCAGCGTGACGAGCCACACGGAGGGCCCGCGACGCTCGTCGTAGCACACGGTCCAGTCCAAAACCTCGGACAGCTTGAGCGGATGCGGCGGCTTGTTCACCGGCTTGAGCGCGCGCTTCAAGACGTCCTTCGGGCGCGAGCTCTCGCCGCCCTCGACCTTTCGAGCCTTGCCGAACACGACGACGTTCTTCGTGCGGCACTGCTCGAGGCCGACGACTTTGCCTTCGTCGCGCTTGTCACGGATCTCAAACTCTGCGAGCGACAGGTGGGTCCGAGGGCGGGATCGTTCGTCGGCGCGAGGCGGACGACGCGCGGTCGCGACGAGGACGCGCGAGGACGGTCGAGGGTTCGATGCGCGGGGGCGGGAAGACGCGGATCGCTCGGATCGCGCGAGAGGCGGGGAGGGAGATCGGCGGTCGCGAATACGAACGCGAGGGAAAAAAGCGCGCGATCGCGCGCGACGATCGACCGCCGCGCGCGGTGCCGACGATGGCGCGGAGGACGCGCCGTCGAGAACGCGCAGGGACAGCGTCGTCCCCGGGATTTTCGGAAACTCGACCGGCTCCTTGATCTCGGGTTCTTCCTTCACCGGGGTCTCTTCCTTCGCGGACGCCGCCGCCGGCGTCGACGCATCTCCTCCGTTCGTCGCTTCGCTGCCGCCGGCGGCCATGTCGCCTGGCGCTGGCGATGCGTCCGCGATGCGTCCGCGATGCGGAGATCCCCGCGCGATCGCGAGGTCGATCGGGTCGTTCCGCGTGCGGCTCCACGCGCGACCCTGATCCAAGACGCCCTTCGCGCGCCCGCCCGTTATGGGCGCTCGAGGAAGGACCTGGGGTTTAGGGCGAGCCAGTCAAGCCATTCAGCAGATCAGCACGGATGGATGCTTCAACTTCCTTGGCGAGAGCGCGCTCCAGATCCGCGTTTTCGGGAGAATGATCCTTTAAATCGAGTCAAAGCCGCCGGCGACGACTCGAGCTCTCTCGTCGACATTCTACGGCTTAAACAATCTACGTCTCCTTCTCCTTCCGCTTCTTCGCCAGCCTCGCGTTCCGTCTCAGCCTCTTCTCCTTCTCGCGGCTGCCGTCGTCGTCGTCGTGCGCGGGTCGCGCGTAATAACTCCCGTCTCCCCAACCGAACACCCCTCTGTCGCCGCGCGCCCACTTCGCGACCGCCCACGCGAACCCTGTCCACGCGCCGACGACGCACCCCACGCACATCCCGTACACGACCGTGATCGGCCATCTCTGCCACGCCCTGCCCCAGTCCAGTGGTATCGGCATCGCCCCCATCCACGCCCCGAGCGCGGCGCCCCACGCGGACGCGAACCATTGGAAATCGATCGGGTAAAACGCGCCGTCGCCCAGGACGAGCACGCGGTGCCACTCCCACTGCGCGCCCTTCCCTTCCCACGGGCTCGTGCCGTACATCGCGGCGCCGGGGACGAACGTCAACGACGCGAGGAGCGCCGAAGCGTGCGTCGTGGGGTACGGCACGTACAGCGCGGAGAGGCCGAAGTTGCACATGAACACGAACCAAAACGCCGTCCCGATCGCCAGCGCGACGAGCGAGTGCCACAGCGATCCGAGGAGCGACGGGCGCGACGGCACGTGCTCCGCCTCCGCGCGCGGCGCGTCGCCGTTCGAGTAGCGACTCGACAGCGCGTGCGTCAGGAGAACGACGAGGTGGTGCGTCACGATCGCGCATCGCGTCGCGCGAAGCGGGTCCTTCCAGAACCCCGTCGGCGGACCGCGCTCCGGTCGCGCGTTCGTCGTCTCGCCGCAGTGGAGCGCGATGCTGTAGTAGAGCGCGGCGGTGACGAGGAGCGCGCGCGCGGCGAGCGCGACGAGCGCGGGGACGCGGACCGGGTGCGTGGTCAGCGTGAGGTAGAGCCGGTACGGGCTCGGGTTCTTGTTCATCGTGATGATCTCCTCGGGGAGGTCGTCATCGTCGTCGTCGGACTCCGACATCGCTCGCGCGCCGCCCCGGCGCGCCGCGGAGTGACGCCTCGTGGTCATCTCTGGCGGGGACGGGAAGTTGACGTCGCGTCGGATCGAAGTTTTCGAACGCCGCCTCACCATCAGTCTTCGCGTCGCCGCGCACGCCGCAGGTCGCGCCATGGAAAACCTCGCCGGGGAGGAGATCCACCGCCCGGTCATCGCGGAGGTGCTCCCGAAGACCGGGTTGGTGTACAGCGAGAAGGGCAACCTGACGGAGGTTCTGTCCAAGCCGAAGCTCATGCCGCTGAAGTCTTCGCATCAGCTGCGCATGGAGAAGCTGGAGAAGGACGCGATGGAGGCGATAGAGAACAAGCGGGCGGAGACCGCGGCGCAGCGGCAGGGCGCGGCGTGATCCGCGAGCGGAGAGGACATCAGACGCGAAATAGGTTAGCTCGCCCACCCCGACGGCGAGGGAAGCGCAGGGCGGGGACGGGGTGCTCGATCGGGGGATCCCTCCAGTCGCGAGGAAAAAGTCTTTCTTTCTTTCGTCTCTTCGGGACGGGAAGAAAGACACGCGTATCTTCGACGCGCGGAGCCGCGAGCGTCGACCACCTCACGAGATGACGAGAGTACGTAAATCATAGAGTACGTGTAGGCCCTCGTCGCTCCGCTCGCTCACGCCGACGGGACGGTCTTCCACTTCGTCTTCGCGCCGCGCTTCCTCCCCGCGCCGCTGCCCTTCTCGGACGCGATCCCAACCGCGGACGCGGCGCGCATAAACTTGGCCCACAGCGGCGCCGCGCACTCGGACCCGGTTCCCGGCAGCGAGCTGTTATCGTCCCTCCCGCACCACACCACGCACGCGAGCTGCGGGGTGTACCCCGCGAACCACGCGTCGCGGTAGTCGTCCGACGTCCCCGTCTTCCCCGCGACTTTCTCCGCGGGCCAACCCACGGCGGCGGATCGCCCGGTGCCTCTCGTCACCGCCGCGCGTAACATCCCGTGAAGCGCCGCGCACGCGGCTCGATTCGCGACGAGCTTCCGCCGCCCCTTGTGCCTGTACACCACCGCGCCGGTCCGGTCTCGCACCTTGGTGATGAGGTGCGGCTTGCTGTATATGCCCCCCGCGGCGATGGACGCGTACGCGACGGTCATCTCCAACGGCGTCGTCTCGCACGAGCCCAACGCGAGCGATAACGCGTTCGGGAGCGTCGACGTGATCCCGAGCTTCGAGCTCATCTCGATGATCTTGTCGATGCCGGTCATCTCCGCGACTTTGACGGTCGGGACGTTGAGGGACTCGACGAGGCAGTCGCGCAGGCTCACCGTGCCCTTAAACTTTCGCGAGTAATTCAGAGGCGTGTACGTGGGCTCTTCGCCGTCGGGGACTTCGAACACGATCTCCTCGTCTTGAAGCAGCGTGGACGGGTTCACGACGCCCTCCTGCAGCGCGGTGAGGTACACGAACGGCTTGAACGTCGACCCCGCGGAGCGTTTGGATAATACCGCGCGGTTGTACGGCGATTGCGAGTACTCGCGGCCGCCGATCAACACGCGCACGGCGCCCGTGGCCGGGTCGATCGCCACGATCGCGGCTTCGCCTTTGTCCTCTCCGCGCATCATCACCATCCCGTCTTCTAACGTGAGCTGCTCCGCTTTCTCTTGTAGCGCGAGGTCCATCGTCGTGTGGACTTTTAACCCGCCCGTGGATAAAACGTCCTGACCTTCGAATAAGGTTTTGAGGTGGAACAAAACCTCGGAGACGAAAAACGGCGCTCGGTACGGCGCGGCGCCGCCGCGGCCCAACCTCGGCATCCCGCGTCCGCCCAAGTACGGCTCCAGCAACGAAGAGTCCGCGCCTTCGAGACCGACGGCTTTCTCCATCTCCGTCGGCGCTCGGAGGGCTAGCGATGCCGGTAACGGCGTATTCATGAGCGTTTTCGCCGCCGGTTCGGTGAGGTACCCGTGCCTCGCCATCGCCGCGAGGTTTTGGTTCCTCACCCGTTTCGCCCCCGCGGGGTTCGCGTACGGCGACAGCGCCTCCGGCGCGGGCAACAGCGCCGCTAACAGCGCGCTCTCGCCGACGTCCAACTCCGCGGGCGACTTGCCGAAATACGCCGCCGCGGCGCCGGCGATGCCGTACACGCCGTGCCCCCAGTACACGTTGTTCAGATACGCCTCCAAGAGCTCCTCCTTCGTGAGCCGCGTCTCGACCTTCAGGGAGAGTAAAATCTCGGATATCTTCCTCGAGATCGTGCGATCTTGGCACAGCACGAGGTTCTTCACGAGCTGCTGCGTGATCGTGCTGCCGCCTCCCATCTTCCCCATAGACCCGATCGCGCGCGTGAGCCCTCGGACGTCCACCCCCTTGTGTTTAAAAAATCGGTGGTCCTCCGACGCCACCACCGCCTGCCACACCGCCGGGGACACGTCCTTCAGCTTGACCGCCTCCGAGGATAACGTCGCGACGACGCGCCCGCGGACGTCGTATATGATCGTCGGCTCCCCCGCGTGGCCTTCTTTCCCGGACTTCTCCCCGTCCGCGAGCGAGCTCCATCGCTTCCCCGCGCCGCTCGCTTTCATGGCTTTGTAAAACTTGAAGAAATCGTACGACCCCGCGATGGCGATCAGCGCCGCGGACGTGACGATGAACTTCGGGAACGCGCTCGTGACGTTCTTTCTCCGCGTCTCGCGTCGGACGCGTCCGTATTCTTCGTACCCGACGCCGTCGTCCGGTCGCGAAGCGTCGTCGCCGTCGGAGCCGTCAGACGCGCGCGTGAACATCGCGTGTCGGACCGCGCCGCGTCTCTTCGCGTCCAGGAGCGCCCTGCGGCTCACCGGGAGCCACACGCGGTCGGCGTACGTCCTCGTGGACGACAGCGAGCCCGCGCGCGATGAAGAGGACGACGCGACGAGGACGGTCGGCAACGACGTCGGTGGGCGCGCCATCGCCATCGGCGCGGCGACGACGTTCTCGCTCGAACCGAACAACATCGCGCTTCAAAAATCGTCTCTCGCACGCGCTCGCGTCGCGCGGGCGATACCGCGCCTCCGACGTCCTATCGCGCCCCGAAACGCGATGAAGCCTCGGTGAACGCTCTCACGCCGCCACCGGGCGCGTCGCGCGTGGTCTGCGCGTGTCGCGTCGCACCGGCGCCGGCGAGACTGACTCGGTTTGAATGTCCTCTTCGGTGTCGAACAGAAAGGACGCGCGCTGCCGTCCGACCGCACCGCAGACTGGACTCTGACGCAAAGGACGACACTCCGCGCCGCGCGCGCCCGCCGCGACACGACCGCCGCCGTCGTATCGCCGCAGGCGGAGACCATGGGCGCGTCTCACTCGAACGATCCCTCGGTTCATCGCCCGCCCGCGCTCGCGCGGCGCACCTCGAGCGGCTACGCGGTCCAACCCTCGAAAGGGGGCTTCTGCGTGCCGTGCGGGGCCGCGTCCAAGTCGAAGAAGAAGCCGGACGCGCCGGCGGCCCGCCGCCGCTCGCGCGGCTCGTCCGCCGGCGGCGTCTTCTCGCCCTCGCGCACGCACCCGACCGTCGAGCGCTTGATCTCCGACTTGAGAGGTGCGCGCGCTCGTTTCTTCGCTCCTCCCGCGCGCGTTCCTCTCTCGCCGTCTCCGTCCTCCGCCTCGCTCCTTCGCGCACAGCTGGCGGGGTTTGACTCCTCTCTCGCGCGCAGACGACGGCGTCCTCGCGGACCTGGACAAGGTCGCGGTCAGCATCGCGGTGAAAAACTCGTCCCCGTCCAAGGAGATCACGCCGACGCACCCGGTGCGCGCCCGCCCGCCCCGCACTCCCAGCGAGCGCACGTCGTCCTTCCTTTTTCCGTCACGCTCCCTCCGTTCTTCTCCGTCGAGCAGGACGCGCAGACGTCCAAAGCCCTCCCGCCCGCGCCCGTGAAGACGGCGCGGCACAGCATCCTCCGGCGCGTCAGCTCGATCAACTGCCCGATCGCGCTCCCCGCGCTGCGGTCGTCGTCCTCCTTCCACGCCGCGATCGGCACCGCGGAAGTCGCCGCGGCGGTCGCGTCCGAGGAGACCGCGACGCGACGCGTCACCGCGCGACGCCGGCTCACGTGGAACGACCGCAAAGGCACGCTCGGGGAGCTCGAGCACGTGCAGTGGTTTGACGTCTACGACGGGTTCGGGACCTGCGCGAACGTCGGCCCGGACGCGGGAGCGTCCACGCCCGGCGGCGGCGGCGTCCGACGGAGAAAATCGACTGGCGGCGCGACCGACGCGAGCGCTTGCTCGTTCGACTCGAAAGCGACGCGCGTCACGTCCATCAGCGCCGCGCTGTCGAGCGCGGAAAGAGGCGGCCTCGGAAGCGGCTGGGGCAGCTTCGACGCGGACCCGTTCGCGTTCGAGACCGCGCACGACGCCGCGTCGGGTCTGGACCCCGCGGCGAGGACCGCGGTCAGGCGTATCGCGTCCACGCTCGCGCGGCACGAACGCGACGGCGTCGACGTCCGCGGGATGACGAACGCCGAGCGCTGCGGGAAGATGCTGAAGCGGAAGATCACGAGCAAGGCGGCCGCGCTCGTGGAGGGCGCCGCCGCGGCCGCCGCTGTGGAGGACGCGAGGACGTACCTCCGCGGGAACGACCCGCATATGATGCCGGAGAATCACAGGAAGCGACCGGTCGTCACCGCGGGGGACGCGATTTTGACGTGGGTCGTCTCCGCCGCCGCCGCGAAGAAGCGCGAGCGCGTCGAGCTCGACGCCCGGAACGCGGAGCTCCAAGAGCGCGTCCTCACGCTTCTGAGCGAGGTCGATGCGATGGCGGACGCGGTACCGAGCCGAAGGATCGCCGCGGGGTTGAGGGACCTGCACCGCATGCGTCTGCAGGTGTTCGACTCGCGTTCCAAGGCGCGGGCGATGGAAGCCGCCGTGGCGCACCTCAGGTGCGTTCTACTGTGTTTTCACCCACCGCTCAGTTTCAAAATTTGATCGGCTTCACTTTCAACTGACCGATGAACTTTTTTTGTGTGGAATCATCTGCAGCGGCGTCATCCTCGACGCGAGGAACGTCGCGGAGGAGGTGTCGCACGCGCTCGCGAGCGGTCGGCGGTGGGAGCGGCTCGACGAGAGCGATCGCGGGCACATCTGGGGCTCCGCGATGGACACGATGTTGGGGGAGTTTTTCTATGTCCTCGCCCTCGGCGGGTTGCTCAAGGCGTGAAGCGCGCGACGCGCGCTGCAGAGGTAACGCGTTTTCCTTTCTTTTTCTCATTTTACGACGACGAGACTACAGGGCAGAGCGCGCCTGCGCGGGCACCCTCGATGAATATTAGGCACGCGTGACGGTCACGCGATCACGAGTCGTTGAAACTCACCCCTCCGAGCTGCGAGACGACGACGAAGCGGGGAGGAACGGTCAGTAAGGTATGTGAAGCGAGCACACGAAGCGAGCGCGCGCGCGCGATTGTAACACGAACGAACCAACGCGACGACGAACCGAACCGAACGAAGCGCGCGCGCGCGAGACTCCAACCAAAACGAACGAACGCGCACCTGCACGACGACCCAGAACGTCGCGATCATGAGGGAAATAATCGTCGTGAACGACAGCACGATGACCACCTGCGCCATCGCGGGCTTCGGGAGCTTCTCCCACGCGCTTCGCGTGTCCTCCTCCTTCGCCGGCGCCGGCGCCGACTTCTTCGGCGCCGCGTCCCCGAACGGGTTCGCCGCGGTGGACTGCGCGAACGGCGAGCCCGCTTTCGGGACGCCGGCGTCCGCGAACGGCGACCCCCCCGCCGCGGGCGGCTTCGCCGGCGCCGCCGCGCCGAACGGGCTCGCGGGTTTCGCCGGCGCCGCCGCGCCGAACGGGCTCGCGGGCTTCCCCGCCGCCGGCGTCGGCGCTCCGAACGGGCTCGCGGGCTTCCCCGCCGCCGGCGTCGGCGCGCCGAACGGGCTCGCCGGGGTCGCCGGCGCCGCGTCCGGGGTCTTCGCCGCCTCCGCGGGCATGTCGAACGGGCTCGCCACCGCGGGCGTCGCCGCGGACTTGTCCTTCTCGAACGGATCCTGGAAGCCCTCGCGCTTCCCCCCCGCCACCTTGCCCTCGCCGAAGCTCGACGGGAGCGGCTTCGGCGAGCGCTTCCGCGTCTGCGACAGGTACCCCCCCGCCTGCTCCTGCGCGGAGCCGGTGACGCCGTCGATCGGGCCCGTCTGCGCGGGCGCGCTCGCGCCGTCGTCGTCGTCCTTCGCCGCGCGCGTCGCGAACCTCGCCGCCCCGCGCTTCGTCGATCCCGATCGCGAGACGACGGCGACGACGCCGCCGGCGCGACGCCCGCGTCCCTTCGCCGCCGCGGCCCGCGCGGCGCCGGTCGCGGCCGCCGCCGTCGACGCCATCGCGAACGACGCCATCAGATGAACCTTCTGCGATTTCCCTCCGACGCTGCCGTGTGCGGCGGCGCGAGAGCGGGAGTGATCGCGCGCGGCGCGTCGACGCTCGCTCCTGCTGTGGGAAAGAACACGAGCTGATGACGAGGGTCGTTCCATAAAAAAAGTTCATCGGTCAGTTGAAAAGAGACGCGATCAAATGTTGAAACCGGGCGATGGGTGAAACACGTTTGGATAGACGGTTCGCCAGCTCATCATCCTCCGCTACCGTCTCAGCCGCTATTTTATCCTGAGCTCGCGGCGGCCAGACGCGCACTCCGCCGCACCACGCGCACGCTCACTCGCGCTTCCACTCCAAAACAATGGCCGCCCAGGTTCGTGCGACATCCCGAGACTCGCGCGTCGACGCGCGGCGACGCGGCGACCCTCCCCCGCCGCCGATCGAGGATCGACCGCGCATCTTGATTTATCCTTCAGACTCGCCACGCCACGTTTCGTCGTCGTTCCGATCGCGCGTCGCGCTCGATCGACCGCCGTCGCGGACGCCCCCCACCCCACCCCACCCCCTCCGCGATCCGTCGCCGCCCCGACCGCCATCGCTGACGCCGTTCCCCGCCCCCGCGACGATCCCTCAGACTATCGCCACGCCCAAGCTCGCCGTCCGCGCGTCCGCGGCGCCCCGTCGCTCCGCGGGCGCGACGAAGAAGTCCGCCGCGAAGGCGCCGATGAGAAACGTCGTCGTCAAGGGCGGCGGCGAGTACGGCGCCTCCGGGACGTCCTTCTACACCACCACGGAGAAGCAGGAGTCGTACGACTCCCTCGACGCCGTCCTCGGCGCCAAGTGCAAGGACGAGGAGGTGAAGACGGTGATCCGCGAGCAGCTCGACGCGTGCGCCGACATCACCGAGGCGCTCCGCTCCGCGCTCGTCACCGTCGAGGGCTCCGCGAACACGTTCGGCGACGCGCAGCTGTCCGTGGACGTCATCGCGGACCAGATCATGTGGGACGCGGTCAAGTCCTCCGCGGTCGTCGCCTGGGGCGCGTCCGAGGAGGAGCCCGAGGTGAAGCCGTGCAACCCGAACGGCCGCTTCACGGTGTGCTGGGACCCGCTCGACGGGTCCTCGATCGTCGACAACAACTGGGCCGTCGGCACGATGATCGGGATCTGGTCTAAGGAGTCCGGCACCGGCGCGGACGGACTCATCGGCGCGACCGGGCGCGACCAGGTCACGGCACTCATCGCCATCTACGGCCCGCGCACGACGGTTCTCGTCGGCCTCGACGACGGCGTGTACGAGTTCTCCTACGGGTGCACCCCCGACGGGTGCCAGCTCCCGGACGGCACCTTCGAGCCGTGGATCTGCTCCAGGAAGCAGATCAAGATCAACGAGGACAGCAAGATCTTCTCCCCGGCGAACATGCGCGCGGGTGCGGAAGTCGCCGGGTACAAGAAGCTCATGGATTACTACATGGACAACAAGTACACGCTTCGGTACTCGGGCGGCCTCGTCCCGGACGTGTACCAGCAGTTCACGAAGAACATGGGCATCTTCACGAACCCGACGTCGGATAAGTCCCCGGCGAAGCTCCGGCTCGCGTTCGAGGCGTCCCCGTTCGGTCTCCTCGTCGAGGCCGCGGGGGGGAAGACGTCCGACGGCGTCACCGGCGGGTCGGTCCTCGACGTGCAGATCAACGCCGTCGACCAGCGGACCGCGCTCGCCATCGGGTCCAAGAACGAGGTCGACCGCTTCAACTCCATGGTGCTCGGCAAGTGAGCGCTACGCGTGACGAGGCGAGTGCGAGCAGACGGATATTTTTTAATACGACCTGAGGTCGGCAGGGTGTGCGACTACGCGTACAGTACATCAAACAACAACTCGTCCGCGCTTCTCGTGCGCGCGCGGAAACAAATCAAATCGCTCGCGGCGACGAAGACTCGACCTCGACTCATCGCCGCTCGGACATCTCGACGTTTATCGGCCGCGGCGTCGGCGGCGCCATGCCTCCCTCGCTCGTCGGCGTCTCGTCGCCGTTCTCTGTCTCCTCCTCGTCCTCCGCCTCCGTGGCGCGAAACCGCGTCCCCTCGCTCGTGCTGTCGACGATGTGCCGGTACTTCGCGAGCTCCTGCACTGTTTTGATCCCCGCGACGCTCTCGCCGACGGACACCTCGCCGATCGCCGCGCCGCCGTCGACGCCGACGCCGTCGAACTCGTCCATCTCCCGCGTCGCGTCCTCTTTCTTCTCGCCACCTTTGAAGTACCGACGCCACCACCGCTTCCGTTTCCCCGCCTCGACGGCAGCCGCGAGGTCGTTCACCCTGCTCAGGTACTCCCTGTCGCGCATTCGAAAGTACGGGTTCACCCTCCGCTCGACCTCGAGCGAGGACGGCTGCGTCGACAGCCGGTGATGCCTGCGAACGATCACCTCCTGCAGCGCCATCGTCGTCGCCTCGTCGTCCATGTCGAGCCACTTCGCGAAGCGCAAGTTCATGATCATGTACTCGTGACCGCTGTACACGAACGCCGCGTCCGGCATGTCTTTCAAACGCACGTGGAGGTTCTCGTAGCAGTCCTTCGGTCCGCCGTGGAAGAACGCGCCGACGCCGCCGTTGATGATCGCGTCGCCGGTGAATATCGCTTCGACTCTGTGCGTCGGGAGCTTCGACGCGCCGCCGTCGATTTTCTCGTCGATCGACGCCCCCCCGCCGCCGCCGCCGCCGCCGCCGCCTTCTCCTCCGCCGCCTAACCCGTCCTCCCCGCCCGCGTCCGCGCCGATGACGCAGTACACGACGTGCCCGTCCGTGTGGCACGGCACGTGCACGACGCCGACCTCGGTCCTTCCCACGAAGAACCGATCGCCGCCGCGGACGAGCTTCGTGACGCCCGGGATCTTATCGTCTCTGTGCCCGCACACGACGAGTCCCCCGCCGCACTTTTTCTGTAAAACCAAGTTCCCCCCCGCGTGGTCGTGGTGCTTGTGCGTCGTCAGAACGTGCGTGATCGTGAGCTGCAGCCGATCCGCGACGTCCTTGATCGTGTACGGGTCCGCCGGGTCCACCGCCGCGGCCGTCCGCGTCGCGTGGTCGACGAGGAGGTACGAGTAGTTGTCGTTGAAAAACGGCACCGGCAAAACGCTGCACGTGCTCAGCGCGCTCGCGCGTATCCCTCGCGAGTGCGCCGCCACGCGCTTCTTGATGTTCGAGCGCACGGCTCTCAGGTGAAAGTACCTTCCCACCGGCGTGGTGTACAGCAGGTATCCGACGTTAAACGCGCCCTTTTGCAGCGCTTCGAGCGCGGCCGACGGAGTCACCGCGTAGACCGGATACAACGCGGCCATCATGCCGAGCCCGACGGCGCTGAGGAGCGACAGGAAGAACTGCGCGAGCATCCTGAGCCACACCACGAGCGGGTTCGCCTCGTACTGCTGGTGGATCGCGCGCACGGTGCCCTGGCGCTGCAGTCGCGCGCGTCTGCGACGGACCGAGGAGGACGTCGGCGACCGTCCCTCGCTGGCGCACTCGTCGGATCCGCGTCCGCGGCTGTCCTCATCGCGCATCAGGTGGTCGAGCGAGACGTCGCGCTCCGCGTCCGCCGCCGCGTCGGACGGAGGCGTCATGTCCGCGTCCGCGGCGGGGGTGCCTCCGCGGGCGGCGGCGCCGTCCGCGAGCGACGCGAGCGGCGCGACGAGGTTCCGGTTCACGAACGACGCGAAGTTCTCGGACGCGGTGGTCGCGGGCGATCTCGATCGCGCGCGCGCGGGCGATCGGCGCGCGGGGACGCGGAGAGGCCCTTCGCCGGCGCCGGATTCGGTGTCTACCGAGACGTATCCGGAACGGTGCGGGCGTTTCACCGTCGTGCCGCTTTTCATGCACGTCGCGACCCGGTCGCGCGCGCGGGGCGGAGTGCGCGATGCCGCGTCGACGAGATCGACGAGACGTGATGATGATGAGGCGCTCGCCGCGCATCGCGTCGAGTTGCTGGACCACTTATATTAAATTACATCGCAAACGTCCCCGACACCCCTCCTTTCCCTCGCGTCTCCGTCATCACTTCAACGCGACGACGCTCCGCACGACCTCGCCGAGCAAATAGACGACGCACGCGTACGACGGCAACGTGCTCACGAACACCGCGGGGAACGGCCTCTTGTACGCCCACGGGTACACGAACCGAGCGGCGATCCAACACCATCCGATCGCCGCCGCGTTCACCGGCGACACGAACGCCGCGTGAAGCCAGAGGGAGGTTAAGAACGGCACGGACTGCTCGAGGTAGTTGCCCACCGTGCGGTCCGCGACGCGCATCCGCGCGCCCTTGCTGTACTTGCCGTACTTGACGTCCGCGAGCGTCGGCGTCGGCTTCTTCTCCGCGGCTGCTTTTCTCTTGGCATCCTTGAGGACGACGAACGCGGTCGCGCTCTGGTCCATGAGGAACGCGTAGTACAGCAGCGCCCACGCCGCGGTGACGAGGACGACGGGAGCGAACGCGGACACGTCGACGGGCGCGGCGGACTTCCCTGCGCGCCATTTCGTTCCGTACGTCGCGGGAAACGACGCGACGAACGCCTTGTGATCGAACGCGCTCGTCTTGTACGCGTGATTCGCGACCGACACGAAACCGGAGAGCGCGAAGACGACGACGGAGAGCGGGAGCTGGCGCGTGTCCATCGTGAACACGGCCTTGCTGAACAGGGAGGAGACCATCCTGGGCGCGGGGAAAGGTCGCGACGCGGCGCGCGCGCCTCTCGTTGTGGCTCGCGGGGCGCCCTCGATTTTTGAAAATCTCGTTGGTCCCCCCGAGAGCGAGAGCACCTGACGCGCCCCTCGCCCTCTCCGCCCGCCGCTGCAAATCCTCCGGAGTCGTCTCGTCTCACAGCGCGCTTCGCGGACGACGCGCGATGCGTCTCGCGTCGCTCGCCGCGAGGCACGCGTCCTGCCGACACCGCGCGATCGCGATGTCGCGTCGCGCGATCGCGTCCGCGTCCGCGCGCGCGCCCCCGCCCGCGGCGTGGTGGCGCCCGAGGCCGCGTCGCGTCGGCCCGAACCTCAGTCGGGGAGGTTTTCCTCCTGCTCCTCCGCGAAACCTCGCGCGATCCGCGAGCGGCGGCGACGCGTCGTCGACGACGTCATCCGTGGACACGGACGCGCTCATCGCGTCGTACCTGTCCCCGGAGCAAATGTCGCGAGTCCGGACGTTCGCGTCCACGCTCTTGGAGTGGAACGAGCACATGAACCTCACGGGCGCGACGACCGTCGACGAGGTGCTCTCGCGGCACGTCGCGGACTCGCTCGCGCTCATCCCGCCCATCGAGGCCGCGCTCGCCTCCTCCACCACCTCCTCCTCGCCGTCGCACACGCCGCGGATACTCGACGTCGGCAGCGGCGCCGGGTTCCCCGGCGTCGCGCTCGCCATCGCGCGCCCGCGCTGGGAGGTCACGCTGCTCGACACGCTGCAGAAGCGCGTCGCGTTTCTCGACGCCGCAGCCGAAGAGTGCGGCGCGACCAACGTGAAGACGCTGTGGTCGCGCGCGGAAGACGCCGGGAAAGTCGGCTCGGAGCACAGGGAGGCGTACGACATCGTCACCGCGCGCGCGGTCGCGGAGCTCAGGACGCTCGCGGAGCTGTGCGTGCCGCTCGTGCGCGTGGGCGGGTCGTGGGTCGCGGCGAAAAACTCGACGACGTCGACGGCGGCGGAGACGGCGGCGGCGGCGGCGGCGGTGGAGCTCCTCGGCGGCGCGCCTCTCGTCGCGGTGGAGGTTCAGAGCGAGGGGCCGGACGGGGAGATGAGGACCGCGGTCGTGAGCGCGAAAGCGAGGGAGACGCCGGGGAAATACCCGAGAAGGGCGGGATTAGCGAACAAGCGGCCGCTCTGAACGGCGAGCGTCGTTGTTAACTAACTTAACTTAACAAGCGCTCAGTAACCTCGTCTCCGGATGTAAAAATTTCGCGTCTCGTCACAGCCCGTGCTCCGCCCGCGCGCGGCTTCTGAGCTCGTCGACGTCCACGCCCGCGTCTCTCAACAGCCGCTCGTGCAGCGGCGTCTCGAGCGCGTAACGCTCCGCCGCGGCGAGGAACCACCCGTTCCGAAACGCGCCCTCGCGCGTCGCCATCTCCGCGCTCGGCGCCGCGTCCGGGATGTCGTCGCAGTACCGGAACAGACCGATCACGATCAGGCCTTGCTCGAACTCCGCGTCCGTGCCGAACCCCGTCCCCTCGTACTCGAGCGCCTCCGCGTCGAGGAGGGGTAACGCGGGCGCGGGCGGGCTCCCCGCGACGGTTGATGTTCCGTCTTCCGCCGCGTCCGCGCCGCCGTCCAGCTCCCCCGCGGCGACGACGACGCGCATGAGCTCGACGGCGAGCGCCTCCGCGCGCGCGGACGCGTCGACGTCGTTCACGATCTCCCCCACGGTGACCGCGTCGCCGCCCGCGCCGCCGCGCGTCGCGCACATGAGCCAGAAGATGGACGCCCACAGGAGTTTCTCCGTCGCCGCGGTACCGAACTCGGTCGCGTCCACCTCGGCGCATCGCACGCCGACCCTCGCGAGCGTCTCGACGACGTGCGCGGCGTGCGGGCCGCACGCGACGGTCCTCCCGCCGCCGTCCACGACGTCCCCGTCGCGCCGCGCGGAGAGGAAGAGCGCGACTTGCGTCGCGTCGGCCGCGCCGCGCGCCTCGAGCCACGCGCGCCTCAGGAGACCGCCCTGCATCAGGACGACGTCGCGCCTGCGCGACGCGGGGACTTTCGCGAGGACGGCGGCGAGGTCCGACGCGTGCGTCGCGACGTATATCGGGCCTCCGATGTCGTCCGCGGGGAACGAATTGTACCTGCCCACGAGCACGCATCGCGAGATCCCGAGCGCGCGCGCGAGCACGGACGCGACGCGCCCGCGGCCGAACACGGTCGTGAAGTCGTGCCGCCCGCCGTCATCGCCGTCGTCGCGCGCGGCGGCGGCGTCGTCGGCGGCGTCCGCCGTCGCCGCCGCCGCTCGTCTGGCGACGCGACGGCTCCTCTGATCGCATCGTCTGCGCTCGCGCCGCGTCGCGGTCGGCGGCGCGACCCACCGAAGGCACGCGCGCGACGCCATGCCGGGCGCCCGCGCGACAATGGCAGGGGCTCGCTCCCCGCGCCGCGAGATTTTTTCCGTCCGACTGCGACTGCGACTCCGACTCACGCCCGCTCAGCACGCAAAGGCAGAGATCGTGACTCCGACGGCCGCCGGACTCCCGCGGCAGTGGTCGACGCACGGCGTTCACCGACCCCGCCGTCGCTTCCCGCGACGCATCTGCGCTCGCAGGTCGATCCGCACGCGGTCGTCGCGCGCGTCCGCGGTTCGCATCGCGCGAACGAGCGCGGGTTCGACCGCGTCCTGAGTCGCGGCGAATTCGGCGATCGGCCTCCGTTCTGAGAATTCTGAAGGGGGCGATCTAGCTAGGACGCGAGAGCGGGGCGCGGAGCTCTCGGTAGCAGGTTAGGTTTCCGTCGTCGTGAACGAACTCGAGGAGTGGAAGGATGGCACAGAGGATAGGCAAGGCGATCCGCCGCGATGCGGTGGTTTCAAAGGCGCGAGTCTACTGCGACGTGAACGTGCAGCGGCCGCGCGAGTACTGGGATTACGAAGCCCTCACCGTCAACTGGGGCGAGCAGAGCGATTACGAGGTCGTCAGGAAAGTCGGCCGGGGGAAGTACAGCGAGGTCTTCGAGGGCGTCCACGCCGGGAACAACTCCAAGTGCGTGATCAAGATCTTAAAGCCCGTGAAGAAGAAGAAGATCAAGCGCGAGATCAAGATCTTACAGAACCTCACGGGCGGGCCGAACATCATCAAACTCCTCGACATCGTCCGCGAGCCGCAGAGCAAGACGCCGTCGCTGATTTTCGAGCACGTGAACAACACAGACTTTAAAGTGTTGTACCCGACGTTGACGGACTACGACGTCAGGTATTACATCCTCGAGCTCCTGAAGGCGCTGGACTTTTGCCACTCGCAAGGGATCATGCACCGCGACGTCAAGCCTCACAACGTCATGATCGACCACGAGAAGCGGCAGCTTCGTCTCATCGACTGGGGGCTCGCGGAGTTTTACCACCCCGCGAAGGAGTACAACGTCCGCGTCGCGAGTCGCTACTTCAAAGGCCCGGAGCTCCTCGTGGATCTTCAGGACTACGACTACGCGCTCGACATGTGGAGCCTCGGGTGCATGTTCGCCGGGATGATCTTCCGCAAGGAGCCGTTTTTCAACGGGCACGACAACTACGACCAGCTCGTTCGAATCGCGAAGGTGTTGGGCACGGACGAGCTGTACGCGTACCTCGCGAAGTACCGCATCGAGCTCGACCCGCACCTCGAGTCGCTCATCGGAAGGCACTCGCGGAAGCCGTGGAGTAAGTTTGTCAACGCGGACAATCAGCACCTCGTGTCCAGCGAGGCGATCGACTTCCTGGATAAGCTTCTGAGGTACGATCACCAAGAGCGGCTGACGTCGAAGGAGGCGCAGGACGAGCCGTACTTCAATCCGGTGAAGCAGGCCGCGGCGGCCGCGGAGGGAGGAGGGGCGAGCGGCGGCGGTGGGAAGTGACGAGACGAGACGTACACAGTAGCGAGCGGTGTAAGGGTCCTCGGCAAGCAAGTTTTTCGCTCGTCACGTCCAAACTTCCGTACTGTACTAATATTTTTGTACTCTCTGACTGAAAACACATACGATTTCGCCGACAACCGTTCGTCAACGCAACGGGCGTCTCAGAGCCTCAGATACTATTTCCGATTCGCGACGTACAAGGAAAACGTCGGGCGCGGCCTGGCCGCGGCAGACCGTCCGCGCGCGCCGCCGCGATGGGGATGAAACGCGTCGACACCGCGAAAGACGTGGGCGCGAAGACGTTCACCGCCCGCGAGCTCCTCGCTACCGCGACGAGCGGGAAGGATGACCGCCTCCTCATCGCGATCGACGGGCGCGTGCACGACGTCACCGGTTGGACGAAACATCACCCCGGTGGCGCGACGCTTTTGAAACAGCACGCGGGCCACGACGCCTCGGACGTCTTCGCCGCGTTCCACGCGCCGGAGGTGTACCGGAAGCTCAGAGCGTTCGACGTCGGCGCGTTCGAGCCGGACGACGCGATCGCGATGGAGAACAGCTCGGACTCGGAGAGCGACGACGCGTTCTCGGACGATTCCGTGGCCGCCGCGGATCGAAGCGATCTGAAAAAACAAAACCGCGCGCGCGAGCTCGCGGCGTTCCGCGACCTCCGCGAGCGCGTCCGCAAGGAGGGCCTGTTCGAGCCGTCGTACGCGCACATGTTCGGGACGTTCCTCAGGCTGTTCGTCATCGGCGCGTTCGCCGCGGTGTTCTCGTTCGCGCCGAACTCGACGCCGCGCGGTCGGATCCTCGGCGCCGCGCTCCTCGGGCTCTTCTGGCAGCAGAGCCTCCTCATCGCGCACGACGCGTGCCATCGCGTGATGACGACGAACACCAAGGTAGACAAGTGGATCGGGAGCGTCTTCGGGACGCTCATCGGCGGCGTCGGCGCCGCGTGGTGGAACATGGAGCACTGCGAGCACCACTGCGTGACGCAAGTCGTCGGCGGCGACCCGTCCGCGGGCGCCGCGCCCGTGTTGTGCTTGGAACTGCAGACGAAAGGCCTGCCTAAGATTGGCCGCGCGCTCGTGAAGCTTCAGGCGCTGTACTACGTCCCCGTGTGCATCTTCATCGGGAGGTTCAACCTGCACTTGATCTCGATCTTGAAAGCGCCGAGCAAAGGAAAGGCGCTCGACGTCGCGTTGATGACCGGATACATGTCCTACGTGTACGGCTTGACGCGGCTCGTCCCGGAGAGCGAGCGGTGGAGATGGTTCATGATCGCGAACGCGGTGTGCGGGGTGTTACACTTGATTCTGAACATGAACCACTACCCGATGCCGATGCTCTCGTTTCCAGAGTCACAGGCGTTGGGGTGGCTGCGGTTTCAGTGCGTCACGACGATGAACATCGCGTCGTCGTCGCTCACGGGGTGGTACTATGGCGGCTTGGAGTGGCAGATCGAGCACCACCTGTTCCCGACGATGCCGAGGCATAACCTCAGGAAAGTGTCGCACCGCGTCAAGGAACTGTGCTTGGCGAACGGAGTGCCGTACCACGTCGCGGAAGGGGGGTTCTGGGACGCGAACTGGAGCGTGATGAAGACGCTCCACGACGTCGCGCGGGGGCTGGTCATTTGATTCGCCTCGTACGCGTCGAGCGGTCGCGGGTTGACCGGACCGAGTTGATGGGGAGGGGATGCGCGCGCGATAAGTTATATATGGCTAGAAATTATTGTTATTCTCACGATTATCGAGTAAAAATTCATACTGTACCGCACGCTCGTGCGCGTCGCTTCGCGAGACCTCACGGCGAAGGCGTGTTGTACACGGCGTTGTGCAGCGTCGGCGACAACGGCGCCGCGGCGCTCAACCCTGCGCGTCTCGGCGTGAGGACGCGCTCAGTCGTCTTCAACGGCGACATCACGAGCTTCGCGGGGTTTTCCTTCTCCTTCTCTTTCTCCGCGGACGACGGCGGGGTGCCAATCTTCTCGGATACCATCGCCTTCGCGGCTTCCGCCTCGGCGATTTCCGCCGCCGCTTTTGCTTCCGCGTCGGCAACAGCCTTCGCTTCCGCGTCGGCGATAGCCTTCGCTTCCGCGTCGGCGATAGCCTTCGCTTCCGCGTCGGCGATAGCCTTCGCTTCCGCGTCGGCGACAGCCTTCGCTTCCTTCGCTTTCTTCCTCTGCGCCTCCTCCTCCTCGACCTTATCCTTCGCCGCGGCGACGCGAACCTCCGACCACGCCACTTTTTGCTCCGCCTTCGTCTTCGCCTCCACCTCGACGCCCGCGGCGGCGGCGAGCTCCGCGGCGGCGCGCGCCTTCATCACCTCCGCGTCCGCTTTCGCCTTCGCCGCGGTCGCCTCCGCGGCCGCGCGCGCCGCCTCCGCCTCCGCGAGCGTCTTCGCGCGCGCCGCGGCGAGAATCTCCGCCTCCACGCGCGCCTTTGCGTCCGACTCCGCCGCTATTCGCGCGTCCTTCTCCTTCTCATTCGCCGCCGCCGCCGCGTTCGGCGACAACACCGGCTCGGTTGGGGTGCTCGGGACCTCCCTCGCGGCGGACTCCAACGCCTTCGCCTTGAAAGACGCCTTCGCCTCCGCTCTCGCTCTCTCCCACGCCCTCGCCTCCGCCTCCGCCTCCGCGCGCCTGACGTCCGCGAGCTCGTCCATCTTTTTCGCCTTTTCTAAAACCGCCGGCGGCGCGCTCGGCGTCGCCGCCGCTTCAGCCGCCTCGTTCACCTCCTCCGCGTCTCTCTTCGCTTTCTCCCACGCCTTCGCTTTCGTCTCCTCGTCGAGCGGCGTGATCGTCGCCGCCTTCGAGGCGAGCTTCTGCGCGGCCATGGCGTCGATGAGTTCCTTGGACATGACCCCTCGCGACGCGCTCACGGGGACGTCCCTCTTGCAGTACAGATTCGCGCCCTGGCTGACGAACGTCTCCATGGACAAGGACACGCCGCACGTGACGCACTTGAAGCAGCCTTTGTGGTACTTGCTTCCGTCGACGTCGTAGGACTCCGCGGCGTACGCGGTCTTCGCGCAGCACGGGCACTTCGTGGACGCCGCGGCGGACGGGGACGAGAAGACGTCGCCTCCGAATTTGTGCTTCAGCGTGCGCACGTTCGCGGAGGCGTCGGACGAACCGTCGGCGTCCGCGCGCCACGACTTCTTCGGGTCCGCGACCCCGAACGCGTCCGCGTAGTTACCCTTCGTCGCGAAGAGCTGCTTGAAGTGGGGTTTGCAGTACATCTTGCCGCTCAGAGACGCGTAGTTCCCTAACGTGAGGACCTTGCTGCAGTGCTGGCAGCGGAAGCACGACTTGTGAAAGCAAACGCCATCCGCGACGAGCTTCTCGGCTTCGAACACGGACTTTTCGCACGCGACGCACTTCGGCGCGGCGACGGGCGTCCACCGCGCCTTCGCGGGCGTCTTCTTCTTGGCGAGCGGGCTCTGGACTTCGCTGTCCACGGTCATCGTGCTTCGCGCGTCGAGATCTGGCGCGCGGACGCGGTCTTCTCGGAGTTCCCCCCTCGACGGTTTCGAGTTTCAACGGCCGAAATTCGAGGCGGGATCAATCGGCTTCAGAAATCGCGATGAATTAATTTTTTTGATCGATACATTGATCAACGCTGAAAGCAAAAAAGTTGTGATACTACGAGCGCGATTTTCTAACTAAATTCTCATACGTAGGCCCTACCTTCTAAACGTACTACTCCGCGGGGACGACCGGCTCCAAGCTCGGCCACCTCCCGACGCCGTTCCCGCGTCCGCGCTTGCGCCACACCCCGACGACGCCGCCCCTCACCTGCGTCGCGCCGCCGCCGCCGCCGCCCTCGTCGCAGTAGAACGGTCGCGTGTTATCCCACACGAACGCGGCGTCGGCGACCTCCCTCACCAGCTTCAACCGCGATACCGGTCGCGCGCTCGTCGCCGCCTGAAGCGCGTCCCAGTACGCCCTCGTGACCCCCACGCCTCCCTCGCGGGCGTCGTCCGCGCGGCGTCTCCGGACGCGCTTCGTCCGCGACGACGCGCGCTTCGCGCTCTTACGGTTCAGGCCGACGGGCGCGAAGTCGCCGCAGAAGACGACGGTCGCGCCGAGCGCCTTGGCCGCGGCGGCGACGGGGACGAGGTCGTTGTCCGACGTCGCGAGCATCACGACGCGATCGACGCCACGCTCGCGGTCGAGACGCATGCCGTCGTACGTCGCGGCCGCGGCGTCGTAGACGTCGCGGAGACGCCGCGAGAGGTCCGCGACGCGCGCGTCGGCTTCGGCGTCGTCGTCTGACAGATAGCGCTCTTCTTCTTCAGCCCTGGGCGTGATGACGACTCGCCGGAGCTCGTCCTCGCTCGGCGCGTCGACGCCGTCTTCGCCTTCGCCTTCGCCTTCGCCCTCGCCGCGCGCGGCCGTCGCGCGCGCGAACGCGAGGACGTGCGCGGCCATCGCCATGTCCGCGGCGTCCGGCCCGTCGCCGCGCGCTCGGACGACGGACACGCCGACGGACGCGAGCGCGTCGGTCGTCGCGTCGCGACGACAGGCATCGAGCGTGACGTCGTTCCCGAACGCCTCGAACACGCGCACGCGCGACGCGGACGCCCTCGCGGGGTCGCCGCGAAGCGCGCCGCCGCCGAGCGCGCTCGCGGCGTCTCGCAGCCTGCGCGCCATCGTCGCTGCGGACGCCGGATCCGACGGCGGGCGGAGGTTGTCGAGATCCCAGTAGACCGCGACGACGGGGCCGTCCGATTCCGCCCCGCGGTCGTCGTCGTCGTCGTCCGTCGCCGTCGTCGTCGTCGTCGTCGCGCGCGCCCGGACGACCGGCGCTCGTCGTCGTCTCTTCGCGGAGGATCGCGGCGCGAGCCCTCGCGCGCCCGGCGCGGCCGCGAGGGTCGCCATCGCGCGTCGCCGACTGACGGCGCGGCGCCCCCGGAACGTGAACACGGCACCCTCTCTTCTGCCTCTCCGGCTCGTTCTTTTCGGATAGACCGACGACGACGATCCGCGTCGGACACCTCTCCGCGCGGCCGCACGCTCGGACGGGCGAGAATGACGACGCTCGCCGCGCGCGCGTCGCTCCGCGGCGCGAGGCCGCGCGCGTCGCGCTCGCTCCGCCGCGCGAGCTCGAGGAGCTCCCGTCCCGGGGCGCGGGGCGCGCGTCTCGCCGCGCGCGCGTCGTCCGCGGGAGGCTTCGCGAGATACGGCGTCAGGGAGGAGCAACCGGACGGGAGCTTCCTCGAGACGTACGGCATCTCGATCGACGGGAACGTCGGCCGAGAGACGCTGCGATTCGCGCCCGGGTCCGTCGCGGTGTCGCTCACGATCGCGCGCCCGCTCGGGATCGTGTTCGAGCAGGTGGAAGGGAAGGGCGTCGTCGCGGTCGAGCTCGTGGAGGGATCCAACGCCGCCGCCGCGGGCGCGCGCGCGGGCGACGTCCTGCGCCTCACGACCGCGGTCGCGAAGGGCAAGAGCACGGTCAAGGTGGGGAAGTGGCAGGTCGAGCCCTCAGTGGACATGCGCTCGAGAGGGGCGAACCGCGCGGCGTACTTCGCGTGCGACGGTCGGTCGTTCGACGCGGTGATGGACGCCGTCGTGAGCAACGGCGAGGAAGTCGATGGCGTCGCGTCGCCGACGGTGTCCCTGCTCCTGGAGCGGCCGGCGAGCGCGTGACCGCGGCGCGACGCGCGCGCCGTCTGACGTCTAATCCTACTCCGTTAACTTACCCCTATGAGTGACGACTACGCGCCCACGCCTCCGCGCACGCGCGCGTCCTCGTCCCGCGGCGGCGCGAGCGTGACGCGAAAGACCGCCGCGCGTTGCTCCGGGAACAGCTCGGCGAACGGCTCGGGCGGCTCCGGCGGCGGCGGCGCCCCCGGCTCCGCGACCTCCTCGAACGCGAGGCCGCACGCCGTCAGCTGCGCGAAGAAGTCGACGTCGCGCAGCTCGTACCGCCAGAGGGTGTGGCAGTATATGAACGCGGGTTCGAGCGCGAGCCGCCGAGACGCCGCGTCCGCGTCCGCGTCAGCGTCCGCGGCCGAAGCCGTCACTTCGTCTCGCGCGCGCGCCCTCGCCCTCTTCGCGCGCACGAGCAGCGCGCGCATCACCTTCGGGAGCGCGCGCGTCCCCGCGTCGTCGTACACGAGATCGCTCCCGATCATGAGATCCCACGGCGTCGAGTCGATCACCGAGGGACCGGGCGCCGCGTCCGTCCCGGTCGCGCGTCTCTCCTCGTCCTCGCGCGCGTACTCGTTCCAGTCGCACGCCGCGCACGTCACCGCGCCGTCGCGCCAGAGCCCTTTCCCTTCGTTCTTCGCGACGCATTTCTTCAGCCACTCCAACGCGCCGCCGGCTTCCATCTCCGTGAGCGCGACGACGCCGACGTCGCGCCGCGCGTTCCTCGCGATCGTCATGCCGAGAAAGCCGGTGCCGCTGCCGAGCTCGAGGACGTTCACCCCCGGTCGGTCCAGGCCCGTGGCGTCTCGCGTGCGCTCGAGGTAGTCGAGGAGGCGCCTCGCCGCGCCCCAGACCTGCCCCCCGGTCGTCGCGAACGTCGTCGTCTCCTGCGCGGTCGTCGAAGGACGGGATGGATGGCGCGACGCGAGGGACGAATGAAATGAATGTTAGTTCGGGCGCTTCCGTTCGCGCGGGGGGTCTCGCCGTCGGCGCGGAAGCGTCGACGAGGCGCGCGGCGCACCATGTACTCGAAGCTGTCGCACAGTTCGATGTCGTCGCGCTTCCATCGCGGTGGGTCCGCCATGGCGCCCGCCGAGCGCTTCGGCGAGTGAACGAGATCTGCCGCGTCGCGACGCGTTCGTGAAAAACTTTTCATCAGTCGCGCGCGCGCGCGCCGACGTCTCATCACTTGTCGCCGCGCGATCGATCGAACTCGGGTTCCGACGCGTCGTCGTCATGTCGAAACGCAAGGGCGGGTCGCACCTCGCGTCCGCGCTGGCGAAGTTCCAGTGCGCGCCCCCGCCCTCCCTCTCGCCCCTCCGCGCGCCTCGAATCGTACGTCCGTCTCGTCGCGCTGACGACGATCGCTCCGCCTCCTCTCCCCGCTCGCGTCTCGCAGGAAGGTGCAGGAGCAGGCGACGAAGATCCAGATCGACGCGTCGAAGGACCGCGCGCGACTCGACGCGCGATCGAACGCGCAGCAGGAGCGCCTGAAGAAGGCTGCGGAGGCGGAGCAGCGACTCAAGCAGGCGCGTCTCGACGAGATCTCGTCGATCCGCGCGCGACGAAATAGGGTTCCCTCCCTCCTCCTCCTCCTCGCGTCTGTCCGACCGCGACCCGCGCCCCGGGCCCTTCCCCTCTCATCCTCCTCCTCTCTCCTCCTCTCACTCTTCCGTCCGCAGGAGCGCGAGCTCGCGGAGCGCGCGCTCGCGCCGCCGACGCACGCGCACGAGGTGGCGACGTCCATCTTGATGAAACAAAAGCGCGTCATGGACCTCCTGGCCAAGACGCGCAAGCCGTTCAACGCCGTGGAGCTCCGCAACGAGCTCGGGTTCCCCGTGGACGTCCCGGAGCTGTGGGACATGCTCCTCCACAACGATAAGCTCTTCTACGACGAGCGCGTCAAGCGTTTCTCGTACAAGGCGAAGCACGCGCTCGCGGACCGCAGAGAGATGCTCGCGTTCATACAAAAACGCCAGGACGGCGTGTTGGTGGAGGACGTCGTCGACGCCTACGCCAACGCGCTCGACGACGCGGAGGCGCTCATCGAGGCCAAGCTCGTGATGACGCTGCACAACGCGGAGACGCGGAAGCGGGTGCTGTACCCGCTGGACGACGCGTACGAGGCTGGCGACGTGTCGGAGACGACCGCCGGGTTGTTTCACGGCGTGGAGCTGCCCGCGGAGGACGACGCGTTCGACGCCGCGCTGCGGGCGATCGGGGAGGAACCCGCGCCGAGGCGGGACACGAGGGGGGGGAAGACGGAGGACGACGACGAGTTCGACGCGGAAGGTAACAGGAAGATTAAGACGAAGAAGAAGAGGGCGGTGAACTTTGAGCGGATGAAGCTCACGAACGTGCACTTGCCGGAGATGTTCAAAAAAGGCGCCGCGGGGGACGGCGTCGACAGGCTGGACGGGTGACGCGACGCTCGCGTCGGTCGGTTCGCTCGTTCGTTCCCGTCCGTCGACGACGCACACGAAACACGCCGCAGTAGTCGTAGCGCGGCGCGTGTAGTAGCGCGGGTTTGAGATGCATTTTCTTCAAATCATATTAAGACAACGTGATGAAATATACGTAAACGACGAACGCTCTGCTCGTTCCGAGCCCGCGTTCGACTTCTTCACCGTACTTCCGGAAGTACGGAGTATGTGTCAATGCTCCCCGTTTCGACCCGACGCGCTGGCGAGTCCACGGCGAGCGGTGCTACCCGATGGATGCGATGCGGTGCTATGAAAAGGTCGGTCGGCCTGCCCTCACGCCGCGGCGTACGTCAGCGCCTGCGCGGGGTCGCTCGCCGGCGGCGAAAGCAGTTCGTCCCGAGCCCCGTTTTGGTTCGTCAGCGCCGGCGTCGTCGGCGGCGCGTACCCGCCCGCCGCCGCCGCCGCCGCCGCCGCCGCGGAGTTCACCGCGAACCCGGCCACCTTCGCCGGTCGCTTCGCCGGAGGGGGCTCGAACGCGAACGCGCGGTCGTCCTCCTCGCGCGCGCGCTTCTCGCGGTCGCTCGTCGCCGCCGCCGCCGCCTCGGTCGCGATGGCGACCACCGCGCTCGGGCTCGCGGGCTTCTCCGCGTCCGTGTCCGCGTTCGAGGGCGCGGCGTTCATCTCCTCGCCCTTCTCCTCGACGGCCGCCGCGTCCGCGACGGCGCCGACGCCGGCATCGACGCCGGCGCCCACGTTGGTTGGGCTTTCGGTTTCGACGCCGACGCCGACGCCGTCGACGGCGTCCCCGCGCGCCGCCGCCTGCGCCTCGAGCCGCGCGAGCTTCCCGAGCGACACCGCGTGCGCCTTGGCCTCGGCGACGTACAACGCGGCGACGGCGTCGACGCCCGCGGAGCCCGCGGTGGCGGCCGTCTCCGCCGCGATCGCGCGCGCGCCGAACGCGGCCACCTCCTCGACGATGGACACCAAGCGCGCTTCCACGGCGACCGTCATCGCCTTGCCGGACGCCTCCGCGGCTCGCGCGATCTCCTCCACGGAGGCGGCGCCGGCGGCGACCGCCGCCGCGGCGGCGGCGTCCGCCTCGAGCTTCGTCACCTTCGCCTCGAGCAGCGCGAGCTTTGCGGACGCGCGCGCTTCGTTCGCCTTCGCGGTCGCCGCCTCCGCGGAGACAATCTCCAGCGCGTTCTCCATCGCCGCGCTGCCGTCGAAGTCGCCGCCGCGAGGGGGAACCGCGCCCGGCGCCGCGACGGGGGCGAACCCGCCCGCCATCGCCGCCGCCGCCGCCGCCGCCGCCGCGTGCGGGTTCATCGGCGCCGGGGACTGGAACAGCGCCTGCTGCGCGTCGTTCATCTGCATGTGCTGGTGCATCGCGAACAGCTGCGACTGCGCCGGGGTCCCGAGCGCGCCGCCGAACGCGCTAAAGTACTGCGCCATGTGCGCCGCCGCCGCCGCCGCCGCGTCGACGTCGACGCCGGCGCCGGCGCCGCGCTCCGCCGACGGCGGCGCCGAGTTCACGAGCGCGCTCATCGCCGCCGCGGCCGGACGCATCGAAGGGCTCGCGGCCGCCATCGCGCCGCCGCTCAAGAACGACGCGCGCCGCGCGTTGTGCGTCGGCGAGCGAAGATGCAGCGGGCTCGGCGGCGGCATCCCGCCGACTTGCGTGAGCGCGTCGAGGAGCACGCCCATCCCGCCGGCGTCCCCCGCGCTCGCGACGCGCTTCAGCGGCGACATCGGCGTCGACGGGACCCGCCACGGCGTCCCTTTGGACTCCTTCCCCGGGGTGTGACCGATCGACACGCGCTCGAGCTTCCCGCTGCCGTCCAGAGACTTCCGGGATCCCCCCGAGCCGCCGACGACGACGCGCATCGCGCTCGCGGCGTTGGCGCCGCCGTGGCACGCGCATCCCTCGTCCGGAACCTTCACGACGAGGCACTCCTCCGACTTGGGAGCCTTCGCGTCGATGATCTCCACTTGGCAGATGAGCGGGCACAGCCCGAGCGCGTCGAGGTTGAACTTGATGACCGTGAACAGGTACTGGTCGTCGTTGCCGTATCGGTTCCGGTCGAGGTTGGTGGAGTACTCGTTGCCGTCGTCGTCCGCGAGCTGGTGCCTTCGGAGCTCGTCCGGGACCCGGTGCGTCCCGGTGCTGAGCGCGACAACCTTCGTGCGGCGCGTGTTCACGGACAGTGCCTTGAGGATGTTGCGCGCGCCTTGCTTGCGGTTGACCTCCGCGGTGTGGATAGCCTTGAGAACCTGGCAGAGCGGAGCGGAGGAGAAGGAAAAGAGGATTTTTGTGGGGCGTCAGCGAGGTTTCTCCGACAGGCCACGCGCGGCGCGGCCTTGCGCTTTCTCCGAGAACGACGAAGGGACGGGATCGCGGCGACGCGCGATCGGCGCGTTCGACGCGCCGCGCGCGCGCGAATTCGCAGCGCTCGCGCGACGACGCCGTCGGACGACCGCGGGGTATCGATCGCGGCGAGTTCAGCGCGCGATCGACGCCGCGATCGCGCGCGGATCGCCCCGGAAGTTTTAGGCGCGAAAGCGCGCGCCCTCGGTGGAGGTCACGGAAGGAAGAGCAGCGGTCGGAGGTTGGATGGCTGGATCCGGGCCGATCCATCGCGCTCGGATCGCATCGCCGCGCACCTGAAGGAACGCAGACGTGACGGACGCGCACGCGAACGTCTTGTCCGGAAGCTTCTCGCGCGTGCCCGGGGTGAGCGCGTGGGTGTAATGCTCCCAGTTGAATCGCGCGCGGTACCTGCGCGACGACGGGGCGAGGCGAGGGAAAAAGAATGGTCGTCAGAGGAGACGGACGCGGACGCCGATTGGGGGAAGTCTCGCGTCGCGCGCGCGCGTTCGCGGCGGCCGCGCGGTGCGATACGCGCCACCCGCGGCCGATACCCCGCGCCGTTCGCAAGAACAGGACGCGTTCTCGAGTCCGGGAGAAAATCCGGGGAAACGACCCGGGCTGGGACGCACAAGAGCTGGTTGTTCGTCGGTCGCGAGCTGCGCGGCGCGTCGTCGGTCGCCGCGGCCGTCGCCTTCGCGGGCTTCTTCGCGGACGCCGCGGCTTTCGCCCCCGGCTTCGGCGCGGATTTGGACGCGTTCGAGTCGTTCCCGATGTCGCCGTCCGTCGTGGGCGTCTTCGCGTTGCTCTTCTTCGTCGACTTCGCCTTCGAGCGGCCGGCGGTATCCGCGCCCGCGCTCGCGGCGGCGTTCTCCGCGCCCGCCGCGAGCGCCGGATGCCGCGCGGGGTCCGCGGTCGTCTCGGCGGATCCGTCGGAAGACGGAGGTTCCGCGGGCGCGCTCCTGCGCGAGGGCTTCCTCTCGTGCTGCTCCACGCCGCTCGTGTCGAAGTCCTGTGGGGTAAAAATAGGCGGAAGAGAGGGTGAGCGCGCGGTCGCGATGCGCGCGCCGCGCGGCGGAACCCGCGCGACGACGTTGCAGGCACGACCGGGAAAGTCAGATTCCCCGAGAACGCACCTTCATCGCCGGAGGACGACGCTCGCGCTTCCCCGCGAGGGGCGCGGGCGGCGGCGCGACCGCGGATGATCGCTTCGCCCTCGGCGCGACGGCCGGGACGGCTTCGGTAAGGGCGGACATGACGGTCAGCCTCGGTGCGGCGCTCGAACACGCGCGCGGGTTGAAGTGACCTCGCATTCTCTTCCGGAACTCTGTCGGGTTCTCCGCTGGCACCTCCTGCAGGATTCTCCGAACGTCGCGGGCTGTCTGTTTGCCCATTGCCGATATCGTACTGCTAGTACGAAAAAAATTTAGGCGGGAAAAATTCAAATCGTAAACGAAACGACGGGCTTTTTTTTCGTTGACGAGCTGGATTTTGCCTGGATTTTGCGATGTTAGCTACGCACGATCGCGCAATCGAGACTCACCCTGAAGAACGAAGCACTGCACTGTTCCTATCAACAGTTCGGTCGTCAAAAGCCTTCATTCACTATACAAAGCCTTCACTATACACTCCGCGCGCGTCTCGATCTCCTCGTTCGCGCGCGCACTCCCGGTCCCGGTGGGGTCGCGATCAAACGAACCCACCAACACTCTAGTCCCTCAACGATCCCTTCGGCTTGCGTCCTCGTTTTTTTCCACCCGTCGACGGGGTCGGCGTCTTCGCCGCCCCCTTCGACCCGGATCCCGGCGGCCGCCCGCGCGGCCGCTTCCCCTCGACCGGCGACAGCGCGCTCGCCGCCCCCGGGGCTTTCGGCTTCGGCCGACCGAGGAGCTTCATCGCAGCCGTCGGCGTCGACACCTTCGGCGCCGCTCTCGGAGATTTCGCCGCCGCCGCCGCCGTCGCCTTATTCTTCGACCCGGGCGGGCGGCCTCGTTTCTTCTGCGTGGACGTCACCTTCGCGGCGAGCTGCCCGAGCGGTACGTCATCATCCTCGGGGCCCACCGCCGCGGGCGTCTTCGGCGTCTTCGGAGGCCGTCCGCGAGGCTTCTTCCCGGCCGTCGTCGCCGGCGTCGCCGCCGCGGCTTTGTTCGCGCTGCCGGGCGGGCGGCCGCGGCCGCGCTTCGCCGGCGTCGGCGTCGTCGTCGCCGGCGTCGTCGTCGCAGCCGCCTTAGGGGGGCGTCCCCGACCGCGCTTCGGCGTTCCCGCGGCGGCAGCCTCCGCCGCGACCTTCGTCGCCTTGTTCTTCGCCCCTGGCGGCCTTCCCGGTTTCTTTTTCGGCGGCAACAACTTCGACAGAGGGACGTCATCGTCCTCCGCGGTGACGACGACGACGGACGGCGGCGGCTTCGTCGCGGACTTTGGCGGGCGCCCGCGCTTTTTCTTCATCGGCGTCGTCTGCACCACCGCGAGCGCCGCGGACTTCGGCGGGCGGCCTCGCTTCTTCTGCGTGGACGTCACCTTCGCGGCGAGCTGCCCGATCGGGACGTCGTCGTCCTCGGGGCCCACCGCCGCGGGCGTCTTCGGAGGCCGTCCGCGAGGATTCTTCCCGGCCGTCGTCGCCGGCGTCGCCGCCGCGGCCTTGTTCGCGCTGCCGGGCGGGCGGCCGCGGCCGCGCTTCGCCGGCGTCGGCGTCGTCGTCGCCGGCGTCGCAGTCGCCTTAGGGGGGCGTCCCCGACCGCGCTTCGGCGTTCCCGCGGCGGCGGCGTCCGCCGCGACCTTCGTCGCCTTGTTCTTCGCCCCGGGCGGCCTTCCCGGTTTTCGCTTCGGTGGCAACAACTTCGACAGAGGGACGTCATCGTCCTCCGCGGTGACGACGACGACGGACGGCGGCGGACTCGTCGCGGGCGGCGCCTTCGGCGGGCGCCCGCGCTTCTTCGCCGGCGACTTCACGACCATCCGACTTATCGGGACGTCGTCGTCCGAGTCCGCGCGCAACTTCCCGCTCGGTCCCGGGCTCGCGGCGGCGAGCATGATGCCGCGAATCGCGCCCTGCACCGAATTCGCGATGCCTCTCGCCGCGGCGCCGAAGCCGCCGTCGCCGCCCTTCGCGCGTTTCTCCGCGGCGGGGCCCGACGCCTTCGGCGGCCTGCCGCGTTTCTTCCCCGACGTCGGCGGCGTCGCGACGATCTTCTCCTTCGCCTTCGCCTTCTCCGTCGACGCTGTTTGCACCGGCGCTGCTGGCGTCACCCTCGCGGATATATCCTTCACGAACTTTCCGTACCCGCACTCCGCGAAGGTCCCGCTCGCGGCGAGGGCCTGGCACGACTCTTGCAGCGTCCGCCTCGCGTCGGCGACGGCGCTCTTCTTCGCGCCCTTCGCGACGACGGTGACCCAGCTCTCCGTCAGGCTCCCCGCGAGTCCCCGCCCCATCTTCGCCTTGTCCACGCGCACGGTCATCGTGTGCATCTCCAGTTCGATCGATTTCGCGCCCGCGCCGACTTTCGAGGCGACGCGCGGCCCCTCCGCGGTGACGAGCACGGACTTCTTGATCTTGTGCGTGTTGACGTTGAACCCGGCTCTGGCGAGGACCGCCTCGGCAGCCTTGACGTCGTCCGCGACGAGCGGCGCGCTCAGGTCGCAGAGACCCGGGTTGTTGCCGTCTTTGCTCGCGACGACTCGCACGGACACCGCGCCGTTCGCGTCGTGCGTCGGGAGCGTCAGCGTCGCGTCGTCGTGGAGCGGGAGGAAGGAAATCTTCTCGTCGGACGCGCTCGCGTCTTTCAGCGACTCGTGCGGGACGTAGTGCGCGCCGGACTTGGCGAGCGCGCTCAGGTCGCGGCGCTTCAGCTCCCCGGCGGACGCGGGCTTGTAGAAGACCCGGTACTCGAACCCCATCGTGCGTGCGACGGCGTGCGCGATCGGCGTCTGGGGGGCAATTCTCGTAATTCGCGTCCAAATTATTTTCCAGCGCCCGCTGCGTCAGTATAAATGCCCATATCGACGTCCCAACCCCTATCCTTTTTAAATTCGAGATCCGCATTTGTGACTGCGTTCCATACGTTTCGTTGGGCGGGAAAGATTCCTCGTCGAGCCGAATTGTGAGAATTTGCATCGATCGACTCATCGAGTGCGCGCGCGTCTGGTCGAGGAGAAATCGGACGTCGTCTCGTCACTCCTCGGACGCGCGAACGTCGGCGATGTCGGCCTTTCTCTCCACCGCGCCGACGACGTCCGCGACGATGGCGGCGGCGGCGGCGGCGGCGCGATGCGATTCCACCCCTCGCGTCGTCGCCGTCGCGTCGCGTCGCCGCCGCGTCCGCGACCTGTCGTCCGCGCCCGCGTCCGCGCGGACGACGATCTCGACGCGGCGGCGATACCCCTCGCCGTCGCCGTCGCCCCCGCGCGGCGGCCGCGGGAGGAGCGCGATCTGCGCGCTGCCGTTCGACATCGCGGAGCTCCTGACGTCGTCGTCGCCCGGGCTCGCGCCGTCGATCGCGATGAACACGACCGTGTTCACGCTCGGGATCGGCGTTTTATTGCGAGGGTTAACCTGGCCGGGGGTGGTGAACGCGTGGTTCCTCGGCACGGTGCGTCTCCTCCGGACGATTCCGTCCGCTCGCTCGCTCGAACTCGCTCGACGCGGCGCGTCGTCGGTCGCCGATGGATGATGACGAACAAATGTAACAGATACTTCTGACGGGGAGACCCCTCGGGCGCGCATGCCCGGCGTCGCCGCGGCGGCCGCCGAATGGAGTCAAACATACAATGGGAATCTCTCTGAATCCATCGCGACGACGACGATGACGACGACATCGCATCGTTCGCGCGGCGCGGCGCGATCGACTCGACTCGACGATCGCGCGCTTCGCCCTCGCGTCTTCGCCCTCTCGTCTTCGTCTTCGTCCCCAGCCTCCCCTCCCCGCTGACCCGACCGACCAATTCCGATCCGGTCCGACCCGCAGACGGTGATGGCCGCGTTCGGCGTCGGCGGCTACTCGCTCGTGTGCCTCTACTTCGTCCTCGGCAGCGCGGTCACGAAGCTGAAAATGAAACAAAAACAAGCGGAGGGGATCGCGGAGGCGAGAGGCGGGCGCAGAGGGATCGCGTCCGTGTGGGGCAGCGGCGTCGCCGGGGCGCTGTGCGCGGCGTGCGCGCTGTCGGGCGTCGCCCCCGGCGCGGAGGCGTTCCGCCTCGGGTTCGTCGCGTCGTTCTGCTCCAAGCTCAGCGACACGACCGCGAGCGAGGTCGGGAAGGCGTACGGGAAGACGACGTACATGTCCACGCCGCCGTTCAAGAGCGTCCCGCGAGGGACCGAGGGCGCGGTGAGCCTGGAGGGGACGATCGCGGGCGTCGTCGCGAGCTTTTTCTTCGCCGGCGTCGGCGTCGTCGTCGGCGCGTGCGACGCGAACGGCGCGGTCGTCGCGACGTTCGCGGCGTTCATCGCGACGACGCTCGAGAGCTGGCTCGGGGCGACGACGCAAGGGAAGGAAGGGTTCGAGTGGCTGAGCAACGATCTCGTGAACATGATTCAGATCGTGATCGCCGCGGGGATCGCCGTGGCGTCGTATCCGGCGACGGCGTGAGCGACGCGAGCCGCGGCGCGGCGGGGGGGTGGGGGGGACGCGCGCTTGGAGGATGCGCGTAGCAATCGTAGGTACACAATTTCATAGGTACTCGAGAAGAATTAGTATAAGCGATCGCGCGCTCGCGTCGCGTCGCGTCGCGTCGATCACAGCTTCGAGCGATCCGGTCCCTTGATCGGGCCTTCCGATAACGTGCGCCCTTGCACGGCGCAGTCTTCCAAGTACGGGCACGGCTGGTAGATCCCTCCGTACCGCGTGCTCCACTCACGCAGTCGGTCCGCGATTCTCTTCGCGCCCACGGAGTCCGCCCAGTGCACGATCCCGCCGCGGAACGGCGGGAACCCCATCCCCAAGATCGCCGCGGTGTCGAGATCCCCCGCTCTCACGACGACGCCCTCCGCGAGGCACCGGCACGCCTCGTTCACGACGGGGAAGAAAATCATCTCGACGATGTCGCTCTGCGTCAGCGCCGCGAGCGGCGCGTCCGCGGCGAACGCGGACGCGGGCAGCTGCGACCTCGCGTTCGCTCGCGACGCCGCGAGCAACGGCGCGATGCCCTCCGGGTCTGGCAGACTCGTCTTCCCTTTGTGGACGTAAAAACCCGAGCCGCTCTTCTCGCCCAGACGTTTGCTCGCGACGAGCGACGGAATCATCGCGCACCGGTACACGCGCTCGGGGAAGTCCTCGATGAAGTTCGACCCGACGGCGACGCCGACGTCGTGCCCGACGAGGTCGCCCAAACGGAACGGTCCGATCGGCATCCCGAACATTCGGATCGCGTTGTCGATCGCGTACGGATCGCACCCGAGGTCGAGGAGCAAGCACGCGGACATCGTGTACGGAAAGAAGACGCGGTTCACGGCGAATCCGGTGCAGTTTCCGACGACGACGGGCGTCTTCTTGATCTGCTTGCTCAGGCCGAGGGTGTCAACGAGCACCTGCGGCGGCGTGATGTCCGTGCGGATGATCTCGAAGAGTTGCATGACGTGCGCGGGGGAGAAGAAGTGCGCGCCGACGATGCGCTCCGGGTTCTTCATCTTCTGCGCCACTTTCGTGATGTCAATCGTCGAGGTGTTCGTGGAGAGAATGGCGTCGGGGCGACAGCTGGACTCGAGGTCGGAGAAGATCTTCTGCTTGAGGCCGAGGTTTTCGATCACCGCCTCGATCGCCATGTCAACCTTGGAGAACGCGCCGTACGACAACGTCGGATGGCAGTTCGCGTACATCGCGTCCGCCTTCTGTTGCGTCAGCCGACCTTTCTTCACCGCGGATGCCAGGTTGGCCTTCACGCGGCTCATCCCCGCGTCCAAAAACTTCTGGTTAATCTCCTTCAATACCACGGACACGCCGTTCATGACGCACGCGGTCGCGATCCCGCTGCCCATGAGCCCCCCGCCGACGACCCCGACGCACTTCATGACGCGCGGGGCGAGGCCGACGTCCGTGACCCCGGGAACCGCCGCCGTGCCGCGCGACGCGAAGAAAAAGTGCACGAGTCCCTTACACGCGGCGGACGACACCGCCTTCGCGAACGCGTCTTGCTCGACGATCAGACCCTCCGAGGCGCCCTTGTTGATACCAGCCTCGATCGCGTCGATGCACAGCATCGGGTGCGGCATGAGCTTTTGGACGCGTTTCGCGCCGCGTCGCGCGACGGCGAAGATTTTTTTCGCCTCCGCCTCGTTCGGGAGCTTCTCCGACGCGAAGGACGCCATGGCGCGAGGGACGCGCTTCTCCGCGATGTCCAGCGCGAGCTTGGACGCGGTCTGCGTCAGCGCGTCCCTCGGTGCGATCGCGTCGACGAGACCGAGCTTCAGCGCCTCCTCAGCCTTGATCGGCTTCGATTTCAGCATCATCTCGAGCGCCTTCTGAAGCCCGACGAGTCTCGGCAGGCGCTGCGTCCCTCCGAAGCCCGGGATCACGCCGAGCTGCAGCTCGGGCAAGCCGAGCTGCGCTTTCGGCGTCGCCACGCGCGCGTTGCACGCCATCGCGACCTCTAACCCGCCGCCGAGGGCGAGGTTCTCGATCGCCGCGACCGTGGGCTTCGCCCCGGACTCGACGACCGAGTTGAGCGTCGCGTTGAAGTCGCTCATGTTTCGCACGGGCTTGCCCTCGGTGCGCGCCTTGAGCTGGGTGATGTCGAAGCCGCCGCTGAACTTGCCCTTGCTTCCGGTGATGACGATCGCTCGCACCTTCGGGTCTCTCTGCGCGGCCTCGACCTGAGTCTTGAGGCCTTCCAGGACTGCGACGCGACGATCGAATCGATCGCGGGGAGGCGAGGGGGCGGAGAATCGGTCGTCAGCGCGACGCGTCTCGGAAAAAGTAACATCGGCGGAATTAGGGTACGGGCGCCGCGGAGATTCGACGCCGCGGCGCCGCGAGGAGGATCGCGCGCGCGGTCGCGACGCGACGCGACGTCTATTTCGATCGCGATACGAGACGGACGCACTCTTAATCGCGAGCGCGTTCACCGGCGGGTTGCTCATCGTCACGACGGCGACGCCGTTCGCGACCTCGAGGGTCACCGCGGGGCCGCCCATGGCGTCGTCTCGGCGGATCCGGATCTGAGCGAGGCCCCGCGCGGCGTGGGGGAAGAGGCCGCGGGCGCGTGGAGCATGCACGGCGGGGGCGGTCGCGATCGACTTGGACGAGCCTCGCGCGAGCGGCCGGAGCGGCGGCGTTCGCGTGCTGGGTGCGGCGCGGTGTGTCCTCCGGACGGCCGACGGTTCGCAGGGCAGGGTTACGTAAAGCTGACGAGGATCGGACTCGACGCGGACGACGCGTGAGCGACCAGTCCGCTGCGAGAGCAGTATCGAAGCGTTCGGTTTCGAGTGGGACGCGCGCGCGCGTTCGCGTTCGTTCGGTTCGTTCGCGCCTAACAACGTGGCTTCTTCTACTGCGACTTCATCATCTTCCTCTTCTCCGCTTGCCCTTGCTCCCGGTACCGCTTCTTCCGCGTGTCCTTCTGGTGCGCGTCCCGCCACGCCTGCTCCTTCGCCTGATCCTTCGCGCGCGCTTTCCTCTTCGCCGCCGCCTTGTCGCGTTGCTTCCCCGCCTTGTCGTTTCGAATCGTGTTCAGCTGCTGCACCAACGTCGCGAGCTTCTTCTCCTCCGGTTCCATGACGACCGCGCGGCGCTGCTCCAGCGTCTCGCGCTTCCGCGGCGCTTCGATCTTCGGCTTGGACTTGAACGGCAGCTGCGCTTGGAGCGCTTTCGGAATCTGCAGACGATTGAAGACGCGCGTCGGGCGTTCGATCGGCTTGTAGATGGAATCCGCGTTGACCGGAATCGGAATGTTCTGCTCGTACCGCAGCTGCCCGACGGTCTTCATCCCGATCCAGTTCTCGCCGTTCTTGAGCAACAGCGACGTGACCGGGTTGTAGTACTTCGAGACGTCGACGCGGACCCACGCGCGGAGGAACACGATGTCGGACAGCAGCAGTTTGTCCTCGAACGACGCGCGAAACGTTCCCTCGTCGGCGCCCTTCGGCGCGCCCTTCTCCTTCTCCGCGCCGCCGCCTCTCAGGGACGTGCCAGCCTTCACGGCTTTCTTCACGACGCCTCGAATCCCGGAGACGGTCCTCAGCGCCGCGCCCTCGAACTTGGCGATCTCGAGCGGGGAGTTGAACATGCCGCTGATGAACGCGGTGTTCTTGAACACCTTCGACGGGTGCCCCACGAGCTTGAGCTTCTTCATGATCTTGATCGAGTGGTCCACCTCGAGCACGACCGCGGTCGCGGCGATGCGAAACGTCGCGAGCTTGTTCGACAGCGACTGGAAGCACACGACCCCGGTGTTCTGCGGGATCATCGGCGCGTAGATCGTCGCGTGGCAGTGCATGTGCTCGGGCGTGTACTTGATCATCCGATGACGCGAGTTCGCGTCTTGCATCGAGTACACGGGGCAACACTGGAACCGCCGCCATCCGATGGAGAACACGAGCGGATCTTTGTTCTTCAGGATCTTCCGGTGCCACCGGTGTTTCTTCAGACGAAGCTGCTGGTACCCCATCGTGTCCTCGGAAGGGAGGAGCCCGCCGACGAGGAGCGGCCGCCCGGGGTCGAAGTTGATCACCCAGTGACGCGGGACCCTCTTGAGGATCAGTCGGAGGTACGCCCCCGGGCGGTGGCCCTCGAGCGCCGTCCTCGTCGACTCCGGCATCGCGTCGAGCTCTCTCCGCGTCTTCGCGAGCTGATCGGACATCTGGTCTTTGATGAGGTCGTAGTACGACGCCGGTTCTTCGTCATCGTTCCCGCCCGCGCCGCGGCCGAACCCGCCTTTGCCTTTCTTTCCGCCCGTGTTCCCGGACAAAAACTCTTCTTTTTTCGCGATCTTCTCCAGCCTGCGGCGTTCTGCTTCCTCGTCCTCCTCGCCATCCTCCTCGCCATCCTCCTCGCCATCCTCGTCTTCGTCTTCGTCTTCGTCGTCCCCGCCGCCGCCGCCCTCGCCGGGACCGAACTTCTCTCCGGTCTCGACGTCCTCGAAGTCGCCGTAGACGTCTTCGTCGTCGCCGCCGCCGCCGTCGTCGTCGTCGCCCTCCTCCCCGGGCTCCGCCGCGGACCTCTCCGCGGCGGCGTTCCAGTCGCCGGTCACGAAACGGTTCCGCAGCGACGGGTCTTCGAGGTCGAGTTCGTCCCGAACCTCGCCTAAGAACTTCGAGCGGTCGAACGCGTCTTGCTTTTTCTTGCCGTCGTCCTCGCGCGCTTTTTTGAAAAAGTTTTCATCGTCGTCGTCCTCCTCCTCCGCCGCGTCGGCCTCGTCCGCGTCGTCCGCGTCGTCCTCGTCGTACACCATCTCCATCAAAGACTTATGCCTCCCCTTCGCGACGCCGTTGACCATTCGCCCTTTCCAGTCCGCGGCGTTTCGCCCCAACCCGTACTCATCCTCGTCGTCGCGCGCGCCGTCTAAACCGAGGTCGTCGTCGCTGTCCGCGTCTTCATACGGGCGATCGTCGCCGTCGCCGTCGTCGTCGTCGTCGCCGGCCTCTCGCACGCCGTGGTCGGTGAACACCGCCGCGCGGCGGGTGCGGCCGCTCGCGGCTTCCGCGCGACGGCGGCGTCCGACGCCCACGTCTTCGTCTTCATCGTCGTCGTCGTCGTCGTCAGCCTCGTCGTCGTCGTCGTCGTACGCTTCGCCTCCGTCGTCTTCGTAGTCGTCGTCGTAGTCGTCGTCCCCTTTGAGCGTCTTCTGCCCTCTGAACAGCGTGATCTCGCTCGCGGCGAGCTTCTCGTCCAGCGCGAGCTGCGTGTCTTGTAACCCGTGGACCATCCCCACGCCGACGCCCTCGCCGTCTTCGCCGACTATCCCGCCGCCGCCGCCGCCGCCGCCGCCGCTCGCGCCCGCTCCCGCGCCCGCGCCGCCTCCGTCCCGCTTCGAGAAGTTCACGTTCCTGTCGTCCATGGAGATGTACACCGCGTCCTTGTCGTACAACAACCCGCCGACGTCGGACATCGGCGCGTACAGCAGCTTCGATCGTTCGTCCAACTTCCTCTGCTTCTTTTCCGTGGACGGCAGCGGGCACGGGTCTGGCAGCTCCGCGAGTTCGCTCACTTCGCAGTCGCCGACGCCCGCGACGTGCACGAGCTGCCCTCTCTTCAGGTTGCACCCGTGCAGCCACCCGTACACGGCGACGTCGCGGTCCATCCCCGGGTTCGCCTGGACTAAGCCCGGCGGGGTGATGTCCTCGAACCGGTCGCCGACGACGTACGGGTGCGACGTCCGCCACGTCAGCGGTCGAAACTTCGACGTGGAGATGAACCGCGCGAGGTTCAGCGTGTCGCGTTTGTTATATCTCCCGTGCTGCATCCCGGACAGGTAGAACAGCTTCGCGCCGTTGTAAATCTCCGCCCAGAACCGCGACTTGAGCGTCTTCTTCTGTTTCTTCAGCTTCTTCGGGTCCACGAAGTCGTCCAAGTGCGTCAGCACGCCCATCACTTTCGGGAACCCGTGGACCTGCAACACGTTTAAGAACTCGAACGTCTCCATCTCGAACCCGTACGAGCCGTCGACCAAGAGCAACACGAGGTCCGCCATCTTCGCGGCGTCCACCATATCGTTCAGATCGTTCCTCACCTCGATGAACTGTATCCGTCGCTTCTTCCCGCTGACGACCGTGATCGGGCCTTTCACCTCGCTCAGCGCGTGCCGGGTGTAGTGCTTCACGAGCGATTTGATCACCGTGCTCTTCCCGCATCCCGGCGGGCCTTGCACGAGGACGACGAACGGCGGCGGCTCGTCCCCGGTCCTGTCCATGATCGGCGCGCGGAGTTTCCGCTGCTGCTTCTCCGCGGCGACCGTGCGCGCTTTACGCGCTTTCGACGAGCTCTTGAAGATGAACGCCCTCGGGTTGTTGCCCTTCGCTTGCTCGGTGCCCTTCTTCTTCGTCGCCGCGGCCTTCTTCTTCTTCGCCTTCGCCCCCGCGCGGGGCGCGCGGTGCTCTTTGCTGGGGGCGACCGCGTCCATGATGCGAAATGTCAGCGCTCACGTCGCGGGGGGCTCTAAGGTGCGACCGCTCGTCGTCCGCGTGGTGGCTCGCTCGCTCGCAACGCAAATCTTCCGAGGCGAAGCAAATCGGAAGGCGGCGGCTCGCGGCGGTGTCGAGGGAGCGGCGGATCTCGCGCCGGCTCCGACGCCTCGCCGCGATCCCCTCGTGCGCGCGAAGGACGCGGAGATGTCCTCGCGCGCGCGTCCACGCCTCGAAACCGCTCGACTCGAATCGCGCGCGCGCTCGTCCCCGGCGCCGCGTCGACTGAGCCGCCGTCGCGCGCGAGCGCGAAAATGAGCCGTCGAGCGCGCCGCAGCCGGGCGAGAGAGGTGCGCGTGCGGGGCTCGTCAGGGCCAAACCATCATAAAAAAGTTCACCGGTCAGTCGAAAAGAGACGCGATCAAACGTTGAAACCGGACGATGGGTGAAAAACTTTTGAGGTCTTTTATAGAACGCGCCTCATCAGTCGACCACGTCAGTCGTTATCCATCGCGCGACGCGCGCACTCCGAGACGCGCGGACGAGCGCACGACCGCGCCGCGCACTTCCACTCTCGGGACGATGCCCGCGCTCGTCCTCTCCGCGCGCGCGACGTCGCCCGCGGCGGCGCCGACGCGTCCGCGCGCGCCCGCGCGCGACCTCGCGCGCGCGCCCCCGCGCCACGACAGACACAGATCTCGTCGCTCTCGCGTCGCGACGGTCGCGCTCGCCGGGCGTCGCCCGCCGTCCGCGGCCGCGGCGTCCGCGGCCGCGTCCGACGCCGCGGCGCCCGTGAAAGCGTGGAAAGGCGACGTCCCGCCGCAGTCGTCCCTCCCCACGCGCGCGGACGGCTCCGTGGACTACTCGTCCATCGACGCGTCGCCGATCAGCAAAGTCCTCATCCGCACGATACGCGGCCTCCTCGTCAAGGAAGTCGGCGAGGACACGGACCCGCGCGCGTGGGACGACTTCGACGCGGTGCTGACGCCCGTGAGGGAGGTGAACGACATGAAAGGCACCGCGAGGGACGTCACCGTGCGCGCGAAGAGAGTCTTCGCGGGGATCTTGCCGGCTCTGTACATCGGCTGGGTGCCGCCAATCTGGAAAAACGCGATTCGCAAAGTCGCGCCGCAGTGGGCGTCCAACTTCGCGTTCGTGCTCGTGTTCACGACGCTGTTCCCGTGGCTCATGGGACCGATGGAGGGGATCGACCACGTGGACGTGGAAGTGCCGGAGGGTCTGCGGAAGATCTTCAAGTTTCTCCCGGAGACGGTGCGCGTCCCGCAGGCGATCAAGGCGGAGCGATGCCGGTTCTTGGAGCAGAGCGGCTGCGCGTCGGTGTGCGTCAACTCGTGCAAGGCGCCGTCGCAGGAGTGGCTCGGCGAGGACTTCGGGATGGATCTCCACATTCAGCCAAACTACGACGACTTCTCGTGCCAGTGGAAGTTTAACGTGAAGCCGCCGCCGTTGTACGAAGACGCCGCGGTGATGGTGCCGTGCTTCTCGAAGTGCCCGAGCGAATACAAGGGCGAGAAGGACGCGTTTCGGCAGCTCGCGAGGGCGAAGTCCGGGGTGGGGATCGTGGACGGGGTGGACACGTACACCGGGGAGAGTTTAGAGGCGATCGCGCGGCGCGCGAGCGCCGCGGCGCTGGCGGACGCGACGGCGTCGCTCGCCGTCGCGGGAGGGTTGGCCGTGGACGGCAGCGCGGTCACCGCGGAGGGGTTCGTCGACCGCGTGGAGACGGTGAAGAGCGGGGGGAAGTGTTGGAGCGTGGACGAGGCGCGGAGGTTGATGGGCGACCTGGGCTCGGGCTCGTCGTCCGAGGCGTGACGCCGCGAGCGGCGGCGCGAGGAGAGAAGAGAAGAGAAGCGCCGCGCGCGTCGTGTTCGTAGATACCGTAGCGAAGTGAAGCGAGCGAAGATGTGACGTGGCGTGGAACATCCGCGCGCCGTCGACGTCCGCGTCCAGTCCTGTCACCGCGGGCGCGACAGAATTCGTAACAGAATTCGTTGTTCGACGGTTCGGGCGGGCGAGACCGCGTCGCACACTTCGCCACGCGCCGGCGGGATGTCGGACCCCGCGCCGGTCGCGGCGGTCGCGTCCACGCGCACGGCCGAGAGCGGGGGATGCTTCTGGGAGGTGCGTCGCGACGCCTCGGACGGACGAACGGGCATTTTGTTATCATAGATCGCGTCCCCGCGTTCGACGCGCCGAAACCGGGAATCCATCCGCCCCTCCCCCGTCGCCGCCGCCGCCTCCGACGCGCCATCCCCTCCCGGGCACCCGGGTTCGATCGCCGACGACCTTCCATTTCCACCCTACCTACCTCCCGCAGAGAATATGCGACCGCGATTCGCTCCAGAAAGTCACCGGCGCGCGCGTCAAGCTCCTGTGCATGGACGTCTCCCCTCGGCACGTCGTCTTCGGCTCCTCCGTCGGAAGCGTGTACGTCTTCGAACGACGCGACGAGCGCGGGCGCCCGCGCGAGCCGGGCGCGGGGGACGACCTCGCGGAGGGGCCCGCAAAGTTCGCGGAGCGGTTCATGGTCGAGAACGCAGAGAACGTCTCCGCGATGGTCCCCGTGGTCGGCGTCAAGGTGAACCCGCAGGGCACGCGCGTCGCCATCGCGTTCGACGGCGGCGAAGTCGTCGTCTCGCAGTTTAACGGCGCGAAACCGCACGGCGCGAAGACGCCGCGGGGAGAGGAAAGGCTCACGTCCGGGAGGTACGACACGGGGATGCCGGAGGCGCACAAGGGGAGCGTGTTGACGACGCTGGCGTGGAACGCGGCGGGCGATCGATTGATTTGCGGCGACGAAAACGGCGCGGCGTCGATAATCTTCCTCGCCCCCGAGGGGAAAGCCGCGAGGGTCGTTCGGTTCGAACACCCGATCGTCCAGGCCGGGTTCCTGGATCACGGCGACGATACCGAGACGGACGCCGCGGCGATCGTGTCCACGACCGCGCAGCTGCACGTCGTCAAGAGGAAGGCGGCGAGCGAGGACGACGGATCGAAGTTCAATCTCGAGGCGTTCGCGGTCGGCAGCAAGCCTCGCGCCGGCGGGTTCGGCGGCGCGGCGCACGCGCGCGCGAAGATGGGCGTCCCGGAGGGGCTGAACCTCGCGGCGCTCGACGCGACGTCGAAGTCGAAGTCGACGTCGGGATCGGGATCGGACGCGTGGTTTTTCGGCGCTCGCCCGGGCCGACGGCTGTGGCTGTGCCGCGCGTCGACCGACGACGCCGGCGGCTTCGACGCGACCGTCGTCGCGACGCTTCGACCGTCCGTCCTCGACGCGACGCCGTGCCCGACGTCCTCGACGTTCACCGCGCGCGTCCCGAAGAAGTGGGAGTTCGGGAAGCTCCTTCCGTTGGGGCCGTGCGTGTTGTCCGCGTCCGACCGAGCGCTCGCGGTGATTGATTTCGTCAGCGCGACGGTGCTGGCGTGGTACCCGCTCGAAGGCCGAGCCGCGGCGGGGGACATGGGCGGCGGCGACGTCATGGGGTCCATCACCGCGCTGTGCGCGGTGGGGCCGAGGGCGTTCGTGCTCGGGAGCGAGGGTGGGGTGTGGTGTCTGCAGGGACCGGTGGATCCGGAAGGGGTCGTGCACGCCGCCGCGGGCGCGGCGGCGCGCGCGAACGTCGTCGCCGCGGAGAACGACCCCGGCGCGGTGGCGGGCTTGACCGAGGACGCGCGAGCGTTGTTGATCGACGAGGGGTATCACGTGGCGCGGATCGCGGCGAGGTTTGGGATCGAAGCGCCGGCGGCGCGGGCGGACGTCGTCGCGGAGGAGCCGGCGACGTCGGCGGCGGAGACGACGACGGCGACGGCGGCGGCGGAGGCGGGCGGCGAGGACGAGAGCTTCCCCGTTCCCGCGTCGCCGGAGCGGGGCGCGAAATCTTCCCCCGAGGCGCCGGACGCGGCGGAGGAGGAGCTCGCGGCGGCGATCGCGCCCGTCGAGATCGCGGCGGAGACGACGGGGGCGAGCGCCGCCGTGGAAGCGCCGGCGGCGGTCGTCGAAGAAGAGAAGACTCCCGCGGCGGTCGCGGCGAAGGACGAGGACGACGTCGGGATCATCACGCGGAGACGAAACGCGGAGAAGAACAGGAAGAAGAAAGATAAGAAGAAGAACAAGCGCGTCGTCCGGTTGGAAGAGCCGTCGCCAGAGGCGCCCGCGGCGGCGGCGCCGGCTTCTCCCGAGAAGCCTCCGACGCCGCCCGTCGACGTCTTCGCCGCGCCCGCGCCGGCGTCGTCTTCCTCTCCAGAAGCTCTCGACGAGGAAGTCGCCGCGATCAACACAACAATCGCGGAGCTCTCCGTCAAAGCAGACGCCGCCGCGGCGGCGGCGTCGGCGACGCTCGCGGCCCCGTCGTCATCGTCGTCATCGTCGCCGCCGCCGCCGCACCACGACGTCTTCGCCGGCGTCGTCGTCTACGTCGACGGCGTCGCGAATCCGCCGTGGTCGGGCCTGAAAGACCTCGTCGTCGCGAACGGCGGGACGTTCGCGGACGCGTACTCGTCGTCGCGCGTCACGCACGTCGTCCGCGTGAACGGCGGAGGGAAGACGAGATCGACGACGACGACGACGAGCGGCCGAGCGGTGAAGCCCGAGTGGGTCACGAGCAGCGTCGCCATGGGGAAGGCGCTGCCGCGCGACGCGTTCGAGCTGTCCGACGACGAGGACTTCTTCGACGCTGAGACGGAGGCGGAGCCCGCGGCGGAGGCGGAAGCGGAGGCGGAGGCGGAGGCGGAGGCGGAGGCGGAGGCGGAGGCGGAGGCGGAGGCGGAGCCCGAGGCGGCGCGAGAACCGTCGCCGGCGCCGCGGTCGCCGCCCGAGCCGACGTTCGACGGCGCGTCTCCCGTAGAATCGATCGCGATCGAGGCGGCGACGTCGAAGAACGGCGGGGAGATCGACGACGCGATCTTCGCGACGCTCGAGCGCGACGGCGGCGCGAACGCCGCGACGGCGAACGGCGGCGGCTTCGGGAGCTCGCCGCTCGAGTCGCCGCTGCCGTTCGGCGCGGCGATGGCGTCGCCGCCGACGTCGTTTTCATTCGGCGGCGACGGCGGCGGCGACGAGAGGTTCTCCTCCCCGCCGCGTTCGACTTCGTCGTCGCGACCGGCGCCGCTCGCGTCGCCGCAGGCGACGAAGTCGAACGCGATGACGCCGCCGCCCGCGGACTCATGGAGCGTCGATTTCATGCCGCGGTGGTTGGGCGGCATCCTCGGCTGCGACGGCTGCGGACCCGCGGGCCGAACGTCCAAGGAGACGACGACGGCGGACGCGTCGGGGGTCGGGGTGGGCGAGTCAGTGGAGCTGCCTCTGACGCCGCGCTCCGAGGAGACGTTGAAGTTGTGACGGCGCGTGAGAGGGTGCCATGTAGTCTTAACGAGTCGTCGTGAACGATATGTATCCGAGACAAGTCCAGAGAGAGTGGTAAGTGAGCGCACGCGCTTCTGAATTTTTCCACTTCCAGCCTGCGCCAGCCTGGCTGTCTGTTTCGACGCGCGACGCGACGCGACGGCGAGGCGTCCAATTAATTCATCGTTCGCGCGTCTCAGAGCGTCGTCGCGCGCTCGGCCGGGATGGCGGCGTACCGGTCGTATCGCGACCGCGACCGGGAAGGGTCGCTCTACCCGATGGCGGACGACGCCGACGCGCGACGACGCGGCGACGTCGTCGCGTCGAGCGCGTACAGCTACGGGCTCTCGGATCCGCGTCGCGTGCCCGCGGAGCGCGCGTCGTCGCTGACGTACGGAGGCGCTCGCGAGCGCTCGTCGCCGACGTCCAACTCCGCGTACGGCTCGGGGACGCGCACGGCGGAGGCGGTCGTCACGCGCGCGCCGAATTACTCCCGAGGTGCGTCGTCTCGCGTCCTGGACGCGAGACGTCCGCGCGGCGACGACGCCGGGCGTCGCGCGTCCGCTCGGCTCCCTCGCGAGCGAATTCAGTTCGTTCGTCGCGTCGCCCACCCCGCGCCCTGATCCGTCCGCCTCGTCTCGCCTCGTCTCCGCGCGCGGTCGTCGTCCTCGTCCGCGGCTCACGCGCGCTCTTCCTTCCCGCCTTCTCCTCCCTTCGCTCCCTCCCAGACCGCGACGCGAGCGACGCCGCGACTCGCGCGCGGTACGGCGATCGACTCGCGGGGTACCGACCGAGGTCGTACGAGCGCGGCGCGGGCGTCGTGGGGACGGCGTCGCGGCGCGAGCGCGCGAGCGCGTCGGCGTACGCGTCGCGCGAGCGCGGCGCGTTGGACGCGTTGGGGGGCGCGATTCGAAACGCGCGCGTCGACGGCGACGGCGACGGCGACGGCGACGGCGACGGCGACGGCGACGGCGACGGCGCCGAGGAAGACGGAGCGTACGTCGTCGTCGGCGGGGACGTGCGACTGTCGTCGTCGTCGACGTCTTCGTCGTCGTACCGGAGAGATGGCAGCGCCTACGGCGCCGCGAGCAGGGGGACGTCGTCCGCGGCGACGTCGGGCGGGGCGACGCTCACGTTTCGCGAGCGGTACGAAGCCTTGAAAGCCGAGCGCTTGGAACGCGAGGCGAGAGGACGCGCGGCGGTCGTCGCGCGGCCGCCGATATTCGACGACGACGACGACGACGACGACGATGGCGATACGGATAGAAGTAATGGAAGTAGTAACAGCCGGCGATCGGACAATAGTAACGGCCGGAGATCGGACGTTGCCGAGGAGGAAGAGCGGTTCAACGCCGCGGCGCGCGGCGTCGGGCTCACCGCCGCGGAACGCCGAGCGTTGTACCGCCACGCTCCCTCGACCGCGGACGACGTCGCGACGACGACGCTCGCGATGAGCAAGATGTCCACGAAGAGCGCGCCCGCGGCGTCGGCGTCGGCGACGATCGAAGACGCGACGCGCGTCGTGATGTATAACACCCCGAGGGGGCTGCGGGGGTTGCAAAACTTGGGGAACACGTGCTTCCTGAACTCGTGCGTGCAGTGCCTCGCGCACGCGCCGCCGTTTTCGGATTACTTTCTGTCCGAGCCCGCGTACCCGCGGCGAAGGAAGAAGACGATCCTCGCGCCCGCGATGGAGGCGGTCGTGAAGGCGATACACGACGCGAACCCGAGCGTCGCGAGCGCGCGTAGAGTCGCCGCGCACAACCCGAGGGGTTTACTGCGCGCGATGGACGACGTCCCGCCGTTGGATCTGTTCACGGACCGCGACCAACACGACTCGCAGGAGTTTCTTCGCATGCTCCTCGAAAACTTAAACGACGAGCTCAACGTCGTGGAGAAGCCCCCGCCGTACCGGGAAGAGAAGGACGACTTCACGGAGCCGGAGAACGTCAAGGCGGATCGTCTCTGGGCGCAATACGTCGCGCGGTGCGACTCTGTGATGACGCGAACGTTCGCCGGGCAGCTGCGCTCGTCCGTGGAGTGCCACAAGTGCGGGACGTGCAGCACGTCCTACGACCCGTTCTGGGACTTGTCCCTGCCGCTGCGCGCGAGCAAGAAGGGAAGCGTCGGCGGCGGCGGCGGCGGGTGCGGGAGCGGGAGGAGCACGCCGGACGGCGGCGGCGAGCTCGAACGCAAGAGCGGATCGCGGTTCTCGCGGTTCATCGGGAGCTCGTCGAGCGCGGGGCCGATCGGCGTGATCGACTGCTTGCGCGCGTTCACCGAGGACGAGACCCTGGAAGGGTCGGACACGCGGACGTGTCCGAAGTGTAAGGTGAAAGGGAGCGCGACGAAACGTCTGCGAGTGAAGCGTTGGCCCAGGGTGCTCGTCATACACCTGAAGCGGTTCACGTGGGGGAAGAGCGGGCGGCCGGGGAAAAAAATGGACGCCGCCGTGGACGTGCCGTACGACCTCTCCCTCGGCGATTTCCTCGCGGACGACGCGTTAGAGGGCGGTCGCGGACTTCACCCGCCGAAGTATAAACTGTTCGCGGTGACGAACCACATGGGATCGCTGGGCGGCGGGCACTACACCGCGTCGTGCGAAGTCGGCGGAGGGAAGTGGTTCACGTTTAACGACGAGAATTGCTCGGGCGAGGACGGGCCGCCGCGGGTGTCTAAGCACGCGTACGTGCTCTTCTACGCGCTTCAGTGATCGCGTCGTTCGTTTGATCGTGATGGTTGTAATAATACACGTGCTACGCGTGCGCGCTAATGCTATCGTATGCTTCTTTACGCCTGGCTGTCGCTTTCGTCGGTCGCGGCGGCGTCAGTCGCGACCCCTTTCGGTTTCTTTTTATTCTTCTTCCCCTTCTTCGGCTTCGAAGAGAACCCGCCGGTCAAACTCGCGAACTTCGTCGTCGTCGCGTTCGGCGCGTTCAAGTACATCTGCATGAGCTTATCCGCGGTCTCGGAGTCTTTCGCGACGACGCCCAAGCCGCGCTTCTCCCCGCCCCACTTCGCTTTCACCGCGAGGTCGCGTAAAATTTCCGTCTCCGAATTCCGCGCGGCGATGATCTCCTCGATGAGAGACCCGCTGCTGATCGCGTACGCGCCGTTCCCTCGGACCACGGTGCTCAGCGCGACGTCGCTCGTCGCGACGTACACGAGCCGTTTCGCCTTCGCCGCCGCGAACGTCGACCCCGGGGTGTTCTCGTCGCCGTCGTCCGCGGACCCCGCCGCGTCGCTCTCGTCCATCGAACTCAGCGCGACGCGTCCCGACGACGTCCGCCGCGCCTCGTTCAGAACCTTCTCCACGCTGGACCGCCCGCTCAGCTCCTCGATGGACGCGCGCTCGATCCACGAGTCCGCGTCGTTGCTCACGGAGTAGACCTCCCAGACGCCGCTCTTCGTCTTCGTCGCCGCGTCCGTCGCGCCGTCGCGGCGGTCCGCGTCGAAGACGACGACGACTCTGTAGCCCTTGTGCGCGGCGAGGTTTTCCAGCTCCTCGACGAGCTCGCGTCGCGCGCGCTCCAAGTCTCCCTCGAGGAACAGCTTCTTCAGCGGCAGCCCTCTCTCCTCGCCCTCGTCGCAGCCGCAGACGTTGTACCCGTCCACGAGGAGCACGGGCGGGGCGCCGCGCGCGCCGAGCGGGTGCGACTTGAGACTCGCGAGATGCCGCGCTTCCGCTTGCTTCGCCGCTCGTCTCCGCGCGAGCTCCTCTTGGTACGCCTCGTCCTTCGTCTTGCGAAAGCCCGTGCGCTCCACGGTCGCGGGCTTCGCCGCGGAGCCGCCCTTCGGGGAGGAGGTCGTCTTCGCGGCGCCGCCGCCCCCGGTGAGCGTCCGGTACCGCTCCACGAGTTTGATCTGCGTGTTGACGCTCATGTTGCCCAGCTTGCCCGTGATGCGCCGCGGGGTGTCCGCCGCGCGCGCGCGCGCGGGCGCGGCGTCGCCTCCGCCGCCGCCGCCGCCGCCGCCGCCGCCGCCGCCGCCCTTGCCGCGACCGCCGCTCTTCGAGCTGCGCCCGGCTTTCGCCATGCATCGGATCGAGGGCGCGACGCGCTCGCGATGACGTGTGCGCGCGCGGTCGCGCGGTCGCGAGGACGCGAGGACGCGAAGACGCGCGGCGAACGAGGACGACGCCGCGCCGACGCGGCTCGTCGACGCGAGCTCGGGCGTCGCGAGCGACGCCATGTCGCACCCGCGGCGGGCGGTACGCGCACTGACGACGACGACGCGGACGACGACGACGTCGTGTCGACACGGTCCGGATAATAAAATTTAGAATCAGATTTTTACTCGTGTCGGATTCGGAACCAACAACTCACCCGTCCTCCGCCGCTCGCTACCTATCGTCCGTCCCCACCGCCTTCCTTCGAGTCCAGTTTCTCCTCGCGCCACAGCCTGAGGTATTCGCACATCTCCTTGTTCACCGTCTCGCAGTACACGTCCATTCCGAGGTGGTTCGCGTGGTTCGCGCTGACGAGGGCGGTTCCGTACAAAATATGGTCATCGGTCAGTTGAAAGGGGACGCGATCAAATGTTGAACCCGAGGGGCTGGGTGGGCGTGGGTGAAGAACGCACCTGAACGGGTTTTCGCACTCGTGCGCCGCGCCCTCGACGCCGAGCAACGCGAACGACACGCACGCCACCGCGGGGACGGTGCCCCATCCCCAATCCCGCACGAAAACGAACGGCAGCGACAGCAGGTATCCCATCAAGAACGTCCGCAGGTGCGTGACGTACACGATCGGCAGCCGCGTCGCGCGGATGCGTTCCTGCGCGCCGCAGTGCCCGACGAGCGCGTCGATCCTCGACGTCATCCGCGCGTTGAGCGCCGCCGCGAGCGACCAGTGCATCCTCGCCCTCTCCCATCGCACGCGATCACGCCATTCCTCGCTCGGACGCGGCGCGTTCGGGTCCGGCTCTCTCGTCATCCGCGTCACCGCTTCGCGCATCCGCGACGCGCAGTACAGCGGCGCGTGCGTCGCGCGCGTTCGCATCGCGTCGAGCTCGCCGTCGTCGACGACGCCCGCCAACGACGCGGGATCGATCCTCGTCTCTCGTCGCAGGTGACACTTCGTCGCCACCGCGAACGCGACGAACCATCGCGCGAGATCATCGACGTGCGCCGGGTACACGTCGCGGACGGAGGCGATGGCGTCGTCGGCGAGGAGGCGTCCGCCGAGGACGATCGCGCCCCACGCGGTGCGACAGTCCCACCATCGCACCGCCGCGCGGTTGACGCGAAAGACGAGGAGGAACGCGAGGAGGGAGAATATGAGCGCGTACCCGCGCTCGAACGCGGTGAGGTCCCAGTCCAGGGCGTCGACGTTCCGCGCGAGCGCGCACCAGACGATCGTGACGCCGTTCACGAGCGCCCACGGCCATCGGAAGTTGTTGACCGCGCGCGCTCTGAGGCCGACGGCGAACGTGGTGTCCGTCCAGGAAGAATAGTCGTACGCGCGGTGATGCCCGACCTCGTTCGCGCGCGCGAAGTGCGCGTCGCGGCGGCGCGTCGCGTCCGGGTCGAGCATCGTGTCCCACAGGCGGCCCGCGCGCGTCGTCGACGGCGCTCGATTCGATCTCGGGCGCGACAGCTCCGCCGACGACGCGTCCTCGCGCGTCGCGCTCCCGTCGGGGGCGTACGACGTCGCGCGCGGCGAGGATTCGCGGCGCGCGTCGACGTCGTCGCCCCGCACGTCGAGGACGACGCCCGTCGTCGTCGCGCGCGACATCGCCGCGTCCGCGTCCGCGTCGCGCGTTCTGGGAGCGCGTCGGGCGAAAACACGTGCCGATACCATTCGCACTCACGTGCACTCGGGTACAGGTAAAACAAAAACACGATCAACCTTTCTCGAAAACACCCCGCCCTTCGAAGGGTCGGCGCTGGGCACACCCGTCCGCGCGCGCCGCAGCCGACGCGAGAAGATGGGATACTACGATCCCGAGGAGGCCCCGGTCGCGGGGATGCCGAGCGGCAGGAACAAGGTCGATCGCCGCCAGCTGCCGCCGCAGCAGCACGAGTTCAACCAGCGGATGATGCGGGCGACCGGGGAGGAATCGCCCAAACCTTTTCACTTCGAGCACCCGAAGGACGTGTCTAAAATATGCGTCGAACGCGACGTGTTCGGGCGCCCGGTGCTGTCGCCGAAGATCAAGCTCAGCTTTAACGGCGAGGACGGGGACACGACGCCGGTGAAGAGCCCGGCGGTGAAGAACGCGGAGCTCAGGGAGGTGCGCGGCGAGCTCGACTACAGGTCGAGATTCTGGTGATGGGTGGGATCGTTGTTGGCGCCTGGCGGGAAAACGGTGGTCCGACAGGATGGAGCGACCGTCAGGATCAAGCGCTTTCGATCGGGGCGTGCGCGGCGCGCTGAACCCGGCGAAATTTCGGTTGAAACTGGAAAAATTCAAAGGTCTGACGACTTTTTCTCTTTCACGGGGTGTGTTACGGCACGTGTTTTATTCTTATTTCTGCAGCAATAAATGGAAGGGACTTCCACCCGACGCGCGCGCCGCCGCTCTCATCACTTCTGGACGTACTTCAACCCCCCGCGCTTCGCCGCGTCCCTCCTCCGTCGTTCGTCCTCCCTCCCCTCCTCCACGATCGCGTCCCGCCGCTTCGCGTCGCATCGAATCAACACGAGCGGCGTCTGCTGGTCGTCGTTCCCCGCCGGGTTCCCCATCAACGCGACGTCGAGAATCGCCGCGTCCACGCCGGCGCTCTTACCCAACGTCACGAAGCTCCCCTTGATCTTCGTGAGGTCGTTCACGTCCACGATCGCGCACGGAAGCCCACACCGCGTCTCCACCGCGTCGACGCACCGTTGAACGTTCACGGGACCCAGCGTGACGCACTGGTCGTACGGCGGCATCGTGCCGCTGACGTCGTCGACGAGCTTCGCCTGCGCGCCGGCGAGACGGTAAAACACCCCGCGGACGCGAAAGACGCGCGCGACGACCGCGACGACCGCGGCGAGCGCGACGCGCAGCGCGCCGGACACGTCCACGAGGCACTGCATCCCGCACGCGGTCGCGACGGACGCGAAACGGTTGAAGAGGACGCACGCGGCGCGCGCGACGACGCCGGGGACGATCGAGTTCGGGTGACGGAACCGGCCTTGCATCACCGCGAGGGGGGTCTCGCCGAGGGCGACGACGTCGCCGGCGCGCGCGTGCTTCGAGACGTACTTCTTGATCACGCTCACCGGGTCGTCGAGGTGGCACAGCAAGTGCGTCGGGACGCACAGGACGCTGAGGCCGGGCTTTATCGTCCGCCACCGCAGGTCGCCGCCGCGGTCGCGCGTCTCGCGTTTGGTCCCCGCGAGAAGTGGCGCTCTGTTCGCGTCCGGGAACGACAGCGGCAGGACGACCTGCTGCTCGTGCGTCGTCCGCCCGTGGCGCCCGTACGCGACGTACGACACGCGCAGCCACGCGGCGTCGAGCAGCGCGAGCGGGTCTGGCGTCGATTTCGATTTCGAATTCGATCTCGACCTCGATCGAATCACGACGCGAACCTCCATCGACGTCGAGCCGTCCAGCGGGACCGGGTACGCGGGCCAGTGCCCGTCCGGCCGCGCCGCGGGCTCGTTCCCCGGGTGTCTCGGCGCGCACGTCACCTCCGTCTCGAAATCTCGCACGTCCGCGCGCTTGGACAGGAGCGTCACTCGCGGGGACACCTCCGGGACGAAGACGTCGTGCCTCCCGCGCGTGGTGTTGTGGAACGCCATCGCGCCGGTCAGCGTCGCGGACGCGCCGTCCGCGGACGCGACCGCGGACCAGGACCCGCGCGTGAGCATCAGCCCGTCGCACGGGTTCTTCTTCGGGTAGAACTCGAGCAGCCGAGGGAGCTCTTGCGTCGTCCAGAGGTTATCCTCGCCCGCGTACGTCTCGCAGTCGAACCGATCGCGCGCGGTGGACGACGGCGCGGCGACGAGGAGACCTCTTCCTCTCGATCGTTCGTCGTCGGATCGCGCCCACCGCGCGCGGGCCACGCGCGACGCCGCGAACGACGCGCGCGCGACCGACGGCGCGCGCGCGGGTTCGATCGCGCGCGCGCTCGCTCGCCATCGGGGAGGGACGCGCGTCGCCGCGAGCGTCGGGGCGGCCATGACGCGCGGTTCGAACTGCGATCTCTCGTCCGCTTCCAGCTGTCATATGTCATCGACGAAGCGCCTGAGTTAACATCACTTCGCGAGGCCCGAGGGGGGGTGGGCACGGCGCCATGGTCGGCTCGAACCTCGCGCCGTTCCTCGCCGGGGTCTTCGTGACGACGCTACTGTTCACGCACGACGCCGTGGGAGGGAACGAGCTCCTCGTCGCGCGAGGGCTGCTCGCGCGCGCGGGATGGAGTTGGAGCCGCGGCGGCGGCGACGCAGATCCGTTGATGACGAGGCGCGGCGACGCGCGCGACGGCGGAGGGCCGGACCCAGCGCGCGCCGGGGAGCTCCCGCGCGCCGGAGACGTCTCCGCGCGCGCGCCGCCGACGTCGCCGCCGACGGCCTCGTCTCTCGGCGTCGGCGTCGGCGGTGGCGGCGACGACGACGACGACGACGCGTCGTCGGACGCGACGACGACGCTGCGGGGCTTCTACGACGACGTCGACGACGGCGCGCGCGACGGCCGCTTCGCGCGCCCGCGCGCGCGGTTCGCGGACGACATCACCTCCAGAGAGGCGTTCACCGCGGCGCTCGCGTCGCAGCGCCTCGCGCTCGCGCTTTTCGCCCGAGCGCTCCGGCCGACGACGGACTTCGTGCGCTTCTACTTCACCGCCGGCGTCGCCGAGCTCGTCGCGTTCGCGTGGCGACAGACGCGCGCGACCGACCCGAAAGTCCTCGCGCGCGTCCTCGTCGCCGCGCTGACGCTCGCGTTCGCGCGCACGTGCGCGCTGCGCTTTCGGCGGCATCTGCGACGCGCGAAATACCTCGCGCGAGGCAGGGCGCGCGTCGGACGCGCGCGGCGACGCGTCTCGGACGCGTGCGCGAAAATCGTCTCTCCGTTTGTCGCCGCGCGCCGCCGCGCGTCGCGGTTCGCGCGCGGCGTGACGCGTCGCTACGCGCTGACGATGCGATGGATCGCCGCGAAGAGCCGCGTCGCGGCGATGCTCGCGCCGCATCTCGTGCTCGCGTCCGTTGGCGGCGCGATCGTCGCGACGCTCCCGGACGAGGTTCGAGCGGCGGTTCGGAAGCGCGAGGTGGTGGCGTCCGTCGCGTTGCTCGTCCCGACGTACCTCACGACGAAAGCGCTGGAGCGGTGCCGGAACGCGCGGGTGGAGGACCCCCCGGAGAATCTGAATCTGAAGCCGCCGACGTCGCCGCCGACGTCGACGTCCGGGGGCAGCGGCGGCGGCGGCGTCTCGGCGGGCAAAGAGAAGGACGCGCCGGATCGGTCCGCGGCTGAAGACGCGATGGTCGCCGCGGAGGCTTGGCTTCGGTACTGGGCGTCCGCGGCGCCGCTCATGCTGTTCGTGGACCTCCCTCTCGTCGCGACCGGACTGCACGTGTTCTTTCCGTGGTGGCCCGAGTGCACGCTGTTGTGGACCGCGTGGCTGACGTTTCCGATGACGTCCGGGGCGAAGTCGTTGACGACGTTCGCGGCGCCGCATTTCTTCACGCTGATGCACGGCGAGCGCGCGGGTCGCCGCCGCGTCGCCGCCGCGTCCTTTTCCTCGGGGGAGAGCGGCGACAAAGAGAAGGACAAGGACGCGAACGCGAACGCGAACGCGAGCTCGACGACGACGGCGTCGATGGGTTTGTCGCGGTGGATCGCCGCGCCCGCCGCGCGCGCGCGACGACTCCTCGACTCTGGCGCGCACCGTTCCCTGAAGAGCTTCGCGTGGGGTTTACGCATGTGCGGATTTAGGTGCGTTCTATACAAAAGTTTTTCACCCATCCTTCGGTTTCAACATTTGATCGCGTCCCCTTTCAACTGACCGGAGAACTGTTTTTGTATGGAATGGCCCTTAGGCGCGCGGGCGCGGCGTTGACGCGCGCGGTGGACAACACGACGTTACCCATGGTCGGATGCTTTCTCTTCTTCTTCACGCCATCGTTCCTCACGTCCTACGGCGTCGCCGTCGCCGCGTTAGTCCTCCCGACCGCGTCCGCGTTGGACGCGCTCGAGAGAGTCGACGCGCGCGGCCGCCTCCGCGCGCCTCGCGAGCGCGCGCGACGCGTGTGCGCGCAGCTCAGGTACTGGCTCTCGTACAGCATGATATGGAGCCTCGCGCGCGAGTTGAGCCGCGGCGCGCTGTCGTGGTTCCCGTTCTGGCGGCACCTGGAGCTCGCCGCGGTGTTCTGGCTCGTCGTGTTCGGCGGCGCGGACGACGTCGCCGCGCGCGTCGTCGCCGTCAAGGAGGGCATCGCGTCGGAGCACCGCGAAGCCGCGGAACAGGCGAGGGCGCGGTTTGCCGCCGCGGAGGAGAGGCGGAGAGGGAGCTCGGAGAGGTTGGGGTTGAGCGGGGCGGGGTCGGCGGCGGCGGCGGCGGGCGGGGGCGCGGGGTCCTTATCGTCCTCGCGCGGGGGGAGCGGGACCGGGAGCCCGGGCGGCGGCGGCGGCGGCGGGTCGCGCGCGAGCTCGGGAGCGTCCACGCCGACGGGATCCGTCTCGTCGAGGGGCGCGCGGGACGGCGGGCGCGGGGACGACGAGGGCGCGGGCGCAGAGGGGGACGCGGACGCGAAGCCCGGGGTGTTTTTGACCGAGGAGAGCGTGCGGAAGCGCGTCGCCGTGGCGCCGCCGGCGACGGGCGAGCGGCGTGAATAATAACGCGGCTGTTGAAACTCATCAATCGGATAGACCAATCGCTCGACGGCCTCGCGCGCACGCCGCACACCTCGCGGCGCGGGGCGCGCGCGAGAACGAGAATGGAGACCCTCGCGCGCGCGGCGACGTTCGCGCGCGGCGTCCCGGCGGCGCGGACGCCGGCGTCGAGTCGCGCGCGCCGCGCGCCGGTCCCGGCGCGACGCGCGCGCGCGACGCGCCGTCGCGGAGCGTCCGCGACGGCGGTCGCGCTCGACGACGACGCCGTCGCGTCGCCGCCGCCGCCGCCGTCGTCGTCGTCCGCGCCGACCGCGCTCGACGCGAAAGCCCTCGGCATCGAGCGCGGGCAGACGCTCCCGCCCGTCCCTCCCGAGCGCGTGCACTGGGTCTGCGACGTCGCCGGCGTCGAGGCGATGCGCGCGGCGGTGCTCTCGGACGAACGGAATCCGACGACGGCGGAGGGGCACCCGCCCGTCGTCGGCCTCGACGGCGAGTGGAAGCCCGGCTCGAGGACGCCGGTGTCCATCTTACAAGTCGCGACGCGCGCGGACGCGTTCGTCGTCGACCTGTTCGCGACCGCGCCCCCGGACGCGCCCGCGAGCGACGCCCTCGACGCGTTCCTCGCGGACCTCCTCGGCTCCGAGAGAATCTACAAGCTCGGGTTCTCGTTCGGGTACGACCTCTCGCGCATGCGCGCGTCGTACCCGCACCTCCGAAGCCTGCGCGTGGGCGCGGGGCATCCCCAACCGCGAGCGATGATCGACGTGAAGCAGGTGGCGAACGTCGCGAGCGCGAACCGGATGAACACGCGCGTCGGCCTCGCGACGCTGACGAAATTCACGCTCGGCGCGACGCTGTCGAAAGCGGAGCAGTGCTCGGACTGGTCCAGGCGGCCTCTGACGGCCGCGCAGCTGTCGTACGCCGCCGCGGACGCGTTCTACCTCTGCGTCATCTTCGACAAGTGCGTGTTCAAGTCGAACGGGAAGGTCTTGACGCGGCTCGAGGAGATCGTCCTCCTCGGGGACCCGCGAGAGAAAGGGAAACATCTCCCGCGGAAGGCGAAAAAGGCGTTCAAGAAGCAAGCCGAGCTCGCGCGGCGGCTGCAGCAACAGGTCGAGCGCGCGGGTGGCAAGGTCCTGGGGCACGCGCAGCGCGAGGCGGACGCGAGAGACGTGATCGTCGACGTCCCGGCGACGCTGTCCTCCGTCGGAAAAACCGTCGACGGCGGCAGACGCGGCGCCGCGCGTTTGCTCGGCGGCGGCAAAGACGTCCGCGCGAGCAAAGGCGCCGCGCGCGGCGCCGCCGTCGAGCGATGGGCGAACGCCGCGGTTCTGTACCTCAGCGTGGGCGACCCGAAGAAAGGCACCGCGGGCGGGAAGGGAGGGGCGTTTTGGGAAGAGGACGGCGACGTGTTGTTGAAGCCGTCGGACGCGTGCTTCGCCGGCGCCGCGGAGGCGGACGTCCGCGTCTTCTCCGCCGCGTCGAGCGATCGAATCGGATCCGTCGCGGAGGTCGCCGCGCCGCCGCCGGAGGAGGAGGACGTCGGCGCGTGCCCGCTGCCGGAGGAGGAGGAGGAGGGGGAGGGGGAGGGGGGCGACGGCGGCTGCGGCGGCGAGGCCGAGGCCGAGGCCGAGGCCGAGGCCGAGGCCTCCGGGGACGGGAAGAGACCCGCCGACGCGGCGCTGCTGTTCATGCGTCGGCCGCCCGGGCCGTTCGCGTATTGCGGGCGTCTCGAAGCCGTGGAAGGGAGTGGAAACGGTGACGAAATCGGCGGCGGCGTCGGGACGCTGCGCGTCGTGGACGGCGGCGCGCTGAGGAGCAGCCCGCTGTTTCATCAGCTCATCGGGTGCAGGCTCCTTCCTCGCGCGCCGGAGTGAGCGCCGCGCGTACGATTAGGGCTATTATTTCGTGTTGACTCGCGTCGCGTCGTGTTGTTTTGAATCCTGAGATTGTATTATCATCACCGTTGGTTTCCAACACCTCGCGCGCTAGGAAACCCCCCACGCCACATCACCCTCTTCTTCGCCAACCGCTCAGACGGCGCGTTCCTTGTACACGCGCGCCGGGGCGAGGAAAAGAGATTCCGCCGGGCGCCCCTCCATCGGCCCGTGGTTCTCCCAGAGCTTCGCGTTCACGCCGTCGGGAAGAATGCGGCCCTCCTTCTTCCACGCCACGTAGTCCTCGCGCTTGAACTTCGTGAAGCCCCACTGGCGGGAGACGACGATCTTCTGTCGTCCGGGAAACTTAAACTTGGCGCGGCGGAACCCTTCCACAGCCTTGTTCGCGTGGACGTCCTTCGTGCGAATGGAAAGCATGATCTGGCCGATCGCGATGCGCGCGGCGGTGCCCTGCACCTTGCCGAACGCGCCGCGCATGCCCGTCTGCAGGCGATCCGCCCCGGCGCACGAGAGCATCTTGTTGATGCGAAGGCAGTGGAACGGGTGCATGCGCACGCGGAGGTGGAACGCATCCTTGCCCGCGTTTTTAACCATGTACTTGTTCGCGGCGATGCGGCCCGCCTCCATCGCCTCGGAGGAGATCTGCTCCTTCTCGAAACTGCGGGTCAGAGGTGGAGCGTGGGAGGAAGGGGGAGGGGGGAGGGTCAGCGACCGTTCGTTCGTTGGACCGATGACTGACGACTGACGCGACGCGCAGACGCCCGCCAGCTGTGTCATCCATCGTCGTCGTTTTTTCGTTTTTCTCCGCGCGGCGCGCGTCGGAGGACGACGGCCAGAGCTCGACGCGACGCGATGTCGACGGCGTGCGCGCGTAGAATGGCTCGGATCGCCGCGTCCGACGCGCCGCCGAGCGACTCGGATCGCGTCGTCGCCCGTGCGTCGCGCGAGATCGGGTCGCGCGGGCGCGCAAACCCTGTTTTTTCTCGCGCGCGCGCGATAAGAAACCCTAAAAGATGAGGACGCGACGGACGCGACGGGGACGGCTCGCGGCGGCCTCACGCGACGCGCGAATCGCCCCCTGGAAGCGCGGACGCGCGACCAACACCTCAACGACGCTCGCGAGCGCGTTCGATGAACTAAACACGGCGGTGGAACGCGCACCTGACGAGGTGCACGCAGGTCGGGAACGCGTCGACCGGGTACTTCTTCATGCCCGCATCGTAGATGCGAATCTTCGGGTCGGGGACACCGCGGCAGTACCGAGACTTCGGGTACGGCTTGTTCTTGATAACGCGGTAGCACTTGGCCGGACGACGCGCCATTGCGACGGACTGCTACGAAGTCGCGTGCGCGTTGCGAAGAGGGAGACCGCGATGCGATGAGCGCGGTTTTGGACGAAAAAACAGGAACGTCTGCTATCTGCTGACTTGCCGACCGTTCTCTAGGGCTACGAGTATGAACTCCACCTTTCGAGAACAACTTTCAAAGGAAGCATCGAAAGCAAATTGAAAGCAAATTGAAACCTTTATGCGACTCATGCGGGTTCAGTGTCGCAGTCCTCGTCCCCTCTCATCGATCAGCATACCGCAGGGCGCCGCCTCGAGCGCGAGCAGACCGCGCGAAATGAACTGGCTCTTCAGCTCCGCGCGATGCGCGGACGCGACGCCGACGGGGACGCCGCCCCCCGCGGCGCCGCCGTTCACCCCCCCCGGCGCCGCCGTCTCCGGCCTCCCCGCGGACGCCGCGCCCGCCAAGAAGAAAACGAACTTCATGGAGCTTCCGACGCCGGTGAAGTACGAGGAGCTCCAGAGGGAGATCATGAGTGCGTTCGCGTTCGATTTCCCCCCTCGTCCTCTCCGCCCGCGCGGCGTTCCATCGCCGGGCGCGAAGCCTCGTCGCGCGCCGTCGCGTCTTCTCGCGTCTCCTCGCGACGAGGCGTCGCGCGCGACCCGTCCAAAGACGACGAAATGACCTAACGCGACGACGATCCGTCCGATCGATCGATCGATCGAATCTCGCGCTACTGACGCGCTCCGTCCCTCCCCTCCTCCGCGCGCGCGCAGTGTCGCTCAAGGCGGATCACTTCGAAGGCGGCCGGTTCGACTTCAACAAGCAGCTGAACCAGAAGTTCTTCCTGTCGCACAGCGTCTTCATGGGCTCGATCGAGGTCCCCGCGCAAGGGAACCAGATCATCAAGATCCCGAACGCGACGTACGAGTTCGGCGCGAACGTCGTCGATCAAAAGTACATGCTCGTGGGACGCGCGCTCACCGACGGACGGCTGAGCGGACGCTTAAAGTACGACTTCAACGACGCGATCAGCGCGAAGATCCAGACATCGAAGGAGCCCGGGTTCTCGCAGGTGATGATGGACCTCGACTACAAAGGGCTCGACTGCCAGGCGCAGCTCAAGCTCGGCAACGGGCAGTTTTACGGCGTCAACTACCTGCAGTCGGTGAGCGACGCGCTCGCGCTCGGCGGCGAGGGGTTCTACCTCGGCGGGCAGCGGAAGTCCGGCGTCGGGTTCGCGGCGAGGTACAACGACGATAAGACGGTCGCGACCGGCCAGGTCGCGACGACCGGGTTGGTGTCGCTCACGTACACGACCAAGGTGAGCGAGAAGGCGATGTTGGCGTCGGATTTCATGTGGAACTGGAACGCGCGTCAGGCGCAGGCGTCGGTGGGGTACGATTACATCTTGCGACAGAGCCGTCTGAGGGGGAGGATCGACAACACCGGGGTCGTCTCCGCGTTTTTGGAGGAGCGCTTGAACGCGGGGTTCACGCTGACGTTTAGCGCGGAGATCGACCACGCGAACAAGAACCACAAGTTCGGGTTCGGGATGACCGTCGGGGAGTGATCGCTCTCGGGGGAGAGAGAAGAGAGAGAGAGAGAGAGAGAGAGAGGAGAAAGAGAGGACGCGCGAGGAGCGGGCGCGGTGAGCGACGCGCCCACGAGCCTAGGAGGGTCATTATTAGTGCAACGCGTACGTTTGACCGAACCGCGCGCCGCCGAGGCCACCCGACCCGTGGTTCGCTCGACCTCTTCGCTAAAAGTCTCGATCGACCGCCATCGCTCGTGCGAAAAACGCATCGCCACACCTTCGGCGCGCCGCGCGGTCGGATGTCGCGCCGGCGGTAGGTCGGACGCGCTCTCGTGAACGCGCGCGATATGGTGACGTGGAGCGATGCCCCGTCCGTGGAGGAGCGCATCTCCGCGAAGGCGCGCGCCCGCCCCCCCTCGACACATTCAACGCGCGGAACGCGCGTAAGTGACAACGACGCGACTCATCTCCCTCTCGCCCCTCCGCCCCTCCCCTCCCCTCCCCGCGCTCCCCCGCCGCAGATCGCGGACGTCGCGAGCGCGTCGTACATAGCTCCGCGGCGGCTCGCCCCCGCGCTGACCCGCGCGGCGAAGCACCCGCCCGCGTCGTTCGCGCGACGGCTCCTCCTCGGCGCGCGGTCGCGGAAGCCGCTCGACGTCCTCGCGCTGTGGTACGCCGCGCTCGCGCTCGTCGCGTGCGCGGCTCTGTTCACCGGGGGAGCGTTCCTGCCCTCGGGGCGCGGCGACGCGTCGTCGAACGCGCGACAGTCCGCGGAGCGCGGCGGGGACGCGGCCGCGGTCGGCGGCGCGGACGGCGCGCGCGCGTCCACGTCGATCGTTTCGCCGTCGCCGTCGCCGTCTGCGTCCCCGTCCCCGTCGCCGCCCGCAGTGCGCGCGCCGCGCGCGCGCGGCGGCGGCTTCTTCTCGCGGACGAAATCGAAATCGAAATCGAAATCGCGCGCGGCGGCTCGCGACGACGACGACGACGACGACGACGACGACGACGGCGCGGTGTATCGCTCCTGGGGCGAAGCCGCGCGGAGAGCGAAGCGCGGCGTCGGCGAAGTCGTCGACGACGCGCGCGACGAAGACGCGCCCGCGTCCTTCGCGCTGCTCGTGATCGCGTACGACCGCCCAAAGTACCTCGCGCGCGCGCTCGAGTCGCTCCGCGACGACGTCCTCCTCCTCGAGGACGTCGCCGTGTACGTGTCGCAGGACGGGTTCGACCGGAACGTCGCCGCGGTGGCGACGGACTTCGCGGCGGCGTTTCGTGCGCCGGCGACGCGCGGGTACGCGCACTGGCAGCGCGACCGGCACGCGCGCGACGCGAAACCCCAGCCCGCGCACGCGCACCTCGCGCAGCACTACAAGTGGGCGATCGACAGGGTGTTCGAGGAAGGGAGAGGGCACACGCACGTGATCGTCGTGGAGGACGACATGGTGTTCTCCGCGGACTTTGTGCATTTATTCACATCCGCCGCGGGGCTTCTCGCGGAGGACCCGACGTTGTGGTGCGTGTCGTCCTGGAACGACAACGGCGCGAGAGGGCACGGGGAGGACCCGCGCGCGCTGTTCCGGACGTCCTTCTTCCCCGGTCTCGGGTGGATGATGCGCCGGGAGTTATGGGAGGAGCTCTCCCCGAAGTGGCCGCGGCGGCACTGGGACCACTGGATGCGTCTGGACGCGACGCGAGCCAGCCGCGACTGCGTCGCGCCGGTGGTGAATCGAAACTTCAACATCGGCGAAGTCGGCGCGAACATGAAACGCGCCGAATACGCGAAATACATCGAGCGCATGTCCTTCTACGCGGGGAAAGAGCTGGTAGACTTTGGGGACTTGGGATACCTGAAGCGCGAGAGGTACGCGAAATTCGCGCGCGCGGCGTTCGAAAGCGCGATCGAGTGGGATTGGAAACGCACGCGTCTGGACGCGTTCGCGGCGTCGCACGACCGCGCGGGCACGGCGGCGCGGCCCATACTCGCGGTATATAAGGAAGAAGAGTACGAGCGCCTCGCGGAGGAGGTGGACGCTTGGCCGTTCCCGCGCGCGCACCACGAGCGCGCGGGGTTTCTCGACGTTAAAAACCTCTCCGTGATTCTCGCGGACGCGCGACACTGTCCGTACCTCCCGCTCTCCCTGCGCGTCTGGCCGAGCGATACGCTCACCCCGGTCGTCGCGATGCGAGCGCAGAGCTGCGACGTCGCGTGCCGCGCCGCCGGTAGGAAGTGTTCGGCGGATGATTTTCCGTACGTGAACACGTGCGAGGCGTTGGCGAAGCGTTTCGACTGCGAAAACGGGTGCTCGATGGAGCATGGCGAGGACGTCCCGAACTACGGGGTGGACGAGCGTTTGGAGACGTTTGGGCAGTGTTTAGTCACGGAGAAAGGGAGCACGTGCGCGGGCGCGCACGAAGGGACGCGGCGGTTGTGTCCGTGCGCGTGACGATACGTTTATTTCTAGCCACGAAAATTTGGCGCGAGCACTTCAAATTTTGGCGCCAACGGGTAAAAGTCTGACGTGACGTGGCGTCCGCGCGGCGACCGCGCGTCGCAGTCGCTCGCCGCGCGCTTCCACGACCTTCGTCGCGCGTTCCCGCGCGCGCGTATCCGATCCTCTCGACCGCTCGAACCTCCCGCCGCCGACCCCGCGCGCGCCGTCGACCGCGACCGCTCGCTCGTCGTTCGTCGGATAAATAAGCTCCCCATCTCTTTTCGCTGCCAACGAACGCATGGTTCTCTCGAACAGAGCCGCGGCGAAAGCGCAAGCGGAGTGGGTCTTAGTCGGCGGGAAGGAGTCAAAGAGCGTCGAGCGCGGGTGGATCATCGTCCCGGACAAGTCGAAGGACAGGAAGTCGGGGCCCATCGTCGAGGAGCCCGAGCGCGCGGATAAGGTGCTCGCGAGGTGCGTTGGTCCCCCCCCCCGCCAAATCTCGTCGCGCGCGTCGAACAACTCCGAAAACGAATAATCATCCCGACTGACGACGCGCCGTCCCCGTCCCGACGCGCGACGCGCAGCCACGGATACTGCAAGCGATCGGAAGCGAAGGCGTGGATCCGCCACGGCAGGGTCACGTTCGAGGGCGACGTCGTGAAAACGTGCGACGCGAAGGTCGTCGTCCGCTTGTACGACGGCGTGTGCGTCGACGGCAAGCCCGTGCCGTTGACGAAGAAGGAGTCGTCGGCGAAAGAGAACGACGAGAACGACGCGCCGTCTGCGGAGTGATGACGAGACGGACGCGCGGCGTCATCGCGCGCGGGCGAGCGCGCGTGCGATCTAGCTCTCTTTATAACCAAACCAAACCAAACCGACCAACCCTACGAACGAACCGCGACGCGTCCGCCGCCGCCGCCGCCGCCGCCGCCGCGTCACGGCGGCCCCGCCGCGGACGCGTCGCGCAGCGGCGGCGGCGGCGGCCCGCGCGCCTTGTGCATCTCCCTCTCCCAGTTCCTGTGCACCGCGCGCATCGTCCCCGTGAGCCCCGCGCTGGCGGCGACGCCGAACGCGCGGTTCACGTGCGTCAACGGGTCCCCGCTCGCGCCGACGGGCGTCGTCCCCGCGGCGACGGACGCGGCTTGCTTCGCCGCCGCCGCCGCGCGTTTAGCCGCCGCCGCCGCCGCGTTGGCGAGCGCGACCACCGCCGCGGACGGCCCGGCCGGCCGCGCGACCTGCGACCGCGCGGCAGCGGCCATGGACGCGATCGTCTGGCCCCCGCCGTCGTCGTCGTCGCTCTCGTCGTCGTCGATCCCCGCCATCGGGATCTGCTCGGGTCGCGTCGCGGGCTCCGGCGTCGGCGGTTTCGGCGGCGGCGGCGGCGGAATGATCTTCCGCATCGCCTCGGAAAGACGCGTCGCGACTCTCCTCGCGCGGCCTTTCATGCCGTCGCCCCACGCCTTCAGACCGTCCGCGTACGCGCTCGGCAGCATCAGGGCCTGGAAGTACATCGGCGTCGGGTGCACGAGCGTCTGCGGCGTCGGCGGCGGGTCCGCGGCTCCGAGGCTCGAGAGGCTCGGGATCGCGCTCGGCAGACTTCGCTCGGCGAACGTGTGCCGTTTGAACACGATCTGCTTCTTCTTCTTCCACCGGCTCCCGCCGTCGGCGCCCTCGCGGCCCATCATCCCCCCGCCGGCCTCGTCGTCGCCGTCGCCGTCGCCGTCGTCGTCGTCGTCGTCGTCGTCGTCGTCGTCGCCGGCGCCCGTGCCGGTCCCTCCCGCCGACGTCGTCCCCCCGCCTCTCGACGCCGACGGCGCGTCGCTCTCCGTCAGCGTCATCACGCTCCCTCCCGCGCCGCCCAGCGACGCCAGCGACGCCGTGTGCGCCATCCGCGCTCTCTTCTCCTTGGGCGTCAGCGCCGCGTTCCTCGCGGCGTTGATGATTTTCTTCGACTGTTCCGACGTCTTCGCCGCGAGAACGTGGAACACCGTCCCGGGGAGATTATACGCCATCGCGTTGGCGTAAATCTGCTCCACGTCCGTCACGAACAGATCCCACGCGGTGTACTTCCCGAGACGCACGTTCTCTTTCACGGTCCTGAAGTCCATGGGCGTCGGTATGAGCGCGAAGTACCCCGGCGCGATGGCCTCCGTGACGGGCTCCGCGAAGACGCCCTGCTTGTCCTTCGCCTGGAGCTTCTTCACGACGTCTAACATCGCGCCGCTCTTGGGGGCGGGCTCGTTGAACGCCGGAACGGCCGCGCTCGGCTGCTGCGACTGCTGCTGAGATTGCTGCGCGCTCGTGGACGGCTCCGCGTCGTCCCAGTCGTCCTCGTCGCGCCATCGTTTCTTCCCGGACGCGTCCCCTATCGGCGGCGGCGGCGGCGCGGCGGATCGATTCGCCTTCGCCGCGTCCGACGCGAGCGCGGCCGCGGCCGCGGCCGCCGCGGAGCCGCCGCTCAGCCCGCTCGCGCCGACGCCGGATCGCTTCACGATCTTGACTTTTAAACCCGCGCCCGCCGCCGCGCCCGCGACCGCCGCGTTCGCGACGACGGGCTTCTTCGTCTTCTTCTTGCCGACTTTCCCGTCCGCGACGGCGTGGATCTTTTCCTTCGTCGCCGCGTTCGCGGACCCGCCGCCGCCGCCGAGCGCTTTCGGGACGCCCTTCATGACGAGCGCTTTCGGGACGCCGCGGATCACGGGCGCGGGGGCGTCGGACGCGACCGCTTTCGCGGCCGCGGCGACCGCGCCCTTCGCCGCCTTCGCCTTGGCCTCCTTCTCGAGCGCGCTCCTCAGCTGCGCTTGCTCGCGCTCGAGCTTCGCCTTGAGCGCGGCGAGGTCGCCGCCGCCGCCGCCGCCGGAGGGGGGCGGTTTGTCGCCGTCGCCATCCGCGGGCGGCTTCTTCGGCCCGAGCTTGAACGTGAGCTTCAGCCCCCCCATGCCGGCGGGGCGCTGCGCGATCTGGCGAGGGCGACGGCGCGGCGAGGGTTTAATTTTCGTCGTCCGAAGCGAAGCGCGCGCGCGCGACGACCGCAAGCGCAACCGGATGCGGAGGGCGGCCGCGTCGAAACGACGAGGGGTGCCCTCTGTCCTCGCGCGCTACTACGCGGCCGCGCAGCGCGCGAGAGGGCGCCCGTCCGCGCGCGCGAGGACCTCGCTCGCGCGCGTCGGCGACGCGGACGCGGTCTCGCGGCTCGGCGGATCGTCGCGCGGCGCGAGCGACGCGCGAGTCCGCGGCCGATCCGCGCGACGACTCCTCGCGATTCTGACGACGACCACGACCGCGCGGATCGCGAAAGGTCCACGCGTCCGCGATGGCGCATCCTTACTCGTACGACCTCGTCGGCGGGCGCGTGGAAGAAGAGCGCGACAACGAGCGCCCGCCGCCTCGCCGCCCGCGTCGCGCGGCGCGGCAGGACGTCTACGCGGTGCCGCCGACGCCGGAGGTCCCGGGCGCGGTGACGGGGGAGCATCGCGACGGGCGCGCGACGTCGCGCGATGCGAACGATCTCGACGCGAACGCGACGAGCACGTCGTCCGCGCCGCGTCCGGTCGCGTCCCCGCGCCCGACGACGCTGAGAAGGCGCGAGGACGCGCCGCTCGCGAGCGCGCCGCCGCCGCCGCCGCGCCCCGGGCCGGCGACGCGAGGAGACGACGCCGGCGGACCGGAATCGACGCTCGCGCGCTCGTCGCTCGGCGGCGGCGATTCGACGACGACGCCCGTGCCGGTGTCCGCGCGGGATCGGCGAGGCGCGGTCGCGACGCTCTCAGCGGGATCGAGCGGCGGGTCGTTGCGAAACTCCGTCGCCGCCGCGCCGAGCGGCGGCAGCGACCGGTTGCGAGATTCCACCGCGTTGCGAGATTCCACCGCGCGCGACAGAGACAGAGCGGACAGAGAGCTCGCGAGACACAGCAAGGCGATGGCGAGGCAGTCCGCGAGCGCGAGCAAGATCCTCTCCAGGGCGTCCACGATGGAGAACGAGGGGAAGAGCAAGTCCGAGATCTTGATGGAGACGGCGATGTTACAGCGGTTGGCGGTGAGGAAAGAAGAGAAGCGCGAAGCGCGACGCGAGGCGCGAAGATCCGAGGCTCGGATGTCGCGCGCGTCGCGCGCGAGCCGCTCGAGCAACGTCAGCAGCGCGAGCGTCGCGTCATCGGACGACTCCGTGGGTTTCTTCGACTTCAACCGCGTGGACCGTTCGAGGAGTAGCATGTCGAGGTCTTCGAAAGCGAAGAGCGGCGGAGGGTATTTCGACGAAGAGGAAGAGGACGAGTACGTCGACAGCTCCGACTTCGACAGCTCCGACTCCGACTCCGACGACGAAGACCTCTCGGACGAACACACGCGGCTCTTATATCTCGTCTCGCTGTACAACTCGAAACGCGCGGAGGAGGACGACCCGGACGCGGACGACGAGGGCATGAACAAAAACGTGTGGCTGCGCAAAGTTCCGTTGCTCGTGCTCGTGTACGAAGCCGTGATCGCCGAAGTGTTGGATTTCGATTACGCGCCCGCGCCGGACATCGTCGCCGGGTCGCGCGTGTACATGAACGTCTCTCAGGAAGGCCGCGACCACTTGGACACGCTTCGAGAGGCGGGGTTTTTGTACGGCCTGAAGCTCTCGTCGAAAAAGTACCAGAGCACGGTCGCGTTGAGGATAACGTCCTTGGGGGAGGAGTTTTTGGAGAAGAAACTCACGGACGAGATGCGCGAGCAGGTGCACAAGGTCGCGTACCCGCCCGGGGCGAGCCCGTGCGAGGAAAACCTGCTGAAGGTAACCTGGGACGCGGAAGAGGGCGCGTTCATGCTGGTGAACAAAAACGGGTACTCGCGCGCGAGCACCATCACGGACATCGAGGACGTGTCGTACGTCTCGTCGCCGTACCTCCCCGCGTCGTTGCGGCGGTGGGGTCGGGAGAACAAACGGAACGACGGCCGCGTGGACGATCTCAAGGGCGCGGTGAATAACATCAAAGACGAGCTGGACGAAAACATCACGATCGACGACGTGAGGATTTTGATCGGCGAGTGGATCCCCATGGGCGCGAACCAGATGGTCGCGCTCAACGATAAGCTCGGCAGCAGCGAACGCGTCCAGGGCGGCTTCTTCACGAGCGTCGTCGATCTCAACCCGGACAGCTCGGAGTTCATCGGCGAGAGCGAAGGTCTGACCGAGGTGGACATCCTAGACTTCGACGAGACCGCGTTCGTGAACTTCGAAGCGGAGGTGCACTTCCCCGAGGACGAGGGCATCGTCCAGGTTGAGATGTTCGGTGTGCACATCCACTGCGAAGGCCACTTAATATACGGCATGGAGTGCGAAGCCGTGGAGACCTCGGGAGGGAGGGAAAAGATCTCGTTGGACAACCTCTCGCGGCTCCTCGTGGACGTCCACGTGGACTCGTCGAAGATCATCGATAACTTGATCTCGCCGCACCAGCGCGTGATGCTCGATTTGACGTACTTGGGCGACGCGGAGCGACGCGAGAAGTACAACGTGATCTTGTGCTCGCGGATTCAGAGTCGGGGCGAGGAGCGCATGCCCACGGCGGAGGAGTTTCTCGACCGCGGAGAGAACGAGAACGAGATCAAGCAAGTCATCGGAGACACGCAGGCGAGCTTTCAGCTCAGCCCGGACGACGAGGTGTTCATCCTAGGAAAGAACGGGATGATCCTGTGCAGCAAGGATGTCGAACGGTTCGAGCCGCAGATTGTCGCGTACTTGTCGCTCATGACGAGGAACATGTTCATGCGGTCGCTGTTTCAGCGGACGTTCATTCTCGCGGACACGCTCAAGTACATCCGCGAGCTCATCGAGCACTTCGAGGCGGACCCGAACTCGGTCACGACGATTCGTAACTTAATCTCCGAAGCGTCCGGGGACATCATCTTACTCTCCGAAGTCCAGAGTTATCTCGCGGAGTCGCTGGAGGAGGTGGAGATCCCGGAACCGTGCGACGATAAAGCGTCCAAACGCCTCGAGAAAATCTTACACATCGAGTCCACGCAGAAACGGATGGTCCGTCGCGTGAACGACATGTACAAGAACATCGAAGGCGCGAGAGGCGAGGTGGCGTCGCTGCGATCGATGGCGGACGTCGTCACGGAAGGGAAGGAGCTGAAAGTCCAAGAGGCGGTGCAGAACAACACGAAGAACTTGGAGGATGTGTTTCGCGCCAACGAGCGCGCGAGCAAATCGCTCGAGATCATGCAGGTCGTCCTCGCCGGGTCCCTCGCGTTCGACTGCATCGACCGCCTGCACGGCTTGTACCTCGGGATCGCGTCTGACGTCGACTGGTCCGTGGACGCGTTCAAGGTGGTGTACGAAACCCCCGGTCTTCTTCTCCTCGTGAACTTGTTCTGGTGGGCGGTGATCGGCATTTTCATCCAGTCGCTCATTAAAAATCTCGCGGAAGTCGCGCGCGGGGTCATGAGCATCCGGTACAAGATCAACCAGAAAGTCGACTGGGACGCGTTCGAGGCGTTCATGCTCGAGATGAGCCCGGAGGTGGAGGACGGGGACTCGGACAAGAACACGAACATCAAGAAGTTCACGTGGGACGAGAAGGACGAAGCGCTGTGGCAAGGACGCCCTCCGCGCATCGAAGTCACCATGGACGCGCGCTACCACTTCCTCCTCAAAGCCTTCCTTCAGATCAGCACGAAGAAGTCCAAGGTGTCGCAAGCGGAGGCGAAGCTGATTTTTTTCCGACGCTTACGCGACGCCGGCGTGTTATCCGGAATCGTGGCCGGGCTCGAGGACGAGCAAGACGTCGAGGAGTGGGCGGAGAAGCAGCGGCGGGCGCAAAAAGAAAACGCGAAGCAACGCGCCGCGCGGCTGCTCGGGGATTCGTACGAGGTCGAGGAAATGAAGCTCAAGTCCGCGGGGTTCGCGAAGCACCACGCGCGGTCGTTCAAGGCGAAGACGGATGAAGAGGACGACGCGCGGTAGAACTAGATAGATGTATTTTGAAACGGCGACTCGTTCTCCGTTCGCTCACTTCCCGCGCCGCATCGCGTCTCGCTCGCGAAAAATTTTATTCTTCGGACGGACCGGCTTATTCGAGACGCCGCCGCTCCCGAAGCCTTTCCCGACGCCCTTCGCGCCGGTGCTGTACTCCAAATACGCGCCCTTCGCGCCAGACAGCGCGAGCATAGACCCTTGCGTCCGCCTCGCCGCGGCCGCTTTCCCACCGCGGCGGATGTCGTCCTCGTCCGCGGGGAGAAGCTCCTCGCCCGCCTCCGCCTCGCCCAACCGCAGCACGCGCTCGAGGAGCTCGATCTGTTTCTCTCGCGTGCTGTAGTGAAGCTGCGGTCTGTCGCCGTCGCCTATGAGATCTGTGACAACCTTGAACGCGTATCCTTGCTGAATGAGGAACTGCTGGCGCTTCTGGCTGTAGTACATCTCGTCCGTGTCTTTGGAGACGAGGCTGTAAAAGAACGCGTTGTGCTCTCCGGCGCCGACTTTGACCTCCTTCCCCGCCGCCATCGCCGCCAGCGCCGCGGCTTTCGGCCGTAAAATTCTCCCTAATCGCTGCGCTTCTTGCCGTCGCGACCCCGCGTGCGAAGATATCTGAATGATCACGTTCGCCTCTGGGATGTCGATCGAGTTATCCCCGACTTTGGAGAGGAAGATCGTGTTGATCTCGTTGCTAAACTTAAACGCGTGAAGCACCCTCGTGCGCTCCGCGTGGCTCGTCTCTCCGTAAATCAACGGCCGTCGCAGCGCCGTCGCGTACTCCCTCAGCGCGAAGATGTTATCGCTGAAGACGATGATCTTATCCTTCCTCTGCTGCTCGTGGAACTGCATGAGGTACTGGCACGCCATGAACTTGTTCGGGTTCATGCAGTACAGCGCCTGTTTCTTCGGCTTGCACTCGGGCTCGAGGTACTTTGTGAAAAACTCCGCCGTCATCGGGCACCACACCTCGACGCACTGCACGTTCGCGATGTGCCCGTCCCTCTGCAGGTCTAACCAGTTCGCCTCGTACAACTTCGGACCGATGAGAAAGTTCAGGTGTTCCACCTTCTCGTCCTCGCGCACGAGCGTCGCGGTGAGCCCGAGCTTGCAGTGCGCTTTCGTGATGCCGATCACCTTGCGGAACATCGCCGCCGGGACGACGTGCACCTCGTCCAGGAGCATTATACCCCACTCCCTCCCTCGCATCTGTTCCAACACCCGCCTGCTCTCTTCGCTGCGTTTGCCCCCCGCGGATACCATGTTATACGTCGTCACGCACACGCACGCTTGGTCCACGGGCGGGAACTCTTCCTTCGTCTGAGACGTGAACCGAACGATCTCGCGGTCGGTGAGGTTCGTCCACAGCTTGAACTGCGCCGCCCACTGGTCGACGCTCACGGAAGACGTGCACAGACACAGGCACGACTTCCGCACCCTCGACGCGGCGGCGATCCCGGTGAGGGACTTCCCGGCGCCGCACGGAAGGACGATGATCCCGCTCCTCGCGCGGCCGTTGCCGAACATCTTCGAGAGGCTCTTCTCTTGGTACGGCCGAATCCGCGTCATCGGCTTCAACGCGATGTCCAGGTCCGGGTTCCTCGTGTCGTTCCTGAAGTCGTACTCCTCCAGCGTCGGGTACCCGAGCTGCCCGGGGAGGCACCGCTGCTTCACGTGCTCCACCTGCTCCGCGTAAATCTCGAACGACGAGATCTCCCGCAGCGGATCGTACTCCGGCACCGACGTCTCGTCAAACGTGCTCGGCTTGTCGCGTCCCTCGCCGCCTTCCTCCTCGCCGGGACCCGCGGGGACGATGCTTTTACTTTTGCCGTCGTCGCCGTCGACCGCGGCCTGCGTCACCGCCGCGGCCGCCTTATCCCTCAGCGCGCGCGACACCGTGAACGCCTCGCCCTCGCGTCTGGTCCCCGTCTCCGTCCCCGGCGGCGGCGGCACGCGCGCCTTTCGAATCGTCTCGTCCCTCAGCAACGTCCGCAGCACGCCCGGGTCGGGGGACTCGAGGAAGAACCGATTCCGCTGCAGCACGAGCTTCACCTTGCCGTAGTTGGCCGTGCACGCCTCCACGAACGAGTGAATTTCGTTCGAGAGCTGCGTCTTCGAGAGCCGACCGAGCACGCTCAAGATGGTCGCCGTCTCCAATCCGACGCTCACCGCGGCGTACAGCGAGTGCGGCGTGAGCAGGTACTCGTGCATGTTCGCCGGTCTGCACACCGGCTCCGCGACGGATATGAGGAAGTCGTACGCCGCCTTGTACACGGGCGAGAACGACTCGAGGAAGATGCGCCCGTCGCCGCAGATCCACAGCGGGCGGTTCGCGTGGTCGGGCTTCAAGACGAGATCGGAGAAGTCGTGGTCTCCGAATCCGTCTCCGCCCGCCCACACCGGGTCGATCTCGTCGTCGTCGCCGTCGCCGTCGCTGTCCAGGACGTCGTCCTCGTCTTCCACGTTTGCCGCCGCCGCGGCGCGCTTCAGCGACAGCGACAGGCTCGGTTTAGGCGGCTTGGTCGCGTTCGATTTCGCGGACATCGTGATTTTGAGCCCGCCCTCGTGCTCCGCGGCGTCTCCCTTCTTCGGCTTCTTCTTCGCGCGAGAGGAGCCTCTCGGGGCGGCGAGCTCGTCGGCGGCGTCGTCGTCGTCGTCGTCGTCGTCCGAGCTCGCGGGTTCCTCTGCGACGCGGTGACGGGAAGGGGAAAGGGTCAGATCTCGCCGTCGACGACGAGAGACGCGAGAGATTCGCGAGAGACGCGTCGGAAGCGGGAGCGGGGCGGCGCGCGCCTTTCACGGCGGGGTCCTCCTCCCGCCCGCGCTTCATCGTGAGCTTGAGCGGCATCGCGACCGTTCGCCGCTCGGTCGCCGCCGTGACTCGCGCGCGACGCTCGCGCGCTCGGGAGTGGACGCGAGCAGGGCGATTCCGGACGTATCGATGCGCCAGCCTGGCCATCACCAACTTTCACTCAAATGAAGTTAAACAGCTGTCGTCTCCGTCGCTCCCTATCTCCCCCCCCCCCCCCCCCCCGCGTCAACTCTCTCGTCTACTTCCCGTCCCCGTCGTACGCGCTCCCCCCCGGCATGTACTTCATCGGCGCGAACGTCATCCGGTGATACGGGCACGGCCCGTGCTCGTGTATCGCCGCCATGTGCGACTTGACGCCGTACCCCTTGTGCTCCGCGAACCCGTACTCCGGGTGCTCCTTCGCGATCTCCACCATCATCCGGTCCCTCGTCACCTTCGCGAGGACGGACGCCGCGGCGATGCAGACGGACTTGGCGTCGCCCTTAACGATCGCCTCCGCTCGCCCTTTCAGCGGCTCCGGGACGCGGTTCCCGTCGACGAGGACCCAGTCCGCCTTTGTCGGGAGGCCCTCCACGGACTTCCGCATCGCCTTCATCGTCGCCTCCAGGATGTTGATGTCGTCGATCTCTTTGTGGTCGATGACGCACACGGACTTTAGCACCTCCGGGTTCTCCATGAGCTGCTCGTACACCTCCTCGCGGTCCTCTTCGGTCATCTGCTTCGAATCGTTGATCGCGTCGATGACCAAATCTTCGGGGAAGACGCACGCGGCGGCGACGACCGGGCCCGCGAGCGGGCCTCGCCCGGCCTCGTCCACGCCGCAGACGATCTTCTTGCCCTGGTCCCAGTACATCTGCTCGTGCGCGCGCGATGGGCCGTTCTTCTTCGGCTTCTTCGCCGCCTTCTTCGCGAGCTCCGCGTCCTTCTCCGCTTTCGTCGTGCGCTTCCTCGTGGACGATCGAGACGAGGGCGACTGCTTCGGCGGCGGTTCGAACGGCGCGTCCGCCATGACGACGCCTTTCTTCACGAACTTCATCATGTTGGACGCGTGGACGGAGCGCGCGGGGGTGGAAGCGAGGCGGGCGAGGACGGAACTCGCACCGAGCGCTCGCGCGAGCATGCGTGTCTGAGAAGATCCAACAACATCTTTTTTATTTTTTGAACAGAACGCGAACGGCGCTGCGCCTGCTGACGGCGGCAGCGGCGGCGCGGCCGCGGGAAGCGAGAGAAGCGAGAGAGAGAGACGTCTTCGACTTCGAACACCGCGCGTTTCGCGCTCGCGCGTCTTCTCACAAAACAAAACGAACTCGCTTCACTTCCTCCTCCTCCTCGTCGCGCCCGCCCGTCACGCGGCGGCGGGGGCGTTCCGCGACAACAGGACGACCCACCCGAGCGCGATTCCCGCGAAGATGGTCCACCCCCCGACGTCGTACCAAAAGTCGTCGCCCTTGCTCCCGTCGCCGCCGCCGCCGCCGCCGCCGCCACCACCACCACCGCCCCTCACACCCCGCGCGGCGTCCTGCTGCGCCTGCTGCTCCGCGAGCTGCCGCTGAAGCTCCGCGTGTAACCCCGGGGCTTTGTCGGTCATCTCGAGCGCCTTTTTGTAGATGTCGTTCGTCGGCTCCTCGTCGAGCGCGCGCTGGAAGCAGCTCTTCGCCTGGTCGAAGTACTCCCCCGCGCGGTCGGCCTCTTGGAACAAGAACCCCTGGGACGTGAGCGCGTTCCCGAGGCACCACAGCGCGTCGTGCTTCTTCGGGTTGATCAGGAGCGCGGCTTGGAACTTGCTGACGGCGAGCTCGATCATGTCGACCGCCTCCGGGCCTTGTTTGAAGTGCGCGAGCTCGAGGAGCGCGCCGCCCCATCGCGTCAGCGTCTGCGCGTTCGTCGGGTCCTTCGCGTGGTCGCCCTCCGCTCTGATCCGCGCTTCCTCGAAGAACATCATCCGTTCCATCTCCTCTTTCGGGAGCTCCATCGTCGTCATCGCTTCCTCGCGCGACGATCCCTCGGACGACGCGATCGGAATCGAGTTAGAAGAGTGACGGCTCGCGCGCGCGGGCTGATCCGATCGATCGACGGTCGCGATCTGAGGGTCGACGGGGGAACGCCGCGGGTTTTCGTTCGCGAGGTCGAGGACGCGCTCGAACGCGAGTCGCGCGAGGGACGTGCGAGTTGACGGGCGGTGCGCGCCGCGTCGTGTGGCGCGATCGCGCGCGCGAGGCGACGCGACGTCGACCTAACAGCGAGAGACTGTTCGAAGACTCTTCGTTTGATGACCGGCCGCCGCGCCGACAGGAATCGACCCGATGGTACCGCCTGCCGCGTCGTCATAACTCCACCGCGCGGTCCGCATCGCACGCCGCGTCGGCCGAGCGTCTCTCGCGCGTCGAGTCCACCGCGAGGAGCCCCCCCCCCCCGCGCCCCCTCCCCCCGCGCGGCGAGATGGCGGTCCTCCTCGAGACGAGCAAGGGCGACATCGTCGTCGACCTGTACACGGACGAGTGCCCGAACGCGACGAAGAATTTCCTCAAGCTCTGCAAGATGAAGTACTACAACAACGTCCTGTTCCACAGAGTCACGAAGGACTTCGTGCTTCAGACCGGGGATCCGACCGGCACGGGCCAGGGCGGCGACAGCGTGTACAAGCACCTGTACGGCGACCAGGCGCGGTTCTTCCCGGACGAGATCAGGCCGACGCTGAAACACAAGGCGAAAGGTTGCGTCTCCATGGCGTCCGCGGGGCCGGACCTGAACGCGTCGCAGTTTCTCATAACCTGCCGCGAGGACTGCGACGCGCTGGACGAGAAGAACACGCTGTTCGGGCAAGTGTCCGAGGGCTTAGACGTCGTCGACGCCATCAACGAGGCGTACTGCGACGAGGACGGGCGGCCGTACCAAAACGTGCGAATCAAACACGCGATCGTCCTCGACGACCCGTTCGACGACCCGCCCGGATTCGCCGCGCTCGTCCCGGACGCGTCGCCGGAGTTCGTGAAGGACCCGAACGACGCGCGTCTGGAGGACGACTGGAAGCCGTCGGACCCGGACAGGGACCCGACGGAGGTGGAAAAGGAAAAACGCGCCCAGGAGGCGAAGAGCCGGGCGGTGGTGTTGGAGATGATCGGCGACCTTCCGGACGCGGACGCGAAGCCGCCGGAGGAGTCGCTGTTCGTGTGCCGTCTGAACCCGGTGACGACGGACGAGGACTTGGAGATCATATTCTCGCGGTTCGGGAAAGTTGTCGGCTGCGACGTCGTGCGGGACTACAAAACCGGGGACTCGCTGAACTTTGCGTTCGTGACGTTCGAGACGAAAGAAGAAGCCGAGGCGGCGTACTTCAAGATGGACAACGTCCTCATCGACGACCGACGCGTACACGTGGACTTCTCGCAGTCCATGCACGGCCTGTGGCGAAACTACAAGCGGTTCGGAAAGAAAGGCGGCACCGCCCAGGACGCGGACGAAGCCGCGGAGGGCGGCGCCGGACGCGGCGCCGGCGCGCGCGTGAACCGCGAGTTCCGAGCCGGGGACGGGCGGAGCACGTACGAGATTAAAGGGTCCGCGATGGGGCACATCGGCGGCGTCACGGGCGGGTACCGAGGCGGGGGGGGAGGCGACAGAGGCGACAGAGGCGACAGAGGCGGCGAGAGAGAAGGGGGGGAGCCGAGGAGAGACGGCGGCGGCGACCGCCGCGACGGACGCGGGGACGGCAAGGACCGCGACCGCGATCGCGACCGCGATCGCGATAGGAAGCGCGATCGCAGCCGCAGCCGCGATCGAAAGGACGACCGGCGGAGGCGCGATCGAAGCAGGGATCGGGACGAGGGGAAGCGTCGAAGAGACCGGAGCGGCAGCCGCGAACGGAGAGACCGCAAGGACAGAGACCGCGACCGCGACCGCGACCGCGACCGCGACCGCGACCGCGACAGGGAGAGGGATAGGGATAGGGATCGAGACCGGGACCGGGACCGACCGAAAGGCGGCGGGCTCGAAGTGCGCGAGAAGCGACCCGGCGGGTTAGAGTATCCCCACCGGCCGGGGAAGGAGTCGAAGAAGGACGACTACGACTACTAGTCTAGAAGTTTGAAACGACCCAGAACCTCGCGCCGCCACTGCTGTGTGAGAGTCTTCTTTTTGAACGCCCCCGAGGAACGACGGCGCCCTCACTTCCCCGCGCTCGGACGCGATGGGAAACCGCCAAAGCCGACGCGCGCGCGCGAACGATCCTCCTCCTCCTCCTCCCCCCCTCGACCCCACGTTCGCGCCCGACCTCTGCGTCGACGTCGCGTGCCTCGTCATGCGCCACCTCGACAGCGTGAGAGACCGCGCGTCGTTGCTCTGCGCGAGCCGCGTTTTTCGCGAGGCGGGGAAGCGCGCGGAGAGCCTCCCGACGTCGCTCGACTTCGCCGCGTGCCCGCGGGCGAGCGGGAAGAGAGCGCTGGCGTTCATGCGGCGCATCACCGGGATCTCACGACCGCGGTCCATCGCGGGGAAGAGAGTGACCGTCTTGACCGTCCCCAAGGCGCTGCTGCTCGACCGCGTGCGCCTCGCCGGGTGCCAGGGAGTCACGAAGAAGCACCTCGCGGGTCTCGACGTGTACGTTCGTCATCGGCGCCGCAGCGCGCGACCTTTCCTCGCGGGGCCTTTCGATCTCTGGCCGTGTGTCGAGTGCGACAAGGTCGTCGACGACGAGGGCGGCCGCGCGTGCGTCTGCTGTCCGAGGACGAGAGTGTTTTGCACGTCGTGCCAGCGGGTCGAAGGCGGCGAGACTGTCTGCGCGTATTGCAACGACTACGCGTGTTCATACCACGATCCGGAAGAATACGAAGATGATCTGGTATATTGCGTCCAGTGTGATAAAGCGGCGTGCTTGAACTGCGCGGTCGAGAGGGACTTGTACTGCATTGGGTGCGATGCGATGAGATGCGACTTGTGCACCGATGCACTTACGACATGTATGGTGTGCGAAGAAAACTTCTGCGAAGGCTGTTGGGAAGGACTCTGGTGCACCGGATCGAACCCACGTGGCTGCGGCAAGGCTACATGCCATGACTGCCTTGATAGTGAGCACGGACATTTCTTACAGTGCGAAGCATGTGAAGGTTACTGGTGTCGCGATTGCAAGGTGGTAGCCGGAACGAAACGCGGCGACGGAAAATTCCACCACGTTCCTTGCGTCGGGTGCGGCGCGGAGTATTGCGACTCGTGCACGGAGAAGCTCGGGGAGACCGAAAGGATCTGCACCGAGTGCGAAAATCTGTATTGCAATGATTGCTGGGAGGAACATTATTGCTCATGATCGCTGCGATTAAAATCATGGCTGAAACGAACGAACGTGACGCACGTAGGAGCGAAGCGCGCAGACGACGACGCGAATAAAAAACGAATGGAGCCAGGCAGTGAAATACGAAATAAAATACGAAAGTTCTGTCTCGCCCACCTCACTCCACCCTCGCGCGGTCCGTAGCATGCGACCTGGCGCGACGCGAGCGTCAGCACCCACACGCCACGCCACGATGCGCGCGGCCGCGCTCCGCGTCGCGCGAGCGGTCGCGGCGCCCTCCGTCGTCGCCGCGTCGCCGCGTCCGTCGGCGTCCTCCTCGTTCGCGTTTTGGCGCGAGAATCAGATCGTGAACGCGCGCCGCGAAGTCGCGACGCGCGCGGCGCCCACGCGCGACGACGCGCTCTCCTCCTCCTCCTCCTCCTCCTCCGACGCGGACGCGGACGCGGTCGCGGACGCGCGCGCGGTCGCGGCCGCGGCCGCGGTCGAGGAGACGTTGTCCCGCGCGCCCGGGAGCGCGTTCGAAACGACGGAGTACGATCGCGCGAAAGCGCAGATCTTACGCTTCTTAAACTACAAGCCTCGGACGCGCGCGGAGCTCATGACGAAGCTCGTGGAGGACAAGCTGTACGACCCGGACGTCGCCGCGGGGGCGATCGATTACCTCCAGTCCAAGGGCGTGCACAGCGACGTGGACTACGCCGAGCAGTGGGGACGGTACAAGTGGAGAACCGCGAAGTGGGCGCCGTGGCGCATCAAGCGGTCGCTCGCGGAGAAGGGCGTGGACTGGCGCGACGCGACGGAGGGGCTGTCGCGCGTGTTCGACGACCTCGGCGAGGTGAAGCTGTCCGCGGGAGAGGACGGGGACGGGGACGGGGACGGGGACGCGACACGCGCGGTCGTCGCGGGGGAGGAGGAGGACAAGGGCGCGGAGCTCTTGCGCGCGGCGAGGAGGCGGTGGACGCTGACGCGGGGGATGCCGTCGCAGACGCGGCGGCGGCGGATGAGCGCGTGGCTCGAACGCCGCGGGCACCGGTTCGGGGTGGTGCGCGACATCGTGGAGACGCTCGAGGGAGAGGACGCGGCGAGGGAGGCGGAGGAAGCGGAGGAGTTCGACGCGGATTAGATTACTGTAGTTCGAAATGAAATTCCGTCGCAAACGCGAGCGACGCTCGCCGAGCCGCTTTCCCCTCACGCCGGTCCCCCGCGCGCGGCTTTCGCGGCGACTAAGAGCCCGCTCAGGCTGCTCAGCTCGAGCGACACCCCGGTCAGCGCCTGGATCAAGAAGAATCCGCCGAACATGTACGCGAACGTCCCCAACACGTTGACGCAAAACACCGTCAGCGCGAACGCGGGCCCTTTCTCGTTGCGCGGGACGTACCGACGGAAAAACTCGACGATCTTATCCGTGCCGGGGGATATCGCGACGCTGAGCCCCATCCTCGCGGGCCTCAGGAAGTTCTGGATCATCCACAGGCCGAAATACGACGCGCCGAACGTCTTCATCGCGGCCGCGTTCACGAGCGGGGACACCCCGTGCGTTTTGACCGCCGTGTACGTCGCGAGAAGCAGCGAAGAGACGTAGAACAAGTTGGAGATGAACCTGCGCGGGGAAGGGCGAGCGACCGGTCAGCGACGGCGACGCGCGACGCGCGTCTCGGGCGAGCATTCGATTGGATGAAAGAAAATGTATGTACACGTGTCAACTCGTATGAACGACACGTGTCGCGCGGCGAGAGAAGTGAAGCGACGAGCGACGACGCACCCGTAGCTCAGAAGCGCGGCGCCGCCGAGCGCGGCGATCGTGCTCTTGTCGATCTTCTTCGCCTTTTCCCACCACGACGTCTTCTCCTTCTCCCGCGACTCCTCCTTGGCGCGCTCGTACTGGATCGCGCCCGCGGAGCCCGCGCGCTGGTACGGCGTTGGCGGCGGTCTCGCGTACTGGCGCTTCAGCGCGGCGACGACGCGCGGGTCCTGGCGATACGCCGGGAGCGCGGACTCCGGTCGCTTCTCGTACGACGCGTCGCTCGGGGCCCCGCTCGACGGCTCGTCGATCGGCGCCGGCGTCGCGGCCGCGGACGGCGCGGACGCGACGCGATTCGCCGCGCCGCCGCCCCACTCCGGGTCCATCTCGTCCCCGCCCCACTGCCCGTACGCGTATCCGTACGCGTATCCGTACGCGTATCCGTATTGACGACGCGCGTTCGGGACGACGCGCGACGCGCGCGACGTCGCCTCGCTCGTCGTGCGGTCGCGGAGAATTCTCGCGGCGAATCTCTCGGCGCGCGACGCGCGCGCGACGCGCATCGCCGTCGTCCCCGACGGCGCGACGGAGACGGTCTTCTCGCGGACGAACGACGACGCGCGCGAGCGCGCGGCGGCGGCCGCGGGGGCGGCGCACGGAAGCGCGGGGGGCATCGTGCTCGGGCGCGGACGGGTGTGCGTCGGGACGATCGACACGTGGCGATTCTCGTTCACGAATGATTTCGTCAGCAGTTTTAAACGTTGCGACGCGACGCGACCCGCGGCGTCGTTCACCCCTCCGGCTGCAGCGCGAGTCTCCCGACGTAAAACGACGTCTCCCACGCCGCGCGGAGCTGCACCATGATCTTCACCCCGACGTCTTCGCCCAACTCCCCGACGACGTCGGCGAGCCGGACGCCGACGTACGGATCGAGGATCGTCTCGTCGTCGTCGGCGCGCGGGTCTCGCGCGCGAAGACACTCCGCCGTGATTTTTATCGCCGCGTAGCACCCCTCGTTCCACGCGTCCCTCGCGGTTTTAACCTTATCTCCGCCGCCGCCGCCGCCGTCGAGCGCGTCCCAGTCGACGATCGCGCCGTACACGCGCGGGAGGGGACGGTCGAGATCGTCGTCCGAGAGCTCGAGCAGGAGGTCCAGAGGCGGCGGCGGCTGCCGCGGTCGAATCCGCGCGAACGCGCCGACGAGCGCGACGGACGCGTCGTCGTCGCGAAGCGCCGCCGCCGCCGCCGCCGGGAGGCGCGCGACACGCAGCGCGAGCGCACCGCCGCCGTTAACGCCGACGCGCAGCGCGCTGGCGGTCGGGAGGACGCCCGCGTCGGCGATGGTCTCCACGGTCGTGGACCAAGACCAGTCCTCCCACGCGGCGTTCACGACCCCGCGCGCGCCAACCGCGGCGGCGGTTTTTTTCAAAGCCGTCGACGACTTCGACTTGGTCGCGTTCGTCGCGTTCGTCGCGTTTGCGCTTCGAATCGACACGTCCGATCGGAGCTCCGAAAGAGACAACCGCTCCGCGACGCCCGGGCACCGCTTCGGCGTCGACGGCGGATCGCACGGCGTCGCCGCGCACTCGTCGTCGATCTCCGTCGTCGGAAGCAAGCACGGCAGCGGCGCGGAGACGTCGTCGAACGGCGGCATGTCCGAGACGTCGCGTCGTCGGCCTCTCGACGCCCTCGGCTCGCCGCAGTACACGCCGCACCTCGGCCCGCGCGCGGCGTCCTGGGCGCAGCACTCGCCCCAGGGCTCCCACGCGGAGAACGTCGGCGCGACGCACGAGTCGTTCGACGGCGGCGGGGTGACGTCCCCGGGCGCGGAGACCGCGGACGCGAACGCGGGAGCGTCGTCGTCGGCGTCGTCGTTCTCTTCTTCTTCTTCTTCTTCTTCTTCTTCTTCTTCTTCTTCTTCGTCCTCCTCCTCCTCCTCGTCGATCCTCTCGCGCGCGAAGTCGACGCCGTCTCCGCGCGCGGCGAGCCTCACGCGCGCGGTCGCCGCGACGAACCCGCTCGACGTCGTCAACGTCAGCTTCACGACGTCGCCGTCGTCGACGTCGTCGCCGTCCTCGTCCTCGCTCAGGTCGAGGCTCTTCCCTCTCGTCCACCGCTGGACGAGATACCCCTCGCCTCCGCGCGGGCTGACCGCGCGGGATCGAAACCCGGCGGGGTCGCGCACGAGCGCGAGCCGCGATCGCGGCGCGAGGACCGTCCCCGGCGCGAGCGCGTGCCGCACCTTCCCCGGCGCCCTGAGTAGGACGATTCCATACAAAAAAGTTCATCGGTCAGTTGAAAGGGGACGCGATCAAACGTTCGTTGAAACCGTGAGATGGGTGAAAAACGTTTGTAGAGAACGCGCCTGAACGTCCAACCGGAGAGGTCGACGGCGAAGTCGTTCGGATTGATCACCTCCGCGAACGCGCGCTCGCGGTCTTCGCGCGCCTCGTCGACGTCGCCGAACGCGACCCGCACGTCCTCGCGCTGCGGCGGCGGCATCTCCGACGTCTCCTCCAGCAGCTGTCTTCTTCGCGCGGGAAGAAACTGCGAGCGGAGTTGGAGGACGCCCTGCTCCACGGCGCGCACGCCGCCGACGTTCCACTTTTCGCTGTCTCGCCGCGCGTCGTTTTTAATCGCTCGCAGATACTCCATCGCGGTTCGGTCGATGAAGTCGCTCATGAGCAGCGCGTCCGCGAGCGTCCGCAGGCGACGCAGGTACATCGCGCGCGTCTTGGGTGTCTTCAAAACGGCGTCGACGAGGACGTTATACGTGCTCTTGGCCTCCATCCCGTCGCGGTCGTCGACGAAGACGTCTTGCGGGTGATTGGCGTCGCAGAAAAACACAGAGTTGAACTTGTCGCACGTGAGCAAGCAGTAGTCCGTCTCGTTCGCGCCGCACTGCGTCGCCGCGTCGCAGCGGCCGATGCCATCGCGATAGTCCACGGGAAACGCGTCCTCGAGATCCCACGGCAGACGACGCCACTCGAGCGTGTCGCGGTCGCGCGTCACGAAGTAATTCTTCGCGCATCGATCGACGGACAACACGAGCGTCTGCGCGGCCATCTCGTTGAGTATCGCGGGGACGTCCAAAGCGTCCATGAGCAGAGCGTCGCCGATGTCGCGAGGATCCGCGACGACGCGCGCGAGCGTCGTCGTGAGCTCCGTCAACGGCGCGAACGCGGCGGATTTCAGCGTCTTCACTTCCTGGACCGCCGCCGCGCTCGGGGTGCGGCGCCAGCGGCCTTCGCCGATTGGGTACGCGTCCAACTCGAGCGCCTCCGAGGCTTTCATCGCGCGCTTCGCGTCGCCGTTCACGACGCGCCACACCTCAGGACACTCCTCCCACCGCGCCGGCCAGTCCGGGGTCGCCCACGGGCACTGCGCCGTAACGTTCGGCGCGCGGAGGTTACTGTACTTCCAGTGCACCGCCTTGTACGCGTCGGCTTTGTCGTCCAGACCGTTGCGTTTCATGAACGTCTCGTCCACTTGCTCGACGAACGAGTACAGACCGTGGTACGCGCCGTTTAGGTACACGACGAGGTGGAACATCGCGGGCGCCGGGACGCCCGCGGCGGCGAACGTCGCCGACGCTAAGTTCTCCCGCATGTACGTCTCTTCCCCCGGCTCTTGGAAGTGACTCTGGAGGTTGAACTCGCTCACGCCTCGTTCGTCGTTCGACCAGACGAACTTCTCGCCGCGTTTCATGTCCACCTTGAGTTTCTTTTTCGGCCAGTCCTTCGGCGGTAACGTCACGCCGACGACGGTTTCCGCGCGTCCAGAACCGCGGCGGCGGACGGACGCGCTGTCGTAATACCGCCCGCGAAAAAACAACGACACCGCCGCGCCGTCGTCCGTGCTCATTCCGTCCGGGTCTTCCGTGAACACGTGCAGGCGTTCCAGCGCGGCCGCGTCGTCGCCGCCGCCGCCGTCGTCGTCGTCGTCGTCGTCGTCGTCGTCGTCGTCGCGTTCGTCGCCCATCACGACCGTCCCGCGGTACCGCGGCCGCTCGTCGTTGTCGAATTTTGGCGACCGCGACGTCGCCGCCGCCGCCGCCGCGCGCGTCGCCTCGACGCGCCATCTGAAGACGTCGCCCCCGCGCGCGGCGCCGTCGCCGGGGACGCGCACCGCCGCGGCGTACTCGCCGTCGTCCGCGCGCACGTCCGGGAACACGCCGTCGTCGCGCATCGGCCCCCACGACTGTTCGTCCTGGAAGTTCACCCTCGTGAAGGTGGTCAGCGTGACGTTTTCTTCGTTCGCGAGGCGCGCGCGCGCGAGGGCCGCGCGCACGCCGCCGTCGCCGTCGATGTCGACGTCGAGCCGCGCGCGAATCACGACGACGTCGCCCGGGGACGGCCGCGTCTCGAGCGCGCGCGTCGTCAGCTTGAGCTTGAGGTCGAGGTCGAGGTCGTCGTCGTCGCCGCCGTCGCGCGTCGCGACGCAGACAGCGCGCGTCGGGAGCAGCAACAGCGCGGCGCACGCGAGGACGACGAAGACGGAGGCGGCAGCGGGGGGTGCCCCGCGGCCGCCGCCGCGCGCGCGATCGCGCGACGACGCGCGCATGACGCCGGCGCCGGTCGCGACCTTTCTCCACGCGCGGTCTGCGGACGCGACGCGCGTCCGTCGCCGGCTGCTGTCGTCCGCGACCGACGTCGGCGGCGACGACGACGCGACGACGACGACCGCTCGTCTCGACTCGCGCCCTCGGACCTCGGACCTCGGACGCGCCGCGGGGACGCGGAAGCGGATAGGCGGAAGCGGCGCTCGCGGCGTCGAGGGTCTCGGGCCGACCAAAAACAGAACCACGAGCTGGTTTCTCTTTCCGGAATTTTTCTCTTGACGCCGCGCTGCCGGCGCGTGAAAACCCTGCTGCGACGGACGCCGCCGCGCGCGGGGCAAAACGCGACTCGCGCGACACGCGCGCGCGCCACCCCGCGACGAACGACCCGCGCGCGCCTTCGCGCACGCGAACCCGCGCGAATCCGGCGCGAAAACCCGCGCGCGCGTCGACGGACCCGCGTCGCCGTCGCGCGCCCGGAACGCGCGCGGCCCTCCCGCGTTCTTTTTTTCGTCCTCGCGGAGCGGGCGGAACGGTCGGCGGACCGCGGCAGAGCTTGACGCGCGGAAGACGGCCGATCGCGGCGCGCGCGCTATGGTGCGCCCCCTCCCTGGCGTCGCATCCCGCGCGGATGCGATCCTTCCACCCGCACGCGACCGCCGCGGACGTCGTCGTCGCGTTTCCCGCGCCTCGCGCGCGCGCGCGCGAACGCGCGAACGCGCGAGCGGTGACGCGTCGCTGACCCGATATTTCCTTCCTCCTCCGCGCGTTCGCTCTTCTCGCAGGTGAAGCTCGGACAGCCCGGCGGCGACGCGCCGACGGCGCCGAAGGAGGACGCCGCGTTCGGCGCGTTCGCCGCGCTCGAGCGCGAGCGCACGTTCGCGAGCGCGAACGATCCGATACGCTCGGTCCTGCAGCACAGCAAGAGCCACCCGCGTATGCTCGAGAGTGCGTGCCAAGCCGCGTTCGTTGTTTTTCTTCGCGCGCGCCCGAACGCGCGCGCGCCGGCCGCGACCTCGCGCGGCGCCGCCCCTCCGCGCCCGAGACGCGCGACGCTGACCTCTCGTAACCTACACCTACCCCGCAGGCAACGCGACGTCGCACGTGTGGCCCTTGGGCGCGCTCGCGGAGCTCCTCGACAAGTACGCGCGCGAATCGCCTCGATCGCGCATCGCCAGAGCCCGGTCGCGCGGTCGCGCGGCGTCGGTCTCTCGCGCTCGAATCTGATGTAATTTTCCTTGGCGGCGCGCCGCCGCGCGCCGCCCCCCCCGCTTCCCGACCTCCGTCCCTGACCCGACCCTCGCCCCCCACCCGCCTCCGAAATATCCCCACCCACCGCAGCGCGCAAGACCAGGAGTGCGGCGCGACCGAGGTGCACGTGGACGTCGTCAACGTCGCCCCCGGCGTTCCCGCGATCACGGTGCAAGACGACGGCGTCGGCATGGCGCGCGCGAACCTGCACTGCATGCTGTCGTTCGGATTCAGCAGCAAAGAGCACGTCGTCGGGAACGTCGGGCGGTTCGGGATCGGGTTCAAGTCCGGCTCGATGCGTCTCGCGAACGATGCGCTCATATTGACGCGACGGGAAGGGCAAGCCTCCGTCGCGTTGCTGTCGACGACGTTTCTGAACGCGATCGACGCGGACGACATTCTCATCCCGATGTTCACGTGGAAAGTCGACGAGTCCGGGGGAAGCGGACGGCGGTCGTACATCGCGGACGAGCCGTCGAACACGACGGAGTGGGAGGAGAACATGGCGGTCATCGAGGAGTACACGTTCCTGAAGTCCGAGGCCGCGGTGCTCGAGGAGCTGGACAAGATCGACACGAAAACCGGCACGAGGATCGTCCTCTTCAACCTGAAGCAGCCGTCCGAGTTCGACTTCGAGCACGACCAGAGCGATATTCGCATGCGCGGGATCGAGGACGACGTGGAGACCGCGAGGATGTCCTCGCGAAGGCCGGTGTACCAGCAGCACCGCCCGGGGCAGCAGATGACGCTCGACGTCCCGGAGGATTACTCCCTGCGCGCGTACATTGAGGTGTTGTACTTGAGACCGACGGTGACGTTCACGCTTCGCGGGGAGAAGATCGTCCCTCGAAGCGCGATCGAACGCCTCGCGGTGGAGTACTACCAGTTCGACGCGTACACCCCGAAGGGTGTTCCTGAGGAGCGCGCGTCCCCGATCATCGTGCACTGCGGGTACGCGGAGGTGAAGAGCAAGCACTGTGGGTTTCACATCTACAACAAGAACCGCCTCATTCGCATGTATCAGAGGTACGGCTCCCAGCTCCAGGCGAACGCGATGATGAAAGACATGCTCGGCGTCGTCGAGGCGGACTGCTTAGAGCCGACGCACAACAAGCAGGCGTTCAACACGACGGACATCGCGTACACGAAGTGCCAGCGGCACATCGAGCAGTGCATGAACGACTACTACTTCGGCGTGCAAAAAATTCGCCTCGCCGGGCTCGGGAGCGGGAACAAGCGGAGGCACCCGGCGAAGCAAAAGGCGGCGAAGAACAACGCGAAGAAGAAGTCCGCGTCCAAGAAGGAGCGGAGCCAGCGCGCGACTTCGTTCGGGAGCGACGACGACACGGACGAGGAGCCGTGGGAGGAGAACGACGACCCGAAGGGCGGGCTCAACGCGAAGCGGAACACGACGGCGCGCGCCAAGGCGAGAGTCGACCCGTTCCCGCGCCTCCTTCGCAAGCTCATGCGGAACAAAAACTCGTGGGCGTTCAACGAGCCCGTGGACGCGGAGTACTGGGGCGTCCCGGACTACTACGAGAGAATATCCACGCCGATGGACTTCGGGACGATCGCGACGCAGCTCGACAACGGCGATTACCGCACCGAAGGGAGCGCGCACGGGCCGTTGAAATTCGTCACGGACGTCCGGCAGGTGTTTTACAACGCGTGGACGTACAACCAGCCCGGGCACCAGGTGTACGGGTTCGCGCAGGACCTCGCGCGGATCTTCGAGACCGACCTCGCGAAGATCGTCGGCGAGAACGACGAGTGGGGTCTGCTCGTCGGGAACACGATGTCCATGGCGGGGCCGGCGCCGGAGCCGGAGAGGAGAAAGAGCGCGCCCGACGGCGGCGGCGGCGGCGGCGGCGGCGGCGGCGGGACCGCCGCCGCCTCGGCCGCCGGGAACGCGATCGTCGTCGTGAAGAGCGAGACCGGCGGGTCGCACGCCATCGACGCGGAGACGATCAAGGCGCTGGTGGACACGCGCGCGGCGCAGGCGATCGCGGAGGCGAACAAACAGAGGGACGAAGCGTACGCGGCGTTGCGGAAAGAGCGCGCGAGCCGCGAGGCGTTCGAAGCCGAGCTCGAGGCGCAGACGACGGAGTTGATTCGCTCCGCGCGCGAGGAGGCGAAGATGCAGAGGATGAAGCTCGAGGAGGAGAAGGAAACGTTGATGGGGTGTCTCAAGGATAGCAACGATCTGAAGCGGATGCTTCAGGAGGAGAACAAGGCGCTCAAGGCGCGGCTCGGGGGGGACGAGGCGTCCACGCAGATTTGAGCGACGACGTTCGAGGGGTTAAGTGAAGTGAAGAGAATTCACGGAGGACCGCCGCGGTCGAAGCGACGACGCGGTGCGGTAGCGAATTTATGAACTCCACGCCGTGGATTTCGATGGTATTCATCTTATTACGAGAGTAAATCACGTCGCATCGCTCGAAACGCGACGCGGCGTAGGGCTGAGCTGGGCGACGTCGGGTTGTTACCCCCGGTGTTGGAGTTTGCCGGTTTTTTCATCGCGTCGAACCCGCTGTTCGCGGAGGACAAGCGCTACGCCGGTCCGTACGACTCGATCGTGTGGAAGGTCGAGGACGACATCGTGTTCAAGGCGTGATCGAACGCCGCGTCGCGTTCGGTTCGTGATGACGTGAGCGATGCGTACAGTACAGTACCATATGTATGTTAAATATTCACAACAGAGGGGGTCGGAAAACCCCTGACAAGAGAGCGCCCGCGCTCGTTTCGATTTTACGTCTGGATACTCTTGGCGGTGTTGAGGAAATCTTCTGCCTCGTCATTGCCCGCGGTCCTGCTCCAGTACGGTTTCGGCGGCTTCAGGTCGGAACGGGCTATGGAACGGGCTACGGACTCCGGCGTCGGCTCGGGCTCCGGCGTCGGCTCGGGCTCCGGCGTCGACGTCGCCGGCGTCGGCTCGGGCTCTGGCGTCGACGTCACCGGCGTCGGCTCGGACTCCACCGTGTCGTCATGGTGATCGTCGGAGCCGTCTTCGGGCTCCGGCGTCGGCTCGGGCTCCGGCGTCGGCGTCGCCGGCTCGGGCTCCGGCGTCGGCGTCGCCGGCGTCGGCTCTGGCGTCGACGTCGCCGGCGTCGGCTCTGGCGTTGACGTCGCCGGCGTCGGCTCGGGCTCTGGCGTCGACGTCACCGGCGTCGGCTCGGACTCCACCGTGTCGTCATGGTGATCGTCGGAGCCGTCTTCGGGCTCCGGCGTCGGCTCGGGCTCCGGCGTCGGCGTCGCCGGCTCGGGCTCCGGCGTCGGCGTCGCCGGCGTCTGCTCTGGCGTCGACGTCGCCGGCGTCGGCTCTGGCGTCGACGTCGCCGGCGTCGGCTCGGGCTCTGGCGTCGACGTCACCGGCGTCGGCTCGGACTCCACCGTGTCGTCATGGTGATCGTCGGAGCCGTCTTCGGGCTCCGGCGTCGGCTCGGGCTCCGGCGTCGGCGTCGCCGGCTCGGGCTCCGGCGTCGGCGTCGCCGGCGTCGGCTCTGGCGTCGACGTCGCCGGCGTCGGCTCGGACTCCACCGTGTCGTCGTGGTGATCGCCGGAGCCGTCTTCGTCGTTCATCGAGTCCGTCATGGAGCCCGGCATGGAGTCCATCGTGGAGACCGGCATGGAGTCCCTCGTGGAGACCGGCATGGAGTCCATCATGGAGCCCGGCATGGAGTCCATCATGGAGCCCGGCACGAAGTCCATCATGGAGCCCGGCATGGAGTCCATCGTGGAGACCGGCATGGAGTCCATCGTGTCGTCGTGGTGATCGTCGGAGCCGTCTTCGTCGTTCATGGAGTCCGTCATGGAGCCCGGCATGGAGTCCATCGTGGTGCCCGGCATGGTGGCCATCGTGTCGTCGTGGTGATCGTCGGAGCCGTCTTCGTCGTTCATCGAGTCCGTCATGGAGACCGGCATGGAGTCCATCGTGGAGACCGGCATGGAGTCCATCGTGGAGACCGGCATGGAGTCCATCATGGAGCCCGGCATGGAGTCCATCATGGAGCCCGGCATGGTGTCCATCGTGTCGTCGTGGTGATCGTCGTCGAGGTGGCACACGCCGTGTTCTTTCCACGTCGTCTCCATCTCCTTCAGCATCGCGGCGATGTCGAAAGTCCCGTAGTGGGGGTGATTGTTGAAGTACTCGTCGAGCTTCTCGATGTTGGAGTCAGTCTTGTTGAGGAAATCGACGATGTCTTGCGGGACGCCGCAGTTTTCAATTAACGCGACGCCGTCCTGGATGCCCACGTGTTCCGCCATCGCCTTCGGGAATCCCTCCGGGAGGTCGCCCACGTTGTAGTTCAGCGGCGGCTCGGAGGAGTGTTCCGCGAGGGGTTTGTGGTCGTCGTCGTGGTCGTCGTCGTTCATGGAGTCCATCGTGGAGACCGGCATGGAGTCCATCGTGGTGCCCTGCATGGAGTCCATCGTGGAGCCCGGCATGGAGTCCATCGTGGTGCCCGGCATGGAGTCCATCGTGGAGCCCGGCACGGTGTCCATCGTCGTCGGCTCCGAATCCGAAGTCGGCGTCAGCATCGACGACTGCTCGAGCTCGTTCGCCTCCTGTTCCATCTGCGCCGCTTTCTTCTTGATCCTTTCCGCCAACGCGTGATGATCTTTCTTGATGGTCATCGTGAGCTCCTCATCCATCTTCTTTCGCTCTTCTTGGACGATGCCGTCAACCATCTTCGTGACCGCGCGGTCCATCTCGTAGAGATGCTTTGCCTCAGCTCGAACGCGCTCCATATCAGGTTCCAAGATCGCGCGGACGCCATTGTGGACGCGTTTGTCGACCACCGCGCCCGCGCCCGCTTCGGCGGCTTCGTACCCGAGCGCCGGGTCCTCGCCCGCGTCAGACATCGTGGTGCCCGGCATAGAGTCCATCGTGGTGCCCGGCATGGTGTCCATCGTGGAGTCCGGTGTGGTGTCCATCGTGGTGCCCGGCGTGGTGTCCGAGACGGCCGACGCGTCCGTCGGATCGATCGCGACGGTCGCCGCCGTCGCGTTCGAGACGTCCGACGCCACGTCCGCCGGATCTCCCTTCACCGCGTCGACGATGTCGTGCACGATGTCGTGCATCTCGTCTTTCGTCGGGAGGCGTCCGTGCTCCGCCTTGAACTTTTCGAGAAACGCCTCGGCGCGCGCGCGCACGACGCTCGGGTCCGGCCCCGCGATCCGCGCCGTCGCGTTCGCCGCGACCGCCTCCGCGCTCGCGAAATTATGCATCATGTCGTCCGCGACGTGTTCGAAGCTCTCGGTCGCGTGCTTCATCTCGTCTCGGAACTCGCGCTCCATCGCGCCGATCGCGCGGACGACGGGCGAGTAGGACGCGTTGGCGCGCGGCTCGTTCGCGAACGCCGCGTTCATCGCCTCCGCGGAAGCCGGGCACGGGTCGCCGCCGACGGCGCTCCAGCACGCGCCTCGCCCGTCCTCGACCTCCCACTCGCACGCGAATCGATCGGGGGCTTCGCACATCTCTTTCGTGACGTTCGCGCCCTCGCACAGGAGCTCGCAGCCCATCGTGCCAGGGTAATGCTCGGAGCCGGAGTGTCCGCGGTGGTGCGCGAGGATGTGGTTCGTCAGCTGCGCGGCGGCGTCGTCCACGGAGTCGAACGCGGCCGACGTCGGCGGCATCGCGCTCGCGTCGTCGCCGTTAGCGTCGCTTTCCTCGTGCATCTCCGTCGCGTGGCCGTCCTCGCCGACCACGACCGTGGACTCCGCGTGCGTCTTCCATGGCGACGCGTTGGGCTCGGGAGAGGGCGCGTATTCGGGAGAGGGCGCGGGCGCGGAAGAGGGCGCGGGCGCGGCGAGGATCGCCGCGCCCGAGCCCGCGGGCGCGCTCGTCGCGTTCCCGAGCCCGAGCTTCGCCGCCGCGCCGTGGCCGATCGCGCCGCGGCCGAGGACCGCGACCGCGGCGAGGCTCACGACGACCGCGGCGCCGATCGTCGGGAGCGTCGGAAACGCGCGCGTCTTCTTCGCGCCGCGGGGGCGAAGCAGGTAGTCGGTCTCGTCGGCGCGGGAGGCGCTCATGACGACGCGCGGGTCACGTCGGGAAATATCGACGCGCGGGCGCTCGTGCGGTGCGGCGCGCGCGCGGGTGTGCAGCCGCGAAGGGGCGGGGGACAGAAAGACCTACAGGGTAGAAAGGAAGAAGCTGATTGGCTGAGAGGGCCGCGTGTAACCAAGGTGTGTAACACCACCGGTAGCCCGTAGCCGCGGGGATATTTAAGCGTAACATGTCGCGATTAAGCTATGTTTTGACCGGAGAAGCGCGATCCAGGGCGAACGTTTTGAAAGGCGGACCCACGCCCACCGGCTTTGAAGCGCGATAGACGGGGCGGGGCGTCAGACGTTCACCGCGCGATGCGCGAGTCGGCGCGTCCCGAGGACTGCCTCTCGTGCCGCGTCATCGGCGCGTCCGCGTGCGTCGGTGCGCGCGCGCCCTCGGAATCGAATCGAATCGTCTCTCGAGCCCGCCGTCGCGCGTCGCGTCGCGTCGCGTCGCGCCCTCTCTCCCTCCATCCCTCTTCCGCGTCGTCCCTCTCGTCGTTGAACGAGCGCTCCTCCTTCCTCTTCGCGTCGTCTCGTCCGCGCAGGCTCGAGCGGGGTCATCGCGTACGAGCTCTGGGCCGGCGCGCCGAGGCCGCCGGCGCACCGATACGTCATGGGCGCGGTGGGCGGCGCGCTCTTCGCGATGGGCGTGTACCGCGCGTTGATGACGTGAGCGCGCGCGGGGGGGGTTGGGTCGCGTCGTACCGTTAGATCCGTTAGAGATAGTCTAGCTGCTAGAGATTAGAGTTCGTTGACGAGGGATCTATCAGCCAGGTCTCCCGCGCGTCGCCGTCGCGCCGCGCGCGCCGCTCGTCCCGACGTCACTGACACTCGCACAGCTCGAGATCCAGCGCCACTTTTAGGCACTGCTTCGAGCAGTACCACGCGCGGCGGCACTTGTGACACCGAACCTTCACGCCCTTCTTCGAGCATCGATTGCATCGCTTGTACGCCTTGACCTGCTTGCTGAAGCCGCTGTCGTCCCCGGGGAAGAGCGCCTCCTTCGCTCTCAGGAGGACGACGATCGCGCCGACGGCTCCGACGACGGGGAGCACGAGCGGGGGGAGAGGGATCTTTCGCAGCAGGGACGCCATCCTCGCGCGACGTCTTCTCGCGAGGCGCCCGCCGGCGAGGTCGTTGTGAGCGGATTTCGCTCTATGCGCCGGTGGATTTTATTATTCACTTTTTCGGGCACGGGAGCGGGAGCACGGGGATGGGGACGTGGATGCGGGGACAACAAAATTTGATAGGCCGCCTTGAAAGCGCGAACAAAATTTGAAAGAACGATTTTCATCGGCGCGTTATCGGCAATCAGGCATTCACCCTCGATCTCGCCTCGCGATTGCATAGCACGACGACCTGGGGCGGCTGGCTCTCGCGCGCGCTTTGAACGAGATAGCGCGACCGCCGCCGCATCCGCGCCGACGCACTGTCCCTCGCGCGTCGCCGCACGCTCACGATACGTGGCGCGGACATCACGCGAGCGCGCGCCGAGGGTCTCACCCGCGAGGTCGAATCCCGCGACGGGACCGCGACGACGCCGCGACGGGAGGGACGCGCGCGCGTTCAGGGTCGAGGCGGTATAGTCGTCGATCGGAAAAAGTTGGCGTAATCTTTTTTACCGAGCCACGACGCGAGCGAACGCGCCGTTCGCATCATGGGGAAGAAAGGAGGCAAGAAAGGGAAAGGGCTCCCGAACCTCAGCGATGACGAGGACGTCCCGGATCCGATCGCCGCCGGCGGTGGCGGCGGCGGAGGCGGCGGCGGAGGCCCGAAGAAGAACAAGAAGGGCAAGCGAAGAGGGGACGCGAGCTCGGACGAGGACGACGCGCCGCCCGCGAAAGCGCCGCCGGGGAAGACCGCCGCCGCCGCGGACGACGACGACGACGCCCCCGCGCTGTCGCGAGCGCAGAAGCGCAAGGACAAGAAGAACAAGAAGGGAGGCAAGGGCGGAGGCGGAGGGAAAGGCGGCTTCGACGACGACGACGACGACGACGACGATCTCCTCGCGCTCGCCGCGATGGGAGGCGGCGGCGGCGGCGGCGGCGGCGGCTCGGACGACTCCGAGGACGAGCCCCCCGCGTTCAAACCGCCGGCGAAGAACAACCAAAAGAAAGGAGGGAAGGGCGGCGGCGGCGCGGCCGGGTTCGCCGCGCTCATGGGCGGCGACTCGGACGAAGACGCCTCCGAGCCGGAGCCCGAGCCGGAGTCCGACTCCGACGGCGACGCCGCGCCCGCGCGCGGCGGCGGCGGCGCCGCCGCGGGGTTCGCCGCGCTCATGGGCGGCGACTCAGACGAAGACGACGACGGCGCCGAAGAGGAGCTGGAGCCGGAGCCGGAGCCGGAGCCCGAGCCGGAGCCCGAGCCGGAGCCCGACGTTCTCGTGAAGAAAAAGAAGAAAAAGAAGGGAGGCTTCGACGCGCTCGCGCTCGAGGACGACGAGCCCGAGCCCGAGCCCGAGCCCGAGCCCGAGCCCGAGCCGCCCGCGGCGCCGCCCGCGGGCGACGACGGCAGCGACGACGAGCCGCTCCTCCTCGTGAAGAAGAAGAAGAAGAAGAAGCCGCTCGATTTGAGCGCGCTGACCGGGGAGGACGAACCCGCGGCGGCGGCGGCGGCGGCGGAGCCGGGGTTGATCATCGCGGAGGTGACCGAGTGCGCGCCGCATCCGATGGCGGACAAGCTCACGATCTGCCAGGTCGACGTGGGCGACGGCGAGCCGCTTCGCGTCGTGTGCGGCGCCCCCAACGTCCGCGCCGGTCTGAAGGTGATCTTCGCGCGCGTCGGCGTCGTCGTTCCGAGCACCGGGGCGAAGCTCGCGAAGACGCCGCTGCGCGGGGTCATGTCGGAAGGGATGATTCTCTCCGCCGCGGAGATGGGGTGGATGCCGAAGGCGGTCGGGATCATCGAGTGCCCGAAGAAAGCGCCGGTCGGGGAGCCCGCGCCCTTGGACCCGCCGCCGGACCTCGCGATGGCGGACCCCGCGGCGAAGAAGAAGAAGAGCAAGGACAAGGACGGGAAGGAGAAGAAGGAGAAGAAGGAGAAGAAGGAGAAGGAGAGAGAACGCTCGCCGACGCAGGAGGCGGAGGCGGAGGCGCCGCCCGCGGAGCTCGTCCTCGGGAAGAAGAAGAAGAAGAAGGCCGCGCCGGAGCCCGAGCCCGAGCCGGAGCCGGAGCCGGAGCCCGAGCCGGAGCCGGAGCCGGAGCCCGAGCCGGAGCCGGAGCCGGAGCCCGAGCCGACGGCCAAGGAGGAAAAGACGAAGAAGAAGAAAAAGAAGGGCGGCGCCAAGGAGGAGGAGAAGACCGGGGACGACGACCTCGACGCGCTGTTCGCGGAGCTCGGGATCGAGAAGAAGGAGGAGGACGCCGGAGGCGGCGAGTCCAAGGCTGCGAAGAAGCGGCGCGAGAAGAAGGAGCGCGAGGCGGCGGCGGCGGCGGCGGCGGCGGCGGGCGAGGGCGGCGGCGCCGCGGCGGACGGCGCGGATGATGGCGGCGCGGCGGGCGGCGCGGAGGAAGGCGAGAGCGTCTGGGAGAAACAGCTCGAGGAGCTCGAAGCGCTGCAGGCGTCCGGGGAGAAGCTCAACGACTCGCAGAAGAATAAGCTCAAGAAGCTCAAGAAGAAGGCGAAGGAGAAGGAGGCGAAGGACGCGAAGGGCGGCGCCCCCGGCTCTGGCTCGAAATCGGGCGCCGGGAAGCCGTCCGCCGCGGTGCTCAGGATGCAAGAGCAGATTCGTCTCCGCGAGGAAGCCGAGGCCGCGGCCGCCGCCGCGGAGGCGGAGCGGATCGCGCAGGAGGAGGCCGAGGAAGCCGCTGCCGCCGCGGCCGCCGCGGAGGCGGAGGCGAAGCGCCTCGCGAAGAAAGAGCGCGAGCGTCTGAAGAAGGAGCAGCTGAAGAAGGAAGGGAAGCTCCTGACCGGGAAGCAAAAAGAGGAGCAACGGCGGTTGGAAGCGATGCGCGCGCAGATCCTGCAGAACTCCGGGTCGTCCGGTAACCTCGCCGCGGACGACGACGGCGACGGCGAGCTCAGGCGCTCCGTCGTCGTGGACGACCGCAAGAAGAAGAAGGAGCTGTTCGAGCAGCGTAAAGCCGAGGCGATCGCGCGCAAAGCCGCGGAGGAAGAGGCGGCGATAAAAAAATTGCAGGAGGACAAAGCCGCGGCCGCGGCCGCGGAAGCCGCCGCGAAGGCTGCGGCTGCCGCGGAGGAGAGCGACGACGCGGAGGACGACTGGGACGCCGTGGACGACCTCGACGCGCTCGTGAAGATCCCGAACAAGGCGGAGGAGGAGAGGAAAGCGAAAGAGGCGGCCGAGCGCGAAGCCGCGCGACTCGCCCTCGACGCGGAGAAGAAGCGCAAGGCGGCGGAAGAGGCCAAGGCGGCGAAAGCGACGGCGAAGCCCGCGCCGGGGAGCGGCGGTAAGGGCGAGAAGCCGTGGGCCGCGGCCGCGAGAGCGAAAGCGGAAGCCGCGAAAGCCGCGAACGCGGAGGCCTCGGATTCCGACTCCGAGAGCGGCTCGGATTCCGACGCGTCCGGTTCCGATTCCGACGCGTCCGGCTCGGACAGCGACAGCGACAGCGACAGCGACAGCGACAGCAGCGACTACAGCTCGTCGGACTACACCTCGAGCGAGGAAGACTCCGACGACGAGCGCGAGCGTTTACACCGGGAGAAGATGCAGGTCGCGAAGACAGCGCGTCTGGCGCGGTTCGAAGCGATCAAGGCGGCGAGGTCCGCGGATCGCCTGCGGTGCCCGATCATCTGTATCCTCGGGCACGTCGACACCGGGAAGACGAAGATCCTCGATAACATCCGTCGCACGAACGTTCAGGACGGCGAGGCTGGCGGGATCACGCAGCAGATCGGCGCGACGTTCATCCCGGACACCGCGATTCGCGACCGGACGTTTCAGCTCAACAAGGGCGAGCTCAAGCTCGACGTCCCGGGTCTCCTCGTCATCGACACCCCCGGGCACGAGTCGTTCACGAACCTCCGCTCGCGCGGATCGTCTTTATGCGACCTCGCGATCCTCGTCGTGGACATCATGCACGGCCTGGAGCCGCAGACGCTGGAGTCGCTGAACATGCTGCGGATGCGAAAGACGCCGTTCATCATCGCGCTGAACAAAATCGACAGGATGTTCGACTGGGACGCGAAAGCCGACTTCCCCACCCGGGAAACGCTCGCGCTTCAGAAACAGCACGCGCGCGCGGAGTTCGAGGACCGCGCGAAGAAGGTCATGCTCGAGTTCGCGAACGAGGGCTTGAACGCGGCGATATATTGGGACAACCCGGACGTGCGGAAGTTCATCAACGTCGTCCCGACGTCCGCGATCACGGGCGAGGGCATTCCCGACATGATCCACACGCTCGTGGACCTGACGCAGACGAGGATGAACGAACGCCTTCGGTTCTTCGACGCGGTGCAGTGCACAGTCCTCGAGGTGAAGATGCTCGAGGGTTTGGGGACCGCGATGGACGTCATCCTCATCAACGGCACGCTTCGGGAGGGAGACACGATCGTCGTCGCCGGGCTGCAAGGCGCGATCGTGACGACGATCAGAGCGCTTCTCACGCCGCAGCCGATGCGAGAGATGCGCGTGAAGGCGAACTACGTGCACCACAAGGAAATCTCCGCGGCGATGGGGATCAAGATCGTCGCGAACGGACTCGAGCAAGCGATCGCGGGGACCTCGATGCTCGTGCAGAACAAAGAGGACGACCTCGACGAGCTCAAGGACGAGGTGTTGTCCGACATGAAGAACGTCTTCTCGCGGGTGGACAAGAGCGGCGAGGGCGTGTACGTGCAAGCGTCCACGCTCGGGTCGTTGGAAGCGCTGTTGGAGTTCTTAAAGTCCGACGCGGTGAAGATCCCCGTCGCCGGGATCGCGATCGGGCCGGTGAACAAACGCGACGTCATGGGCGCGTCGGTGATGCACGAGCGGAAGCGACCGGAATTCGCCACGATTCTCGCGTTCGACGTGAAAGTCACGGAAGAGGCGACGCGGATGGCGAACGAGCTCAACGTCAAGGTGTTCACCGCGGACATCATATACCACCTGTTCGATCAGTTCACCGCGTACATGGCGGAGATCAAGGCGAAGAAGAAAGCCGCCGCCGCGGAGCACGTGTCCTTCCCGTGCGTGCTCAAGATCATGCCCAACTGCATCTTCAACAAGCGCGACCCGATCATCGTGGGCGTGGACATCGTGAAAGGCATCGCGCGCATCGGGACGCAGCTGTGCATTCCCTCGCAGGGGTTCATCGACATCGGTAAGATCGCGGGCATGGAGAGGGACCACAAGCAGGTGGACAAGGCGACGCCGGGGCAGTCGGTGGCGATGAAGATTCAACCCGTCAGCGCTGCGGAGAGCAGCCGACTGTACGGGCGGCATTTCGATCACAAAGACGAGCTCGTGAGCCGGATCACGCGCGAGTCGATCGACATGCTGAAGGAGAACTTCAGGGACGAGCTCGGGAAGGAGGACTGGCGGTTGGTCGTCGAGCTGAAGAAGAAGTTCGAGAACCACTACGGCGAACCCATGTGATGGAATCATTTTTTTACGCGTCGTCTTTTTATACGCGCGCCGCACCGCCCGCCTCTTCGAGCGGTCTGTCTCGCTACCTAGGCAAACAAAGCACACAAAGCATACTTCTGGTTTTCTCAACCGCGTCACACGTGCTCTAGCGCCTCGAGCGGGTAGTACCACCCGTACGTCGGGTATCGCCCTCCGGCGATGGCGACGAGGCCGTTCGGGACGGATAACCCGACGACCGGCGACTGCCGATACGCCTTGGAGACGACGCCCACGGGGAAGGGCTTTCCCACGGTGTCGTCCATGCCTTGCTCCCATCCGACGGCATAGTCCTGCGGCGGTTGGGTCGGACGCGAGGGTGGTCGGGGGGGTCAGGCGCGAAGCGCGGAACGACTGAAGAAGATCAAAAAACCAAAAAACCAAAAAACCAAAAAACCAAAAAACGCGGGCGGCGCGCGGTGGGCGCGCGCCTGCGCGTCGCCCTCGCCGCGGCACATCTTCTTCACCGATTCCACGTCCTTCTTCACGCGGACCCACATGCCTGTCGTCACGTTCTCGTGCGTCAGCGGGATCCCCCGCTGCTCGACGACGGACAGCTTGCGCGTGTACTTCATCTTCCTGCGCGGTTTCGAACGAACAGAAAAAGAAGCGAGCCGCGTCAGGCGAGGCTGCGCGGACGGATACCTGTACACGGACGGTGTCCTCGGAAAACCCGAGAGACGCGTCGGGGAGGGGCGAGGGGGCGAGCGAGGAGCCGACGCGCGCGAGGCGAACGCGCGAACGCGTCTTACGCGCGATCGATACGCGATTCGCGTCGTCGAACCCGCGCGCGAGGACACGACGCGCGCGCGCGCGCGCGCGCGTCCGGCGACGATGCTCGCGCGAAATCTGTCGGTAAAAGCGCCCGGAGAGCGAAAGCGCGTACCTGAATCCGGGGGGCATCTCCCCCAACGTCATCGCGTCCAGCTTCCTCTTCGCGCTCTGCTCCGGCAGCGACGCCTCGTTCACCGCGACCCACGACCGGTGCTTAAAGTGCGTGCACACGGTCTCGAGCCTCGCGAGGTCGCGGCCGTCGAGGAACGAGCAGACGTGCCCGAGGACGTCGTCGCTCAGCGAGAGGAGCCTCGACGCGCGCTCGTTCTCCGAGCGGTTCCTCGCGAGGAGGTGCTGCCGCCGCGTGAGCGGGCCGCGCTGCATCGCGCACGCGGCGACGTTTTCGGACGACTTCGCGTTCGAAGGCGCCGCGCGCGACGGCGCGTTGCTCAGGGCTCGGTTACTCAGCATGTCGCGCGCGGGGGGCGTCCGTGCGAGAAAAACTGACACTCTTTTTCTTCCTCTCAGCGGTTTTTTCGTCATCCATTTTCCCGGGAGCGACCGCGGTCGGTACACGTAGGTTCTCTTGATCGGTCGATGACACTGGATGACACGTATTCATCGGTCAGCTGAAAGGGAAAGTGATCAAATGTTGAAACCGAGGGATGGGTGAAATACGATGCCGATCCGTCTGACGAGAGAAAATCGACGAACGGCGATCCGCGCCGGATCGCTTGACGGCACCCGGTGCCGGCTTTTATTACTGTCACTCGGCGCCGTCCCGTCCACCGCCGTCGCGCGCTGGCCGGCCGTCATGGTGAAGAAGGACGTGGATAAACACGCGGGGAAGTCCTCGGAGCACGCGCCGCTGGTCCCCATCCCCGGGCTCTCCACCGCGGAGGCGCGGAAGCGGCGGTTAGAGGAGGACGCCGGGAGCACGGAGGAGCGAAAGAGGCGCGCGCAGGTCGCGAACTGCGACGCGCAGCGTCGATGTCGCGAGCGCAAGCGCGAGCACGTGAAACAGCTCGAGGACGAGAACGCGCGGCTGAGGGAGACGAACGCGCTGTTGGAGACGCAGCTGCGCGAGTGCGAGCGAAGGCTGCGAGAGCTCGAGGGCGGCGCGCCGCGAACGAACGCGGCGTCGGGGAGCGCATCGCGGCCGATTAAAAAGCGCTGACGACGGCGAAGACTCATTCACTCGCGAGAGACGCCCCGGCCCCCGCCCCCCCCCGCGCGCGAAGTATCACGACGCGTCGCGCGCGCGACAGTATTAGCGCGCGCGAGATGTAGCAACGAACGATCGAATGTAAACGCGGCGTGCTATCCGCCGACCGACGACGCCTCCGCGTTTTCGGCGTTCGCTCGCCCGTAGGCGCGAACCGATCGATCGATCGACCCTCCGCCGCTCGGAGAGATGCGACGGGCAAAGTCCTTAAGGATCGGCGTCCACATCGCCAACGCGGTCGTATGGGGACCAGTGTGAGATAGAACGCACCTCAGGTTCGCTCGCTCGCTCGCTCCTCCGTCCTTCTTTATTCACGACGCGATCTGATCAAACTCCGCGAACGCTCTCTCAAGCATCTCCGGGCACCCCGTCGGCGCGATCAGCCCTCGCTTCAGCGCGTCTTTCTTCAACCCGACGGTGTACTCCTCCGGGAACTTGTAGCCCAAGCCGTCGTGGAACTGGTGATACACCTCGGCTCGGTAAAACGGCAGCGCGGCGGAGTCGTAGATCCAAACCGCGTTGAAGACGTCGTCCTCGCTCGCGTCTTTCCCGGACATCTTGTTCCCATCGCCTCGCACGAGCTTCATCCCGTTGACGTTCTCTTCTTCGATGACTCGCATCAGCGGCGAGTCCGCGCCGCCGGGGAGGCCGATCATGTTGCGGTACCCCGGTCCCGCGTCTTGCGGGTCCAGGCGCTGCATGCCGAACCCGCGAATCTTGCGGAAGTTGGCGAAGTACGTCCTGCGGCGTCGGCGTCGGCGTCGGCGGCGGCGTCGGTCGGTCAGTCAGTCGGTCGTCGTCGTCGTCGTCGTCGTCGCGGAGGTGGGAGGCGGGAGCGGGCGCGGGAGAGGGAAGAAAGAAGAGAGCGAGAGAAGAGCGAGAGAGAGGAGAGAGAGAGAGAGGAGAGAGAGAGAGAGGAGAGAGAGAGGGGATCGTTCGTTCGTCACTCACTTTGCGAACTCGCGCAGGTCCTCCACGGCGGCGTCGCCGTCGTCGCTGAGCCTCGTCCGGACGACCTCGCCGTGGCCGAGTCGCTCGTACACCGTGTCGGGGGCGCCGTAGTAGTAGCACACCTTCCCGTCCGGACCTTTCGTGGAGTACCCGCCCGCGTATCCGACGAGGGAGGTGACCTCCGCGTCGCTTCGGCCGCGTCGACGCTCCGCCTCCACGAACTCGTGCTGTCGGCCCCAGAAGCACCCGTTTCCGAAGTAAATCTCCGTCCCGGGCGCGGCCTCCGCGACGGCGAACAGCTCGACGCCGCCGCCGCCGCCGACGGCGCGCGCGGCGACCGCCTCCGCGGCGGCCTCGGACGACGACGTCGTCGTCGCGGAGGAAGCCGCGGACGCGGCGTCGACGAAGAACGTCGACAGCGTCGCCGCGAGCGCGGCGCCGAAGAAGGAGCGACGTGTCGTGGACGACGACGCGTGCGCCGGGCGCGGGGGCTCGATCTCGGGCGCCGCGCTCGCGCGCGCGGCGAGATGACGCGACGACGACGCGAAGCGCGCGCGCGACGCGCGGCGTGCGGAGGATATCGCGAGGGGAGGGGCGAACGTCGTGGTCGACATGACGGCGTCGTCGGGAGCGTCGATGGCGCGCGGATATCTGGCGGAGTCGTCGCGTTGTCGTCGTCAGCTCTCGCGATCGCGTCCAGTCGTCTCGCTCGCGTGCCAGATCTAGGATGCCGTTCAAACGCCGCGCGCGGCCGCACGTGCACGCGATCGAGGACGCGAGGTCACGTCGTCGCGCGTCATGAGCGACCGCGACGCGCCGGCGTGGAATCCCCCGCCGCCGAAACCGGCGTTGAAACCGCCGCCGCCGAGCGCGCCGCGAAGAGAACCCGAGCGCGACGCGGGGAACCGCGGGCACGCCGCGCCGTCGTCGGGATCTCATCGTCCTCCTCATCATCGGCCGTCCGAGGGGTGGCCCGCGCCCGCGCACGGCTCGCACGGCGGCGCGTGGAGAGCGCAAAATCACGGCTCGCGCATTCGCGACGATCCTCCGGGGGCGGCAAAAGCCAGAGCGCCGTACGGACCCGGCGGCGGAGGAACGAACGAGCGATGGCGAACCGGCGACGGCGGCGATTGGGCGGGACCCGCCGCGACGCAAGCTGTACCTCCGGCGCCGCCGCCGTCGTCGTCGTCGCGTCCGCCGGATCACCGCCCCCCCGAGGTCGCGCCGCGTCCCGCGCCCGCGCCTCCGGCGATGCCGCCGCCGACGCGCGCGCCCGCGGCTCCCGCGGCGCCGCCGCCGACGCGCGCGCCCGCGCCGCCCGTCGCCGCCGCCGCGGCGGCGACGACGAGCGCGCCCGGTAACCGATACGCTGCGTACAGCGACTCGGACGACGACGACGACTCGGACGACGACCGCGGCCGCGGAAGCGCCGGGAACCGAGCCGGGGACGGCGCGAGGGATAGGGAAGCGGCCGCGGACGGAGACGGGGGCGATCGCCGCGACGAGCCGCGCGCGAGCGGCGCGGACGGCGGCGATCGGCCCGGGCCGTCGACCGCGGCGGCGGCGCCGCCCCCGCCGGCGGCGATCAAACCGCCGACCGCGCCGCCGCGTCGCATGGACCCGGTCGGCGCGTCGGCGGCGGCGAAAGCGCCGCCGCCGAGCGTCATGAGCCTCTTGGGGAGCATAAGCAAAGCTCCGAAGATCGCGGTCGCGGTGCCGACGAGCGGCGGCGGCGGCGGCGGCGGCCCGCAGGCGAAGGCCACGGCGATCGGCCTCACCGAAGCCGAGATCGCCGAACGCGCGCGGAAGCGCACCGAGGGGCTGCCCGTGAAGCCGCCGTCCGCGGACGAACACAAGAAGCGCGCGCGGGAGGGCGTCGCGTCGAACGACGGCGGAGGGAAGAAGCGTCGATTGCCGTCGCCGGCGGCGTCGCGAGCGCCGCCGCGATCGCCGCCGGTGCCGCCCGGCGTCGTCATGAAGGACAGGAGCCAGCCCGCGGGAGGGAAGGAGTACTTCACGAAGAACTGGTCGGACTTTTTAGAGTCGTGCCTGGGGATGGACCATAAGGAGGCGCAAAAGGAACTGGACGCGCTCGTGCCGTGGTCGGCGCACCCGTTCCAGTCGTACAGGTTTTACGGCTCGGTCGCGACGGCGGGGGGATTCGAAGCGCTCGACGCAGGCACCATGGAGACCATCTACGAGAGGGGGGGGTTGAAGAAGAACTACCGCGCGGGGCATCCCGAAGACATCAAGATGCTCGAGAAGGCGTACGACGACTACTTCATGCACTACGAGAGGTGTCATCCCGACGACATCCCCGGGAAGATCAGCGACTCGGACTCCGACTCCGACTCCGACGAGGACGAGACGTCGGCGTCGGAGAGCGAGGAGGAAGACGCCACGGACAGCGACGAGGACGACGACGCGAGCGACGAGACGAAAAAGAAGAAGAACAGCTTCAAGGTCCGCCTCAACGTCGACGAGAAGAAGGAGAAGAAGAAACGCGCGCGCCCGAAGAAGGAGAAGCCCGCGAAGCCCGGCGGCGGGAAGAAGCGAGGCGGCGGCGCCAAGGCGGGCCCGGGGGCGATCGACGAGAGTCGCGTCTGCCGCGTCGGGCACCCCAAGGTGATCGTCGGCGAGCCGCCCACCGGGTGGCCGCTCGAGGCGAAGCCGGACGCGCACGGCCCGGGGTATCTGTACTACGCCGGGGACGTGTACGTGCAGTACCTCAAGCGCGCGACGGGCAATCACGTGGACGAGTCGTACCGGCGGTTCACCGCGGACGGAGGCGACGGCGGCGCGTTCGAGGACACGGATCCGAAGGGGATGGAGGAGGTCGGGAAGACGCAGGCGAACTTGCGGTCGAAGGTGGCGATCGCGAGGTACCTGGAGCGTTGCGGCGTCGCCGTGGGCGACGATCTGAAGGGGATGAAAGGGAGGAAGAAGGCGTGATGAGCGCGGGAGTAGAGGCCGCGGGTGCGTTCCATGGCCTACGAAACAAGTAGGCCCTACATCGGTCAGTTGAAAGGAGCCGCGATCAAATAGCCCTATTGAACCCATATCGCGAACGAGAGAAAAATCGTCGTCGACCCTTCCCGCGGTTCCCGCGAAAAGTCAACCGCCGCAAGACGTCGCCCTCCCGTCAGGTGCCGCGGCGCGGAGAGGCCCGGCGGACGTCGAGGCGAGGACGATGACCTCCCCGGCGCCCCCCCTGAGCGTCTCCGACGCCGTGGAGGCGCTGTCGCGTCTCCTCCGCGCCCCCCCCGACGCGCAGTCCCCCGCGGACAGTCTCGACGAAGCCCGCGGGCTCGAAGGCCTCGCGGTCGCGCTCGCGTCCGGGCACGATCCCGCGGCCGGGTCCGAGGCCTCCGTGAGCGCGATGCGCGAGCTCTTCCGCGCGCTCGTCACCGAGCGCCTCATGTCGCCGTCGTACGTCGCCGCGCCCGGGGAGGACGGCGCCGCGAGCGCGGAGAGCGTCCTGCGCGTCCTGCAGTGCGCGCGTCTGCTCCTTCGCGATCGATGGTTCGTGCGCGAGCTCGTCGCCGTGGACGGCGCGGTCGCCGCGCTGGGGGGGAAGTACCGCGCGTACGCGGTCAGGCACTGGGACGCGGACGACGACGCGGCGGCGGCGGCGGGAGGGGAGAAGGACGAGCGCGCGCGCGACGACCGCGGCGACCGCGCGAAGAGCGCGTTCGGCGTCGAGATCCTCAGCGAGCTCGCGTCCGTCTTCAAGAAGCTCGCGAGCGACGGCGAGTCGTGCCCGTGGCGCGTCCTGCACGACGCCGCGGTTCCGACGACGGCGGCGGGGCTTCTGCCGACGCGCGACGCGTCGTTGCTCGCGAGCGCGCTCGTGACGCTGTGCGTCCTCGTCGCCGCGTCCGAGGAGTGCGCGGTCCCGCTCCTCGCGTCGGACGGGCTCGATCATCTTCTGCACATCTTCCTCGAGTACGCCCCGCCGTTTAAGCACCTCGCGGGCGATTTACTCCACCTCGTGTGCCGCCTCCGCGACGGTCGGCGCGAGGTTCGGCGCTTAGGCGGCGTCACGCTCGTGCTCGGGTCGCTGCACGCGGCGAGCGGGGACGAGATCGCGCTCGAGGCGTCGCTGAGGTGCGTTCTATACACTGGTCCCCATACGACCGCGTTGGCGTGGTGAACGCCGTTTCTTAAGGACTTTTGCCGTCGTCTCTCTCCGCCCACCCCTCGCTTTCAATCCCCGCCCTCGACGCCTTTCAACTCCAACTGACGCCAATGAACTCCACCCCGACGACGCTTTGTATGGAACGACCCTGAGGGTGTTGGGAGGGTTGCTGAGCGACTCCGCCGCCGCCGCGGAGACGCGCGCGGTCGGCGGCGTGCCGATCCTCGTCTCCATGCTCGCCGCGGACGCGGACGCGCGGACCGGCGGGGGCGGGGGCAGGATGAAACTGAAACGGCTGGGATCTCTAGGGGGAGAAGACGAAGCGTCGGGCGGCGGGATGTCGACCGTCGCGTCGCCCGCGGTGACGTGTCTGCTGTGCGGCGCGCTCACGAAGCTGGCGTCCGACGACGAAGGCGGCGCGCAGATTCGGCAGTGCAACGGCGTGTACCTCCTCGGACGGCTTCTCACTGACACGCACGCGGCGTCGACGTCGACGTCGACGTCCTCGAGCGACGGCAGCGCAAATGAGGGTCCGCGGCCGCTGGACGAGGTCCAGGCGCACGCGTTTCGAGCGATGCGGTACCTGTTCAGCGTCGAGAGGAATCGGAAGGTTTTCAAGCGCCTGTTCCCTCCCGCGCTGTTCGCCGCGTTCATAGACGTCGGGCACTACCAGTCCGACGTGAAGATGTACCGTCCGCTCGCGGCGCGCTGGCGCGAGCTCGGAGCGGACGCGGTGCGGGCGACGCGGAAGGCGCTGGAGGACATCAACCGCGTCGGAGGCGTCGGCGCCGAGAAAAAGATCGTTCGCGGGTACGTCCTCGAGGAGCTTCTCGGCGCGGGCGCGTTCGGGAGCGTGTACCGAGTTCACAAAGAGCGAAGCAAGGGCACGATGTGTGCGATGAAGGCGCTGAACCCGGAGGAGGAACCGACGCGGTTCGGGACGACCCCGGAGGAGATCACGCGATCTGTCGGACGCGTCGCGAGCGAGGTCAACATCCTCTCGCGGCTGTCGCATCCGAACATCGTGCGCTATCACGAGTCCTTCAACGAGTCCGGAACGCTGTACATCGTCATGGAGCTCGTCGAGGGCGCGAGTCTCTTGGATCACCTGACGTCCACCGCGGAGAAGGGGCGACGAATGAGCGAGGAATCCGCGTGGAACGTGTTCCTGCAAGTCGTTCTCGCGTTGCATTACATTCACGTCGAGAAGAACGTCGTGCATCGCGATTTAACCCCGAATAACATTCTCCTCGAGGACGACACGCGAAGGGTGAAGATCGCGGACTTTGGCCTCGCGAAGGCGTACGAGCGCGACTTCGGAGCGGTCCCCGCGGCGCCCGCGGCGACGCCGCGGGAGCGAAGAAACGCGGAGGTGATGCAGAGCGCCGTCGGGACGATGCCGTACAGCTGTCCGGAGATCATCATGCACGAGGCGTACGGCGCGAAAGCGGACGTGTGGTCCCTTGGGTGCGTCCTGTACCACATGCTTGCGCTTCGACCGCCGTTCGACGCGAGCAACCCGATCACGATGGCGAGCGCGATCGTGGAGGGGCGGTACCCGTCGTTGGAGCCGCTCGTCGCGCGCATCGGCGGCGGCGATCGGAAAGGCTCCGGCGGACCGTACTCCGCCGCGCTCGTGGGGCTCGTCGGTCGGCTCATGACGATCGATAAGGAGAAGCGACCGAGCATCTCCGAGGTCGCGGCCGCGTCCGCGCCGTACTTGATGCGATCGATGGATAAGATACAGAGCGATAACGACCGGCTGAGAGAAGACGCGATTCGCGAGGGAAGACGCCGAGCCGCGGACTCGACGTTAGAACGCCGCAAACGCGAGGCGCTTCGCAAGCTCACGGGGCTCGCGCACGACGACGACGACGGCGCCGGCAGCAGCGGCGCGGCGACCGGGGACGTGTCCGAGACGGAGACGGACGCGTCCGGCGACGGCGACGCCGCCGCCGCCGGCGACCGCGCGACCAACTCTGGCTCGGGCGCGCGCTCCGGCTCGGGCGCCTCCACGCCGCGTCTGAACAGCGGTCGTAGCTTCAAGATCGCCCCCGATCGCCTCCGCGCGGTCGCGGACCCGCTGTCGCAGATCCTCTCGACGCTGCACAAGCTCGTTTTCATCGACCAGCTCCCGCCGGGGAGCCGCAGGGACCCGCGAAGGGCGTCGATCGTTAGATACAAGCGCGCGCTCTTCGCGGGGTCGAACCACGCGGGGTTCATCAAGGCTGAGGCCGCGAAGCTCAGCGCGGGGTCGCGGGAGGAGGTTGCGATCGGCGACGCGCGGCTGCTCGGTGGCGGCGACGGCGCGTGCACGTACGAGACGTTGGGGAGGGCGATGGAGGAGCTCCTGCGCGAGCACCGGTTTTACCAACTCGGCGCTCGAGGAAACGACGCGTAGCCGAATTGAATGAATTATAGCATAGAGCGATCTGATCACGAGTACGAGTAGACTTACAACAGGTTTCGCGCTCGCGCGTCGCGAACGAACGGCGCGACGCGTCCGCCGCGGTCGTCATATCAACATCCCCGGCGCCGCGCGCGACGCCGACGCCATCTCCATCGGCTCCAGCGGCGTCGGCGCGAACCACTTCGGCTGCTCCGCGCGCAAAAATTCCTCCGCCTCCGCGTCGAGCAAGTGCATCGCCGTGAGCTGCACGAGCGCGCTCGCGGGCAGCGACCCCTCCAGCCGGTGCACCTCCGCGCCCTCGCGCAGCCACAGCGTCGTCGGGTACGCGCCCACGGCGTGCGCCGACGCGAGCGCGGGCGCTTCCTCCGCGTCGAGCTTCGCGACGACGACGTCCGCGACGGCGCGCACGTCGTCCATCGCGCGCGCCAGCTGCTCGAGCTCCGGCTTGAGGACCGCGCACGGGCCGCACCACGTCGTGCCGAAGGATACGACCGCGGTGCCGCCCTCCGCGAGCGCGCACTCCGCGCGCTCCGCGTCCCAGATCTCGAGCTTGTCGAACGGCGACCCGGACGCGCGGACGGCCGGCGACGACCTTCCGCGCGCAATGCGTCGCGCGGAGGGTAACAACGACGACGACGACGCATCGCGCGCGGAGGGTCGTCGCCGCGACGACGCGCGAGCCGCCGCGGCGTCGCCGCGCAGCGCGCGCGCGCTCGTCAACGACGACGCGAGCGGCATGGCGTTCGCGAGCGGCGAGGCTGCGGAGCGGCGCGTCGAGGAGCGCGAGGTCGCGCGGTGCGCGGGGGTCTGAGATGACGCGGCGAGCGGCGGGCGTTCGCGGCTGATGACGCGAGATCCGTCCACGTCATCCACCCACTCGGCACTGCCGAACCGCGCGACGCCCGCGCACTCCGCGTCGCGCGTCCGACGTCATGAGCGCCGCGTCCGCGCTCGCGTCGCGCGCGCGCGTTTCGTCGTCGTGGTCCAAGAGAACCCGCGGCGCCGCGGCGCATTCGCGCTCCATCGCGCGCGTCCGCGCGGCGCGTGCGGCGTCGCCCGCGACGACGACGCCGGAAAACGACCGATCGCCGACGCGCGAAGATCGCAAACCGAAGATCGCGGTCGTCGGCGCGGGATGGGGCGGCTTCGGCGCGGCGAAAGCGCTCTGCGAGGCTGGATGCGACGTGACCCTCCTCGACGGCATCCCGGACCCCACGGGAGCGACGCCGTCGACGACGCCGTCGGGGAAGCCGTTCGAGTACGGCACGCGCGGGTTCTGGAAGGACTACCCGAACATCGAAGCGATGCTCGCGGAGACTGGGGTGCGAGAGGAGGACGTCTTCACGCCGTTCACCGCGTCGAGCTTCTTCTCCCCGGACGGTCTGGAGGCGACCGCGCCGGTGTTCAGCGCGAGCGAGTTCCCGCGACTCCCCTCGCCGCTCGGGCAGGTCTTCGCGACGTTCGATAACTTCCGTCGCCTGCCCTTGAGCGACCGCGCGTCCATGGTCGGCCTCCTGTACGCCACGCTCGACCTCGGGAGAGACGACGCGACGTTTCGCGCGTACGATCGAATGACCGCGCACGACCTGTTCATACGCATGGGGTTGAGTAAACGTCTCGTGGACGACTTCATCCGCCCGACGTTGCTCGTGGGGCTGTTCAAACCCCCCGAGGAGCTCAGCGCCGCGGTCACGATGGAGCTCTTGTACTACTACGCGCTCGCGCATCAGGACTCGTTCGACGTTCGGTGGATCGCGAGAGGGACGGTGACGTCGTCGCTGATTCGCCCGCTCGCGGAGCGCCTCGTCGAGAGACACGGGTTGAAAGTGTTGGGCGGGTGCCGCGTCGAGGAGGTGACCGTGGACGAGGCGAGAGGCGTCGCGACGGGGTTGACGTACGTCGAGAACGCGACGGGGAAGGTTAGTCGGGGTGGAGATCCTCACACTGGTTCCCATACGATCCCGTCGGCGTGGTGAACGCCGATCCTTAAGGACTTTTCCTGGCGCATCTCTCCACCTATCCCTCGCTTTCAATCCCGACATACCTCGACGCCTTTCAACTTCAACTGACGCCTTTCAACTCCACCCCGACTAGACGCGCGCGTTGGACGACGTCGACGCCGTCGTTCTCGCGCTCGGCGCCAAAGGCACGCGCGCGGTCGTGTCATCGTCCCCCGGGCTCGCGCGCGCCGCGCCGGAGCTCTCTCGCGCGGCGTCTCTCGGCGGCATCGACGTCGTCACGACGAGGATATGGCTGGACAGGTACGTGCGGGTGGAGAACCCCGCGAACGTGCTGTCGCGGTTCGACGGCTTGCGCGGCGCCGGCGGGACGTTTTTTATGCTCGACATGCTGCAACGCGAACACGAGGTCGAGCTCTGGGGCGGGGAAGAACCGAAAGGGAGCGTCCTCGCGTGCGACTTTTACAACGGCGGCGCCGTCGCGTGCATGTCCGACGAGGATATAATCAAGTTACTCATGGACGAGCTCCTCCCCGCCGCGGTGCCCGCGTTCGCGGAGGCGAATGCGCTGGACTCGCACGTCGTTCGATGCCCCGGCGCGGTGACGTGGTTCTCCCCCGGGTCGTTCGAATCCCGGCCGCCGTTGCAGACGTCGCTGTCGAACGTCGTCTGCGCGGGGGATTGGGTGCGGATGGGCGAACGCGAGCACGGCGCGAAGGGTTTGTGTCAAGAGAGGGCGTACGTGTCCGGGTTGGAGGCGGCGAACGCGTTGACGCGAAGTCGCGACGCGCTGGCGGACGTTCGCGCGCGCGGCGGCGTCGGTGGGCCGCATCCGGTGTTGCCCGTGCGCGCGGACGAGATGCAGGTGGTGTTGGGAAGGGCGGCGAATAAGGCGGTGATGGACGCGCTGACGCCGTTCGGGCTCGCGTCGCCGTGGGTGCGGTGACGAGGGGGCGACGGAGCGTGAGAGAGATTTCCACCGGTGTGCGATGAAATCTGAGCCCAGATCGACCGATCGAAACTTTTGAAAGGAAAACGTTCACCGCGGTTCCGTCTCTTAATAACCAGGAGCGCTCGTCGCGCGAAGCCGCGAACTGCACACAAAATTAGGGCGGAGCGCGGAGGACAGATCGCCGCGCGCACGATGGCGACGAAAGGCGAGTATGACCAGGCGACGTGGTCGCCGTGGATGGCCAAGCGCACGTACGAAGCCCCCGACGCGATGTCGCTCCAGGCGTTCAAGCTCGCGCTCCTGAAGAAGCGCCTCGCGGAGGCGACGGCGACCGCCTCGGCGACGGCGTCGTCGAGCGCGAAGAGAGAAGAAGCGCTCGGCGACGTGCGCGCGATCCGCGCGGAGCTCACGGCCGCGAAGACGCGCGAACGGCAGCGCGAGTGCGCGGACCGCCACGCGTCCGCGGCGGAGGCGGCGACCGCGGCGAGGGACGCGGCGACGGACGCGCGCGAGAACGTCGAGCGCTTGAAGCGCGAATTACGCGAGGAGGAGTCCTCGATCAGGGCGAAGAGCGAGCATCTGCAAGACGCGCGCGCGAAGGCGCTGCAGGAGCGCGAGCGCAAGCGCGCGGAGCAGCGAAGCAAGATGGAGGAAGAGCTCGCGCGCCGAGAGTCCGAGCGGCACGCGCAGGTGAAATCGCTGAAGCTGGTGCTGAAGGAGCACGGCGACGCGAAGAAAAAGATCGCGGAGGACGCGGCGCCGGAGGACGGGGAGTTGCCGCTGCCGGGGCAGGCGCCGTCGTCGGGGATGACGGGGGGGTCGAACGCGACGACGCCGGCGCCGGGTGACCGCGGCGGATTCGGCGGCGGCGGCGGGGGGGGGGGCTGGGGCGTCGCCCCGCAGAGCGGCGGCGGCGGGCAGTGGGGGAGAGCCGCGACGCACCAGCGGCCGCAGATGGGGTCGGGGCGCGGCGGGTGGGATCAGCGCGGCGGCGGCGGCGGGAGGGGGGATAACAAGCGCCCGCGGTCGGGATGGGACAGGACCTGATGCGATCGTCTGGGAAAGTCTCGTCGTCTACGATGAGAGAAATATCTTAGAGCTACGAATACGGCGCGCGACTTTACGGAACGGACGCGTCCTCCTCCTCGAACGCGCGCACCGTTTTCAAGATATCCATCACGAGCGCGTCGACGTCCAGCGCGTCGGGGTGCCTCCCGTCGCGCGCTTCCCCCACCGGCAGCGCGTTGACGATCTTCTGCACCCCGCCCCGGGGCTTTTGCGTCTCTGCGGCGATCGTCTTGATCGCGCCCTTCTCCACTCTTTTCTTCCCCAGGTGTCTGTCGTACAGGTCGTCGTAGTACTCTAAAAGGCCCTCCGCGACCGCGGTGTAGTCGCCACTCCGCAACCGCGTCACGAGCGAATTACAACGCTCGCCACCGAGCCGTTTTTGTAACTTCTCGAGCGACTCCGTCATCGATTCCAACCACCCGGGCGCCGCGCGGTGTTCCTCCGACGCGTAGTCCTCGACGAGCACGCGCAACCGAACCTCCGACGGCGCGACGACGTTCACGACCAGCGGCGCGTGGCGCATGCGATGAAACAACCCCGGGTCCACGGAACACTTCCCGACGTGCGGGCCTTCGTCCTCGATGAACACCCAACGCGGGGACGGTCTCGATCCCGCCCACGCGCACGCCACGAGGTTCGAAAAGTGCTCCGACGTCGGCTGCTCCGGCGGTCGTCCCACCCACCCGAACGCGCTTCCGCTGTGCGACGCGAGGCCTTCGAGGTCGATGACCTGCTCGCCGGCGTCGCGTAACGCCAGAAGCGCGCGCGTTTTACCCACCCCCGTGCGTCCACCGACGATGCATACGTTGGGACCGCGCGGCGGCGACGCCTCGAATTCGTTTTCGTTCGCGGTGTCGTCGTCGTCCTGCTCCTCCCCGCCGAGCGCGCGCGCGTCGTCTTTCCCCGCGTCCCCAGGGAGCTCCGCCGCGGGGGTCCAGCGCGACAGCACCCACCGCCGGAACGCTTTGTACCCCCCGCGCATCACGCGAACGTCGACGCCGCGGTCGGCGAGCGACCGGCGAAGGAACCACGCGACGCTCGACGACCGCATCCCGCCGCGCCAGCAGTGCACGTACACGGCGGTCGTCGCGCCTCCTCTCTCGCCGTCGCCGCCATCGCGGTCGCGGATCTTCTTTCTCTCCTCCACCAACGCGCTCGCCGTCGCGATGATGTCCTCCAGCTTCGGTCGCGTCGCTTTCATGCCGAGGACCATCGCGACGCCTCTTCCTTGCTTCGCGAACGCGATCCCGACCTTCGCTCGCTCGTCGTCCGTGAACAGCGGCATCGACGTCGCGCCCGGGATGTGCCCGCGCGCGTACTCCCCGGGCGATCGCACGTCGAGGACGATGTCTCCGCGACGCGCGGCGCGGACGACGTCGTCCACGGACGCCTCCGCGCGCTTGATCGTCCGCCGCACGCCCGCGGCGAACGCCTCCATGGACGTTTCGTGAAGCGCGACATCGGGACGCGCGATCTCGAGAAACAGCGCCTCGAGGTCGGCGACGGGCGGCGTCTCGTCGTCGGGCATCGCGGTCGCGCGACGGGCGCGCGCGAACGGACGCGGGCGTCGCGCGGCGCGGTCTCGCGGGCGCGGACGCGGCGACGCGCGCGCGGCCGAACTGCGGCGCGGTCGGCGGCGGGAGCGCCGCTTTTCCCGCAGCACCCTCCTGCGGCGCGCGCTCTCGAGGTTCGATCGCGCCCGGAAATTAGGTCATAACGCGCGCCTGCCGAGCCTCGACGCACGCGATCGCGCGCGATGGCAGAGTCCGAAGACCTCGTCGATCCCGATCTGATGGAGGAACCCGCCGCGGACGAGGAAGCGACCGCGCGCGAGGAAGCGACGAGCCCCACCGACGCCGCGACCGCGACCGATCCCGCGTCGCCGGCGTCGGCGCGGCGAGCCGACGAGGATTCCGACGACGAGGACGCGTCCGTGCTGATCGTCGACCCGTCCGACGACCTCTTGAAGAAACCCGCGCACTCGTGCGAGCTCTTCCTCGGCGGCATCCCGAAGAGCGCGAGCGAGGCGGACGTCCGCGCGTTCTGCGACGACGGCGCGGAGGGCGTCGCGTCGCCGTCGAGCGTGCAGCTGGTGATCGACACCGCGACCGGGCAGAACCGCGGGTACGCGTTCGTCGCGTATCCGTCGCGCGAGGACGCGGCCGCGGCGGCGGAGAAGCTCAACGAAAAGGCGATCGAGGACAAGAAGATCCGCGTCAGCGTGAAGCAGACGAAGCACCGGGTGTTCATAGGGAACGTGGACCGGATGAAGACGCGCGCGGAGGTGATTCAAGGATTGAGAGACGCCGGCTGCGGCGGCGTCGAAAAGTTGGAGATGCCGAAGAACAGGAACCCGGCGTATCCGAGCCAGACGAAAGGGTTCGGCTTCGCGGACTTCTACAACGCGTCGTGCGCGGAGCGAGCGATGAAAATTTTGAGCGAGTCGCGTCTCTTCTTAGGCAGGCCGGTCACCGCTCGGTGGGCCGATCCGAAACTCCCCGACCCCTCGACGACGGTGAAGTCCGTCTACGTCGGGAACCTCCCGCCGTCGCTCGTCGCGGACGAGGGCGGCGAGGAGAAGCTCAAAGCGCTGTTTGGAAAGTACGGCGACGTCGAGACGGTCTTCGTGTACAAGCCGCGGCCGGGGGACGCGAGCGCGAGCGCGAAGAGGAATTTCGCGTTCGTGCACTACGCGAGCAGAGAATCGGCGCTCGCCGCGGCGGAGGCGGGGAAACGGTCGGACGACGCGGACGCGACGCCGTCCGCGCCGATCGAGATCGACGGTTGCGCGCTCGACGTCACCATGGCGAAGCCGATGAAGGACCAGGGGAGAGCCGCCGGCGGCGGCGGCGGCAGAGGCGGCGGCGGACGCGGCGGACGCGCGCGAGGAGGGAATTTTCGCGACGGCGGCGACTACCGCGACGACCGAGGGTTCGGCGGGTACCGCGACGACCGCGGCGGGCATATCGCGCCGCGGCGCGCGAACATCGGGATGATGGGCGGCGGCATGGGGATGGGAATGGGGATGGGGATGGGGATGGGGATGGGGATGGGCGTGGGAGGCGGCGGAGGGATGGTGCCGATGATGCTCCCGAATGGTCAAGTCGGGTACGTGATCCAACCCGGTCCGCCGCCCGGGCCGCCGAGCCGGGGTGGCGGGTACGATTACGACGACCGAGGAAACCAGTACCGACACCGGGGCGGCGGCGGCGGCGGCGGGCGCGGCGGCGGGCGCGGCGGCGGCGGGTTCAGGAACAGCTACGACAGGCACAGACCGTACTAGCTAGAGTCAATCGAATCATAACTCGTCTTTACGACTACTTGGCTCCTCCCCGTCCTCGGCGTCGTCGTCGTCGTCCGCCTCCTCCTCCTCCTCTTCCTCCTCCGGCGGTCTCTCGAACCGATCGAACGCGACGCCGGAGAGACGATCCAAGCACGCTCTCAACTCCCGCTGCGGGTACCTCTCCTCGCACACGTCCTCGCCCTCGCCCGCGTCGTCCGGGATCCGCGCCGCGACGAGACGAGCCGCGGCGAGCAGCGTGCTCTTCTCTTGTATGCGCATCATGATGCCGAGCTTCACGCGTTTGCTCAGCGTCGGATGAGCCGCTTCGTCGTCGTCGTCGCCCGTCGTCGTCGTTGTCGTTTCCTCCTCCGCGTCCTTCTTCTCCCTCTCTGAAGCCTCGTCCGCGTCCACGGGGTTCGCGTCCGCGTGCTCTTGGACGATCTTCTTGTCCTCCCACAGCGTCGTCGGATATCGACGCAACATGTCGTGCGCGGCTTTCAGAAGCATCGCCCTCGTCTTCGCCTCGTTGCGGTCGCTCACGGGCGCGCCCGCGACCGCGGCGCTGATCGCGGCCGCGGAGTTGATCTCGAGCTCGGACATCATCTGCACTCGCGTCGCCGCGAGCAAGTCCGCGTCGAGACGCCGCGGGTAAAACTGAAAATTTCGCTCCCTCGGCGACAGCTCGTGCGTGCGCAGCAGCTCGCTCTTCAGCGACTTGAGCTTGTCCCTCGAGCCCGCGTGCATGGCGACCTCCACGCTCTCGTCCGGGTTGTTCATGGGAACGAACCCGTACTGCAAGAGCACGTGCTGCGACGGTTTCGCGCCGTAGTTGAACCGAACCTCGTAGTTCGGACCCGGGAACGGGACGCCCGCGCGAATCGCGACCATCCGCCGCGACGGGTCCCAGCTCGGTATCAGCGCCGGGGAATCGTCCACGCCGACGCCGCCTTTCTCTCTCCCCTCCCCTCCGCCGCCTTTCACGCCCCCGGGGGTGACGGGCGCGTGGTCGTACCCGTGGTTGATCATGTCAAACAGGGGAACGATCACGCGCAGCTCGCGCGACTTGTCGTCGCCGCTCGGAAAGATCGCCTCCGGTCGCGGCACCGGCACGTCCGCGGCTCGCGACCACACGATCGCCATCGCCCACGCCCACCGCTCCGTTCGAAAGTGCTCCTCCGGGAACAAGCTCGGGAACTTCTGGGTCAACTTCGGGAACAGCGCGTCGCGCTGCGTCGTCCACCCTTTCAAGACGGCGTCTCTGAACCCGATCAGATTGCTCCCCTCGAGTTGCGCCAACTCTCGCGGCGTCCACAGCAACGGCGTCTCCACGTCCCGCGGTAAGATGGACACCCACGGCCACCACTCGGACTTTTCCCTCTGGACGTACAGCTCGTGCAGCAGATGCAGCGCGATGACCGCGTCTATCGTGACCTCCCGCGATGTTATCGTCTTCAGCGCTTCGCCGATCGCGCTCTTTCTCGCGCTGAACGTAGACAGGCACTTCTCGAGCGGGATCGCCACGAGCGTCTCGCCCTTCGTGACGTTCCGCGTCGTCACGACGCCGCGTCCTCTGCCCCACACCGCGCGTATCTCCACCGGGCCGACGTGCGGGTGGTTCTCGTCGTTCTCCGCGGCGTCTTCGCGCGGCGGCGGCGATCGCACCCACTGCTCGAACGTCTTCTCGCGCTCGCCTCTCGCGCCGATGGAGCCGAGCCTTCCGCGCGCGGCGGCGTACACCGGACCGCTGTCGCCGCCCGGGCGCGTGAACGCGTGCGGGAACGCGCGCTCGAGCTTCGCGCGTTGGCTCAGGCCTTCCCTGCGAAGGTCGCGCGTCGTCCTCGCGTCCGACGACGACGACGACGACGACGACGACGCGCGAGTGCCGGCTTCGTCGTCCGCGTCCGACGCCGACGCCGCGTCGTCGCCGCGCGCGACCGTCGCGAGCGAGGACGCGGTCGCGAGGAAGAGAAGGCACGCGATCGCGACGCGCGTCGTCCTTCGCGGCGCCATCGCGGTCGCCGCGCCGACTCCGAGAGCCGCCCCGCGCGCGGCCCGCGCTCTGCGACTTCTTAGACTAACGTCCGGCGCGGCCGTCCGCGATTTTTGCGAGCCGGGCCGAGGTCGGCCGCGTACTACGGTACGGCCCTTCGACCACGCACAGAGCAAACAGTCACGGCGAAAGATGATTGGCTCGCGCGGATCCGCTCCCTCCCCGCGCGTCTTTTTTTCACCCACGGCCACCCCGCGCGCGCGGTCATTCCCGCACACACCGCCTCTCTTTACGCGTAAAGAAGACGACAACAATGGCCGCCATGCTCCGTGCCCCCCTCGGCGTTAACACCGTCCGCGCCGTCGCGCCGAAGGTGGCGCAGAAGCGCTCCGTGCGCTCGTTCGCGGTCGTCAACGGCGACCGCATCGGCGTCATGGGCCACTGGCTCCCGGGCACCGAGCCCCCGAGCTACCTCGACGGTACCATGCCCGCGGACTACGGTGCGTCTCCGCGCGATCCGATCGCGATCGCTCGAACCAACGCGATCGCGCGTCCGTCGCGCGTCGCGGCGTCGATCGCGGCGATCGCGCGCCGCGCGATCCCGCGGCGACGCGCGCGGCATCTTGCCCGTTTTTTTCCGGTCCCGTCAGCGTCAGAATCGCATCGCGTCCCTCGCTCGCTGACGTACCCCCCCCCCACACAAACACACCCCCCTGCGCGCGCCCTCCTCTCCAGGCTTCGACCCCCTCCGCCTCGGCGCGAACCCGGAGACGCTTCCGTACCTCCAGGAGGCGGAGCTCATGAACGGCCGCTGGGCGATGCACGCCACCGCGGGCATCCTCTTCACGGACGCCGTCGGCCTTCCCAAGTTCTGGGAAGCCGGCGAGGCCGCGCTCGGGGACTGGGACCTCAAGACCCTCGTCGCCATCCAGGTCGTCGTCATGGGCTTCCTCGAGGCTGCGCGCATCCGCGGCTTCATGGCGACGGGCGAGTCGGGCGTCGTCGGCAACTTCCCGTTCGACCCGACGGGCCAGGACTCGCCCGCGATGAAGGTGAAGGAGGTGAAGAACGGCCGTCTCGCGATGATGTCCTTCCTCGGCATGGTGTCCCAGTACGCGGTCACCGGCACGTCCCCGCTCGAGGGCCTCAAGGCGCACATGGCGAACCCCACGGGCGTCAACATCTTCACCTCCTCCGTCGGCGGCGAGTTCACCGCGTTCGTCTGCGCGCTGTCCCTCATGCCCGTGTACTTCCTCTTCCAGAAGGAGGTCAGCGACGGCGAGGACGAGGAGTTCCGCCCGATTCCGTGGTAAGCGGCGGAGCGGAGCGGAGCGGAGGAGAGAGGTGTTTGCGATGACTTTAGGTAGCGACGTACGTTTTCGTTTTGTGAACGAGGAGAAGATGAATCACGCGAAGAAGGGAACCGAGATGACGCGGTCGGCGTTCACGCGCGGCTGGCTAATAATTCATGACGTGCGCTTCGTCTGCGCGTGTGCGTTTCGTCGAGCGGCGCGCGCGCGAGGGGAACGAACGCGCGCGTCGTGAGGCGTCGTCGACGCGGAGACTTCGGGCGCGATTCGCCGGCTGATTCTCGCCGGCTTGCGAAGTCGCGCCGTCACTTTGTTTCTCCGCGCGTCCGCGCTCTCTCGACGCGTCCGTTCGTTCCCACCGCGCGCGCCTTCGCCGCGTCCACTCCCCTTCCCTACCCTCCACATCATCCGTCGCGTTCCCGTCCCGTTCCGTTACGCCGTCGCCTCCTCGAGTCGCGCCGTCTCCGCCGCCCGCTTCCTCGCGCGTCCGACGCGCGACTCCAACCCGCGCAAAATCTCCTGCACGTTTGGCAGCCTCTTCTCGTTCAGCTTGCTGAACACGACGTCGCCGTCGTAATACACCTCGAACGCGCCCGTGTTTAGCAAGTTCTGCGACAGCGTGTTCCCCAAGAAAAACGCCGCGCCCGCGGACTGCAGCTTGTTCTCCGCCATCCCGGCCACGAAGCTCGGGACGGCCATCCCGAGCGCCGGGAAGACCTGCGCGCCGCTGAACGTCGTTCCATACAAGCGAATGTCGGGGTGGAGTTGAAAGGCGTCAGTTGGCGTTGAAAGGCATCGAGGGCGGGGATTGAAAGCGAGGGATGAGCGGAGAGATGCGCCGGGAAAAGTCCTTAAGGAATGGCGTTCACCACGCCAACGCGGTCGTATGGGGACCAGTGTATAGAACGCACCTGAACGTCGCCGCGATTGCGCTAAACTGCGCGAACCCGACCGCTTTCGCGAGCGCGGCGTTCGTCGCCGTCGGCGGGTGGTGCGAACCGACCACCTCCATCCCGGGGAAGGACTTCTGGATCTGTTCGGTCACGTGCACGTACCCGCCGCGGTAGTTTCATTTCGTGCAGAAGCTGAGGGTCGTTCCATACAAGCGAATGTCGGGGTGGAGTTGAAAGGCGTCAGTTGGCGTTGAAAGGCATCGAGGGCGGGGATTGAAAGCGGGGGGTGGGCGGAGAGAGACGCCGGGCAAAGTCCTTAAGAAACGGCGTTCACCACGCCAACGCGGTCGTATGGGGACCAGTGTATAGAACGCACCTGATGTGAACTTTCCCGCCGAGGCTCGTCGGGTCCGCGACGGCGAACTCGTTCGGCGCGAGCTCGGGGGACGCGGACGCCGCCGCGTGGTCTTTGTACGTCGTGAACACGTCCGCGCCTGGCGATGATCGAGATGCGCGGGGCGAGGGACGCGCGTCAGGTCGGACGGAGGTCCGCGCGGCGGCGAGAGAGAGGGAGGGAGGGAGGGAGGATCCGATCGCTCCCGCGGCGGGCGCTTCGCAGAGACGGAGAGGAAAAAGCGACGCGCGCGCGCGGCGGACCGACGGGCGGGGGGACGCGCCGGCGAAGGCGAGGAGGACCGCCACGACGAGCGCGCCCGTAGGGTTGAACCCCGCGGGAGTGGTCGCCGGTCGCCGCGACGCGTTCGCCGCGGGCGCTCGCGCTGCGGTCGCGTCCGCCATGGGCGCGTCTCGCAGTGACGAGGCGCGGCCAGCGCCGTCCCTGCGATCGAGCCACCTCATCAGCCGTCAACGTTTAAACGCGTCCCCTACCGTTATCGCCGGGCGCGATCGCCAGAGGCAGCCGCGCGCCGCGCCGGCGGGTATCACACCGCGCCGCCGCCGCGCGACCTCCCCCAACCCCCCAACTTCATCATGGATGACGCGCACGCGCGCGAGGTCTCCGACGTCCTCGCGCGTTGCGGCGTCGACCCCGCCGTCGGGTTGTCCGATCGCGAGGCCGCCGCGCTCCGCGCGAGGCACGGCGCGAACGAGATGCCCCCTGAGCTCGGGACGCCGTTCTGGAAGCTCGTGTTGAAGCAGTTCGACGACCTCCTCGTGAAGACCCTCATCGCCGCCGCGGTCGTATCGTTCGTCTTGGGCGTCGTCGACGGCGACGGCTCCGGCGCGTTCGTGGAGCCGGGCGTCATCGTCCTCATCCTCGTCGCGAACGCCACCGTGGGCGTGCTCACCGAGACGAACGCGGAGCGCGCGATCGAAGAGCTCAAGGCGTACCAGGCCAACCTCGCGACGGTGCTTCGATCCGGTCGCCTGAAGGTGTTGCCCGCCGCGGAGCTCGTCCCCGGGGACGTCGTCGAGTGCGTCGTGGGGAACAAGGTCCCCGCGGACGTGCGACTCGTGTCGATCGCGTCGTCGACGTTTCGAGTGGACCAGAGCATCCTCACCGGCGAGAGCGGGTCCGTGTCCAAGGAGCTGACCCCGTGCGCGAGCGCGAAGGCCGTGGTGCAAGATAAGACGTGCATGCTGTACAGCGGCACGGTCGTGACCGTCGGGCGGTGCCGCGGCGTCGTCGTCGGCACGGGGTTGAACACGGCGATCGGGAAAATCCGCGACGCGATGACCGAAGCCGCCGCGGAGGAGGAGATGACGCCGCTGAAGAAGAAGCTCGACGAGTTCGGGACGCTCTTATCGAAAGTGATCGCGGTCGTGTGCGTGTTAGTCTGGGTCGTGAACATCGGGCACTTCGCGGACAAGGCGCACGGGGGGATGCTACGCGGCGCGATTTATTACTTCAAAATCGCCGTCGCGCTCGCCGTCGCGGCGATCCCGGAGGGACTCCCCGCGGTCGTGACCACGTGCCTCGCGCTCGGGACGAGGAAGATGGCGAAACAGAACGCGATCGTGCGGTCGCTACCGAGCGTTGAAACGCTCGGGTGTACGAGCGTTATTTGTTCGGACAAGACCGGGACGCTGACGACGAACGCGATGCTCGCGACGAGAGTCTGCGTCGTCGACGCGTCTGAAGGCGCCGCCGGCGCCGCCGCGGCGCGCGTCGGCGACGCGTGCCTCGCGGAGTACGAAGTCACCGGCGACGGATACTCCCCCGACGGCGTCGTCACGGAAGCGAACAGCGGCAAGGTTGTCGAGCACCCCGCGGAGAGGGCGTCCGTGCTGCACATGTCAATCTGCGCGTCGCTCTGCAACGACGCTTCGCTGACGTACAACGGCAAGACGCGCGCGTACGAAAAAATCGGCGAGAGCACGGAGGTGGCGCTGCGCGTGCTGACCGAGAAGATCGGCCTCCCCGGGTTCGACGCGATGCCGTCCGCGCTGACGCGGCTGTCGAAGAAAGAGCGGGCGGGGTACTGCGCGGAGTACTGGGCCGGGCAGTTCAAACGCGTCGCCGCGTTGGACTTCACGCGCGATCGAAAGATGATGTCGGTGCTCGCGTCGAGGAAAGGGCAGAGCATCTTGTTCACGAAAGGCGCGGCCGAGACCGTCCTCGCGAAGTGCACGCAGGCGCTGACGAACGCGTCGGGCGCGGCGGAGCCGCTGACGGACGCGATGCGCGCCGCGCTGAGCGACAAGCTGCAAAAGTTTGCGGCGTCGTCGCTGAGGGTGCTCGCGCTCGCGATGCGGCCGACGCCGCCGAAGACGACGAAGGTTTCCGTCGACGACGAGCGCGACCTCACTTTCCTCGGTTTCGTCGGGATGCTCGACCCGCCGAGGGCGGAGGTCGCGCGGGCGATCTCGCTGTGCCGCCAGGCGGGCGTCCGGGTCGTCATGGTGACCGGGGATAACCGGTCCACAGCGGAGGCGATCGCGAAGCGCGTCGGTCTGGGCGACGACGACGGCGGCCGAGGGAGCCACCCGGCGACGTCGACCCAGCTGCTCGCGCGGAAGATGATCGACGACGCCGCGAAGGCTGGGCTGGCGACGAACGCGGGGGTGCTTCTCCCGCCCGGGAAGTCGTTCACCGGGTTGGAGTTCGACGAGATGTCTGCGGCGGAGCAGAGCGACGCGGTGGCGAACATGGCGGTGTTTTCGAGGGTGGAGCCGCGGCACAAGTCGAAGCTGATCGAGATTTTGAAACGGCAAGGGCACGTCGTCGCGATGACCGGCGACGGCGTGAACGACGCCCCCGCGCTGAAGCGCGCGGACATCGGGATCGCCATGGGCAGCGGCACCGCGGTCGCGAAGAGCAGCAGCGACATGGTCCTCGCGGACGACAACTTCGCGACCATCGTCAGCGCCGTCGCGGAGGGCCGCGCGATTTACAACAACACGAAGCAGTTCATACGGTACATGGTATCCTCGAACATCGGCGAGGTCGTGTGCATCTTCATCGCCGCCGCGCTCGGGATGCCGGAGACGCTGTGCCCGGTGCAGCTGCTGTGGGTGAACCTCGTCACGGACGGCCTGCCCGCGACCGCGCTCGGGTTTAACAAGCCGGACCGCGACATCATGCGGGCGCGTCCGCGGCGGCCGGACGAGTCTATCGTCGACCGGTGGCTCTTCGTGCGCTACCTCGTCGTCGGTATGTACGTCGGGTTCGTCACCGTCGGCGCGTTCGCGTGGTGGTACATGTCCTACCTCGACGGCCCGATGCTGACCTGGAGCGAGCTCACGTCGTTCGAGTCGTGCGAGGAGGGAAAGCAACGATACTCGTGCGACGTGTTTCTTAAAAACCGCTCGCCGTCGACGATGAGCATGAGCGTTCTCGTCGTCGTGGAGATGTTCAACGCGCTGAACGCGCTGTCGGAGAACGGCTCGCTTCTGACGCACCCGCCGTGGAGCAACTACTGGCTCCTGGGCGCGATATGCGTCAGCATGCTGTTGCACTGCGTCATCCTCTACGTCCCGTGGCTCGCGTCGACGTTTTCCGTCGCGCCGCTGTCGACGGCGGAGTGGAACGCGGTGATTAAGTTTTCGTTTCCGGTGATCTTGCTCGACGAGGTGTTGAAGTTCGTGACGCGGAGGTTCCGACACAGGATTAAGTTCATGATGCGACGGGGAGCGCTGCTGCCGACGCGGAACGATCCCGGCGCGGGGAAAGGGGTGTGACGTTATCTCTCTAGATTTTATTATTACCCAAAGGCAGTCACACGTTCTTCCCAATCTTCGGTCCGTACAGCAGACCGAGGTTCTTCCACACGCTCACGAGCGAGTTCGCGGTGAAGAACCCGCTCCCCGCCGCGGCCGGAACGCCGATCCCCGGGTACGTCGAGTCCCCCACCCCCCACAGGCCCTCGATCCCGGTCGCCGGTCCCGGAGCCAAATCCGCGCCGTACAAATTCGTCCGCGTCATGTCCACGCCCGGACCGTACGTCCCTCGGTGCCTTCGAACGAACCGCTGCTGCGTAAGCGGCGTCGCGATCATCTCCACCTCGACGCGGTCGCGAACGTCCGGGATGACCTTCTCCAGGGCGGCGTAGAGATCGTTCGCCGCGGCGCGCTTCGCCTCCGCGTATTCCGAAGATTTTCGATCCATCCCCTCCCACTTCTCGTACGGCTCGTTCGCCGCGCCGTAGATGTGGATGGTGTGCTTCCCCGGCGGCGCCTGCGACGGGTCTAACGTCGTCGGAATGGAGATGTTGAAGACGTTCCGGTCGCCGTCCACGCCCGCGCCCCAGTCCTTCACGACGAGGTGGTGAATCCCGAGCTCCTCCGGAGGCGGCAGCCCGGTCGCGTCGATGCCCAGGTGTAAGTGCACGAACGACCCGCACAGCGGCGTCTTCTCCGTGTGGACGTCGTCCCCGCGCGCTCTCCTCTCCGCCTTGACGTCCTCGGGGAGGAGCTTGTTCACGGTGTCCCACACGGACGCGTTGCTCACGACCGCCTTTCGCGCTCTCACGACTTTCCCGCTCTTCAGTCGCACGCCGACGGCGCGGCCGTCTCCCACGACCACCTCCTCCACGGGCGACCGCAGCGCCATCTTCCCGCCGTACTTTCGGACGCCGCGGACGAGCGCGTCGATGATCGCCTGCGAACCGCCGATCGGGTAGTCGTACACGCACCCTTCCTTCTTGTGCCTTTCCACGAACGTGAACGCCATGATCGCGGCGCTCGTCGCGTCCGCTTTCAACCCGGAGATGACGAAACACTCCAGATCGAGCATGTTCTTCAGCCACGCGTTCGTCACGTGCTCGTTCACGAGCTCGCTGAAGTTCTCCCGGAGCCACTTCGCGTCCTCGAACCCCTCCGCGCCCTTCGGACCGCCCCCCAACGCCTTGACGATCGGAGCGACGTATTTCGCCATCGTCAACGCGACGCCCGCGTCCGCGCGCATCCCCGCGAACGGAATCGCCACCGCAGCCTCGCCCAGCGGCCCCATCGCCTCCTCGAGCACGTCCCACTCCCTCACCGCGTCCTCCCCCGCGAATCTCCGGATCCCGTCGCGGTAGCATTCTCTGTCCGCGACGCACGTGAACGTCTCGCCGTCGCCGTCGGGAAAGTAGAATTTCATCGAGTCGTACGTCGCCGCCTCCACCGACTCGCCCACCGCGTCGAGCACCTGCCGCACGCCGTTGATCGACTCCCCGGGCGGGGAGCTCAGGCCCAAGAAGTAGCTCGGCCCGCTGTCGAACTCGTACCCGTCGGCGCCTCGGAACGAGTGCGCGGCGCCGCCGGCGACGTAGTGCGCCTCCGCGATCGCGACGCTCACGCCGTACTTCCCGAGGAGCGCCGCGCACGAGAGACCGCCGATGCCGGCGCCGACGACGACGACGTCGACCTCGTCAGGGAGCTCGTCGGAGCTCCACCCGGCGCCTTTGCCTTTCTCGGCGGCGGCGGGCGGCGGCGAATCGACGGCCGCGCGGGGGAGGGGTCGACGGCGAGACGGCGAGACGCGCGGACGCCGACGCATCCCCAGCGGAGAGAGCGCCGATGAGAGCGACGACGACGACGCGAACGACGACGGGCCGCCGACGCGCGGGCGCGCGGCTGGCGCCGACGCCGACGCGTTCGCCGTCCGCGGTCTGCTCGCGGACGACGACGACGCGGGGGCGGCGGCGGCGGCGACGACGCGCGCGAGAGTCGCCATCGATGCCGTGCGCGTCGACGGCGCGGCGTCGACTGCGCGCGCGAGCGGGGCGTATCCGATATCCGACTCTCAGGGCCATTCCATACAAAAACAGTTCTCCGGTCAGTTGAAAGGGGATGCGATCAAGTGTTGAAACCGGGAGATGGGTGAAAAACTTTTGTATAGAACGCACCTGAGCAGAGCAGAGATTCGCGTTCGCGTTCGCGCGCGGGCACTGAAAAAAATGGTCATCAGATCGGAGGCCGCGGGGCCGCGGGCGTCGACGTCGTCGTCGCACTCGCCCGCGCGCGCCCAGCTCGGCGATGGTGCGCTGGGGCCGAGGCATCGGCGGCGGCCCCAGCGCGGGGTTTCTTCAGTACGTCCCCGCGTGGGTCGTCCTCGCGGTGTGCCTCGCGGCGGTGCTCGCGTTCGCGTACGGACTGAGTAAGGTGAAGAGTTGGGGGTACATCTGGCGAAAGATCAAAACGTTCGGGGACCCGCAGCCCGAGGACCGACCGTTCGAGCGCGAGGACGAGGCGTGGGCGGAGGAGGGGCGCGCGAGGCGCGGGCACGGGGGCGGGCGCGGCGAGGGCGGCAACGGCGCGTGACGGTCGCGCTCGCGCGGGAACTACAGTAGACTATTTTTTGGATTCATCGCGAGCGCGTTCTATAAAATCTCATCAGTCGCGACGAGTCGTCTCGGCGCAAACGTCGTCATCACGGGTGCAGCTTCTTCGCCGCGGGCCACAGCCCCATCGCTCGCAGCGTGACCTGATCGAACGCCCAACCCGGAAGAATCCGCTTCAGGAACATGAACGCGTGCGTCGGCCACGTGACGGAGTACCGCGGCGCCGGTCGTCGCGCGTCGAGCGCGAGCGTCAACTTGGCCGTCACCGCCGACGGCTCGAGCTCGCCCATGTCCTTCTTGTACGGACCGTACAGCCGCGGCACGAACTTCTTCTCGTAGAAGGACCGAAACGCGGAAACCTCGACGAGCGGGGCGATCCACCGCTCGAAGTGCGCGCGCGAGTTCTCGCGAATCTTCGTGCGAATCGGCCCGACGTTGAGCGAGATGACTTTAATGTCCGTGTCGTGCGACAGCTCCAGACGCAGCGCGTCGCAGTGCGCCTCGAGCGCGAACTTCGTCGCGCTGTACGCCATCCGCATCGGCATGACGACGTTCCCGAGGATGCTCGAGCACTGCACGATGCGTCCGCGGCCGCCCTGCGCGCGCATCGCCTTCACCGCGCGTCGCGTGAGGTCGTGCCATCCGAAAAAATTCACCTCGAAGATGGCTCGCAGCGCGTCCGTGGGGATGTCCTCCGCGGCGCCGCCGCTGCCGTGCGCGCCGTTGTTGAACAGCGCGTCTAACGTCCCGCCGGTCTCTCGCATGACGTCCTCGAAACCGCGTTCGATCGTCTCCGGCTTGGAGTAGTCGATCAAGAAGCTCTCGATGCCGTGCCGCGCTCGCATCGCGTCGACGTCCTCCTCCTTTCGGCAGCACGCGAACACGCGCCACTCCCCGGACGCGTGGAGCGTCCGCGCGGCGTCCAGGCCGATCCCGGACGAGCATCCGGTTATCAGGATGGTGCGCGCGCGCGCCATCTCGCCCGAGAGCGACGCCCGCGCCCGTGCGCCGCGCGTCTCGACGATGCTCTTTTTTAGGACGTGACCTCGCTCGCCTCGACGTTGACGACGGGACGATCGTCTACGGGCCGCGTTTTTCACCCACCCTCAGTTTCAACATTTGATCGCGCCCCCTTTCAACTGACCGATGAACATAACCTTACCGACCTTTGGAGGGAGATCTCTCAACACTGCTGGCTTCGGTCGTGGCGACGACACGTCACCCTAAAGTTACTCGCCTGCGGTCGTCGCGCGGCGGTCACACCCCGCGCGCACGACGCGAACGCGATGGCGCTCGCTATGGACGCCGCGTCGGACGTCCATCGCGGCGGGCTCGACGACTCGCACGCGTGCCCGATATGCCGCGAGACGTTCTCGGACGCGTTCAACACCATGTGCGGGCACACGTTCTGCTACGCGTGCATCGTGGAGCATCTCGCGCGCGCCCACGCGTGCCCGTGCTGCGCGCAGCCGCTCACGGCGGAGTCGCTGTTCCCGAATCTCGCGCTGGATAAGCTCCTGAAGCAGCTCTCGAGGAGCGGGCAGCTGCCGGGGAGCCCGCGGTCGGGAACGGCGTCGCCCGCGCTCGGGAGCGACGGCGCGCTCGCGACGACGACGACGACGACGACGACGACGACGCGCGCGGACGACGACGCGAACGCGCGGGGGGGGAGCGGCAGATGCCCCGCGCGACGCACGAAGGAGATCGCGGAGAGCATCAACAGCCTCCCGCTGGAGGAGCTCACGCCGTTGCTCCGGTCGATCGCGGACAAGCACGACCGGCTCGTGAAGCACGACAAGCGCGTCAGCGTCGGCGCGCTCAGGGATTTCCTCGCGCTGTCGTGGAAGCGGAAAAACGACGCGATTCGCGACCTCGAGCGCGAGGTCGGGAGGATCGACGTGGACGTGAACTGGATCGAGCGGCAGATCGACGAGCTCGGCGGGAGCCACGCGCTGCGGGCGCTCGTCGAGGAGAGGGCGGCGGCGACGGCGGCGGCGGCGGCGCGCGCGGCGTCCCCGAACGGCGGCGGCGGCGGCGGCGGCGGCGGCGGCGCGTCGGCGGCGACCGCCGCGGCCGGCCGCGAACCCGGCGAGGATCCGCCGCCTTCCCCTCATCAGCCGTCGCGCGCGCGCGCGAGCGCGGCCGCGAGCATGGTTTGCGAGATGCTCAGCGCGTGGGGCATCGAGCGGCGGAACGACGACGCGCGCGGCGGCGCCTCGTACGGGCAAACACCCTCGCGCCTCGCGTTCGAAGCGGCTCGCCCCGCCGCCGCCGCGCCGGGATCCAAACGCACGTCCGTGGACATGATGCGCGGGTCCGGGTCCGGCGGCGGCGGCGGCGGCGGCGGCGGGTCGCCGCCGTCGCGGACGCGGCTGGGACGGACGACGGAGCCCGGCGGCGCGGCGGGGTCAGCCGACGCGCGGGCGGCGGCGGCGGACGGGCGGCACGTCGGCGAGTCGCTCGCGTCCGTGGACTTGTCCGAGACGAAACGCGCGAGGGTGCTCGCGAACTTCGCGAACCTTCAGGATCTGTACTCGAAGATACGATGCGGCGGTTTCGGCGGTTTAGGCGGCGGGCGGAGGAAGAGCTCGGAGCCGAGCGCGGCGGCGGCGCGCGGTGACCTCGACGAGTTCGCGAATCTGATGCGGTCGCTGACCAAGGTGCGTTCTATACACTGGTCCCCATACGACCGCGTTCGCGTGGTGAACGCCGTTTCTTAAGGAGTTTGCCCGGCGCGTCTCTGCGCCTACCCCTCGGTTTCAATCCCCGGCCTCGGCGCCTTTCAACTCCAACTGACGCCTTTCAACTCCACCCCGACTTCGCTTTGTATGGAACGACCCTCAGTACGAGCGCGCGCGCGTCGCCGGGGAGGTGCGACACGGCGAGCGGAACGCGCGCCTCGGCGCGGGCGCGTCCTCGATCGTGTCGTCCATCGAGTTCGATCGCGACTACGCGAACTTCGCCACGGGGGGCGTGTCGAAAAAAGTGCACGTGTTCAGCTTCGCGGAGGCGTGCGGCGGCGTCGACGGCGACCGCGCCGCGTCGGACGTCGACGCTCCCGGGCCGATACAAACGCTCGACGCGAAGAGCAAGCTGTCGTGTCTGTCGTACAACAAGCACGTCGCGAACCACCTCGCGAGCTCGGACTACGAGGGCGTCGTCACCGTGTGGGACGTCGAAGCCGGCGTCGCGGTGGCGGAGTTCGAGGAGCACGACAAGAGAGCGTGGACGGTGGATTACTGCCGCGTCGACCCGCGCATTCTCGCGAGCGGCAGCGACGACGGCCTCGTGAAGATCTGGTCCACGGCGCAGCGCGGCAGCGTGCTCGAGATCGACGTGCGCGCGAACGTGTGCTGCGTGCAGTACGGCCCGCTGAGCGCGCATCAGCTCGCGGTCGGGAGCGCGGACCACCGCGTGCACGTGTTCGATCTGAGAAACCCGAGCGAGGCGATCGCGACGCTGCGCGCGCATCGGAAGGCGGTGTCGTACGTCAGGTTCTTACCCACCGGCGACGAGATGGTGTCCGCGTCCACGGACAGCACGCTGTGCGTGTGGGACGTCAAGGGGAACGTCGCGGCGTGCGCGAGGGACGGCGCGACAGGAGGCGGAGGAGGGAAGGGCGGCGCCGCGAGCGGGAGCGGGAGCGGGAGCGGTTATGGGATTCTTTCTTCGGCGCCGGCGGCGACGCTGGAGGGGCACGTCAACGAGAAGAACTTCGTCGGGCTGTCCGTCGGCGCCGGCGAGCTCATCGCGTGCGGGAGCGAGACGAACGAGGCGTACGTGTACCACAAGTCGTTCAATCGGCCGATCTTGACGTACGACTTCGCGGAGAAGACGGAGCGGCGCGGCGGCGGCGGCGGCGGCGGCGGCGGCGGCGACTCCGGCGTTCGGGGGCAGCAGCCGACCGCGCGATCGCCAGGCGCCGTTTCCGCCGGCGGCGGCGACGGCGAACGCGGCGCGAGCGGCGCGCCGAAGCCGCCGGGGCAGCCGCTGTTCGTGTCCGCGACGTGCTGGCGAGGGGACGAGCCCGTGCTCCTCGCGGCCAACTCCACCGGCAGCATCAAGGTGCTGCAACTCGTGGAGTGAGGTCGACGTCTTCGTCTTCGTCTTCGTCTTCGTTCGCGCGACTACTGTACGACTGCTGTTAAAAGAAAAAGAATAGCGCGCGCGCCGTCGACGACGAGCTAGATGCGCGACGCGCGCGAAGAATGTGGAAGACTACCGTACCGTGCGCTCGAGAGGAACTCTTCTCCGTCTCTCTCTCGCTCATCGACTACTCGGCGCCTCGTCCGGTCGCCGCATCCGGAATTTCCTCCGCAAGTCCCTGACCACGGTGCTCTCCTCGATCCACCGCAACCCGCCGCCCCCGCCCCCGCCGCTCCCCCCGCCGCCATCCCCGCCCTCCATCCACTCCCGCCACGGCGCCAGACTGCGTCGCGCGCGCTCCACGCTCGGCCCCGCGACTCTTTGAAGCAGCGCCCTCAGGTCGTCGCTCGAGCGAACGTCGAGCGCCGCGCTCGCGACGAACCCGCCGCCGACCACCCCCGCGGCCGCGGCGACGGAGCCGTACAACAGCGCGCGCGTCCCCGCGGCGAGCGCCTTGTTCGCGACCGCTCTCGTCTTTCGCATCGCCTCGGTCTCCGCGGGGATCGCGTGGCGTCTCTCCTCCTCCGCGGCGGCGCGAATGGAATCTAAGGGCCATTCCATACAAAAACGGTTCACCGGTCAGTTGAAAGGAGACGCGATCAAATGTTGAAACCGGGCGATGGGTGAAAAACTTTTGTATAGAACGCACCTAAGCCGCCCCACTTCGCGATCCTCGTGCTCGGTATCCTGTACGTCCCGTGCATCGCGCCGCGTCCCGCGGCGTTCCCCGCGGTCGATATGGGCGGCATCTGCGTCGAGACGCGGCGGCGGAGGACGTCCGGTGGCGCGGTCACGCGCGCCTCTTGCGCGTGAATCTCAGCGAGTTTCGTGTCCGAGACCCACGCGCGCTCCCGTCCGCGCGGGTCCGTCTCGCCGGGGATGAGGACGCGCTCCGGGTCCGGCGCGATCGCGCCCTCTCGTATGCGGCGCTTCCTGTACGCGCTGAGTTCGTCTTCTTGCTCGGACTTGAAGTACGAGCCCTCGCGCGCCTGCGGAGACACGAGGGGAGAAGCGCACGCGAGCGAGGACGGGTGACGTCAGATTGATTCGCGGAAGCCGAGACGGGGAGGCGCCGCGCGCGCGCGCGCGGGAACCTTCGGGACGACCGCGGGCGACGCACCGAGCCGCGACCTCTGAGGATGCTCATGAGCGTGCCCGCGCGACGCGAAAAAGGACCCTGCCCGCGGCGGAGGCCGCCGCGCGCGAGGAGTGAGCGAATGATGTCAGCACTCCGCGCGTGAGCACTGCGCGTGACTAGACTCACAAGATTCGATTCGAGAAGGACGCGCGACGCGACGCCGTCGTCGTCGCGCGCATCACATCGCTAACACATCACCCCACACGCCGCTATCACGCCACCGCGCGCCACGCCACACCCCGACCCCGCGCCGTCCATCGCTGTCACTCCTCCCCCCCGCCCGACGCGTTCGCCCCCTCCGTCGTCTTCCACCCGCGGATGGCGACGTTGGAGAACAGACACGCGACCTGCGCGGCGACGACGGGCGGGGGTATCGCCGCCGGCGCCATCGCGTCCGCGAAGTCCACGCCCAGCACGATCTCCGCGCTCGCGACGAAGACCAAGATCGCCTCGCCCCACCACGCGCCGGCGCCGAGCCCGAACGCGGCGACGGGGCCGAGAACGGACCACCCGAGCGTGACAGCCTGAAGGACGACGCTGAGGTCGGAGAACGACGACGTCCCGCACGCGGCGGATATCGGGCCGCTCCCGAAGAGGTCCGGGAAATGCAGCGCGCCGCCGGCGAGGTAGAGACCGCACATGACCTTGCGGAAGCGCCCGAGCGCGTCGTCCGCGTTCTCGGGGACGAGGCTCGGGAGCGCGGCGACGACGACGGACCCGCGCGCGATCTCGATCTCGGGTGGGAAGGACGGACGACGCGGCGGACGCGCCCGGGTGAAGCGTGGCGCGACGCCGCGCGCGGGCGAAGCGAGCCGGCGCGAGGGCGCGCTCGCGACGACGCGGAGCGCGCGCGGCGCCGTCGCCGTGGTCATCGTCGCGCGGGCGCGACGACGCGGCGCTTCGTGCGGCCGCGCGATGCGTTCTGACGCGCGACGGACGAGGGTCGCTCGATAAGATATCTGATTGTGTGTTACCACCTCTCGCCGCCCCCCGGACGACGACGACGAAGAAACGCGCGAACGATTTCCGTTACGCATACGCTATGATACAACTCAAACTACATCGTTCGTCACACCGTCCCCGACGACCATCCCGCGTTCATACACTCGTGATACAGCACAGCACAACCCGCGCGAGAGAGACTGGACGCGGTGTCGTCACCGCTTCGCCGCCGTCGCCGCCTTGTTGACCACCTCCGCCGCCTTCTTCGCCCTCCCCCCGCGTCCCTTCCCTTTCGCGCCGCTCGCGCCGCCGCCCTCGCGCGCCGCGTCCGCGTCCGCCGCCGCCGCGTTCGCCGTCGGCGCCCTCGGCGGCGACAGCGCGAACGCGCCGACGACCGCTTCCCACAGCGCGCCGCTGCGCTGCCCGACGACGGTGAAGTCCCCCGACATTGTCCCCTTCAGCCGCTCCAGACTCACCCTCGAGGTGTACTCGAACTCCGCGCCGCGCTCCAAGACGGGCTGGAACCCCACGAGCCCAACGCCGAGGACGTCCTGGACGCGCCCTTCCTCGTCGCGGATCTCCCACCGGCGAGAGACCACCTGCACGGGCTCGTCGACGGATTCGTTCTTCACGACGACGGTGTACGAATACCAAAACTCCCCTTCCCGTGGATCGGACATCTCCGGCAGGAGCGCGCTGCGGACGCGGACGCGGACGCCGCTCGTGAGCGTGTCGCTGCTGACGTCCGCGGCCATGCTCTCCAGGAGCGCGAGGCGGCGGTTCAGCAGCGCGTACGCGGCGATGGCGTCGTCCAGGCGTCGCCCGACGTCGACCGCGTGCGCGCGCGCGTCGAGCCTCGCGCCCGCGCGGAACGCGTCGCCGACGAGCGCGCGCAGCGCCGCGCGCGAGTTCGGCGCGAGCGCGATCTTGTACCCGGGGAGGAGCTCGCGGAGCCTCGCGCACTCGTTCTGCAGGGCGGCGGGGTTGGGGGAGGGGGCGAGGGGGCGGGGAGGGAGGTCAGCGGGCGTCCGCCATCTCGGAGATTCCGTCCGTCCGTCCAGTCGTCGTTCGTCGTCGCTCGAGGGTTGGGTTTTCGGTCGCGGTCGTCGCGTCGGTCGCCGCCGCGTCGCGCACCTCGGGGAAGACGTCCACGGTGCCGTGCCTCGCGAGCTGCTGGTCGAGCCTCCGCGTCGCGCGGAGGAGGCCGCGGTACGCCACGCGGGCGACGTTCATCGTCGTCGTGGACGCGCGAGCGCGTGTGACGACGCGGACTCTCGGGCTCGCCGATGACGCGACGCGACGAGCAGTCTCGTTTCATCACGAACGGATCGATCTCGTTCGTCGGTCAACGAACGACAACAGAACGCTCCCGTCGATCGCTCGCGGAGTCCCCAGCGCGCGGCGGTGCCCCGCGCGCGATGGGTTTGATCACCCCGTCGCACGCGTGGGAGGAGACCGCGGACGAGGTCATCGTCCGCGTGGACATCAAGGGCGTCCCGAGGGCGAGCTTCGACGTCTTCGGTGCGCGCGAGCGGCGTCCTCCCTCGTCTTTTTTCTTCTTTTTTCGCGCCCTCTCCGTCTCGCCGCGGTGCTCACTCTCGTCCATCCAAATCCCTCCTCGTCTCCGTCTCCGACGCCGTCCCGTCCCCGTCCCCGTCCCCAGCCGCGAGCTGCTACTTGAAAGTGAACGCGCCGCCGTACTTATTCTCGTGCGACCTTCACGGCGAGATCAGAGACGGCGAGTGCGTCGCGACGATCGACGACCGCGGCGTGCGGTTCCGATGCGCGAAAGCGTCCCCGGGAACGACGTGGGGGAAGCTTCGACGCGAGCCGTCCGAGGCGTGCACGAAACAGGAGATCGCGGAGCGCCGCGTCGCGTCCGTGGAGAAGGCGCACGCGAGGATCGTCGCGGAGAGACTCGCGGCGAGAGACGCGAAGAAGAAGGCGGAGAAGGCGTACCTGGAGAAGCAGTGGGCGATCGAAAACGATCGACGCGCGACGATCGAAAAACGCCAAGACGAGGAGCTCGAACGCGAGCGAGAGAGGGTGCTCAGGTGGCAGGAAGAGGGCGACGCGATCGCCGCGCGCGGAGGTAACACCGCGGCCGTGGACGGCGAGTCCGAGGACGAGGACGTCGCGTACGACAGCGACGACGACGCGGCGACGCGCGCGAGGAAAGAAGCGAACACGCGCGTCGCGCGAGAGAAGGAATTCGCGGCGAAAATTCTCACGCCGGACGCCGTCGCCGCGGCGACGGGCGACGCCGCCGTGGACGGGAACGCGATCCCGGAGGCGACGCTCGACAAGATGCTCGAGGACTCGAGCGACGACGAGCAGACCGCAGAGGAGGCGGCGCGCGAGCGCGCGGCGAAGGAGGAGAAGCGAAGGAAGGAGCGCGCCGAGCGCGCCGTCGACGCGATGCTCGCGGCGCCGACGCGAGAGCTCCCGCCGCCGCGCGCGTCCACGCGCGTCGGCGTCGAGTTCACGAAACTCGAGCAGGAGCACATGCCCGCGCGCGCGAGCCGGGAGAAGGAGATCAAGGAGTGGAAAGCGTCGCAGCGCGAGAACGGCGCGAAAGGGTTGGACGGGAAAGGCGGGAAAGACGCCCGGGACATCACCGAGCGCGAGCCCATCTTTTTGAAGGACAAGGGCGACGCGTTCTGGAAGGCGGGGAACTACCGCGCCGCACTCGAGGCGTACACGAACGCGATCGACACGGAGAAGACCGCGCCGCATCCAGACGGGACGCTCGTGAGGCTGTACGCGAACCGCGCGGCGTGTCATCAGAAGGCGGACGACGCGCGCGCGTGCGTGAAGGACTGCGACGCCGCGTTATACATCCTCTCGAGCGAAGAGACGAGTGAAGACGTCGGGACGCTCTGGTCGCCGCGCGCGTGCGCCGCACAGCGTCTGAAGCTTCTCGTGCGACGCGGCAAGGCGCACGCGCGCGTCGGGAACTTCAACGCCGCGGAGGACGACCTCATGATCGCGCTGAAGCTCGCGCCGCCGGAAGTTCGCGCGGGGATCGAGACGGACCTGGCGGACGCGCGCGCGTGCGCGTCGCCGCTCGACGCGACGGGGCTCCGCGCGCGCGGCGACGCGCGGTACCGCTCCGGCGACGCGATGGGCGCGGAGGAGGCGTACACCGCGGTGATCGCGCTGGGCGATGAGCTGTGCGACCCCGCGATCGAGCGCGTCGTCGCGCACGCGAACCGCGCGGCGGCGAGGCTGTCGCGGGGGGACCACGGCGCCGCGCACGACGACTGCGAGGATGGCTTGGAGCGTCTTTTGCGTTTGGCGGGAGCGCGCGACGGCGACGGCGACGGCGACGCGCGCGAGGTGGCCGCGCGGCTCGCGCGCGACGGCGACGCGCGCGCCGCCGCGGGAGGGTGGGACGACGCGCGCGTCGCGCTCCTCGCGAAGCTTCTGCACCGACGCGGCGCGGCGAGGGCGCGGCTGGCGTCGTACGACGCCGCCGCGGACGACTACGAAGCCGCCGCGGGGTTGATGCCGCCGGCGGCGGCGGCGAAGCTCGCGGCGGACGTGGACACGATGCGCGCGGAGGCGAGGAAGAAGGCGGAGCGCGACGTCGAGCGCGCGACGCGGGGGGAGAGTGAGACCGCGGGGACGCTGGGGGGGTCCGAAGACGCGCGGACGGACGCGGAGGCGGCTGAAGACGCCGCCGCCGCCGCCGCCGCCGCCGCCGCCGCGACGGAGGCGGCCGCGCGCGCCCCCCTCGCGTCGACCGGGACGTCGCGGTCGCGGACGACGTGGACGATCGTCAAGAACGGTCGAATGGGAAAGCTGAAAGGCGGCAAGGCTGTGACGAAGGGCTCCGAGGTTGTCGTCCACGCCGTCGGGACGTTGACGGCGGCGGGGGTCGTTTTTTGGAACACGCGTGCGGACCCGCGACGGCCCGAGCCGTTCGCCTACGTCGCCGGCGTCGGCGAGGTCGTGCGGGGGTGGGACGAGGGGTGCGTCGGGATGCGAGTGGGCGAGACGCGGCGGCTGAGCATCCCGGCGAGCGAGGGGTACGGCGCCGCCGGGTTCGCGGAGTGGAACATACCGCCGAACGCGGACCTGACGTTCGACGTCACGGTGCTGAGCATCGCGTGAGTGACTTTTTAGTCGGGTGCCCTAAGTTCGTACATTTGCTCGCGATGAGCGACGATGAGGGCCATTTTTCGTCGTTCAAATTGATTCCTTCGAAAGCGAATGAGGAAAAATCACCGATGAAACGCCGGTCAAGCGCGCGATCGCTTTGATCGCGACGGTTCGATCGCGCGTCTCCGGCCACAAATCGCGCGGACGCACTCGAACGTTTGCCGTTCGACGCGACGACGTCGGCATCGCGCGCGTCACACTTCAACGCGTAGTAGACGCCCGCTCGTCACCGGTAGTCACAATGGGGCTTACCTTCACCAAGCTCTTCCAGCGCCTCTTCTCCAAGAAGGAGATGAGGATCCTCATGGTGCGTCGACGCGCGCGAGCGCAGCGACCCTATTTATATTTTTTCGAAGCGCGCGGAGAGAAGATGCCTTCGCGATGGCGACGTCCGCGCCGCGCGGACGCGGCGTCGCGCGTCGGCGAAGTCGTCGCGCGGTCGTCGCATCAGACGCGTTCGCGTGTCACCGCCTCAGATACCGCGATTCAAACGCGCCCGAGACGTCGCGACGTCGATCGCGGCGCGCGATCCGCGCCTCGGTCGCACGCGGGAACTCGCGCGGTGCCTGCCCTCCCCGCGGCGGAGACTGATGATTTCCGCTCCCTCCCCGCTCCCTCCGCAGGTTGGCCTCGACGCCGCTGGTAAGACGACCATCCTGTACAAGCTCAAGCTTGGCGAGATCGTCACGACCATCCCCACGATCGGTACGTCCTCGGAGCGCGCCGTTTCCTCCCTCGCGCTCGGATCGCTCGCGGTTTTTCGGACCGCCTCTGGCCGCGGACGCGATGCGTTCGCGCGCTGAGCGCGGTGCCCGCCCCGCGAGACGACCGCGTCCTGACGCCCGCTCCCTCGCTCCGTCCGCGCGCCTCCCTCTCCAGGTTTCAACGTCGAGACCGTCGAGTACAAGAACATCTCGTTCACGGTGTGGGACGTCGGCGGCCAGGACAAGGTGCGAGCCGCCTCCCGCGCGATCTCGCGTCGCGTCTCGCGCGCCGCTCCCCCGCGCCCCCGATCGTCTGTCTTCGCGCTGACGATCTCTCGCCCCGCGCGTCCTCCCTCGCTCCCAGATCCGCCCGCTCTGGAGGCACTACTTCCAGAACACGCAGGGTCTGATCTTCGTGGTGGATAGCAACGATCGCGATCGCGTCTCGGAGGCTCGGGACGAGCTCCACCGCATGCTCAACGAGGTGCGCGGCGCGCCCCTCCGTCGCGCGGCGTCGCGTTTCAAAACCTTCAAGACCGAGCCAAGAGACCGCGCGCGAGATCTGATAAAATCTGATCTGATCCGTCTCCTGACGCGTCTCCCCCCCCCCTCCCCCCACTCCGCCGCTTCCAGGATGAGCTCCGCGACGCCGTCCTGCTCGTTTTCGCGAACAAGCAGGATCTCCCGAACGCGATGACCGCCGCGGAGATCACGGACAAGCTCGGCCTTCACAGCATCCGCCAGCGTCATTGGTTCATTCAGTCCACGTGCGCGACGTCCGGCGAGGGTCTGTACGAAGGCCTCGACTGGCTCTCCACCAACATCGCGAACGCGGGCTCTCGTTAATTCGATTCGATTCGTTCGACGGCGAGTGATGCGATCGCGAGGTGCGCGCGCGCGCGAGACGAGCCTAGAGCCTCGAGGAGGAGGAGGAGGAGGAGGAGGAGGATGGCGCGGCGCGAGGTGGTGGGGGCGGCGCGAGCGTCGACGGGAAGAATTTATTGACGGGGCTGGTATTTTTTCTTCCCGTCGCGAGAGCGCTCGAGCGCCCCGTCGGGATCGGAGCGGATCGGAACGGCGGGGGCGCTGTTGACTCGCGAGGGCACGCCCAGCCCGCGAGTTAGGACAGCTGGGGGGTAACATTTTGTCTAGGCAGCAAACAAACGTGTAACGGAATCGCACGGCGTTCCGAACAAAGTTTCTACGACAACGACGGACGCGACGACTCACTCCTCCGGCTTCGCGACGCCGGCGTCGTGCCGCTTCGCCGCCTCCGCCAGCGCTTCTTTCCCGATCCTGAAGCTCCCTCTCCCCATCGTCGCCGAGACCGCGGCGCCTTTCAAGTAGTTGGACTGCGACGGCGCGCCCTTCATCCCTTTCGGTCGCCTCTCCATCACCCCGGCGATCAACGCCGCGAGATTCTCCGCGAGCTGAGACGCCTCCATCGACGCCTTCCCGATACCCGCGTGCACGATCGCGTTCTTCTCCGCCCTGAACTCCACCCTCCCTAACCTCATCGACGCGACCGCGCCAGCGATGTCCGTGGTCAGCGTCCCGAGCTTAGGGTTCGGCATCAACCCTCGCGGGCCCAACACGCGCGCGACGACGCCGAGCTTGGGCATCATCGACGGATGCGCGATCGCCTTGTCGAAGTCGATGACGCCGCTGCCGCCGGCTTTGATCTTCGCGATGAGATCCTCCGCGCCGTCGACGTCCGCGCCCGCGGCGCGCGCTTCGTCCGCGTGCGCGCCTTCCGCGAAGACGCACACCTTGAGCTTCTTCCCGGTGCCGTGCGGGAGGTTCACGACGCCGCGGACGATCATGTCCGATCGCTTCGGGTCCACGCCGAGGCGGACGCTGACGTCGATCGTCTCGTCGAACTTCGCGGTCGCGCTCGCTTTCGCCTTCGCGACCGCGTCTTCGACGGAGTACGTCTTGTGCCGCGTTTTCTGCCCGGGCGCGAGCGGGGGCGATATCGCGCGAGGCGGAGGGGGCGCGTCGTCGGACGTCGTCGGCGAGGACGGCGACGCGGGAGGCGCCGCCCCGGCCGTCGTCGCGGTCGTCGTCGTCGTCTCTGCCTCGCGCGCGTCGCGCGAGACGCCGAAGGGGCGGCTCGCGACCGCGCGAGACGTGAGCGCGTCGCGCAGGCGCGGGAGAACCCCGCGTAGCGCGTGCCGAAGCGCCATCGCGTGTGATGGTGGCGAAAGACCTGAAGGCTGCGATTGCCCTAATTTTTGTTTCTCCTCCGCGGTCTCCCGCGACGTCGTCCGCCGGGGAGAGAAGAGAGCGCGACGACGCGCGCGCGCGAAAGTAACGCATACTGTGCGCCTACATAATTATTTAAACGAAATCGCAGCGCACGCGCGACGCGAGCGTCGGCCGCGCGCGATGCTGATACACATAATACAGACAAGTCCGGGAAGGCAACAGACGCGCGCGCCCGTTGTCTCCCCTCCGCCACTCAGCCTCCACTCCGGTCGCCCGCCGCGGACAGACCGATTCAGCCTCCCTCCTCCTCGACGACGCGTCGTCGTCGCATCACGACGCGTCTTAATTCCACACCGCCGCCGCGGTTTCGTCGCACCAACCTCCTCCGTCGCCGGACGCGGGACGATCGATCGCGTCCATCGAAAAAATCGATTCGATTCGATTCGATTCGATTCGATCGTCGTCTCCTCGTCTCTCGCCGCCGTGGCCTCCGCTCCGATCGCTCCTCGAACGACCGACTTAGCCCTCTCCTCCTCGTCTTCCGCGCGGACCTCGTCCACGAGATTCGCCTCCCTCCTCTCTCGTCTTATTCTGCATATTCGCGCGACCGTCCGTCGTCTCAGCACTCGACGGCTTTTCCCTCCGCCGCCGCCGCCGCCTCGGACGCGAACGCCGAGCTCACCGAGTTTTGCCGCACGAGCTCGGCGAGCGTAATCTTCTGGGACTCCGAGCTCGTCATCGACGACACCAGCGACTGCCGTCGCTTCTTGAACGCCGCGTCCCGCGGCTCGCGCGCGCCCACCGCGACGTGATTCTCCAACGCGGCGGCGACGAGCGTCCTCGCGACGTCCGCCGCCGCCATCTTCTTCGTCTTCTCCCCGCGCGCGTCTTCCCCCCTCGTCGCGTTCGCGTTCGCGTTCGCGTCGGCGTCGACGATCGCGTCGGCGATCGCGTTCGCGTCGTCCTTCGCCGCCGCCTCCGCGCGCACGAGGTTCGCGGGCGGGTCGAACGACGACGCCATGATGCACTCCTCCTTGTGTCGCGACAAGCGCTCGGCGAGCGTGCATCGCGACGAGTGACCCGCGCGCGCGTCGGCGCCGGGGAGGCGGTTTTTTTCGGCGTCGGCGCGACGCGCCGCCGCCGCGCGCGCCGCCATGATGGCCGTCATCTCCTCCGGCTCGAGCCCCCTTTCCGTCGCGCTCCTCTCGCGCTCCTCTAGCGTCGCCTCCGTTCGGAACGCCGCGGCAGCCTCCGCCGCCGCGAGCGTGGGCGAATTATTGCTGGGATTCCACTCGAACAGCTCCTCGAACGGCACGTCCGCGTACTTGGGGGTGACGACGCCGCGCGCGATGTCGTCCGCGAAATCCGACGCGCCCCCCTCGCGCGCGAAGACCAGGTCCTCCGCCGCGAGCGCGGTCGCGGTGTTCGTGTTCGGCGACGGCATCAGATTCGCGAGCGACGCGGACTTCTCGACGCGTTTGGTGCGCACGCGCGGCAGCGGCTTCGTCGCGCGGGAGGGAGGCGCGGCGGAGGGGGGCGCGGCGAGCGGACGCTTCCCCGTCGCGCCATATCTTTCGCCCGAAGCGTCGCGGACCGTGGGCGTGGACGCGTCGTCCGCGTCCGCGTCCGCGGCGACGCGCGTTGTCGTGTCCGAGCTCTTGTTCGACAGACGCGCGGCCTCGTCGGACGTTTCTCTTCCGATCTTGATGCGCGGCAGCGAGAGCTGCGACGGGAGCGTGACCTCCGCGGCGGCCGCCTTCGCGGGAGGGGCCGCGCGCGCTGCGTCGTCATCACACGGGCGCTTCCTTTTTTGCGATTTTTTCTCGCCCGCGGCCCCTCGATTCGTCGCCCTCGTCGCCGCGGCGGGCGGGTCCTTAGGCGCGGGCGCCCGCCGCGCGCGCGCGGATGCGCGCGTCATCGCTTCTGCGCGTCGTCCCGCGGACGATCGCGCGAGTATCGCGCGCGCTTCGTGCGTTCGATTCTGAAGGCCGGAGGGGTAAACCCGATCCATGAAGCCATATCTTTCAGGTTCTTTCTTCCAAGATATCTTTTCCGACCCCCTGCGTGCATGCACGCACGTTTTTGACTGATTACCCATACGCGTAGAGTACAAGTACTTTCGTACTTGTCGTACACAGAAATGAACCCAGAATTAAACCCTGAAGAAACCGCGCACGATCTCTCGCTCGCGCGCGCATGAACGGCGTGCGGCGAACGGAACGTCTGAACGAGCCGCGTTCTGCGGTGACGTCGACGCGTGCCACACCGCACCTCGCGCGCGACGCGTCGTCGGCCTCGACCGTCGACCGCTCCCGCGACTCACGCGCGCGCGCGCTCGCGAGTCCGTCCGCGAGTCCGTTCGCCGAGACGCCCCTCGCGCGCGTCCCGCGTCGTTCGCCGAAGCGATCCGCGCGCCGCGCGACGTGGCCGCTTCTCTTCGGTTCCGTCTCCGCGCGAGCGAGCGATCGTTCGTTCGATCGATTTATCGCGGCGACCGCGCGAGTAAACCAACCACCGACGCGATGCCTCCGCGCGACACGACGACGCCGTCCGGGAGAGACAACGACGTCGCGACGGACCGAATGACAGGGCGGCTCGCGGCCGGCGACCGCCGGTTCCGCAAGTACACGACCGCGGACGTCGCGCGTCACTCCACCCCGGAGGACTGCTGGTTAATCGTGCACGAGAAGGTGTACGACGTCAGCGCGTTCGTGCCGCGTCACCCGGGCGGGAACATGATCTGGGTCAAAGCCGGCGGCGACTGCACGCAACTCTTCGACTCGTACCACCCGGTGAAGACGAAAGCGACGCTGGATAAGTTCTACATCGGCGACCTGGAGCGCGTGAACGGGGACGAGCGCGAGATCATCACGTACGTCGACGACATGAAGAGGGGGAAGTTTTACATGGACGCGAAGATCGCGGTGGAGAAGTACTTCAAAGATAACAAGCTGAACCCGCGCGTGCACTGGGAGATGTACGTCAAGTCGTTCGTCATCCTCGCCGGGGTGGCGATCTGCCACTACTGCAGCTTTTTCCTGACGTCGTGCACGTTCCTGACGTCGTGCGCGTTCGCCGCCGCGCACGGGATGTTCAAGGCGGAGATCGGCGTGTCGATCCAACACGACGCCAACCACGGCGCGTACGGGAACTCGAACCTGTTCCGTCACGCCATGCAGCTATCGCTGGACGTCGTCGGCGCGTCGTCGTTCATGTGGCGGCAGCAGCACGTCGTCGGGCATCACGCGTACACGAACGTGGAGGGGGTCGACCCGGACATTCGATGCGCGGACGAGGGCGACGTGAGGTGCGTTCTATACACTGGTTCCCATACGACCGCGTTGGCGTGGTGAACGCCGTTCCTTAAGGACTTTTCCCGGCGCATCTCTCCGCCCACACCTCGCTTTCAATACCCGCCCTCGGCGCCTTTCAACTCCACCTGACGCCTTTCAACTCCACCCCGACATTCGCTCGTATGGAACGACCCTGAGACGCGTCAACGAGCACCAGCCGCACGAGAAGTACCACGTCTTCCAGCACGTGTACCTGTTCTTCGCGTACGGACTGCTGTCGTTCAAGAGCTGCTTCGCGGACGACTTCACCGCGTGGGCGTCCGGGAAGATTGGCTGGGTCAAGGTGGCGAAGTTCACCTCCGGGGAGTCCCTCTCGTTTTGGGGCTCCAAGCTCCTGTGGGCGTTTTACTACCTGTACTACCCGTCGACGCGCTCGCACCACTCCGCGCTGAGACTCGCGACGCTGGTGTGCATCACCGAGGTCATCACCGGGTGGCTGCTCGCGTTTATGTTCCAAGTCGCGCACGTCGTCGGCGACGTGCGGTTCTTCCAGCTCTCGAAGGAGGGCAAGCTGAACTTGGGTTGGGGCGAGTCGCAGCTGTACAGCAGCGCGGATTTCGCGCACGGGAGCAAGTTCTGGACGCACTTCTCCGGGGGGTTAAACTACCAGGTCGCGCATCATCTCTTCCCGGGCGTGTGCCACTGCCACTACCCCGCGATCGCGCCGGTGATCATGAAAGTCGCGAAGGAGCACGGGCTCGAGTACTGCGTGTATCCCACGTTTTGGTCGGCGCTCGCCGCGCACTTCTCGCACCTGAAGCGCGTCGGGCAAAAGACGTACGTGCCGTCGCTGCAGACGGTGGGGTAGGCGGACGACGCGACGGTGGGGGTGGTGGGGGGTGGGGGGTTGAGTTGGGTAGCCGCGTTGGCTCGTTTGTTTTTTTATATCGCATCACGACTTATTGCGCGCGTCGACGACGTCTTCAAACTCCGCGCTCGCTCCCGCGCCGCGACGACAGAGCACCCGCGCCCGCCTGTTTACCTCTGTTTGCGTCTTCCGCGGTGCTCCGGGTGCGTTGCAGTCTGCTGTCCGTGTCCAGTCATCGCTTCTCACGCGTTTGGCACGCGCTTCGCGAGCTCGTCGAGGGGCGCGCACATCTCGACCGCGCGCGCGCGGCGGCTCGGTCTCACCCCGCGGCGGCGTATCTCACGCGTCCGGTCGCGGGCGGCGGATCTCGCGCGCGGAGGAGGCGCGGCGCGAACCCGGCTCGACGCGCGCGCGGCGCGGCGCGGCGCGGCGACTCGACTCGATTCGATTCGTTCACTCATTCAACAAAGATGCTCGACAAGGTGCTCCAGGCTGTCGTCTCCGCGGGCGTCGCGGTCGCGACGATCAAGTACGCCGGCGCCGTCGGCGGCGGCGCGAACGTCGGCGTCATCGCGGAGAACAAGTCCGTCGTCCGAAAGCTCTACCGCGAGGTGTGGAACCAGACGGACAAGCTCAAGGCGAAGACCGCGGCGTCCAAGTTCGTCTCCGACGATCACTTCCTCATCGACCCCTCCGACCCGTCCCCGTCCCCGGGAACGGACGCGTACATGCAGTCCGTGATCCGCCTCCGCGACGCGATGCCGAACTACGTCATCGTCGTGGACGACCTCATCGCGCAGGGGATCAAAGTCGTCGCGCAGTTGTCGTACAAGGCGAGCGTGAAGGGGCGGGAGGCGCGGTGGACGGGCACCGCGGTGATGGAGCTCGAGGACGGGAAGGCGCGTTCTCCTCACACCGGTCCCCATACGACCGCGTCGGCGTGGTGAACGACGATCCTTGAGGACTTTACTTCCCGGCGCATCTGTCCGCCCACCCCTCGCTTTCGATCCCCGCCCTCGACGCCTTTCCCCCACTCCGCTTCTGACGCCTTTCAAATCCACCCCGACGTCGCTTCGTATGGACCCTCGACCCTCAAGATCGTCAAGACGTGGATCAACACGGACAGCATATCCGCGCTCATTCAGCTCGGGTTACTCCAGGACGTCGTCGAGGGCGCGGCGCAGTTTAAAGGGAAAGATCTGCAGGTGGTCGAAGCTCTGTTGGGGCGATCGGAGGCGCACCCGCGGCAGGTGTTGACCGGGGACGACTGGCTCGTGTACTTTGACCGCGTCTCCGCCGCGGGCGAGGGTACCGGGTCCGGCACCGACAGCGACGGGACCGTGGGCATGAAGGCGGTGATGCGGGTGGACTCGAAGACGGGGCTGGACATATGCGCGTGAGCTACCGCGGCTAGCTAGCCACACAGAGGGTGTTTGTGCAGACCTCAGTGCGTCGCGAACGTCGTTCTTCTCTCTCAAGCTCCGCCAACCCTTCTTTTCTTTTTTTTATCTGTTCGTTCCGACGAGCCTCGTTCGTCCGAACCACCGCGACGCGCGACGTCCGCCCGCGCGTCGACCCCCACCTAACGCCGCGCGCGTGTCGCTCCACTCCCGCGCGCGCGCGCTTCGTCTCCGTCTTCGTCACGACGCCGCTCCTCTTCGCGATGCCGCTCCTCTTCTTCCTCCTCGCCCTCGTCCTCGCCCCCGCGAAAGCGCTCGCCGTCGGCGCGGCCGCGGTCGCCGCGCGCGCTTCTCGCGACGGCGCGCTGTGCTTCGCGTCGTCCGCGCGCGACGCGCGCGCCGCCTCGCCGGACGCGACGCCTCCGTGCGCGGAGATGCGCGCGCTCCTCGACGCGGTGACGCGCGACGCCGCCGCGCCGGCGACGAGCGGCGCGGCGCGCGCGTCGGACGCGTCGTCGCCTCCGCCGCGCGCGCTCGCGGAGGCGTGCGCGTGCGCGACCGCGTCGTTCGTCTGCCGCGCGTCCTCGCGCGTCGGCGCGCGCGTCGCGAGGCAGACGGCCGCGCGCGGCGCCGCCGCGGGCGCGCGCGAGGTCGCGGCGCGCGTCGCCGTCGAGGACGCGTGCGGGATCCCGTGCGCGCTCGACTTCGACGCGTGCGGCGGCGGCGGCGGCGGCGGCGGCGGCGGCGGTGGCGGCGGCGGCGACGACGTCTCGACCGCGTCCGCGTCCGAGGCGTTCTGCGTCGGACCGACGTGCGACGCGACGTGCGCCGCGTGCGTCGCCGCCGCGGCCGCCGCGGCCGCCACGGACGACGTCCCGTTCGACGCGCTCGCGGAGGCGTGCGGCGTCGACGACGCGTGCATGTGCGCGCAGTGCCTCGAAACCGGGCTCCTCGTTCGCGTCCCCGTCGACGAGGACGCCACCGCGACGCCGGAGGGGCGCGTCCTCGGGTTCGGCGCGGGATCGTTCGGGTACTACGGATACGGGCCGAATTCGTACTACGGCCCGAGCAGGTATGGGAACGGGTACGGGATCGGGTACGGGAACGGGTACGGGAACTACCCGCAGACCGGAGGACCGAGCTACCCCGGCCCGGGGTACCCCAGCGGTCCGGGGTGCGGCGGGGGCTACCCCGGCGGCCCGTACAACTCGTTCCCGTGCACCGCGTACTACTCGCCCGCGTACAAGCCGTGGTTCGTCACCGTGTACAACAAAGCCAAGGCGTTCGTCGTGAGCAAGCTGTGTTACTGGTATCCGTACTATCCCGCGTGTTTGCCGCCGCCGCCGGTGAGAATTTTCCCGCCCTCGCCGAACGGAATGACGCCGCCCGGTCCCGGACCGCTCTCGCCGCCGTCCCCCGGCCCGGTCTCGCCGCCGGCGCCGACGCCAGGGATACAGTGCGGAGATCCGTCGCTCGGGGAACAGACCTGCCAGGGCATCCCGTGCACCGGCGACGCGACGTGCACGACCGGGACGCCGCAGTGCTGCTGCGACGCGGGGTGCTTCGATTTCGGCGACTGCTGCGCGGATCGAGACGCGTGCTGCAACGTCGCGCTGTCGACATCGAAATCACGCGCGCGAGGCGACGTCGCGCTCGGTCTCGGTCGACCGGCGTTCATAGACGCGATGGAGGACATCACGGGGCGTCGCCGCGCCGCGAGGGCGCCGACGATGAACGGGCGCGACGCGACGGGCGCGAGGCGAGGAGGGAACCCGCCGGCGGCGACGGTGGACGCTCGGGAGGCGGTGGCGGAGACGACGCGGCCGGACGCGCGCGCGTTCGCCGCCGCGGTCGCGTCATTGACGGCGGACGAGACGCCGACGACGCCGAGGCCAACGCCGACGACGCCGTGGGCGATGCCGACCGTGGTGGAAGCGGAAGCGATCGAGACGGAGGACGAAGAGGACGCGTCGGCGCCGGCGCCCGCTCCGAGCGGCGCGGAAGCCTCCTCCTACGACGAGGAAGACGCGTGAGGCGAGACGACGGACTCACCTTCCGCGCGCGTACTGTAAAATACTTATGAAAATACGCCGCACCCTACCCCCGCGCGTCAAACCTCTCTCTACAGCTCGTCGTGATCCCACGACTTGCGACGCAACACGTCGTCCGGCGTCGTCTTCATGAGCTCGCGCGCCTTCGCCGCCACCGTCTCGCTCGCGGTGTTTCCGACGAAGAACAACACGTCGAACGGCGTCAACCGACCGTCGTTCAACTCCGTGTTATACCGCGGCCATCCTTTGTTGTTCGCGGGGTACAAACACACGCTCGGGGTCTTCGTCACCATCCCGTACGGCGGCGGGACGTCGTTGTTGTCCGCGTTCACCATCCCGATCTTGAAGACGTCTCCGAGCCCGGCGTCGTCGAAGAGTTTTTGCGTCGCCGCGAGCGCGGGCGCGATCGACGCGTGGAACTCCGCGTGCTCGCCGTCCGGGTCCGGGAACGCGGTGTACACGAGGAAGTTCACCGCGGGGTCCTTGACGACGACGTCGTAGTACGACCCCGCGGTGACGGTGAGCATCCCGTCCGTCTCGTGCCCGCGCTCGGGCGTCTGCTCGGAGCGGTACCGCCGCTCCGACGCCTCGCCGGCGCCGTCGTCGTCGAACTCCTCGAGCTCGTGCATCGCGAGCTCCTCCGGGCACGCCTCCGTGGCTCTGTGGCACATCTCCCAGTTCCAGTTCCACCCGCCCTCGCCCTTCCCCGGCGCGCCTTTCTTCAGCCACTTGTTGTAGATCCCGACGATCTCGTCCTCGTGGTTCATGATCTTCTCGCACTCCTTTCGAACGACGCGGTCCCGCCACAGGTCCCCCGCGGAGCACACGGACCCGACCTGGGTCTCGATCAGGTCTCCGTAGACGCCGTACTCGATCTTCCTCGCCGCGCTCCCGGTGCCCAACTTTCGCTTCTCCTCTTTCCGCTTGAGCTCCTCGAGCCGCGGCGTGAGCCTCATGTGAAGCGCGTTCACGATCGCGTGACACGCGCGGCATCGCGGGGTCCTTCCGAACACGTCCTTGCCTCCCGCGAACAGAGGCGCGTCGGAGGGCGCGTCCAACGGCGCTTGCATGATCTGCTGCGCGTCGGCGGACGGCGCGAAGAGCGCGCACGCCGCGAGGACGGCGAAGAGAAGGAGGACGTTACGCATCGCGCTCGGCGCGGCGCGAGACTGGCGTTGCCGCTGGCACGCAGCTGGCGTGAAGTTCAATTCTGAGTTTAGTCACGAAAGGATTTTTGTTTCTATCGCGCCCTCTGTTCGCTCGTCGTCACGACGCCATGCTCGCCGGCGGCTCGACGATCACCCCCTCCGTCACCCCACCCGCCGCGTCCTCCACCCCGCCTCCGTCCGCGCCCGCGACCGGCGGCGAGTACCCCGGCAGCATCCACGCCAAGATGTCGTCCGCGAGCGACCGCATCTCCGCCGCCGCGTCGCCGCCGCCCGTCACCGCGCTCACCGCCTCCGCCTTCGCCGCCTCGAACCCGCTTCGAAGCGCCCCGAGCGGGTTCATCGCGGGGTTCCCGGTGTCGTCCGGCGTGATTCCGAACATGTCCGCGACGCCGCTGATGAGGTTCCCGGTCTCGATCAGCGGAGACGCGAGCTCCGGGGGCACGTCCGCGCCGACGTCCTGCCGACACGGCCGCACGTGGTCGCCCGCGAGGCTCTTCACGCTCAGGTCCAGGCTCTCCGAGATGGCGGCGCCGTCCGTCAGCGTCGACGCCAAGACCCCCGTCTCGTCGATCGTGTCGTCGCGGAAGCGCAGGAGTAAGTTACGCTTCACCGCGTAGTACTTGCGCACGAGGTCCTTGCTGTCGTCCGGCTTTGGCACGAACTCGTTCGCGCCGTTGGCCACCTCCAAAAACACCGGCTCGAGCTGGTCCAGCACCGGCAGCAACTCCCTGACCACCGGCGGCGCTCGCGCGCGCAGAGACGCGTCGATCGCGCGCGCGGGCGCGCGCAACGGCGACGACGAGATGCCGTTGAACAGCGGCGAGAGGTTCTGAGGGTCGTTCCATACGAGCGAACGTCGAGGTGGAGTTGAAAGGCGTCAGTTGAAGTTGAAAGGCATCGAGGTGTGTCGGGATTGAAAGCGAGGGACCCTGGGCGGAGAGATGCGCCGGGAAAAGTCCTTAAGAAACGGCGTTCACCACGCGAACGGGGTCGTATGGGAACCAGTGTACAGAACGCGCCTGAAGCCCCGGCGCGACGACGGGCGTGAACAGCGGCACCGCGTCCGTCGCGGGCTTGTTATTGAACGATATCAGCACGTTCCCGACGCGGTCTGGGAGCTTGTACCTCGAGCCTATGAGCGCGTGCATCAGCGCGCCCATGCTGTGCCCGACGCCGTACACGGGCAGGGTGTCGTACTCTTTCCCTAAGGATCGGACGCATCGGTCGAAGACGAATTGAATCTCGTCCGCGAGGCGAAGGTGATCGAATCCGATGGCGTACGGCGTCGCGACGATCGTCAGGTCGCCGCGCGCGGAGAGCGACTCGAGGAGGAGACGGTACGTCAGCTGCGGCGACGCGCCGACGAACGCGCCGCCGATGAAGTGCACGACGCCGACGGCGGCGCGGCCGTTCGGCGGGGGAAGGACCCACGCGCCCTCGAGCTCCTTCCATCCGCGCGCGGAGGACGGGCCGCTCGACTCCGACGCCGCGGTGAGCAGAGCCTCGAGCGCGGCGAACGCGTCCGTGGGGGAGCTGGACGAGGAGGTGGAGGACGTCGCGGCGGCGACGACGCCGTCGGCGCGGCGTCGCGGCTCAGATCCGCGAACGACGACGACGCGTTCGTCGCGGCGTTTCGCGGAAGAGGCCGAGACGCGCGGCGACGCGCTCGAAGCGCGGACCCGGCCGACGGACGCGGACGCGGACGACGCCGGAGAAGACGACGCCGCCGGGGTCGTCGCGGCGGACGCGAGCGCGGGCATGACGACGGGAAAGCGGCGTTGGCGTGCGACCGCGCGCTCGAAGAGTGCGCGAGGCGCGCACGCGTCGACGTCACGGACTCTGTCCAAGTTGCGCTCATTCGATTCAGACTAAAAACCCATAGAGTACGAGTACGCGCATGGACTCTTACGTGCGAGTCCGGCCGGTACCTCTCACAGCGAGCTGCACACTCGTGGCAGTGGCCAGTTTCAGGGCGACAGACGGGCGATCGAGGCAAGGCGAGAGGAACGATGTTACAAACACACGCTACTCCTCGTGACCGCCATGATTTTGCCGCCCCGCCCGCGCGCCGCATCCCGCGACGCGCGCGCGAGACGACCCCAACACCACCCTACGCGCGCGACTTCGCCCTCGCTCTCGACGAAACCTTCGCTCCATCCTCAAGAAACCTTTCTTTACTTGAGCGGGATGAAGCGCGCGGACGCGGACGCGCCGATACCGGGACGCCCGTGGTTCACCGGCCTGTACGTGATGGAGAACTCCGCGAGGTAGTGCCCGATCATCTCCGGCTTGATCTCGACCGTCACGAACGTCTTGCCGTTGTACACGCCGACGACGGAGCCGATCATCTCGGGGACGATGACCATGTTGCGCAGGTGCGTGCGCACCGTCTCCGGCTTCTCGCCGCCCGACGCCTCCTTCTTCGCCTTGCGGAGCTTCTTCACGAGCGCCATCGGCTTCCTCTTGAGGCCGCGCTTGAAACGACGACGGATGCGCGCGCGGAAGAGATCCACGAGCTTGTCCGTCTTCATGTCGAGAAGCTGGTCGAGGTCGACGCCGCGGAACTGAAACTTGCGGAACGTGCGCTTCTTGGGCGCCTCGGCGATGAGGGCATCTTCTTCGCCACCCTGAGAGAGACGAGAGCGAGGGGTCGAGGCGGTGAGTCGACGGTCCGCAGTGGTGGTGGCCGTGGTGGTCGACGCGCGCGAGGGAGAGGGCGGATCGCGACGCGCGCGCGACGCGGACCGCCGCGTCGATCACACAGCCTCGCGTCCGCGACGTGAAGCGCAAACCCTAAAAAAGATTTCACGTCGGCGGGACGCGCGAAAAGCGCGCGATGGCGGCGACGCGACGCGGGACGCGCTCGACGCGCGACGCGATTCGCGTCGGAGACATCGCGCGCGGTCGAAGACGACGCGCGGACGGAGGGCTGCCGACGAGCGAGGCGCGCGGAACGCGATTTCGCGCGTTCCGCCGCGCGCGTTCGCTGGCAGGTTTTTCATCCCTCCCATCGCTCCGCGCGTCGGTCCGCGCGAGCGAGCCGAGCGCGCGATCGCGCGACGAGGCGCGGAAGTGAACGAGGCGCGACGCGCACCATGATGAAAGATTCCTTTGGTACTCTGCGGCGGCGAGAGTTCGCGCTGCGCGAGTAAAAGAGGGCGCGCGAAGCGCGATGGACGGAGTTTTAGCTGAATGAACACACGCTCAGCTGATCGGTCGAGCGTTTTCCCTTGATCGCGAATCCCCAGTCAGTTCTTTGCCTATCAACCGTGAGTTTTGACCGATCTCGTCGCGATGAGCGCGACTCGGCATCCGACGAGTCACTTCCGCGTCGAAAAGTTCGGCTCGGCAGTCGGAAGCACGGCACAACGACCGTCGCGGCGACGACGAACGACCGCCGCGCGCGATGGGACCGTCGTGGGTCCCCGTGGACGACGTCCTCGCGGCGGCGACGACGAGGATGACCAGCGGCGAGCTCGTCCACGGCGCGACGTTCGACCTGTTCGCGTCCATGTCCGCGATCACCGTGGGCGATCGAAAGATGGACGTCGGCGTCGAGGGCGGCATGGACGGTCTGGCGCCGCCGTTCCAGACGTCCGAGAAGCTCGTCGCCGCGGGGCGCGCGCCGCTGGAGCTGACCGACGAGGAGCAAATCTACGTCTTCGACGCGCTCCTCGCGTGCGAGGCGACGTGGCACTCCGGCCAGTCCCTCGCGGTGTCGATATACACGTGCCTGTACATGCACGACTTCGACCGCCTCGAGGCGTCGTCCTCGCCGGTGACGCGCGCGTACTTCGACGCCGTGCGGAGCGACGTCGCGACGGTCCGGAACGCCGTGAGCTTGGGCGACGTGTGGGAGGAAGAGGACTTCAACGCGCACGTCGCGGGGTACGACGTCGGCGCCGCGGCGATGGGGGATCCGACCAAGCCGGACGAGACGCTGCGCGCGCTGAAAGCCGCGGAGCGATGGCTGACGTCGACGCGCGCGGGGGGCGCGACGACGGACGCGCTGCTGACGCGCGTGCGGTTTCGCATCGCGCTGCACTGCGCGCTTCGGGACATGATCAAGGCGGACGTCACCGCGGACGACGCGGCGAACGCGAGGAAGAAGCTGACGCTCGCGGCGACGCTTCTGGAGTCGATGAGGGCGTCGACGCGGGCGCCGCCTTCGAGCGGCGACGCGAACGATGAGAAAACGGACTTTGGCGAGGCGTTTCGCGGCGGGAAGCTCGACTGGAACACGAGAGGATTAGGTTTCGACCGAGACGTGAACGCGCGACGGTTAGGTCCGCATCCCCCGAGGGTCGTGAAGCCGTTCTCGCGCGCGGGCGCCTTCGACCACTTCGCGAGCTTCGTCGGCGAGCTGCTGAGGGCGTGCGACGTCCTCGACTTGCGCGTCCGCGGCGACGTCGCGCTGCACGAGTTGATAGCGATGCTGAGCACCATCTCGGACGCGAAGCCCGGGATCGTCGCGCGGTCGTTCATCGCGGCGATCGTGTTGAGGGACGGCCAGGGGACGGTGATGGGGCGTCGGTCGGGGGACTGCGTCTTGCGGAGCGCGTGGCTCTGCGGAAGCGCGCCTCCGCCGGCGATCGACCTGACGACGATCGAGGTGGACGACGACCTCGGCGGGACCGGGGATTCGGGGGAAGGGAGCGGCGGAAAGAGCGGAGGCGGCGAGGAGGAGGACGCGGCGCTGAAGGTCTTCCTCGCGAAGGTTTGGCGGCCGGTGGATTTCCTTCTTCGCGCGTACTGCTCGAACCGGTCGCGCTTGCGTCGACGGGCGCGACGGTGCCTGGGCGAATGGAACCTTCTCGTCGAGCCCGCGATCGCGGCGGACGACTCCGGGGCGATCGAGCGATACCTCGACGCGTACGCTGAGACGAACGACTGCGACGCCGCGCGCGCGCTCGCGAGATCGGCGTGGCCGAAGAGCGCGATGGCGCGGTGGACGATTTCCATGATGGCGCGCGTGGAGATCACGCACCTGAGCCTGGGTCACGAGCTCGAGCTGTACCTCCCGCACGAGCTCGGGATGATTTACTGGTACACGGAGTACCTCATGCACAACCTGTGCGATCACTTAGACAGCGCGAACGCGTGTTTGATCGAGGAAGCGAACGCGTGGAAGCGGCAACGCGCGGAGCGTCCCCTCGAGAAGAGAGAGAAGGACGGCAAGAAGGCGAAAAAGGAAAAACGCGGCGGGAAGGCGGGGGGCGACGCGGCGGCGTTCGAAGGCGACGGCGGCGCCGCGCAGCTTCGAGTCCAGATGGAACACTTCGTCTTGGAGTTCCAGAAGACGATGTGCGGCGGCTTAGTCACGTTGATCACCGCGATGGATAAGGTTGGGAAGGTGAAGCGTCCGACGGCTGGCTCAGACTTCACGGACCCGGAGCAGAACTTCTGGCAGAGGTTCGGGTTCATGCACGCGTGCGCCGATCCGGGCCCGCTGACGTACCAAGAGTACCACGACTACGTGAACACGCCGCACACGCCGCAGGAGATGTTGACCGCGGCGGCGAAGTACTTCGCCGAAGTCTCCCGGAAGACGAAGCAGCTGACGGCGACCGGTCTGATCCCTCCGGGGTCGACGCAGGCGGCGGACGTCTCGGGCGTGATGACGTGCGCCGTGGCGAACGCGACCGCGTGCAAGCTGGCGGCCATGCCGGGGATGGCGGTGGAGTTGACGCACAAGCATCACCCGTCGTTCGCGACCGCGGTGGTGAAGCGCGAGGGCGGCGATAAGAGTTGAGTAGCAGTAGAGGTACACACTCGGAAAGAGTGTTACATTTTCCGACGAAACTAAACGGACGCACGATCAGATCCGACGACAGTAAACATGGGCGCGCGTCGACGCCAGCAACGCGCCTCGGCGTCGACAGACGCCGCCTCCGATGCCACCGCGACGAAGGAGAAAGCCGCCGCGATCCGAAGAAAGAAGCGCGCCGACGAGTTCAGGCTCTACCTGAACCTCCTCAAGGCGTTCCTCTGCGGCGTCGTGCTCGTCATGATGTCGACCGCGGCGATGTGGTACGGAGGCAAGGGGAAGTACTCGCGCCTCGCGAGGAGAGAAGCGGAACTCAGCGAGGCCGTGAGGAAGATGGAGGCGAACCCGGAGCTGGCGAAAGCGCGCGAGATGCTGAAGACGCAGCACGCGATCGGGCTCGGGACGATACGCGGCGGGATGGACGCGGACGACGACGTGATCGCGTCGCTCGAGTCGAAGTGGATCGCGATGGACTACGCCGAGCGGTCGGAGTTGTGGAGAGGGACGCGCGCGACGCTCGCGGAGACCGACCCCGCGTTCGCGCCGCTTCTCAAGGCGGACGGGAAGAAGCTCACCGACGCGGTCGTGCCGGAGATCTTCGCCGTGGACGAGTTCTCCGAGGACGCGGGGAGATTCCCTCGCCTCGTCCGACTCGTCCTCGAAGGCAAAGAGACGGGCGGGCAGTGGAGGACGAAGGACGGCGAGGACGGGACGGACCGCGACCGCGCGGGGAGAAGAGAACCGACCGCGGATCATATCGTCGCGAGGGACTTGTACCGACGCGCGCTCCTGTCGCGGTTCGTCGGCGCGGTCGCGAACGCGCTGCGAGGCGGCGACTACGTCGTCGACGTCGCCGCGCTCGCGCGCGAGCTCGGGCGACAGATCCCTTCGATACGTCGCGAGGAGTAGAAGCGACGCGACGCTCAACTCGCAACCTTAGGTAACATCCATATTAACTACGCGCGCCGCTACCCTCATCTAGTTCGTCGTCTGACTGGGCGTCAACTTCGCGCGCGTCGCCGCGGTGTCGCCGTACCAGTGCTCGAAGCACGTCATCGCGTGCTGGACGATCTTCAGCCGCGCCGGGAGCGGCGGCCCGCGTCGGCCGTCGTCGAGACGCGCGCACGCGCACGCCGCGCGCGTCAGCGGCTCCGCGCGGCGGTCGCATCGCGCGCTCTTCCTTCGAAACACGAACGCGAGGCTCTCGCGCGGCGCCGCCGCCGCCTTCTCCGCGCACCCCGACCCCCAGTGCACGGTGTTCCCCGCCCACGCGAAGAACGTCCCCGCGGGCGCGGGCGCGAGCGGCACGACGGCGGCGCGATCGAATTTTGGCGCGGCGGCGTCGGACTCGCCGGCGCCGCCGCCCGGGTCCGCGCGCTTCGGGACGACGTACACGCACCCGTTGTCCAGCGTCACGTCCACGATGGGCATCCATACGCTCAGAACGTTCGGCAGCGGCGGCGCGATGGGCGCGGCGGGACCGCCGGCGGCGCCGTCGCCGTAGACGTCTTCGAACGTGTAGTCCCGATGCGGCTGTCCGAAATTATTCCCGACGTACCGCCGTCCCGCTTTCCCCGCCGCGGCGTCGAGCTTAAACGCGGCGAGCGAAGGCTCCAAGACGATCTCGTCCTCGTCGTCCCCGCCCAAGATCGCGGCCGCGCGGTCCCACAGCTTCCCGGTGACCTCCCACGCGAGATCGCTCAGGAACACGCACGCGGGCGGCCACCCGGCGGCGACGAGCTTCGACACCGCGTCCGACAATTTGCGCGCGTCGTCGGCGTCGCACGCGCGGTCGCCCCACGCGTAGCCGTCCTCGCGCACCGCCGCCGCGTCCTTCGCTGTCGCGGCGGCGGCCGCGGTCGACGCGCGCGCCGCCGGCGCCGGCGCGCGCGCGGCGCCGCCCCCGACCGGCAGTCCCATCACGCCGGTCCAGTACGCGGCGGAGCCGACGTCCGGCGGCGGCGGCGACGGCGGCGACTCTTGAGTGGGTGAAGCGATCGGTCAGTCGAACGTCTTCGCGGTCAAACGTTGAAAGGGAAGCGCGGGTGAAGAGTGACGACGGGAAAAGTCCTTAAGGAACGACGTGCACCACGCGAACGGGGCCGTACGGGGAGCAGTCTCACCGCCGTCGCCGCCGCCGAAGAGATCCCACCCCGCGTTGCCCGCGTTCGCGGCCGCGGCCGCGCGCGCGCGTTCCGGGACGACCGACGCGACCGCGACCGCGGCCTCGGCGGCCTCGGCGGCCTCGTCGGCGTCGTCGGCCGCGGCGCGGAACGACACCCTCGCCACCTTGGACGCGCTCGATCCCAGTCGCTCGGCGACGTCGACGGCGAACGGCGCCGGGGCGAGCCGCGCGACGACGCGCGCCCACGCGGCTCGGGAGAAGAACGTTGCGACGTCGCCGAGGCCCGCGGGGTTCGTCGTCGTCACCGCGACGACCACGCCCCCGCGCGGCGCGGCGAACGCCGCGGCGAACGCGCCGTCGGCGTCGGTCTTCGCGCGCTTCGCGGACGGCGGCTCGGCGTTCGCGTTTGAATTCGACTCGTCGTCGTCCTCTCGCGCGGCGACGACCGCGTCGGCGCCGAAACACCCCGCGGACGCGACGGCCATCGCGCCCAAGGTTTCGCCGTCGTTCTCCGCGAGAACGGCGACGCCGTCGTCTTCGTTCAACAAGCTCCGCACCAGCTTTACGAACGTCGCGACGCTCGCGCTCGCCTTGGCCGCGAGCAGAGCGTCGAATCTCTGCGTCCCCGGCGTGGATAACACGGCGAAAAATCCACCCCCGACGCTCGCCTTCGCCGCGGCCGCGAACGCCTCCATCGAGACCCCGCTCCACACCCGCGCCCGACCCGCCTTCGGCGGCGTCGCCAGCCGCGCCGCGCGCCCTGACTCCGTGAGATCGTCCCACCGCTCGTCGTCGAAGTCGAGGTTGAAGTGCTCCCTCGCGGCGTCCGCGACGCGCGCATCCGGCTCGAGGACGTCCACGCGGATCTCCGCGCCGCGCGACGCGAGGTACGCGGCGATGGACCCGCAGCGCAATCCGCACACCAAGACCCGCCGCGGCGGCGGCGGCGACGGCGACGGCTCGGCACCGGGTGCCGACGCGGGTGCTGACGCGGACGCGCTCGCGGCCAATCGCAGCGCGAGCGCGGCGGCGGCGGCGGCGTCCGACCACCCGTCGAGCGCCGTCCCCGGCGGCTCCGAGGGATCGACCTCGCCGTCGACGTCGCCGTCGCTCCCTGTCCACGGTCCTCGCACCATGACCCTCGTGACGTCTCCCGCGTCGCCCTCCTCGAGCGCGCAGTCCAGGACGCTGAGACTCGCGCGCGCTGACTCTCCGTCCGCCGTCGCCGTCGCCGGCGAGTGACTCAGCACGCGCACCGGCCATCGCGGCTCCGTCGTCGACGCGTCAGGACACCGCAGCGGCGTCACGAGCGTGAGCGTCTCGACGATCACCGCCGCGATCGCGTCGTTCGCGGTGGACGCCAACGCCGGCGGTGCGACCTGCGACATCCCCGACCGCTCGTCCACGAAAACCGCGCGCTCCTCGTCGTCGCAACGCGCGACGTCCCACCCCTCCTCCGCGAGCATCTGCGCGGCGACGTTCGCAACCTCCGCGAGGACGAGCAACGCGGCGTCGCCCGCGGCGATCACCGCGTCGGAGTTTTCGGCGCACTCGATCGGTCGCATGCCGTCGTGGACGTCGCGCTTGACAGCTTGCACGAGCGCGAGGAGTGGCACGATCGCGTCGCATCGCGCGAGCGCTCGCGCCCACGACATCGGCGACGACGCGCCGTCGAGCAGGGACTCCGCCGCGGTCGCGCGCGTCGCGGCGTCGGGGGAGGACAGAGACGGGACGACGGCGCGCACGCGCGCCTCCTCCTCCTCGTCCACGTCGTCGTCGCCGCCGCCGTCGTCGTGGACCGCCGCCTCGGCGGCGGCGTCGGCGTCGGACGCCATGCCGGCGCGGGATCGACTGGGACGTACGTCGACGAATCAGGGTCAAGAGAAAATGTTTACCTTTCGGGGAAGGCCTGTTTGATAGGTAACTTTGATCGGGTCTAGGGTCAACTGCTTTTCTCGTCGTCTGTCGTCGCGATCGAGACGTTTGCCTGAGCGGGCATTTGGTTTTCGAGCTCCCGCCACTGCGCGTCGCACCGCGAGTGCGCGTGCGCTGCGACCGTAGGACGCGTTCACGTCGGCAGCGGCGTCGTGAGAGCGCGTCGAGCGAGGGCGAGGGCGTCGTCGGAGGAGCGCGCCGCGGCGAGCGCGCGAGGTCGTCGCTCGTCGACGCGTCGAATTCGTTCGCCAATTGAGCACGCGCGTCTCTCGATCGATCGACCGTCGCGCGTCGCGCCGGATCGTCGCGCCATGGGCGACGAGCACGCGACGCCGTCGTTCGCGCGGATGAATCGCGACCCGCGAAGCGATCCGCCGTCCGCGGCGGGGAGCGTCACCGGCGCGGCGCCTCCCCGACAACACGCGCCCTCCCCCGCGGACCGATCCGGCGCGGCGCTGCTGATATCTCGAGGCAGCGTCATCAGCGGCATCTCGTCGCCGTCGCCGTCGCCGTCGCCGTCGCCGTCGTCGACGTCCGCGGCGTCGTCGCGCGGGCCGAGGCTCGCGCCGCTCGGACGCAACGGCTGGGACGTGCCCCCCGCGCTCGCCGCCGAGCGCGACCCGCTGGAGTCCTCCGCGACGCTGCGCGAGCGCGAGCGGAGAGTCGACGCGCGCGAGCGCGCCGTCTCCGACGGGGAGGAGCGGCTCGAGCGCGCGTGCGCCAAGGAAGAACGCGCGCTGCGCGACCGCGAGCAGCGCCTCGTCGAGCGCGAGAAGCGCGCGTCGGAGGCGCTGAAACTCGCGGCGGACAAGTCCGCGGCGTCGGACCGCGTCGCCGCGGCCGCGGAGCGCGCGAGGGACGCGGCGGCGCGCGAGCGCGCGCGCGTCGACGAAGGCGCGTTTTCTTTTCACGCCGGCCGGTCCCCACGCGACCGCGTCCGCGTTGTGCACGCCGATCCTTGAGGACTCGTCCACCCGGCGCGCGTGTCGTGTCTCTCCGCCGACCCCTCGCTCGTTTCAATCCCGACGCGCCTCGACGAAGGCCTTTCAACTCCGCTTCTGACGCCTTTCAACTCGACGTTCCCGACGTTTGTCGCCTCAGAGCGCGCCGACGCGAGCCGAAGCGCGGCGCGGCGCGAGCAGGAGCTCGACGAGCGCGACCTCCTCGCGGCCGCGCGACTCGATGCGGACCGGAAGAAGCTCGCGCTCGAGGGCGAGGAGTCGCGGCGGACCGCGCTCGCGGAGCTGAAGCACGTCCAGCGGTTGGTGCTCGAGTCGCGGGGCGAGCTGGAGCGGCTCGCGACGGAAAAGGCGGACGCCGCGGACGCGTTGAGCAAAGCGCGAGAGGAAGCGAGCGCGTTCAAGGCGGGCGTGAAGCGCGAGGTGGCGACGCTGACGAAGGACACCGCGCGCGCGCAGGCGGAGTTCGCGACCGCGAGGGATCAGCTCCACGAGATCAAGCTCGAGCGGGATCAGGTGGCGGCGGCGATCGAGAACGAGATCGCGGAGATGCGCGAGATTCGCGAGAGCGAGCAGGTCGCGCGTCTGAACGAGCGAAACCAAGCGGCGCAGGAGCACGCCGCCGCGGTCGCGGACGTCGAGGAGAAGATCGAAGCGCTCAAGACGATGTCGCGCGGGTACGAGGACCAGGCCGCGGCGATGGAGGCGAAGATGGAAGCGCACCGCGAGGAGGTTGAAGCCGCGCGAGAGAGAGTCGCGGCGGCGAACAATAAGGCTGCGTTCGCGGAGCAAGAGGCGCTCAACGCGAAGAGAGCGGCCGCGGAGCAGAACGAGATCGCGCGCGCGGCGTTGGAGGAGACGACGAGGGAGCGCGACGCGCTCGTCGCGCGCGCGCAAGCGCTGGACGCGCGCAGGAAGGACGTCGAGAAGCAAGAGAAGCACGTCTCGGAGCTCGAGCTCGCGGCGACGCGGCTCCGGAAAGATCTCCAGAACGAATACGAATCCAAGGTCAAAGAAGCGGACGCGGAAGCTCGCAAGCGCGCGCACGACACCGAGGAGTCTCTGCGAAAGTGGGCGATCGAGGTGAAGCGACGCGAGACTGCGCTCGAGGAGGAGGTGAAGAAGAGCGCGAAGACGGCGGAGGAGGCGGCGGCGATTTTGAAAAGAGAACGCGCGGAGGTGGAGCGGCTCCGAAACGACGCGAACGCGGAGAGCGAAAAGATCCGAAGAGACGCGCTCGCGGAAGTCGAAGCGGCGCGCCGAGAGTCGACCGCGCTGAAGCAGAGAGACCTCCTCGAGGTGAAGGAGACGAAGCGAAAGTCGCTGGACGAAGTCGCGAACGCGCGCAGGGCGGCGCTGAAGGAGACGCACGACGAACGCGACAAGGCGGATCAAATCCGACGCGAGGCGATGGCGGAGGTGAGCGAGGAGAAGAACCGCTGCGAGGCTGCGCGCAGAGAGAACGCCGCGGATATCGCCGCGGAGCGCCTCAAGGTGGAGTCCCTCCGCAGGGAGACGATGACGGAGATCACGACGGAGCAAGAGCTCTTACGGAAAGAACGCCATCACGTCGACGAAGCGCGCGCGGAGGCGGAGAGGCTGAAGCACGTCGCGGACGAGGACGCGAAGGCCGCGGCGAAGCTCCGCGGCGAGGCCGAGGGGATCAACCGAGCCGCGGCGGCGACGAGGGACGAGACGCGCGAGCGGATCAAGCACCTCGACCGCCGGGAGCTCGAGCTGAGAGAGGCGCTCGTCGACTTGAGAGACCGCGAGGACAAGGCGTCCGCGGCGACGGCCAAGGCGGAGACGACGCGCGCCGAGCTCGAGCGTCGCATCGCCGAGCTGACGGTCCGAGAGCGCGCCGCGGAGGAGCGCGAGGCGGCGGCGAACAGGAAAGCCGCCGCCGCGGAGGGGACGCTGCTCGCCGCGGGGCAGTGGGAGAGAACCGCGGGGGAGCGCGAAGCCGCCATCGCGGAGCGCGCGCTCGCGTTGGACGACGCGCAAAAGACGCTCGATCGCGCGCGGCGCGCGGTCGTCAGCCTCGCGGAAGCGGACGACGCGCTGAGCGAGCGCGAAAAGAAGCTGAACGAATCGTGGCGGCTGTTGCAGAACGAAGTCGCGGAGCTCCTGAGCGGGTCGATCCCGCAGAGCGCGCACCCCCTGTCGCAAGAGGCCGAGGACGCGGCGGCGGCGGCGGCGGCGTTTACCAACGTCGTCCCTCAAAACGTCTCCGACTCGGACGACGCGGGGCAGGACTTCTTCGCGAACACGATCGGGAAGATGCGCGCGGGGTTGATTCAGCGCGAGACCGCGCTGCAGAAGTGGGCGCTGTGCCTCTCCAAAGCCGCGGCGGCGCTCGCGAGCGAACGCGCGGCGGCGGCGGAGGAGCGCCGCGCCGCGAGGGAAATTCGCGACGCCGCGGAGTACGCCTCCGAGGAAACCTCCGCGCGGCTCCTCGAGCTCGAGACCAAGTCCGAGCAGCTCGCGATGGATCGTAAACAACTCGGGGACGACATGGACGACTTCGAGCACGCGCGGCGGGCGTTCGATCAGACGCGGCGCGACGTCGAGTCCGCGGCGAACGACGCGCGGGCGATGAAACGCGCGGCGAACGAACTGCGGGATAGTCTCATGGATAAGGTGCGCGGGTTAGAGGACCGCGACGTCGCGCTTCGCAGGCGCGAGCACGAGAGCGCGACAAAGGGCGCGGCGGCGGCGGCGGCGGCGTCGCCTTCGCCGTCGCGCCACCGCGGGGACGACGACCCCGGCGCGGACGGCGGCGGCGGCGGCGGCGGCGGCGGAGGGTTCGCGTCGCCGATTCACCGCGAGAGCCCGCGGCTGCCGCCGCGGCCGCTCTCGGGCGCGCCGCCGGTCTCGAACTCGAGCTCGCGGAGGACCTCGGAGTCGGACGCGCGCGCGCGCGAGCTCGACGCGCGCGAGCGCGCGCTGCACGAAGAGGAACGGCGCGTGGAGATGGACCGCGCGACGCTCGAGGCGCTGAGAGAGGGCGCCGCCATCGCCGCGTCGCAAGTCGCGAGGCTGTCGCCGTCGCCCTCCCTCGCCGATCGCGCGCCGTCGCCGATCCAGTCGCAGATCGCGGCGCAACAGCTCGAGCAGATCAGAGAGCAGCAGGATGCGCTGCGGTCGATGACGCAGGCGGTGGAGATGGACGCGCGGAACGTCGAGAGGGAGAAGAGCGAAAAGTTTCTCCGCCGACGCGCGCGCGCGGAGCAGGAGCGAGACGCGGCGCTGCAGCTGGAGCGCGAGGCGCTCGAGGCGCAGAGACGCGCGCTGGAGACACAGAAGGCGCAGTTCGAGGCGCAGAGACTGGCGGCGCAGCGGCAACAGCTCGCGGCGCAGCAGCAGCTCGCCGAGCGGCGGCGGCTCGCGGCGCAGCCGGTCGCCGTCGCCGGCGCGGTGTTGACCCCCGGCGACCCGGCGCCGTCGCCGATCGCGCTGACGCCCGTCGGCGCGCTCCCCGCGGCGCCGACGAACACGCCCACGACCGCGCACGCGGCCGCGATGCCGGACTCCCCCGGAACGCTCTCCGCGCGCGCGGAGGCTGAGCGGGCGAGGGCGGACGCCGCGCGCGCCAAGGCGGAAGCCGTCTGGGCGAAAGCCGAGGCGGACCGCATGCTCGCGGAGGCGCAAGCCGCGGCCGCGGAGGCGCACAAGCACCAGGCGGAGCTCGTTCAGGCCAAGTCGCGGCACGACGCGGAGGAGCTCCAGAGGCAGGAGGAGCTCTCGAAGCGCCGGGCGGAGCTCGCGGCGGCGGCGGAGAAGGTGGCGGAGGACGCGGAGAAAGCGAAGAGAGCCGCGGCGAAGGCGAAGGCGCTCGAGGCGGAGACGAAGCAGTCCATGGAGCGGCTCGCGGCCGAGAGGCGCGTCGCGGAGGCTGCCGCGGCGGTCGTTGAAGAAGCGCGAGCCGTCGCGGCGACGCAAAAGGCCAAGTTGGACGAGGAGCTCGCCGCGCGGGAGCGACGCGTGAGGGAAGAGAACGACGCGTTGGAACTGCGCCGCGCGAAAATTCTCGCCGAGGCGGAGATCGCGGAGGCGGCGACGCGAGCGGCGCTGGAGCAGGACCGCCGAAGCAAAGAACTCAGAGAGGCCGCGATGACGGAGAGGAAGAAGGTCGCGGACGAGCTTCACGCCGCGCGCGTGGAAGCGGAGACGTCGAGGGCGTGGGTGAGGAAGCAGCAGGAGGAGCTCACGGCGCGGATGCGCGCGGCGTCGTCGTCGCCGTCGCCGTCGCTGTCGCCCGGTCTGAGCGGCCGCGGGGGCTCTTCTCCGGGGCTCTTCCGAGGGTCCGCGGACCGCGGCGACGCGCTGCAGCGGCTGCTGCGGCCGCCGCTCGGGTTGAGCGGACTGAGAGGGGGGTCGTCCGGCGACCGCGGCGGCGGCGGCGGCGGCGGCGGCGGCGGCGGCGGCGCGGGGGTTTCGTCGTCGCCGAGTCCGTCGCCGATCCCGCGCGCGCGGTCGCGCGCGTCCCCGGGGTCGGGCGGGTCGCCGTCCCCGTTCGCGATTCGCTCGAGCGGTCTGGATGTGGACTCCCCGGCGGACGTGGTCTCGTCGCGAGGGGAGTGAGTGAAGCGCGTACGGAAGTACTTCCGTACCTTCGTACTTTCGTAGATTGCAATAGCAGGAAGAAAATTCTGGTTTTATCCTTCATCCGCCGTGTCGAAAGCATCGCCGCGGACGTTTTCACCCAACTTAGCCCTGCGTGCACGTCCTTCTGGTATCAAATTCCCCGTTCATTAGCCTGCTTTGATCGCTCCGCTATCGCGCCCTTGGCGTGAGCGCGTCTGACTCATCAGCCCGGACGACGGAAGAAGGTGGAAGATAGCTCTGCTGCCCACTCTCGCGCGGCGCCATGCTCGCCCTCCCCACGCGCGCGACGCTCGCGGTCACCTCGCGCTCGCAGCGCGCGGCCGCACCTCGCGCGACGCCCGCGGCCGCGCGCGTCGTCCGACGCGTCTCCACCCGGGTGGGACGCGCGTCGCTCGCGCCTCCCCGCGCGGCGTCCGCGTCGCCCGCGTCGAGGGCGTCGATAGATCGATCCCTCGCGCGCCGCGCGTCTCGCGCGCGTCCCGTCGTCGTCGCCGCCGCCGCCGCGGGCGAGGCGGACGCGCCGCCGGAAACCGCCGTGAAGCGCTCGGGCAGCCTGAAGATCAACCTCCCGACCTGGCTCACGCTCGTGCGCGTCGCCGCGGTGCCGGTCGTCACCGCGATCTTCTACGCGCGCGGCGCGTGGGTGTGCCCGACGTGCTGCGTCATCTTCGTCGCCGCCGCCGTCACGGACTGGGCGGACGGGTACCTCGCGCGGAAGCTGAACCTCGTGTCGTCGTTCGGCGCGTTCCTAGACCCGGTCGCGGACAAGCTCATGGTCGCCGCGGCGTTGGTGTTGCTCTGCACGATCCCACCCGCGGGCGTTCCCGCGTGGCAGGTGGCGGCGCCGGCGACGATCATCATCGGTCGCGAGATCACGATGAGCGCGATTCGCGAGTGGGCGGCCGCGGCCGGCGGCGAAGCGCACGGCGCCGTCGCGGTGAACTCGTACGGGAAGTGGAAGACCGCGACGCAGCTCGTCGCGATCAGCGTGTTGCTCGGCGTGAGGGACGGGACGGCGTGGATGGGACTCGCCGACGGGAGCGCCGCGGCGTCGGCGGTCGTGACCGGCGGCGTGTGGTGCCTGTTCGCGTCCGCGGCGCTCGCGCTGCTGTCGCTGTGGATCTACATGGCCGGCGTCATCGGGTACATGGACTGACGGACGGGAGCGACGAGAGGAGGGAGGGAGAGCTGTCGTTCGTTCCCTAAGAGTACCTAGGAAATTTTCATTATCATCGCGACGCGTGTTCTAAACCACGCCGCGTCGTCGCCTACCTACGTCCTAATATATGCGCGAATAGTCTCGCCCCGTCCCGTCTCCGACCCCTCCTCCAGTCACGCGCTCACCGCCGCGAGCACCCCGAGCGATATCAAGAACAAGATCACCGGGTACACCGCGAGCGCGCGTCTCGCCGCGGGCACCGCCGCGGACACGAACGGCACGCTCGCCCACGAGCTCCACGCCACCGCGCCGCACACCAGCAGCGTCCTCCAGACGACGTTCTCGGAGATAAACATCAGAAACACCGCGACGTTCAGCGGCACGAGGCAGTACCCCAACAGCGATATAGCCTGCAGGAAGATGATGTGCCCGCCGAGGAGCAGCACGTTCATCGTGAGCGCCACCGCGCCGAACGCGACGGTGGCGAACACGACGCTGAACACCGTGCTCGCGTCGTCGCCGTCGCCGTGCGACAGGCACACGCCCAACAGCAGGACGAAGACGAGCGGCCCCCACAGGTCCCACTCGCGCATCGGGCGCGTGGGGTCGCGCGCGACGCGCATGGGGTTCAGGACGAGCAGCGTGTTGGACGCGACGCGGTCCACGTCGCGCTTGAGCGTGCGCCACACGGACTCGTCCAGGGTGTTCCAGTCGAGATCGTCGCGCGCGCCCGCGAGGCCGCCCTCGCGGACTTCCGCCGCGGAGAAGAGCCGGTCGACGTCGTCGCTGAACGTGCCGCCGCCGCCGCCGCTCGAGGGCGCGGCCTGGCCGAAGCTGCCGTTGCTCATCGTGCGGAGCGAGGTTCGGGGGTGGTCCGCGCGCGGCGAACGACTAGATTCGAGATCTGGGCGCGCTTGAAGAAAAACTCAAGAAAAAGTTTTTTTGCGGCGCCGCGCCGGCGCCATTATCCATCCGCGCGACCGTCGCGCCGCCGCACGGCATCTGGCGCGCACCCCACTCGTCGTTCGTTCGATGGCCGCCGCGCGCATCGCGCTTCCGGTCCCCGCGCGCGTCGCGCGTCCTCGCGTCGGCGCGGAGAAAACGACGGAGGCGCCGTCGTCGCGTCCGTCCGTCGCCGCCGCGAGCGCTCGCGCGATGGCGACGCGATCCAACATCAACTCGCGATCGTCGCATCTTGCCTCCGTCGTCGCGACCCGAGCGCTGCCGCAGAGCCACCACGACGGGAAGACGTGCGCGCTGACGACGTCCGTCATCGCGCCGACGGTCGCGGAGGCGCTGACGGAGATCGACGAGGCCGTCGCGGGCGGCGCGGACATCGTCGAGCTCCGCGTCGACTTCATCCCGACCCTCGACGCGGACGGGAAGGACCTGACCGCGATGCTCGAGCGGTGCCCGGTGCCGTGCATCGTGACGTACCGCCCGACGTGGGAGGGCGGGCAGTACGCGGGCGAGGAAGAACCGCGGCTCGCGGCGCTGTGGAAAGCCGTCGAGCTCGGCGCCGCGTACGTGGACTGCGAGCTCCTCGCGGCGGAGCGTTTCTTCGCCGCCGCGCCGCCGGGGATTAAGGACGCGTCCGCGACGAAGATCATCCTGTCGTCGCACGACTACGACGCCGTGCCGTCGTACGACGAGCTCGCGGAGATCCGCGCGCGATGCGTCGCCGCGGGCGCGGACGTCGTGAAGATCGCGGCGATGGTGAAGGACATCGTCGACGTGACGCGGCTGCAGACGCTTCTGGAGGACGCCGCGGGGTCGCGACAGGACACGATCGTCCTCGGCATGGGCGAGGCTGGGCAGGTTTCGCGCCTCCTGGCGGCGAAGTTCGGGTCGTTCCTCACGTTCGGCGCGCTGCGCGCGGGCGCGGAGTCCGCGCCGGGGCAGCCGACGCTGAGGCAGTTGAGGGACTTGTACCGCGTGCCGACGCAGACGCGGGCGACGAAGGTGATGGGCGTGATTGGCAACCCGATCGCGCAGAGCAAATCTCCGGCGCTGCATAACCCGTCGCTCGCCGCCGCGGGCGTGGACGCGTGCTACGTCCCGCTGCTCGTGAACGACATCGAGGCGTTTTTGAAGAGCGCGACGTTCGGCGGGGACGATTACGTCGGATTTTCCGTCACGATTCCGCACAAGGAAGCCGCGCTTCGGTGTTGCGACGAGGTCGACCCCGTCGCCGCGGAGATCGGCGCGGTGAACACGCTCGTGAAGCGACCGGACGGGACGTTTAAAGGGTACAACACGGACTACGTCGCCGCGATCGACGCGATCGAGGCGGCGATGAACGCCAAGCGAGGGACGGCGTCGGGGGAGGTTTTACGCGGAAAAACCGTCGTCGTCGTCGGCGCGGGCGGCGCGGGGCGAGGCCTCGCGTTCGGCGCGAAGTTCAAAGGCGCGGACGTGATCGTCGCGAACCGGTCGCTCGACCGCGCCCAGGCGCTCGCGACCGCGTGCGGCGGCGTCGCGGTGACGCTCGAGGCGCTCGCGAGCGGCGCGGTGAAGGGCGACGTCCTCGCGAACACGACGTCCGTGGGCATGACGCCGAAGGTCGACGAGACGCCGACGCCTAAATCGGCGATCGCCGCGGGCGGGTTCGACGTCGTCTTCGACGCGGTGTACAACCCGCTCGAGACGAAGCTGCTGAGAGACGCGAAGGAGGTCGGGTGCGAGCTGGCGAGCGGGCTGGACATGTTCGTCGGGCAAGCCGCGTTGCAGTTCGAGCTGTTCACGGGGAAAGACGCGGACGCCGCGACGCGAGAGAGGATGAAGCGCGCGGTGTTGGATAGCATGTAGATCTGCAGTCGTCGAGCGAGGTATTATTCTTAATCGTTCGCTACTGATAGTACACGTACAACAGGCGCTAGGGTGATGATACACTATTTTTTTTTGTTTTTCGCGAGTCGATGGTGGTACAGGGAGTGATGGCGGCGCCGGCGCGGCGGCGGTCTCAGTCTTCGTCGCACATCGAAAAGACGTCTTCTTCTTCGTCCGAGTCGACGACAGCCGGGAACTCGCGTCGCGGCGGACCGGGCTCGATCTCGTCCGCGTCCGCGTCCGACGGCGGCGCTTCCTCGATCTCGGTCTCAAAGTCCGGGAGGTCCGGGAGCTGGCTCTTGAGGCTCCCGCTGAGGCTGGCCTTCGCTTTCGCCGCCGCCGCCGCCGCCGCCGCGTTCTCCACGCGTCTCGACCGTCTCAGCGCTTCCTTCTCCTCCTTCTTCGCCTTCGCCTCCGCGCGTTTCGCGGACTTCTTCCCGCGGCCGTTCCCGGGCGTCGACGTCGACGTCGACGTCGACGGCGACAGCGGCGAGGAAGACGCGACGTCGCCGGTGGACGGCGTCGCGGGGGTCCCGGGGACGTCGATCGCGGTCGACGTCGACGGCGACAGCGACGGCGACGGCGACGGCGACGACGCCGCTGCCGACGCGCCCTCTCCGCCGACGCCGCCTTTCGCCTTACCGCGCTTCCCCGCGCGCCCGCCCTTCGTCCGCGCCGGCTCCGCGGGCACCGGCCGCGCGAGCATCCGCTGCCCCTGCGCGATGTACCCGTTCGGTCCGTACCGTCGGTTGCCGATCGCCGGCGCCGCCGCGCCTCCTCCTCTGCACCCGCGGCTCCCCCCTCGACCCCTCGCGCGGTGCATGTACTCCTCCTCGTCGTCGAGGTAGTCCTCGTCGTACACGAAATCTTCCTCGTAGAACCCCTCGTAGTACGACCCCGCGCCGCCGGTCGTCGCATTAGTCGTCGCGCCCTGGTCGCGCTCCCACTGCTCGGTCTTCGCGCACGACGGGAGCCACCGCGCGCGGCGCAGCAGACACGCGCTCTCCTCTCGCAGATCCTCCGTGAGCCGCCCGTCCAGCGTCCTGTACGTCAGCAGCGACGAGAACGGCACCTTACAGCACGGGCACGTCGGGTCGCTGCTGCGCGATGGCGAGCGCAGGCGCTTCGCCGCGTTGTCGAGTTGAAACGACGTCCATCGGACGATGCACGGCGCGCAGAACGCGTGCAGGCACGTCTTGACGAGCGCGACGTCCGCGGGGGGGATGATCTCGAGGCAGATGGCGCACGCGCCGTCGTCCACGGGGTCGGACGTCGTCGTCGTCGTCGTCGTCGTCGTCGTCGCGAGCGACGCGAGATCGGTCGCGAGCTGCGCGGCGAGGCGGGCGAGACGACGGGGATGGGGGGGACGTCAGGGGAGGGACCGGAGGCGACGCGACGCGAGCGAATATTCGCGCGGAGAGGAGGGCGATGACGCGGACGGTCGGCGGGGGGGACGCGCGCGTCGTCGCGGCGAGCGTTCGCGGCGGAGGCTCGCGCGGACGCACCTCGTCCGCGGCCGAGTGCATCGCGTCGGTCATCTCGATTCGCGTCTCGCGCGCCCGCGGCGCGGGGAGGAGACCCTTCGCTCGGAGGCGACGTCGGCGTCGCGAGTCTTTATCCGCGAGCGATGAGCAGCTCGCGCGCGGCAACGGCGCGAAATGAACACGTCGCCGAGGGGGGTCGCGACCGGTCGACGCGACGAGACCGGGGACGCGCGCGTATCGCGCGCGCGGGGGGGTCGCTCGCGGAGGAAACGCCGAGGACGCGCGCCGAGAGCGCGCGCGACCTCCCTCGCGGTGTGTGCGACCGCGCGGCGCGGTGTGACGACGCGTCGTCCGGAGGTTCGAAAACGTCAACGATTGGCAGATTCGTCGTCAACGATCGATGAAAATTCGCTGCTGCGCGGCGGAATAAAACGGTTTCTTCGCGCGAAAACCAAAGCGTGCCCTCCGCCGCCCGCGGGCGAAATCTTCCGTCCACTCCCCTCGCCTCAGTATCCCACACCGTTGGATACGACCGGATCCACGATCACCGGCGGAATCACCGGCGGCGGAATCACCGCGTGCGCCGGGCAGCACGGCAGCGCGCACGCGGTCGTCTCGTGCCACCCGGGGATGACGAACCCCGGCGTGTACGCCGGCGGCACGAACTCGCCGGGTATCACCGTCCCCTTCACCGCGGGCACGACCGTCGGGCGCACCGCGGAGACGTACCGCGGCGGCTTCCCCGGCGTCCAGAACCCGGGGGTGTAGAACGGCGCGCGGCCGGGCTCCCAGTACGAAGGCGCGCCGGGTATCAATACCGGCGGCGTCCCCGGAACTTTCACGGACGGCGCGCGACGCGGCGGCGACCACACCCCCGGCACGTAGACGGGCTTGTGATGCACCGTCTGCGTGCACAGCTCCTTCGCGTACGCGTCCAGGTCCGGGTTGGAGCGCGCCCACGCGCGCTCGTTCGCGTACGCGTCCTCGTGCGCGGCGTCGCGGGTCTTGACGTCGCGCGCGGCGGCGTCGACGGCGGCTTCCGCCGCGGCGAACGCGGCGTCGAGCGCGGTCTCTCGCTCGAGCCACGCCGCCAGCGCCGCCTCGTACGACGCGAGGATCGCAGCCTCGGCGGCGTCGTATTCCGCGGCGAGCGCGGCGGCGTCGGCAGCCTGCGACGGCGACGCGCCCGCCTCGGCGGCGGAGTAGACGCGTCCTTCTCCTTCCTGTTCGAAGGCGAAGTCGGCGACGTGCGACGACGGCGACGCGTCGTCTGCGCGGTCCGCCTTCGCCGCGGTCGACGTCGCGGCGTCGTCGTTCGCGTCGTCGGACGCGTTGTCGGACGCGAAGTAGTCCGCCAGCGCGCTCGCCGCCGCGCCTCCGCGCGGCGACGCGCGCCTCGTCGGCGTCGCGAGACTCCGCGAGGCGGTCGCGCGTCCCGAGGCGACGGAGGAGACCGCGGCGGCGTCGTCGCCCGCGGCCGCGCGCTCGTCCCTCGCGCCGACGACGGGGAGCGCGGCGTCCGACGCCGCATACGCGCGAGCGACGCGCGAGCAGCACGCGAGGGTGATGACGAACGCGTGCGCGAGGTGCATGGCGACGCGCGTCATCGCTTCCGTCGCGCGGGGGAGCACTGCGGCGACGCGTCGTCCGGCGGTCTCTCGGCGCCGAAAATAAACCAAAAGAGCGGCGTCGACGTCGAGGCAGCGCGAGAGAAAATTTAAGCTGGTATCGAAGCCGCGCGGATGATCCTTATCCTTAACCAATCACGATTCGCGATCTGCACTCCGCAGCCGCGAAAAGTGCAGACTTCGGTGATGACTGCGAAGAAGAAGGAAGGTTAACGCCGCCGCCAATCGCGTCACCCATCCGCGCGCGCGTCCGCGTCGGTGTCACGAACGATCACGATGTCCGGCGCCTTACGCAGCCTCGCGAAACGCGCGTTCACCGCGGCGACGGTCGCCCCTCGCAGGGCGGCGAACGTCCCGTACCTCCTGAACACCGCGCGCGCGCTCACGGGCCCCGCGAGCGGCGGTCACATCAGCGACGAGCTCCTCGAGAAGCTCGGAACGCTCTCCACGCAAGCCCTCATCGACGGCCTGTGGGTCATGGGCTGGCCGACGTCGCACGTCATGGGCGCGAGGCCGCTGACCGAAGGCCAGAAGAAGATGGTCGGAAGAGCGATCACGCTCCAGTTCGCGGCGACGCGCCCGGACATCGCCGCGGACAAGCCCGCGGGGATGGACTCCCCCGAGTACGAAGCGTTCGAAGCGTGCGCGGGCAACAAGGGCGTCGTCGTCATGTCCTCGATCGGCCCGTGGGAATCCGTGGGCGGTGACATCAAGTTCCTCCGCCTGAAGCAGCTCGAGTGCCGCGGCCTCGTCACCGACGGCAGCGTCCGCGACACGGGCGTCCTTCGCGAGTACGCCTTTCCCGTGTTTTCGCACAGCACGACGCCGCGTCAGGGCCCGCACGTGCATCAGCCGTGGGCGGCGAACGTCGTCATCAACTGCGGCGGCGTCGTCGTCCGCCCTGGCGACGCGGTCATCGGCGACGACGACGGCTGCATCATCGTCCCGGCGTCGCACGCGCAGCAGGTGTACGACATCGCGCACTCTCGCGAGGTCGTCGAGGAGATCGTCAAGGAGGAGCTCACGAAAAACCCGGGCCCGCCCGGGAAGTATTACCCGTTCATGACCGGCAAGATCAAGCCCGAGTCCCCGCTCGGGAAGCTCCTGACGTCCAAGGGCGTCAAGTTCACGCACACGGCCGCGAGGCCGGGCGCGAGGGCGACGACGCGGTCGGTCGTCTCGCCGATGAACCGTTACAAGACGCTCGGCGCGAGGCGCATGTCCACGCGCGCGACGCACCCGTTCGGTCGCCCCGAGGGTCACTACGTCCGCACGCACCTCGAGATGGAGAAAGTCCTCAAGGAGTTCGAGATACACAAGGCCTGCGCGGTCCTCCGAACCGGGATCGACGGCGCGGTCCTCCCCGCGATGGACGCCGCCGTCGCCGGCGGGTTCCGCTTAGCCGAGTTCACGCTCACGACGCCCGGATGCCTCGACGCGGTGGCGGAATACGCGAGCAACCGCCCGGAAGTTCTCACCGGCGTCGGCACCGTGCTCACGGTCCAGGACGCGAAGGACGCGATGGACGCGGGCGCGAAGTTCATCGTCTCCCCGTGCCTCATCCCGGAGGTTGTCGAGTGGTGCGCGAAGAACAACATCGTCTCCGCGCCCGGGTGCGGGACGCCGACGGAGATGGTGCAGGCGTTTAAGCTCGGCGCGCCGATTCAGAAGCTCTTCCCGGGCGTCGCCGGCGGCCCGGGTTGGGTGAAGGCGGTCTCCGCGGCGCTTCCGTTCCTTCGCATCAACCCCACGAGCGGGGTCGAGATCGACACCGCGGCGGATTACCTGCGCTCCGGGGCGAAGAGCTTGGGGTTCGTCGCGCCCGCGTTTCCGCCAGAGTTGGTCAAGAACAAAGACTGGGACGGCATCTCCGAGATCGCGCGCAAGATTCACGCGGCCGTCGCGTCCGCGTGAGCCGAGCGCTGAGCGCGTTGAGGGAAGATCGAGGACCGAGCGGCGCGTCGAAAACGACGCGCTTCGCTTTCGGTCGCCCGAGCGAGGAGGTCGTTTGTACATACAAATAATACTGTAACGAATCATCATTAAACCGTTTTTGAAACGCGTCGCGCGCGCCGTCGTTCACGACCCGGCGCCTGACCCGGGCGAGAACACCGTGGGGCGGTACTCCGGGTAATACATCGACGACCTCGCGTACTGCTCCAGCGCGGGCAGCCCCTCCTGGTGAAAGATCTGCGCGATCTTCCCGTCCCGTCCTTCCCTTCCTTCGAAGATCGCCTGGCGCATCACCGCCGCGGCCACCTTGACGCTGATGTCTCGAATGCGTTTGATTGCCGGGTAAATCTCCCCGCGGTTGAGCTGCTCGCGGGTCAAAATCTTCGGTATCGCCTCCGCGGCGGCGTTCAACATTCCGTCGGAAATGTGATCCGCGCCGACTAAGATCGTCCCCAGCCCGAGACCGGGGAACACGTAGAAGTTGTTCCCTTGGTTCGCGACCATCGTCCTCCCGTCGACGACGACGTCGTCGAACGGAGACCCCGCGGAGAAAATCGCGCGTCCGCCCGTCGCCTTCGCCGCCTCCTCCGCGGTGCACTCCGCGCACGACGTCGGGTTCGACAGCGGCATGATGATCGGCCTCTCGTGGCACTCGCCCATCGTCCTCAAGATGGTCTCCGTGAAGATCCCGCGCGCGGTGGACGCGCCCATGAGCACGGTCGGCTTCGCCGCCGCGACGACGTCCTCCAACGTCATCCCCTCGGGGAGATCATCGCGGCTCGCGGCGAACGCGCGAAGGTCTTCCACCCCGGGCGCGCTCGCCTCCAAGACGCGCGCGCTCGTGATCAGACCTTTGTGATCGACGACGTAGAACCGCTTGTACGCGTCCTCTTTGGACAAGCCGTGGTGAACCATCGCGGAGTGAAGGAAATTCGCGATGCCCATCCCGGCGGACCCCGCGCCGCAGATCACGAAGGTCTGGTCGACGATCGCGCTCGGCTTCGACCCGATGCTCGCCATCGCGCCGTACACGCCCGCGAGCACGGTCACCGCGGTGCCCTGAATGTCGTCGTTGAAGCACAGGACGTTGTCACGGTGCCGCTTCAGGATGGGCATCGCGTTCTTCGTCGAGAAATCTTCAAACTGCACGAGCGCGTTGGGCCAGCGATTCTTCACCGCTTGCACGAACTCGTCCACGAACTCGTCGTACTCCTTCCCCCGCAATCGCGGTTGCTGTATCCCGAAGTAATACGGCGAGTTCAGGAGCTCTTCGTTGTCCGTGCCGACGTCGAGGACGCACGGGAGCACCTTCTCCGGGTCGATCCCCGCGCCGGCGACGTAGAGGTCGAGCTTTCCGACGGAGATGCCCATCCCTTGCGCGCCGAGGTCGCCCAGGCCCAACACTCGGCTGCCGTCCGTCACGACGATCACGGACACGTCGTTCTTCCAGTTGTACATCATCGCGTTGAACTCCCCGACGTCGTCCACGCTGAAGTACATCCCTCGCGGACGTCGGAAGAGTCGCGAGTAGTGCTTGCACGCCTCGCCCACGGTGGGGGTGTAGATGATGGGCGCGAGCTCCTCGATGTGCTCGACGATGAGGCGATAGAAGAGCGTCTCGTTGCGGTCCTGCAGCGCTTGCATCGAGCGCCACATGTGCATCGGCGTCTTCCCCGTCGTCGTCATCGTGTTCCAGATCTTCGCGCACTGCTCGTCGATCGTGAACTGCCGCGGCGGCGTGAGCCCGCGGATGCCGAGGCGTTCCTTCTCCGCGATGGAGTACCCCGTGCCTTTGTTGTAGATCGGGTTTAACAACACCTCGATCCCGCGCGCCGTGTCCGGGTGCATGATCATCATGTCGTGCTCCGCGAACCGGCACGTGTGCACGCGCGAGCTCCATCCGTACGCGAGCTTCGTCTTCTTCTTCGGCTCGTCCTTGGCGTCCATGGTGGACGACGACGCGGACGACGACGCGCCGGCGTCTCCTCCGCCTCCTCCTCCGCCTTTCGACGCGTCCGTTGCCATCGCACGACGCGGCGCGCGCGACGACGTCGAGACGAGCGGCGCGGTGGACGCGCACGTCGCGCGACGCAGCGACCGCGCGAGCTCGGTCGCGCCGCGGCGGTAGATGCTCATGGCGCGCGCGGTGTGGTCGCTCCCTTCGCGCGCCCGAGGGTATGGCTGAGGAGGGTTGGGATCGCGCCACGCGGAAGGTGAGCTGGACATGGACGGACGACCCGACTTCAACGTCGCGTCATCGTCGATCGCGTCCACACCATGGCGCACGCTACCAGCATGGCCGCCACCGTGGCCGCCGCCGGCGCACGCTCCCGCGGCGCCTCTTCGCCGTCGAATCCTCCGTTCGCCGCGCCGCGCCTCCGCGCCGCGTCCCGGCGCCGCGACGCGTCGCGCGCGCGGTCGTTCATCGCCCCGCGAGGCCTCGGCTTCGATCTCGGCGAGAACGACGACAAGCTCCGCCCGGACGTCGAGGCCGCGGCGCTCATCGAAGACGCGGCGTCGCTTCTCTTCCTTCAAGACGCGATGATGGGCGACGCCGCGCAGGCGTACCTCGCGCTCCTCGCGCAGATCTCCACGAAAGCGACGCCCGCGAAGGTGTTCCAAGCCTACGGCGCCTTCTTCCGAGCCGTCGCGACCGCGGACGCGGACTCCTTCTTAGACGTCGTCCTCGACGAGGTCATCACCGCGCGGAGGAACCCGCTCGCGGAGCGATGCGCCGCGCTCGGCGCGAGCGCGAACCCGACGCCCGTGGAGCTCGCGGCGGTGCGAAGCGACCTCGAGCTCCTCCAGAGGCTGTGCGTCTCCGAGACGACGATCGCGCGGTGGATCGAGACGGTCGCGTCGCAAGGTAAGTTCTTCTTCACACTGGTCCCCATACGACCCCGTTGGCGTGGTGAACGCCGATCCTTAAGGACTTTGCCCGGCGCATCTCTCCTCCCACACCTCGCTTTCAATCCCAGCCCTCGACGCCTTTCAACTCCAACTGACGCCTTTCAACTCCACCCCGACGGTCGCGTCGCAAGGTCCCGCGGGCGGCGGTGCGAGGAAACAACCGGACGGCTGGATCGCCGCCGCGGGCGAGCTCGGCGCGCTCGGGCGCCCCGCGGTCGTGAACGAGGGCGGCGAGGGGAACTGCGTCGTGGGCGAGGACGAGGACGGGATGCCCGCGATCGACTGCCCGACGCCGACGAGGGGCGGATCAGGGGCAGATTCCGTGGCTGAGGAGGGCCGGGCCGCCGCGGAGCTCGAGGCGCGCGCGGCGGCGACGTGCGGGAAGCACACGTCGCGGCCGGCGAGCGCGGCGGAGCGCGCGAAGCTCAGGGACGCGATCGCGCAGTCGTGGCGGTGGGCGGACGCGCTCCCGACGTTGATGCGGCACTGGAGGGACGTCGGCGCCGGCGACGTCGGCGCGCGCGTCGCGTTGGCGCACGACGCCAAGGCGGGGCTTCACGATCCGGACGCGGCGGCCGCGCGGGGGGGCGCGTTCGCGTCCGTCGCGAGCGACGCCGACGACGACGACGACGACGCGCCAGCGATCGCGTCGCTGCGCGGCGACGCGTGGCGGTCGACGCCGAGGACGCCGCAGCACGCGGACGCGCGCGGCGAAGTCGTCGCGGCGTTGAAAAAGTTTGTCGAGAGCGACGCGGGCGCGGGCGCGGGCGGCGGCGCGGCGCACGTGCTCGTGCACGGCGCGCCGGGCGTCGGGAAGCGATGGCTGCTGCGCTCCGCGATCGCGTCGCAGGTTGAGGACGGACTGCGCGTCGTCGCCGTTCCGAGAGAGGGGATCCGGACGCTGCCGCGGCTGTGCGCCGAGATGCGATCGCGCCCGCGGACGAAGTTCGCGGTGTTCCTCGAGATGCCGCTCGCGCTGACGCCGTTCGCGGAGTTCCACAACGAGCTCACGTCCGTCTTGGACGGCGGCGGCGGGCCGAGCGGGTGGCCGGCGAACGCGGTGTTGTGCGCCACGGCGCTGAGCGCGAGCGGGTTGAAGCCGGGGTCGGACGAGGCGGGCGCGTCGCTGGAGACGCGGTTCCCGACGCGCGTCGCGCTCGAGTGACGTCGATTCGCGTTTTTTAAAAAAACCTTAACCTTAATTAAAATACAGCGCACGGCGCCGCGGCGGCGCGCGTGAAGAAAAGAATCTTGTCTCAGTTCGCGTACGCGAGCTTCTTCGCGAGCGCTTCGGCCTCGTCCATGAGCGACCCGAGGTGCGCGTCCAGGGCGTCCGTCCAAAACGCCGGGTCCGCGGGTTTCAGCCCGAACGGCTCGAGCGCTTCCTCGAACCCTTTCGTCCCGCCCGCGGCGAGAAGATCGAGAAGCTTCTCCTCGAACCCGTCCGGGGACTTGGCGTACACGCCGTACAGCGACCCGACGACGAGGTCCGCGAACGCGTACGAGTACACGTAGAACGGAACGTTGTGGAAGTGCGAGACGTACGTCCACAGGTGAGACGTGTCCGCGTACGAGTCGAACACCTCGCCCTCTTCGCCGTAGTACTCCACCACGGTCTGCTCCCACGCCTTCGTCATCTCGTCCGGAGTCAGCGCCCCCGCCGCGCGCGCGCTGTGCACCTTGTCCTCGAACGCGTCGAACCCGCACTGCCGCACGACGGAGTTGATGATGTCGTCGATCTTGGACATCAACATCGCCAGGCGGTCCTCGTCCGTGGACGCCTTCGCGAGGAGGTCGCGGAAGACGATCATCTCGCCGAATATTGACGCCGTCTCCGCGAGCGTCAGCGGCGGGTGGAACTGCAGGATGCCCTGCTTGTACGACAGCATGAAGTGCGCGCCGTGGCCGGACTCGTGCGCGAGCGTCGCGACGTCGCGTTGCGTCCCGGTGAAGTTCAGCAGCTGGAACGGTCCGTTGCCGTAGGAGGACGAGCAATACGCGCCGCCGCGTTTGCCGTTCTGCGCGGGGACGTCGATCCTCTTCTGATCCACCATCTCCGTGAAGAGATCCGCCATCGTGGGCGAGAACTTCGCGTACCCCTCGCGGACGATGTCCACGGCTTCCGTCCACGAGTACTCGTCCGCCGCCGTGCCGATGTCGATCGCGGCGTTTCTGTCCGCCCACGTGAACGCGTCCAAGCCCTGCGTCTCTTTCAGGATGTTCTTCTTGAGCGCGTAGTACCGCTTGCAGTACGCCACGCCGGTCGTCTTCACCGCGTCCAGGAGCGAGTCCACGACCTCGTCCGGGACGTTGTTCCCGAGGTTGCGCTGCGACCGGAGGTTTTCAAACCCGCGTTCGGCGTTTTCGACGTGCCAGCCGCCGGCGACCATGTTCAGCGACAACGCGGCGACGCGCTCGAAATTCTTCAGACCCGAGTTCAGCGTCTGCATGCACTGGTAGCGCGTCTTCGCGTCCTTGCTGCCGGTCATCTTCGCGAGCAGCACCTCCATGTTCACCTCCGCGGGCTCGCCTTCCTTCGCCGTCGGGTCTTCGAAACGCAGTCGGGATAATTCGTTCCCGTAAAACTCAACCACCTTGCCCTTCCCCGCGAACGGCGCGCGGACGGTCAGCGCGCGCTCCACCTCCTTGCTGAGGTTATACGGCCGCGACCGACGCACCTCGTCGATATACGCGGAGTAGTTGGCGAGCTCCGGCGTGGACTCCATCTGCGCGTCGAGGTCCTCCTGCGCGAGATCCGCGAGCTCGAGGCTGAAAAAAGTGAGGTTGTTGCCCGAGATGATCGAGTACCGCTGCATCAGACTCGCCTTGCGCTTCTGCGCGTCGTCGTCGTCCAGGCACGTGTCGCACGCGAGCGAGACGTACGACAGCGCCTTCGTGAGCGCGATGTCGATCTTCTCGTAGAGCTGAATCGCGCCGAGGAGCTTCGAGTCCAGCTTCCCCTCGAAGTTTGACTTGAGCGCGACGCAGTCGGCCTCGACGGCGTCCATGTCCGCGTCCACGGAGGCGCTGTTCGGGGAGTCGTACCCGAAGTGCATCTCGAGGTCCCACCGCGGGGAGACGTCCTGCTTCGTCTCCGCGGCGGCCGCGGGCGCGGCGGCGGACGCGGCCATGACGACGGATGAGGAGGAGGAGGAGGAGGAGGAGGAGGGGGAGGGGGATCGGGAAGCGAGGCTTCTTCCGAGACGACGCGCCGAGGCTGCGATCGGCGCGGCGACGCGACGCGCGGCGGGCGCGCGCGCGCGCGCGGCGAGGACGGTGGTCGTGCGAGCGACGGCGAGCCGAGACGCCATCGAGGTTTCGTGCCGCGGGGTCGTGCGTGCGAGCGCGCGCGCGAGCGGAGTGTCGCGCGACGCGACGCTTGGGATCGATCGATCCACGCCACGCTCGCGCGTCGCCAGCCAGGAGCCGACGTCTGACGTGGCTCGACGAGGATAACGCGAGGGCGACGCCTTCACTGCGCCCCGACGCGAGGTCGCGGACCGCCGCCGACCACCTCGACCGCCATGGCGACGCCGTTCGCGCCCTCCGCGGCGCGCGTCCTCCGCGGCGCGCGCGGCGCGATCGCGGGCGGAAGCGACTCGACGCGCGGCGGCGCGCGAATGCGCTTCGGCGTCGTCCGCTCCGCGATCGTCGTCGGTCGCGCGCGATCGTCGCGATCGTCGCGATCGTCGCTCTTGGTCACGCGCGCGGGGTCGAAGTACTCCCTCGTCGCCGCGGGCGCGAACCTCCCGCACCCGGACAAGGTGGACAAAGGCGGCGAGGACGCGTGGTTCGCGAAGATCGGCCCCGACGGCGGCGGCGCCATGTACCTCGCCGACGGCGTCGGCGGGTTCAACGAGCAGGGCGTCGATCCGGGGCTGTACGCGCGCGTGCTCACGTACGAGGCCGCCAAGGCGTTCGACGCGGCGAAGAAGAACCCGCTCTTCTCCCCGGACCCGGTGAAGATCATGCGCGAGGCGCAGGAGAACACGAAGCTCCCGGGCGCGAGCACGTGCGTCCTCGTCTCGTGCGACGGCACGAAGATCCGCGCGGCGAACCTCGGCGACAGCGGCTTTCGCGTCATCCGCGGCGGACGCGTCGTGCGCGCGTCGGACCCGCAGGAGCACTACTTCAACTGCCCGTACCAGCTCGCGTACGAGCCGCTGTCCGAGGACACGGACCTCGCGAGCGACGCGCTGACGTACGAGATCGACGTCGTGCCGGGCGATCTCGTCGTGCTGGGGTCGGACGGGTTATTCGACAACGTCTTCGACGAAGAGATCGCCGAGGTGGCGACGGCGGCGGCGTTCTCCGTCGCGGGCGCGGGCGCGCTGTCCGCCGCGCGCGCGTCCGCGGAGGCGCTCGCGCGGACCGCGCGAAATCACGCGGAGGACCCGCTGTTTGAGTCGCCGTACGCGCTGGACGCGGCGAAGGAGAAGGCGTCCGCGGGCGGCGCGAAGAGGAGCGGGCCGCTCGGGATGCTCAACGCGTTTGCGGCGGGCGCGGCGAGCGCGGTGACGGGGAAAAAGTTGGGGGGGAAGATGGACGACATCACCGTCGTCGTCGGCGCGGTCGTCGCGACGGACGCGGCGAAGGAGGACATCGCGGCCGCGGGGAAGCTCACGGCGAAGCTCCAGGAGACCGCGGATAAGGTGCGGAAGCGCGCGGCGGGGGAGGAGGCGAAGACGCTTCGGAGCGTCAACCTTCGAAATGAGATGGACGCCGCGCTGAAGGAGAAGGTGGCGGAGAAGGAGGCGAAGGTCAAGGCGGAGAAGGCGGCGCCGCCGGAGTTTCCGAAGGCGGTGATCGATAAGATGGACGCGGCGACCGTGCGGAAGTTGTTGGAAGAGCGCGGGCTGCCGACGAGCGGGAAGATCGATCGCCTGAGGGAGCGGTTGGGCGCGGTGAAGAGGAAGTGAGACGTTTAGAGTTTTGAGGCGGACGACGTGCTTCCGGAAGTGCGCGTGCAGTTTCCGCGCGCTTCGTCGCCTCGAGAACACGTCCGCCGGGTTGGTTTTATTATATACACACAAACAACACAAACAAACAAGCACGAGCTACGTCGGTGAATCGATCGCGTATGTACAGCGCGCCGCGCGTTCGGTTCGAGGCTTCGAGCGACGCCCTCCGACGCGACGAGATTGTTGCGTTCAGATGATCGTGATCGAGCCGCCGTTCAGGGAGATTTGCTCCAGGAAGATGAGCGAGACGGCGACCGCGTACGTCCCGCTGACCGCGCCGAACGGCTCGTAATCGTACGGCCCGGACTCGAAGTAGTCGTACTCCGCGTCCGGGTCGTACGGCCCGAACCGCCCCGCCGCGGGGCCCGGCGCGGCGCCGGGCGCGGACGCGTCCGTCGGGCCCGAGTACGCGCTGACGCGAAGCGGCGCCGTCGCGTTGGGCCCGCGCGTCGGGCGCTTCCCCATGTTCGTGTACCGCGTCGCTGATATGCGCGGGTTCCGTCCCGTCTCCGCGTTCGTGTGCGCGGGGATGATCACGGGCGCGCCCATCGCCGTCGTGACGTTCGGATTCGTCGTCGCGTTCGTCGTCGCGTTCGACGGTCCGCCCTGCGCGGAGACCCTGGTCAAGTCTGCCGCCGCGTTCGCGTTCACTTCGTCGAGGATGTCCGTCACCGCGTCGATGATCTCGCTCGCGTCGTTGATCGCCGTCGCGACGGCGGCGCCCGCGCTGCCGCTTCCCGCGACGCCGAACCCGCGTTCGCCCGTCGCCGCGACGTCGATGGCGGCGTCGTACCCGTTGAAGACGACGTCGTACGTGATCGTCGTCTCGTCCGCGGCCTCGGCGCTGACGATCCCCACGCCGGGCTCGACGACGCCGACGAACGCGATGGCGATCTCGAGCGAGATGGCGATCTGCGGGTTGACCTGGAACTCCTCGAGCTGCGCGATGAGGCGGTCGCGGATCGCCGTGGGGAGCGCCGCGGGGAAAGAGTCGAACCAGTTCGCGGTGATGTCGCCGACGTCTTCGCCGGTGACGTCGCCGTTCGCCGGGTCGCGGCCTTCTTCGCCCGCGGTCGGCGCGGACGCGGCGTCGTCGCCGGTCGCCGTCTCCGTCGCCGTGTCGTTCGTCGTCGTCTGCAACAGGCGGCGGCGGCGGCGTTCGTTCCCGAGGGACGACGCGGCGGCGATCTGCGATTTGGTTTTTTCGCGCGGCAGCGGCGTGCGCACTTGCGCGATGAGCTGCGCGCCCTTCGGGAGGTTCCGCGCGTTCGCTTCCTCGTCGGACAGAAGCCGGCGTCTGGACGCGTCGATCCCGGGGTGCGGGGTGGGCGCGCGGCGCGTCGACGTGCCTTGGAGCTTCCGCCGCCGCGTCGCCGACGTCGTCTCGTTCGTCGAGGCGTTCGCGGCGTCGTCCGCCCCCGCGGGGCCGGGCGCGGGCGCGGCGCCGTTCCCGCCGGCCGAGCTCCGGTCGAGCTCGTCCAGGTTGGTCGGGATCCACGTCGGCTGCAGCGACTGCTGGATCGCCGCCGCGGCGTCGCCGGAGATCTCGAACCCGACGCCGTAAAACTGCTCGAAGCCCCACGCGCCGCCGTACACAAACTCGGACGCGAGGACGTTCTCCAGCGCGGTCTCGCCGTCGACGACCCACTCGGACGCGACCGCGCCCTCGTTGCTGACGCCCTGGCTGAAGTCTTGAACCACCGCCGCGGCGAACGACGCGAAGACGTTCGTGAACGCGGTGTACGCGAGCTCGGTGGTCAGGATGCTCTGTAGGAACCCCGCGGTCGGGTTGTCGAGCGCGGCGTTGCGTATGATGAGCAACGCGACGCGCAGGAACGTCGTGGGCTGGAGCCACGGCCGCAGCGGGGAGTCGACGAGGACGCGTCGGTCCATGTGCGCGCCGTCGACGTCGACGTCGTCCGCGTCCTCGTCGTCCGCGTCCTCGTCGTCCACGTCGGCGGCGGCGTAGGCCGCGGCGGCGGGGTCGACCGTCGCCGCGCCGGACGTTCCGCGCGCGAGGCGAGCGCGAACGTCGTCGCTGACGAGCGGCGCGAGGCGCGAGGACGATACGCCGCCGCGCGCGAGCGCGGGGGAGGCGGCGCACGCGAGGAGGACGAGGAGGAGCGCGCCCAGGGCGCGCGCGACGCGCGGGGCGTGCGGGGCGTGCATGGCGTGCGTCGGCGCGCGCGCGCGAGTGGCGCCGCCTCGAGTTCGCGCGCGACGACGAGCTTCGCCTCTTTTTCGACGACGACGAACGTCGACAGACTACTACAACGTGCTGTGCGCTCCCGAGGCGCCCGGCGCGTCTCGAGACGCACGACTAAGGAATTAAAGACGCTTGCTTCACCGGCGACCTTTCTTCTTCTTCTTCTTCGCGCGCGTGGAACCCGAAGCGCCGCCGCGAGGGGAGACGACGCGAATGCTCCCGAGATCTGAACTCGTCTCCGCCGCCTCGATTTCTCCGGAAGTTTCCGCCGCCGTCGCCGTCGTCGCCGCCGCCGCCGCCACCCCGCGCCGAGGGACATCGGGCGTCGGAGGCAACCCCCCGCCCGATTCGATACCCGCGAGCCCCACCCCCCACGACCGCTGCGCCGCGGCGGATCGCATCCACTGGTCCGGCGTCGTCCCGGGGAAAACGTCGGAGACGTCTGCGGAGTCGTCCGACGTTTCCGCGGCGACTCGAAACGCCGCCGCGGACGCGGAGAGACTCGGCATGGACACGCCGCTCGTGGCGTCGCTGTCGTCGTCGTCGAAGTCGAAGTCGAAGTCCGCGACGACGACGCCGCGATGCTCTTTCCGCTCGATCGCGCGGAGGCGTTCGATGCGCGCGCGAAGGTCGTCCGCGCGCGCGCGGTCCGACGGCGCCGGCGGCGGTTTCGGCGACGGGTCTTTTTGGATTTGGTTTTCCTCCGCCGCCGCCGCCGCCGCCGCCGCCTTATCCACAATCTCCCCCGCCCCTCGCGCAAGCTTCGTGAGGTTATACTCCACCGTCGCGGACTTCAGCCACTGGTCCGCGTTCGGAAGGCTGTACTGCGACGCGTCGCCGTCGTCCGAGGTGTACTCCGTCCCGGGTCCCTGTCCCGTCGCGGTTCCGCCGCTGTCGCCCCCCTCGGACGACGCAGCCATCGCCGCGGACCACGACCGCTGCGACGCGACGGAGAGGCGGAACTGCGACGGGTCGGGGAGGTCGGACAGCGCGTCTGAGCGCTCGTCGTCGTACTCCCTGGATTCCCTGGTATCTTCATCGTCCTCATCTTCGTCTTCGTCTTCTTCTTCTTCGTCGTCGTCTTCGTCGTCGTCCGCGGCTTCGAAGAGCCTCTCGAGCGCGGCGTCCTGCGCCGCGTCCGCGTCCGCGCTCGTCTTCATCCCGGTCAAAACCCTCGCCGCCGCGGTCGCGCCCGGGGACGGACCCGCGGGCGCGCCGGTCAGCCTCGCGGCGTCGACCGTCGCCGGCGCCGTCGCCGCGACCGCGACGGCGACCGCGCGCTCCCCGCTGACGCTGCTAAGCAGCGACTCCTCGTCCCACGGCGTGCTGCTCGACTCCCCGTCCGCGCGCTTGCGCTCGGGGGAGAACAGCCACTCGCGGACAGCCTTGTCCTTGTTCCCGTCGTCGGGGGAGGACGACGGCGCTCGGTTCTCGTCGGGCGACCGCACGCGCTCGCCGCCGCCGTCGAAAGGATGCTTCGCGCCCGTCAACTTCGCGATCTGCGTCGGCGACAGCCCCCCGGGGCGCGACGCCGGCGTCGCCGCCTCCTCGCGCAGCGCGGAGCCGACGTCGAGGTCCCTCGACATCGTCCGCGCGCGTCTCGCCGCGGCGAGGCGCGCGCGCTGCGACTGCGTCGACGCCGGCGTCGCGTTCGCTCCGAGGTCGAGAACGTCGAGCGGCAGCGGCGAGAGACCGGGCGTCGGCGGCGGCGGCGGCGGCGGCGAGAACGCGCCCGTCGCCGTCGCCGCGAGCGGGGTCAATCCGAGCTCGAAGATGAGGTCGTTCGCGTACGCGTCGCCGCGCGCGAGATCGCCGGGAACGCCCACGCGGAAGCTCTCGCCGAGGATCGACGCCGAGCGGAGGCTCTCGGACGCCGCGGCGCTATCCGGCGCGTCGTCGTCGTCGTCGTCGTCGTCGTCGTCGTCGTCTTCGCCTCGTTCACTTTGCGGAAGTAACAGCCGCGACGCGTGCGTTTTCATCACCTGCGGGCTCGCGCTCGGCGTCTCCACCTCGTACGCCGCCGCCCCGAGCGCGGTATCCGGCGCGGACGCGAACGCGTACGCGCTTCGGTGCCCCCCCGCGGTGCCCTCGAACGCGTCCGTCTCGCTCACGCCGCCGCTGTCTACGGACGCCGCGCGCGCGTAGTTGACGCGTTGCAGCTCCGCGTCTTTCGCCTCCCTCTCGAGCCTCGCGCGGTCCTCCTCCGCGCGACGAAGCTTCTCTCGAAGCGCGCTCGCCTCTCGCTCCGCGATCGCCGCGCGCGCGGCGGCGCCGGTCGCGACGCGCGCGGCGTCCATCTCGCGTCGCTCCAACGCCGACGCCGCGCGCGGCTCGATCGCCGCCGCCGTCGTCGGCGGCGTCCGTCGCACGGCGAGCGCGAACGCCGCGCGGACGTCGTCGACGTCCTCGCGGTCGATATCGTCCCCCTCCTTCTCCTTCGTCTTCCGAGCGCTCTGCGCCGGCGTCGTCGTCGTCGTCGCCTCCGACGACGACGGCGACGACGGCGACGGCGAGACCGTTCGCTCCCTCCGCCGCCGCCGCCGCGCGAGATCCTCCCCCGCCTCCGGCGTCGGCGGCACCTCCGGCGCGGGCTCCCACATGTCCACGCTCACGAACGCGCTCGTGGTGTACATCGACCCTCCGCGCGGCCCCGCGTCCGGCCCGGACGTCAACCCGAACCGCGTCCGCGCGCCGCCGCCGCCCTTGTACAGCCCGTCCTCCACGAGCGCGGCGGCGGCGGAGAGATCCGTCCGCGCCGCGCTCGCCGTCGCCGTCGCCTCTTCCCCGGGCGATCTCGCGACGCCTTCGGGGCCCGTCGTCGCGGGCGATGGCGATGGCGCGGCGGACGCGAGGTACGCGTGCAAGCCTCGCGACGCGCGCGCGACGGTTGACGTTCCATCTTCCTCCGGGTTGAGCAGCCGGAGCAGATCCGCGCACAGCTCGCCGCGATCGTTTCTGAAGAGCGTCGCGCGCGCCACCGCCGCCCACGGCGCGACGCTCGTCGCCTCGCCGTCCAGCGCGACGAGGCGCGGGAGCGCGAACGCGACGACCGCGCGGTGGTCGAACCGCACCATCCGCGCGATCTCCTCGAGCGGGCACCCGCGGAGGACGAGCCAAACGAGGCGCGGGCACGCGGCGAGGTGTCGCGCCTCCGCGACGTCGACGACGTCGTTGACGCCGAGATTCAGCGCGCGCAGCGACGGCGGGAGCTTCCACGCCGCGCCGCGCAGCGACGCGATCGCGTTGCGGCTGAGGTCTAACGTCGCGAGGCGGACGCACCCGGCGAGGTCGCCGAGCGACTCCAGGGCGTTGCGCGAGAGGTCCAACGTCTCGAGCGCGCGTAACTCGCGCGTCGTCGCGACGTCGACGTCGCGGATGTTGTTGTTACGCAGCGACAGCCGCGTCAGCGCTTTGCAGCCGCGCAGCCCCGCGATGGAGACGAGCGAGTTATCGGACGCGTCCAGGGACAATAGGCCCGGGTTCGTGCGCCCGAGATCCCCCAGGGTCACGAGCCGGTTCGCGCTCGCGTCGAGGTGCTCCAGGCGCGGGAGGAGATGCATCCCGGATAGCTTCAGGAGCGCGTTTCTCGACACGTTCAACGACGAGACGCGATGCCACGACGCCGCGCCGTAAGTACTTTGGAGCGACGCCGCGCGCGCGAACGGCAGCGCGCTGAGGCGCGATTCGGACCAGTCGATCGCGCTCGGTCCGGGCGGGGGGTACTCCGCGTCGCGATCGCGACGCGGCGGCGGCTCGCCCCGCGGCCGCTCCATCGTCGCCGCGCGCATCGTGCTCTGGCCGAGATTGTCAACGGTCGCGAAACGAGCGCCGCTCGTCCCCGCGTGCGCGTGCCGACTTTTTAATGCTTTCGGCGCGGGCGGCGCCCTGGTGAAACTACGACGATAACGTACGATACACGCGCGTTACGTTACGTCACGTTCCTCTCTACTCCTCCGCGCCCGCTCGCTCGCTCGCTCACTCCCCCCCCGTCACGCGGTCCATCACCTCCGCGGGCGCCTCCGCGTCGACGAGCGCGAACATCCCGGCGTGATCCACCACGCGCACGCCGTCGCGCATCTCCGCGCGAACTCTGTCACCGTACAGACACGGCACCCACGACGCGTACTGCGACGTGAACGACGCGCACTCCGCGCTGCGCGCGACGCGCGCGAGCTCGCTCAGGTTGCCGTCCACGAGGTGCCACCGCTGCCACGGCATCTCGCGCTCGGACATCGCCGCGGCGACGGCGAGCCCTCTCGCGCTGCCGCGCTCCGAGCCGATCACCGTGACGCCGCCGCCGCCGCCGCCGTCGTCGTCGCTCCTCTCGACGGCGACGCCGAGGTGCTCCAGGACGTCGGCGCACATGGACGCGCGGCGCCACGGCCCGCCGAGGACGATCACGGCGTGGCCGTCCCGCGCGCACGCGTCGACGAACTCGCGCACGCCGTGATGCAACGCGTGGCTTCGCAACCAGATCTCCCTGGGACTCGCGCCGTCGCCGGCGTCGCCCGCGGCGCACGCGTCGTCATCGTCGTCGTCTTCCTCGTCGTCGTCGTCGCCGTCGCACGTGTCGTCGCGCGAGAGGACGATCGTCCCGGCGTGAAACTCGTCTCTGACTTGATTCACCACCGCCTGGAGCCCGCGCGGCGCCACCGTGAGCCCCTCCCACGTGATCGCCGTCTCCAGATCGCACCCGAACTTCATCGACGCGTGCAGCTTGATCTCGTCCCACGCCGCGACCACCTCGCGCAAGTTCAGCGGGCGCGTCGTGCGCCCCTCGTTGAGCTCCGCGGCTCGCGCGGCGTACTCGCGCTCGCGCGTCGCCTTGGTCGCGTCTCTTCGCGCCGCCGACTCCGTCTCCATCGCCGCGCGTTGCTTCGCGGTGACCGCCTTCGCCATCGCCGCGCGCTCCGCGGCCTCGCGCTTGAGCCGCGCCGCCTTGCGTCGCTTCAGCTCCAGGCGGAATCGCGTCCGCTCCGCGAGGTTCTCTTCCGCCATGACGCGCACCATGAGCGCGCCCTCGAACGACGAGCTCTCGTCCAGGCACGGCGTCAGCATCCGGAACACGTCCGCGTAGTCCTCGCACGACCCCGGGATCTTCCCGGGCCAGAACCTGCGCGCGGCCTCGAAGCCGACGACGCACATCTCGTCCGTGGCGTCGACCGCGGCGTCGAAGGAGACGCACACGACGTGCTGCGTCGGCGGGACGGACACGGCATCGTCGCGATCGCGCGAGACGTCGCCGCGATCGGACGCGTTATCATCTCCGTCGCCGGACGACGACGACGACGACGACGCCGCCGACGCGGCGCGGGCGAGACGCGAGGAGGACGCGCGACCGGACGTGGACGCGACGCCGCGATCGCGTCGGGGTGGCGTCCATCGACGCGGTGATATCGCCGGCGCGGACGCCGCCGTGGCCGCCATTCCGTCCTCGCGGCGCGGAGTGCAGGTGTCGGAGGATGGTTGGCGAGAGGTGAGTTGGCACCGATCAGATTTTTTGTTCCAAGAAGCGGCGACCGCCGCGCGCTACGCGCTTATTTCACCGCATCGACGACGACATCGCGCGACGCCGACGCCGGCGTCACTCCCTCGCCACGCGCCGCGACGTCGCGTCACCCCTCCCGCGGCCGGCCGCGACGCGACGATGAGCAAGTCCTGCGCGGGGATGCTCGAGGCGATGCTGACGTGCGTGGAGGCGACGGACTGCGTGAAGAAGCACTCGCAGTCGGCGTGCGTGAAGGACGGCGATAAGTTCCCCGCGGAGTGCCAGATCGCGAAGGAGGTGTACGCGAAGTGCAAGCGCGGGCAGCTGGACATGCGGAGCCGCTTGAGAGGGAACAAAGGGTTTTGACCGAGCGCGCGTCGTCGCGGAGGCGCAGCGGGTACCTAGCCTTAGCAGAGCGAAGAGAGGCGCCCCGCGCGCGGCCTCGAGATACTGTATCTTATAGCTAGATTTATCGTCCGGGCGAGAGGTGGACGCCGCGGACGATGCGCGCGCTCGCGACGCCGCTCGCGCGCGCGGCGGCGTTTGGGACGCCCTCGTCGCGTCGCCGCGGGCGCGACGCGCGACGCCATCGCGCGTCGGCGACGACGCGCGATGGCGCGAGCGCGAGCGCGTCGCCGCGGGACGAGCGACCCGCGGTGTTCGTCGAGCGCGTCGAGATCGAAGCCGACGCCGACGGCGAGGAGACGAACCCCGTCGCCGTCGCGTGCGCCGAGCTGCGCGCGCAAAACTTCTACGTTTACGACCCGCTCGCGGCGTCCTCCGACGGGTCCATCTTATTCGGCGAGGCGGCCGCGCGAGCGAAGACGCGGTGGAGAGAAAAACGCGCGAAGATCGAGGCGCGGCGGATGCGTCAGGTGCGTTCTATACACTGGTCCCCATACGACCGCGTTCGCGTGGTGAACGCCGATCCTTAAGGACTTTGCCCGGCGCATCTCTCCGCCCACCCCGCGCTTTCAACGCCCGCCCTCGGCGCCTTTCAACTCCACCTGACGCCTATGAACTCCACCCCGACATCGCTTTGTATGGAACGACCCTCAGATGACGCCGCTGGGCATGCGCGTCTCGACGTACGCCGCGACGTGCCGCGCGCCGAGCGACGCGCAGCTCGCGATGGAAAACGCCGCGGTCGATGCGCGCGAGGAAAACGCCGGCGGCGGCGCGTGGACGCGCGGAGGAGGAGGCGGCGCCGACGCGTCGACGACGACGACGGAGACGGAGACGGAGACGCCGCCGACGCGTTGCGTGACTCCGGAGTCGAGCCGCGGAGGCGCGAGGACGGAGGTCGTGGGGACGCTCGACGTGCACGTCGGCGCGCGCCTGCCCGGAGAGCTCTTAGAAGGGAAGCTGCCGTCGCCCACGGGAGCGCCGCTTCCCACGGAGGAGGACTTCGCGCCGTTCGACGACGACGACGACGGCGGCGGCGGCGGCGGGTCCGCGGATCCGTTCGCCGTCGCCGTCGCCGCCGCCGCCGCGTTCGCGAACGGCGGCGACGGCGTCCTGCCGTGGGCGCCGCCGGCAGCAGAAGAAGACGGAGACGGGGACATGGACACCGGGCGCGGCTACGCCGGCGGCGGCGCGCTGAACGGCGAGCGCGCGTATCTCTTCAACGTGTGCGTCGCGCCGCACCGCCGCCGCCAAAACATCGCGAGTCGCCTCCTTCGCGCGGCGCACCGCGGGCTGTCGGACGCGGGCGTGAAGTACGCGTACGTGCACGTGGAGCTCGGGAACGTCCCCGCGATGAGGCTGTACGCGCGCGAGGGGTACGCGGTCGAGACCGAGGAGAGCGAGTGGCTGGCGGGGAAGCTCGGGAGGTCGCCGCGAGCGCTCATGGTGAAGACGTTATCCGACGATGGATGAGGTCGACGCGCGCGCGCGCGAAGACCTGATTACTCATTCGAATATCCACGCGAATGATTTAGTTACCGTCCACGCACACGTGTAGAAACGCGCCGCGCCCCGCGCCGCGCCGCGCGCCGCGCCGCGCGCGCCCGTCATAACCCGTTGCGCTGCTTCTCTTGGTCGATCCTTCGAAACACGTTCGTGACGTCGCGCATGATACGCTCGCGGTTTTCCTCGCACAGCTTGCGTCCGATCCACTTGTCCGGGTGCCACCGCATCATGAAGTCCTTGCACCGTCGCTTGAGCTCCGCGGTCGAGATCGGCGGTCCGCGGCGCCCGACGCCGTCGCCGAGGAGATCACCGGGCGGCGGCCACGGGACGTCGCCGTGGTCGATCACCTCCGGCGGGTTCCGTTCGAAAATTTTCCACCGCTCGTCGTGGAGCTTCCGCCGCGCGTCGTACATCTGCTCGTCGTTCGCCCACGCGCCCGCGGCGCCGCCGTCGGAATTCGAATCGTCGCCGCTGCCGTCGCGATGATGAAACTGAAACGACGGATCCGAACCGCCGCCAGCGCCCTCCGCGGCGGCCCAGCGACGTCTCAGCTCGCCGTTTTCGTACGTTTCCCTCCAGACGCTCCCCGTCGCGTCCGTGAACGTCCCGCCGCCGTGCCGCTCGTCGTCCTTCCAGGTCCCCTCGAAGCGATCGCCGTTCGCGTACGAGTACACGCCCTTGCCGTGATACCCGCCCTTCTTCCACCCGCCCTCGTACGCGTTCCCGCGCTTGAACGTGCACGCGCCGTGACCGTGGGGCTGCCCTCGGTGCCACTCCCCGACGTACACGTCGCCGCACTGAGGGTCGTCGCCCATACGAAGCGACGTCGGGGTGGAGTTCGCGGGCGCGTCAGACGGAGTCGAGGGCGGAGGGATCGAAACCGCGCGTGGCGTGGGCGGAGAGATGCGCCGGGAGAGCAAGTCCTTAAGGATCGGCGTTCACAACGCGGACGGGGTCGTATGGGGACCAGTGCGAAGGAGGACGCGCCTTGTACACGCACGCGCCGAACACCTCCGGGACGTCGTCGTCCAGGAACCCGAGGTAATCGTTCCCCGCGTCCTTCACGACGCCGTACGTCACGTCGTGCTTCCGCGACACGAACGCCACGAGCGACTCGAGCGTCATCGTCGCGCCGCCCGCGCCCGCGCCCGCGCCCGAGCCCGCGGCTTCTTTTTTGGCGTCGCCCGACGTCCGCCTCGCGGCGCCCCCCCCACCCCTCGCGCGCGCGCCGCCGCCGCCCGGCGGCTCCGAGCCGCCGCCCGCGGCCGCCGCCGTCCGCTCCGCCTCCCTCTCCGCCTTCGCCGCGCGCTCGACCGCCACCTTGAGTCGCTGCTCGAGCGCTTTGCTTCGCTTGTCCGCGACCGTTCGCTCCGCGTGCGCCTCCGTCGCGCGCTGATCGCTCTTCTGCGCGCGCGCGTTCGCGCGTCTGTTGATGCGGGCGATTTCGTACATAAAATAAATCATCGGTCAGCTGAAAGGGGGCGCGATCAAATGTTGAAACTGGGAGGTGGGTGAAAAACACGTTTGCGTGAGGACGCACTTGAGGCGCTCCTCGAGGTCGGCCGCGCGCTTCTCCGCGCGTCGCTCCGCCGCGCGCAGCCGCTCCGCGAGGTGCGTCACCGTCGGGTCGGACCGCGCGTTCTCCGCGGCGTCGACGCGGTCGCGCTCCCTCGGCGCGGCGTACCCGGGCGGCGCGGACGCGCGCGTCTTCTCCGCGGTCGATCGCGGCGGCCGTTTCGTTTCCGGTTGCTGCGACGAAGATGTGTTGACCGCCGGCTCGGTGCGCGTCGCGTCGTCGTCGCGCATCCGCCGCAACCGCGCCTCCGCGTCTCGAAGCCTCCGCTCCATGTCGCTCGCGCGCTCGTGCGCGGCGGCCGCGCGCATCTCCGCGCTCGACGCTCTCTCCTTCGCGGTCTTCATCGCGGCTTCCCACGCGCCGACGTCCGCGCGATCGAACGACGCGGACGACGACGACGACGCGTTCGACGACGACGACGACGAGTTCGACGACGCGGACGACGACGACGACGACGCGCCGCCGCCGCCGCTGCCGGATCGCGCGCGACGCGCGCGCGACGTCTTCGCGCTCGCGCATCCGGGCGGAGGCTCCGGCTCGATGCCGTTTCTTCCCGCGATTCGCGCGCCCATGTTCGCGCGCGCCGCGGAGTGCGCCGGGGATGCGGAACACGAAGGGTCACGCCGATGGAGGCAGGGAGCGAGCGCATCAAGCGGCGCGCCTCACCGCGAACGCCCCGCCCCGTCTTTTACCCTAGGGCATTGGTCGCGAGACAACGCCGCACTCCACGCCGCGCGCGACATGTTCGGCGTCGCCGCGATGCGATCGTCCGCGCTGCTCGCGCGACGCGGGTTCGCCCTCGGCGCGTCGCGCGTCCGCTCGACGCGCGCGTCGCCCGCGCGCCGCGTCGTCGTCCCGATCGCTCGCGCGTCGTCGTCGTCGTCGTCCGGCGTTGGCGGACGACATCGTCCGCGCGGCGACGTCGTCACCGCGTCGTCCTCCCCGTCGTCGTCGCCGTCGCCGTCGTCGCCGCTGTACGACTGCGAGTGCTGCCCCCCCGGGGTGCTCTTCCGCCTGCCGAGCGCGACGCGGCGCGCGTCGTCGTCGTCGTCGTCGTCGTCGTCGTCCGTCGCGACGCGCTCCGCGTCGTCCGCGCGCCCGCGAATCATGGCCTCGAGCGTCCCCTCGGAGATCCCCGCGATCGCGACGGAGCTCGTGGACTACCTCAACGCGTCGTGGACGTCCTTCCACGCGACGTCGGAGTCGTCGCGGATGCTCGCCGCGGCCGGGTTCGAGCGCCTGAGCGAGAAGGAGTCGTGGGATCTGAAGCCCGGGGGCAAATATTTCTTCACGAGAAACATGAGCTCGATCGTCGCGTTCGCCGTCGGGGAAAAGTACGCGCCCGGGAACGGGTTCAACATCATCGGCGCGCACACGGACTCGCCGTGCCCGA